AACCCCAACCCCAACCCCAACCCCAACCCCAACCCCAACCCCAACCCCAACCCCAACCCCAACCCCAACCCCAACCCCAACCCCAACCCCAACCCCAACCCCAACCCCAACCCCAACCCCAACCCCAACCCCAACCCCAACCCCAACCCCAACCCCAACCCCAACCCCAACCCCAACCCCAACCCCAACCCCAACCCCAACCCCAACCCCAACCCCAACCCCAACCCCAACCCCAACCCCAACCCCAACCCCAACCCCAACCCCAACCCCAACCCCAACCCCCAACCCCAACCCCAACCCCAACCCCAACCCCCAACCCCAACCCCAACCCCAACCCCAACCCCGATGAATTTTAATTCATTTACATTATTTAATTTAAATAAATAAAAAATTAATTCTTTCAATACAATTAAAAAATTTTTAAGCTTTCAATCACAAAGATATATTTAATAAATATATACTTATTTATATCAATATATAAATTAAATTTTAGTAGTTTTGTATTTATTTTTTATCTTAAGAGAGTATTTTTAATTTTAAAACAGTTTTAAATAAAATATAATTGCTCATACTGATTAAAAAAATGCTTTAATTTATAAAATAATTAAGTCTTAATTTTTTTTTTAACTAATAATATTAATAAATAAGCTAATTATATAAAATGAATTTCTAGCTTTTAAAGTTTTTTTCTTTATATTTTTATTTTAAGATATTACTTTTGGTATTTATTTTAATTACCATATGGGGCTAACGCTCAGTGTTTTTTGTATATCTAATATTATATTTCATGTACTCAATATAAAAATTGTTTATATAATTAAAAGTTTTAGTGCACATATTTAAAGGCAAATAAATATAGTACTTATTATATTTTTTGAATATTTTTTTAAAGTTACTATAACTGTAATTACATGATTAAAATTAAATGTCTAATTTATCAATATTATTAAACAAAAGAATTTAAATAATTAGGTAAATTTTCAAATAATACACTAAAATGTGAGTTTTTGATTAAGCTATCCGAGAAATTAGTATTTTTAATTGAAGAATGTTTGATTATAAACAAATTTTACTTACATAAATTAATAAATAAAAAATAGATGTTAATTTAAAATGATATATTTATTTAATTATTTTAATTTTTAGATGCAATTATTTTCCTTCCAATAATAACTTATTTAATTAATTTCTTACTTACTTACTTACTTATTTTTTCACTGGTTTTTAATTTAGTCAAGAATATCGCTAGTTTTAATTAAAATAAATACATATTTTAGTTGCTAAATAAGTTTAATAGAAAAAATTTACTCATCAAATTAATATTCTCTCTCTAGTTTTTACTTGAGCAGCTTTAGAATTTCTTGAGTTTACTCTTCTGTGAGCTCTCCTTAAACATTATATATGTCATTCTTTTATTTAAAAAAAATTAATTTTAATATAAATTTATAATTATTAAAAATATTTACTGAGTTTTTTGATAGTTCTTAGGAAAGTTCATCTTAGTCCGTTGTATTTTTGTAAGAAAGGGAAACTTCGTTTTATATGGATTTATCGCAATTGCTAAAATCATTATATCTACAATCTGAGCTTATATTGTTGGTCATCTCTTCAGTAATAAATTAGTAAGGATCTATATCAATTGCATCTTTATTATTGCTTGAAGATGAATGATAGTTTTTAGTTGTTTATTAATCATTGTTTGTCATATGCTAATCCTATTCAGTTAGATTGCTCTGGTTGGTTTATTATTGTTGCATTTTGTTTGGCTATTACTAAGAGTTTATTTGGATATTATTTTAATTATAAATTATATTTTCTTTATTTTCTGGGTGGAAAACATTGCTTTTATTCTGAATTTAGCTACTGTGGACAAAGATATTTTATTTCCTTAAAAGTTGGTTTGGGTCAAAATTATTATTAGGTGGGTACATATTATTCATATTACTCTAGATAATTTTATCTTAATTCTATGAAAAATAGTTTTAGAAATTAATATGCTATTGGTTTTTTTAATTGTTATTTTGGTTAAATGATTTATTTGTTTATTCTTGTTTGATATTATTTATTTGGAAATTATTTTCCTAATTATTTTAAAGATTCATTTAATTTTTATTTTCTGTTAATATTCCTTAGTTGCTTTATTAATTAAATTGAGACTAGTTTATTAAAGCTGGGTACTTTCTAAATTGGTTAGTATTGACAGATGAAACAGAAGAAGATGGGGAGGAAAAAGAGACATTCATTTATGTTGTGCTTGTTACAACTTTATTACTATCACAAAAGATTTAAGATGGAGTTAAACCAGCTGCAGTTGCAATCTTATCAACATAGTTCTAGTTTTGCTTATACAGTATAGAAGAATCAAGGGGCATCAATTAGCCACTTGGACTTTAAATACTTAAAAGTCTGCTATTTTACTATTGAATTGACGTATTAAGATTTGATAAAAAGCTGTTCTTTTTATTGAATTAGTCTTTTAAGCTTAATGATGTGTTCAAAGAGTTTTGAATTGTATTTGTATGAGAACTATTGTGAGAATTGATTTTTGAATGTTGTTAATTGCTTGTGTTTGATGTTTAAATTGAAGCATTTGACTGCTGAGAAATATTTTACTTTGACATTTATATCAAACTTTATAGATTTACATTCACATTTTTAGCCAAATTTTATTCATTGTGTGTAGCACTTCTCTAACTTTATTCCTTTTCTTTTTCTTTGCTTTATTGCAGTGAAGATTTATTTATTTGAAGATTTTAAGGACTTCTTTAATTTGTGGCATACAGGCTTCTTTCAGATTATTCTTCTTCTTCAGATTATTCTCTAATAATATCTTCCTCATTAGGAAAATAGTTGCACGTTGTTTCCAAAGTGTTTCCGTTTGTATTTAGGAAATTTATATTTTAGGTTTAAAGAAGTAAAGTTCTTTCTTTTGGTTTTATTGAAGTACCATCTGAGAGATAAGATTTAATTAAATCAGTTTCTTCATCACTATGAATCATCGATTGTCCGTAACTTTTTTAGCTTCTATTGCTATCACTGTTAATGTTATTTGATAGTCCACTTTGTTTTTCTATGTCATTTTATTTTTCAATATTTGTATTATCAAAATGATCTAATTGCTGATGCATTTCTATTTTTTATATTTATTCATGATGACTTTAAATCAACTGTTGAAGGCCTGTCTTAAGCTGCATATTTTCTTCTTCTAAATTATTGATGACTTAATTTCTATCTTCTAAAATGTTCTAAAATTTAACTTTTATTTTAAATATTTATTTAAATAATTAAAAATTTGATATATTTAATTTACATTGTTCATCCTACAATTGCTTTTGTAATTAATTGAATTTCATTTAAAAGTTATTTAGTTAAGTATCTAGCTATGAGATGTAGTTACTGTCCTTTTTGTTTGTTTGAATATAAAATTATTTTTATATTTTTTAATATTTATTTACTTTGTTCATTTAATATTCGTTTTCCACCAACTGCTAGTTTTTCTAGTTGATTTGATCCTTTAATTCTTAGTTTTGCTTTCTTAATTTTGAAATTTCTAATCTTTGAGAAGCATCTCTACTTTATAGTTGATGAATCATTTCTCTCATTTTGATTAAGATTTCCTTATCATGAATACTGTAATTATCACTGAATTACTTTTAAGCTGTTTAATAATTTAATATAAATTATAAAATTATCATTAAAACTTATTTTACTATCATAGAAATTTTCTTGATTTGCTTCAAGAGGTGCAGAAGAATATTTTAATGCATTGCATTCATTTTGGCAATCTTACTTTAAATAATCTTCAATTTAGTTTTAGTTAAGGGATTGATGTAAAATGTTTTTATTTAAAAGATAAGAGTTATCTGCTCTATTTGAATTTAATTCAGTTAATGATCTATTCAAATATTTTGATATTTTCTAAAGCGAATTGTAATCATTTTACTGAGATTAATTTAAAATTCTTTATGAAACTCTCTCTGTTGATGTTGATTAAGAGACATTTTGACTTTATTAATTCTACTTTTTCTTTTCAATTTTATTAGTATTATTTATCTGATTAATTTGCTTGTAAGTGTTTCCTTTCTTTGAATAAGAGTTAGTCTTTGATCCTTGCTTTGTTTATTATGAATTTTATAATTCTTTCTATTTCTAAGCTTCAATTATCAAATGATTCTTTTTTATAGGATAGCCTAGGCAGTTTTAATTTTCTTAGTCATCACTGTCATTATAGTGTATGAAATTATTCATTTGAGCAATATATTAAATTTTTTATTTATTTTAGGTATTTTGAAGTCTATTAGTATTATTACTAGTTGAAGAGTTAGTTGATGAGCAATGGCTACTCTGCAGATTGGCTATTTTTTATTAATTATTTTTCTAGAAGTAGTCATTTCCTTATTAATATTATTGACTTTAAATATTGCTATTTATAAAAACATTTTCTTTATCACCATCTAAAATATCTTCCACTCTGTAAGTCTAAGATTAGTTTTACTGTTTGCCCTAATTGTAATTCTATAAATTATAAGCAATATTTATATTATCAGGAATGAGCTTTTGCTAATAATACATTTCTTCTTGGTCAAGCTGATAATTTTCTTATTAATTTCCTTTCTTACTAATTTCATTTTAACTGCTTGAACTAAGCGATCTATTTTTTAATTGAAATTGCAAACACTCCTTGTCCCCATAAGAAAAAGCATTATCATCACTGCTGCAGTTAAGACCAAAATGCTATTTAAAAGAAAAATTTTAATTCATATTCATTCCTTCATTTCTTTTTATTGACATATTTAAACTTTAATTGCTCAAGTCGCTATACAAATAATTATTTTTTTAGATATTTAACGAATTTTGTGAAGACTTAGAAGCATTAGCTGAACTCGAAGTAGAAGACGGTCCACTTTATCCATAACTTTCTTTCATTATTTGTTTAATAGATTTAATTTTTTTAGGAGGAACATAGCTCCTAGGAAGACTTATTGAATGTTAGCTTTGTTGAGGTTTAGGCTATTCATTTTAGCTTAGAGCTCTAGTTCTCATCGCAATTTAATTTTAGTTGTTTCTACTTATTTAATTAAATTATGTTGATAGTTATTTTTGGGATATTCAAACAGATATTTATTTCTCCTAATTTTTGAATTTTACTTGTATTTAATAAATTTTGTTAAATTAATTAATTTAAGATTTATCTTTTCTGTTGATAAACTTATATTAAAACAAAAAAATTTTGAATTTAACATTCATATAATATATATATTCGCAATCATAAAGTAAGAAGCATATCTAATTATCTATCAATCTGAATTGATTTACCACTTCAAACAGCTCTATAAATAAATAGTTAATAAATTTCAGAAGCAAACTCTAACATTTAAATCAAATAATTTTCTAACAAACATACTTTCAATAAGTAATATTTTTACTCTTAAATATTTTACCTTTACTTTAAAATAAAACTACTTTCAAAATATGTTTATTTTTGAGATTTTAAAATTTTTAATTGAACTTTTCATAAATTTGTTTTTAAATTTTTGTTAAATAATTTATTTAGGTATTTTTTAAATTTGTTTTTAAAGTTATTTCAATAAGTTCTAATAAGCAAAATTAATATTTAAAAATATATTCTTATTCAGTATTTAATTTTTTAAATATCATATTCTATAATCATTTTTTTTTCAAATAAACGATTATGATTAAACTGAATGAAATATTGTGATATTTGTAGATGGCTAATTCAAAAAATAATCAATGTATCTTAAATTTAAGCAAGTAAATACCAACTATATAAAAATAAGGAAGTTTATGAGTAAATAAATAATCTTATTTTAATTAAAATAAGCAAATTAGCTCTATTAAATAATTTATAATAGCTTATAATCAATTTGATTAAGCATTTTAATATTAAAAATATTAGAGAAAAATATTTTATTATTTAATTAATCTATTTGAAATACTACGAAGTTATTGATATTTCTACAAATTTGTTTTAAACCATTAATTTAATTTTAAATTTTAAAATAAAAAATAGATACTTTTTATTTATTTAGATACATTTAAATAAATTATTATTAAAACATATGAATGCTTTTTATAGCAAAGAAATATGTATTTCTTGAATTATTAAAAACAGATTGTTCAAAGAGTTGATTGAAATAAGTTAAATATAGATGATGTTTATTTTATTTACATTTTATATTTAAGATTTTTTAGTAACATATTTTAAATATAATTAATTAAAAATATATTTATTTATTTAATTATTTTGGTTTATATATTTACAGCTGGAAAATATTCAAAAAATATGATGCATGGATAGATACTGGCTTGTTTTAATTAGAGAAGATTGATTTATCATTGAGGGTTGTAATTTTCGAAGTTTAAAATCTTTTGATTGCTATTGTTGTTTTATTCGAATAAGTTCTATTATTATGGCTAAAACATTTAATTTCCAAAGAGGTAGTTATTATTTTTATTTTCAAATAATTTTTAGTAATCTTAGTAGGAAAACATGGAGTAGTTCACAGGTTAATTCATAATCTATTGATTGTGCAGATTTTATTATTAAAATCCTTTTTATTCAGCACTGTTACTACTGTTTTTCGAATCAATATAGTTTTGGAAGCTTTGTGGCTACACATTTACCATCTTATTACTTAAATTATAATTATTCTTTTGATTTGAGGCTGATAGACTATTGTAATTTTAATACAAAGGTTGTATGTTTGGAGTAAAAGTACATTCTTCGAGTTCAGATTTTTCTTTTCTTTCTCTCAAAACTTAAATCTTTTAATCAAATTTCTATTAATTAATTAAAAAAATAATTAATTTAAAATTGAATTTTTAATTAACATTTTTTATTACTTGTTTTTCATCCATAAAAATATCATAAAGAGCAGCTCCATTTGAATGAGGTCTTTTTTATTATGCAATTTTCACCGATTTAGGGTTTAATCTAGGCTATTTTATTTACATTTACAGTTTGGGTTAAGTTAAATCTGTTTTATTAATTTAAAATTCGTTTTACTTTAAATTCGAAAGACTCTTCACTGCATTTAGTCTTCTTTGTATTGAAAATTTGATTTCTCTCTTAAATATTAAGTCCCTAAAAAAACAAAATTTATTTTAGTAAAATTTAAAATATATTAAAATATTATTTACTTGAACTAATTTTTCTGAAGCCTAAATAAATTCTTCTAGGGTTAAGGCTTAATCAAGTTCTTCCATTTCACATAATAATGGTGAAAATGCCTCTAAGATCAAAGGATCTAGGGACTAAATATCTATAGCCTGAGCTGAGATTTGTCCATCTTAATCTGAATCAAGTTAATTAAAAATTTCAATTAATTTTTATTTCTTTTTTAAATCTATAATCCTTGTGCTTTTTTCACATGCAAACGATCTGTTAACACTGCTATTGTGACTCTATAAATTTTATTATTTTTGAATTTATTTTATCTTTGATTATTCATATAAATACTCTCCAACAGATTAATTAATTTAATTTCTCTATTTTTTAGGAGGTCTCCCAGTAATTGGTTTAAAGTACTCCTAGCCTGTATATGGATCTATAAATCCTTGCTATTATCCGTTTGATTAATTACTATTATGATTTTCTTTGCTACTATAGCGTTAAAGTCTTTCAAAAAATGAAATATCATTCATCAAGATTTTTGAAAAGGTATTAATCTTTGGTTAGAAAGTGCAATTTTAATCTATTTTTAGATGCTTATCTCTTTAAATTTTCCTTTCAATTTTGCTTTTACTGTCTTCATATAACAAATCATATCTATTCCTAATAAAAGATTAATTAAGAGATTTTCCATCTTCATGAGATTAATTTATTAATATATTCATTTTTTCTTGTGCTATCTAACTACTGATTTAATTAATTTCAGGCCTAAAAGAGCATCCATCTAATTCAGAATTAAGCTTAAAACTCCTTGCTCTTTCTTTGCGTTCTCTTTATTACTTAGCAACTTTCTGTAAAAATTCTCCAACTGGTTCATTTCTTAAGCTTTTCTATTTTAATAAAACCAAGTTAAAATTTTTTTTTTTAAATGAAGTAAATAAATAATTTATTTAATAGAATTCAAAATTGGTAATTCAAATAAAATAATAATAAATTCAATGATAAATTATTTTTAATGATAAACTTTATGGTTTTTAAATAAAATATTAAATTAACAAATTTAAAAAAGAAAAATATTTTTAAAATAAACAATAAAAATTAATTCATTAGAAAAAAAAAGAAGAAATTTTGAAGAATAAAATTTTTCAAATAGATGAAAAATATAAAATATTTTTTGAATATAAAAATTAAGGAAACTTTTTTTTTGAAAATATCTCACTGATTAATGAATGATATTGAATAATTTTGAAAAATAGAAATGTAAAAAGAAGTTTATTTAAAAAAAATAAGCAATAATTAATTAATAATTGAAGATATCTAGAGTAAAAATTGAAAAAATATTTTTAATTAAATAATTTTACAGCAATAATTGAAGATATCTCATTGATTTATGGGTGATATGTACATTGTTATTGTACTTAATTGATTTCTTCTTATTTCTTCTTTTCAATTTATTTCTTTTTTTCTTCTCTCTACTTTACTCCCCTCTAATATAAACGTATTCCATAGTTTATTTCATTTACTATAAATAAAGTATTATTTAGATAAAATTAGAAAAAGTGGTGTTTGATAAAGAGATAAATATTAAAATTACATGAGGAACTTCTCTAAACTCTTTTTTTTTATACATTTGCTTATGAATTACTTCTTTCTGTTTCTCTTTACTAAATGTTTTTAATTTTTGATTGAGCAAATAATCTTTCATGAACACTTTATTTCTTTCCAAAATCAAAAGATTTATTAACTTTGTTATTAGATTCTTCCACTCTTGATTAATTGCCATTATTGTTGTATTAGCTGCTCAGATAGTTTTATCTAATTATTTTTTTTTAAAGTTTAAAGGTAAATTAATTAATCAATTATAAAATGAACTACCCTGCATAAAAGCTCTAGCTGATTTAATGAGCATTTTAATGATAAGAATTACTATGACTTACTCCTGCTGGAACACTATAATTTAAAGAATTTCCAACATCAGTTGAAGCATTTATATTCATGTATTTTTCAAAAGAATTATTGTCGATTTCTATTTTATTAATTAATAAATAACACTTTTTTAACTGAAAATAAACATATAATTGCTCAGTAAATATATATATATAAACTATTTACTTTCGACAATACCTTCTGGATAATATATTCTTCTTTTCATAGAACTATTCACATCTGGATAATCTTTGTTTATTCTTTTAGTTGATGGAGTTAGAACACCGCTTCTGTTAGCAGAGCAGTTAGCTTTGGTAGAATTTTATCTTGCATCAAATGAGTCTTAAATTGATGATTAGGGCATTTAATTTTGTGTATTTGGAGGGTTTTTAACATATTAATTCGTTTTCTTTTATTCATTGTAATAGTTATTCATTGGGAGCTAATTATTGGCATAAGGGTTGTTTTATATAATTTAGTTACTCAATTATTGCTCATTTCCAAAATTGTCTTAAGAAATTTGTTATCCAACTTTATCTGAAATAGGAGATTGCTTTGAGCTTTCCTTTTTTTGATTATGAAATAATGTAAAAATATTAAAAAGTAAAATTAATAATAAGTATTACATATTGCATATATTGCTACTGATTCGTTTTCTAGACTTGATCAACATTTTATTTTATATTTTCTTCTAAAATTTCTACAATGCAAGGAGGGAGATCATATTAGGCTACAAATTTTACTGCCAAATCATATGGATTGTCATTTTCAAAAACATGAATTTTACCAGACTACCCATTACCAATATCAATTGTCATAACTAAAATCTCTTTTTTTTTAAGTGTTTGTTTATTATGTGCTATTTAATTCATTTGTTGTTGCATAAATTGCTTTTATTATAAATTGTTGATAAAATTAATATCTTCCTAACTGATTTATTATTAACTATTATATTATCCGCCGTAGCCTGAATTATTAGTTTCAGGATCAATCAGCTGTGGCTAGATATTGGTACGATTTCCTGCTTACACATAATCCTATTGTTGTTGGCTATTCATACTTTGATTTTACTAGGAAAAATAATTTTACATTTATATATTCCCTCTTTATACTTATTTGTTATTATTATTTGAAGAAAAATAATCCTAATTAATAACAAATCCTTTTTAACTAATTTGTATTTGATTTTGTTTTTGTGATTATGTTAGTATTGAATTTTAATAAGATTTATTAATTGAAAATTAATTGCCTTTTAGTTTGACTGATAGGTTTTTTGTTTGTTTATTTGTTTATTTGATTAATTGTTTGATTTTAATTTATTTAACTACTCTTAATAGAAATTTGAAATCAATTAAAATTGAATTATATCTTTTAAGTTATTATTTGAATTTGTTTTTTAATTTGTTTACATATAGTAAATACAAATTAATTAATGCAAAGTGTAATTTAGGTCTGCTAACGATATATCAAATAAATTGACTTTATAGTTTTTATAATTATTTTTGAAATAAATAAAAAATCAAATAAAAAAAATAATTTTAAAATAAATTTTGTAATAAAATAAATTCAGCTAAATTAAACTTTTAAATTTATAATTTAAATTTATATTTTCCTAAGCTAAACACAATTCAAATGAGATTTAAATCATTTATTACGACTTTAAATATTTCTTTTTTGATGAAATTCAATGAATGTAAATTTATATTTTGGACTGAGAAAAATAATTTTATTATTTTCTACAATTAAAAAAATTATTTATTTTATCATTCAAAAAAAAATTAAAGAATTTTTAACAAGATATTTTTCTTCTTCTTCTTCATTTGGTTTTTAGTGTTTTAATCAACATTATTTTTCTAATAAAATTAAATGGCTATTAATTCAAATAAAATTGAATAATTTGTGATAAATATTTATAAATATTTTGAATTTTTTAAATTAAAAATTTTGGATTTATTTTTTGACTAAACCTTAAAGATTTGTTTTTGTTACCTTAATTAAGGCTAATTAATTGCAAAGCTTGTATATGCTCATTTAAAATAAGTTTTTATTTTTAATTTTTTTAATTAATTAAAAAGCAAAACGCCAAAATATTTTATTTATTAGTTTATATTTTATTATCAGCTTAAAGATTTTTTATTATATTTATGATGATATCTCTTTTCACTTTAAGTCTATTTCTTGATTAAGTATTTTAATTAAAACTAAAAGAAATAAATATTAGTTTTTTTATCATAAAGATTATTATTAGAAAATATTAAAAATTAATTATTCTTATTTACTTAAAGTAATTACTATTCTGATGAGTTAATAAAAATTTTAAAATGATAAACAAATTTTCTTAAAAAGATTTTACTATTTTTCACTTTTTAAATAGTATTTTTTTAATTATGATTTTGAATATCTTATTATAAAAAATATGATCAAATTATTAGAACATCAAATATTCAACACTCAAATTTAAGAATAAATAATTTATTTTGGTTTAATTTAGCAAATCAGTGTCAAAAACAGTAATTTCAACAAAAATAATACAATTTTAAGCAAATTATTGAAAAAAAAAATTTAATGAAGAAACAATTCAATCAATCATACTTTTTTTATTTTACAATTATTGATGAAGGATTTTTTTAAATTTTTTAATAGATCAGACGTATGGATGAACGTTGATATAAAAAAGTAAATTAATAAATTTAATGGTAAAAATAAGAGTAATTTATTCGTAATTTATGGTTTAAGTTACTTTTAAAAATATTTAAAGTTTGAAAATTATACAATAAATAGTGTAATCTAAAATTTTAAAATTGATGATGTGTATGTTTGTATACATGAATGTATATATATATCTATCTATTTATCTTCACACATTATCAATTTTACAATTTTATTCATATTTCGTTTTATTAATTAGCTTTGAGTTGAACATAGGAAAAAATTAATTGATTTAATTTATTTTAGCTATCACATTTTAATTAATTAATTAATTATAGTTAGAAAGACAATTAAAATAACCTAAATAGTAATTGTATAAAAGAAATAGAGCAGGAAGGAAGGAAGGAAAAGCATACAACTTAGCAATAATGAAGTGTAAAATATCTGGCGAAGTTACAGTAATAGGTTTGGTTGCTATTCCCTTAATAATTATTATCATTTATTCTTTTCTTACTATTTTATATACGTAGTATATTTTGAAATAGGAAAATGATAATTTAGCAGATTCTATGTATTCAGAACAAATTAAATTTTCTAAATAATTTGACAGTATACTAACTTTTTAAGTGAATATGTAAGTCTAGAATGTTTATTGGAATGTCTACATACATAATTAGTTACTTTAAAAAGCACTTGCAGGATAAATAAAACTAAATCCTAATTTTAAAGATATTTTGATAAATGTAGAGAGAACGTATAATTTGACTGAAGATCCAGTCAAATTAAAAATCTTTAAAAAAAGTTATTTATTGGTCAATTCTTGGTTTTAAAGAGATAAATATTTTTAAAAAGACCTTGATCCGATTTAGCAGGAATAAATGATAGTTTTTTCTGCAACAGATCCCCTTTTTAGAGCTATATTGCTTGAGAGAGATAATGCTCTTTAATAAAACATCACTCGTAGATTCTACATTAAAAATATGTATATAGGAACTGAATATGATGGATCGGTTTTAGGGCCTTCTGCTAATACAACATATAAAGGAATCACTAATCCTAAGTCATGCCCATCTGGTAATATATACGATTCTAGATGTCGCTATTGGTTTAATGATACTATTCATCGCAAGAATATATCTTTGTATGTTTCTCCACCTTAGCTACAGTATAGTAATGTAGGTATTCCTTTTCTAGCAAGCGTTTTTTGTTAGAGAATAGAATTACCTCCTTATACTCAATTAAAAGAATAATACAGCACATTAAACAAGTAAGGGAGTCTTTACTCAGTTCTTTGCAACAATTTAGATTTGACAGCGGCTGGTGTATATTTTAGCAGTTTCAATTAAAAATCTGCTTTCAAGATGTTAATTGATCCTTCTACTTAGATTGCTGTTTATTATTCGTTATTTTAATTAAATAGCACTTAATAACAACAAACTCTGAGTAGTTTGGAGCTGAATCCAAGGACTACTGAAGAGTAGGCTTTACTATTTTAAAAAAAGTTGCAAAGTTTATACTCAAATCCGATTTTAGATGTAAAAGAAAACATAGATATGCTTTAGATTAATGATGATAGTTATTAATCAGGATTCACCTTCTACCGATTGAATAATCCTCCTGATATTCAATAAAATCATACCAATAACAGCTATAATACTCTTTAATAAAGTACTCCTCTAAATAATTAAGTGTCTTAATAGCAGCAACAAAAACAACAAGAAGAGAAATAAAATAATTTAAAAGAGCATTATGTTATTTTAAACTCAATACAAACAATTTAAAAGCTTAAAGACCCCTGGTCTGGAGGGTACTCAATTAACACAGCATTTATTTTAATAGATGTTTTGTCTAAGGATATGCTTAGTGTACAAGCATAGTAGATGTAGTAATAAATAAATGAATATAACTATTACAGCACTATCGCAATTACAATCTTTTATGTGATTATCATCATATTAGTTATTCTGCGTTTTATTAGAATCTTTAAATTGATCATCTCTCCCATTAATTAATTGACAAACATATTAAAAAGTGTTTCACTTGATGATGAAAATTAAATTTCATACATATTAGGAGATAAGTAGTTAGCACTGGAGTCTTTATTTGAGTAGGAGATATTTCTATCCCAAGATACTAAAATCCTTTATGAGAGCATTGTCTCATTGTTTAAAATGGTTTAATTTACTTAGTCTAACATCTTCGTCTAAACAGAAAGTTAAACCCTCTTAAATTTAAATTAGTAAATAATACACTTTTAAAAGTTTTAAAATCACAGAGCTTTGGGTATATGTCATAATAACATAGGATATATTCATTTCAATGCTCATAGATACTAGGAAGCTTTGTAAGAGTTTTCACAAGCAATAATTTACTCAAATTATGAAGTAAAAATATATGAAGAAGATCTAGAACAGAGTTAACTAAATAACTCGAATTTGATAATGTCAGAAGTAACAAGAAATATTAAACTGCTCTCAGATTACAAAAATATAATTAATCAGATATAAAAAAAATCAATAACAGAAAAAGAAGAAAAAGTTGTTAGAAAATCAGCTTTTAGCAGTGGAACTTCTTTGCTAAATAACAAAAACATGCAAAAAATTAAGCATTAAACTAAAAAAGTTGAAAAAGTAGATAAAGAACAAATTATTCACTACGAAGTACAAAGCGAAAATTCTCGAAGCCAACTTAAACTCGAAACTCATGAGCTTTAAAAGTAATAAAATGTCTTGAATGGTGGAAACAATACAACTAAGAACAAAAAATTAACTATTCAGGAAAGTGAGGCTGAGTTAAATTAAGAAAATGCTTAATCACAAAAGCTATTGAATTCATAATAGCTATTTTCATCTCATTCGCTCTAGAAGAAAAAGCCGAATGATAAAAAAAATCATAAATCTTAGCGAAATACAAAATAGATAAGCATTCAAAAAGATAAAAGTATGTCTAACTCTTTGTAAAATAAGTAAGAGTAAAACTGTGATAGAAAAAAGAATATTACAGAAAGTCTCAGTCCTTCTAGGAGCACCACCTCAAAAGGAGTAAATCAGGATAATGAAGTTACAAATTTATTTTTTTGTTTGTATTCACGTAAATTGAATTATGCCAAAACACTATTCATGCTACTTGAGAAACAAAATGAGACATTAGGAAACATGTGGATTGAACTGGAATAATTGTTATTGGAAGTAATAGAAATAGGAAATCAAATGACGCTTGTCAATCAAATTAAGAGTTTTCAATTTAGCTGCTACATTTATTTAATTTCACTAGCTTAGAAACTGAACAATCAGATTAAACTCGCAGAGTACATGAGATGTTCATATGAAATTCTGTAAGATGTTTTAAACGAATAAATCTAGCAAGATATCTATTAAGAAATCAGACTGAACTCAAATAGAACATTAAAATCAGAAGCTGATAACTAAACTGTGATTTCCTCAGAAGAATTGCTTAGAAATAGAGATTTCATAAGCAACTATCTTTAAAAGTTAATAATTAAAACTCAACTTTTAAATTAGCGAGATATAAACAGCACGTACTTGTTTGATACTTAAAAAATGCTACATTCATAAAAGATTAGTACTTTTTAGAGTTTGAATTAGCACAGCTAATAACCTGATCAAAATTAAACAGTTACCTAACTTCTAACTCAATTGATAAAAAATTCTTGTTCAATTAATCGGAATACTTCTGTTTCCGAATATTATAAAAAGCAATAAGGCCAAAACAAATAGCCAAGCTTAAATACAATTTAAAATTTGTAATTTTCTAATATTAGCAATATAAACAACAACTATGAAAAGTCCCCATTAATGCAGGTTTTATCTCCATACAGAAATAGCAAAAGTAAAAGTATGTTTAAAAAAAATGAATCTTTCAATGCTAACAGCTATAAATAAGTACAAATAAACTAAAGTGGTTTATAAAAGAGCTAAGTTTATTTAAAAAAGAGAGTCTCTAAAGTCTTGAATGAAAAATCACCTCGTTAAAAACATAACACAGATAACTTATAAATTTCTTAAAAATTTAACATAAAAAATGAGGAAAAAAGCTCTTCGATCTTTCCAAAAAGTTTATCAAACCTTTTAAGCAAACAAAAATAAATAACTAAACATGCCAGCAACAAGGTAACAAATAAGCTTTAGAAAATAAAAATGCATGTCAGAGAAATAAGTTGTTCAAACCATGACATTTATGAAAAAGAACTTAAAGATACCATTCAAAAGATAATAAAAAAAAAAGTCAGAAAGTAAGAGAGCAAAGAAATTACAACAGGAATTTATATGCCTAACTTAGGATCAAGCAGTTTTTGTAGAAACTCAAATAATTATCAATAGTCAGATATTCTAATACAAAAGATGGTTTTTATAGAAGCTGCTTTGTTATATTAAAACTAGGAATATTTAGAGACAATCAGTCTTCTTACATAGTAGCTTGAAAACGAATATTATTATGACCCTACTAGCAGACATCGCTTCGTGCTAATTCTCTATAAGATATTCAATAAATTAAAGATTGACATACCTGAATAGCTAAAATAAATGATAAGCTGTTATAATAAAGGCATAATATACAAAGTTGGTTTGCTTTCACTTTGCAAATCTAAAAAGAATAGATACAAAACATATATACTCACAAGATAAATTCTTTCAACAATTCTTGTAAAGCCATCGGATCAATTCTCATTACTGATATACAAAAATAATATGTTCCAGAATTTATTCTAGTAAATATCATTAGAGCAGATTAATTCAATAAAAGACTTAATTGAAACATAGCTAATGGAAATTTTCGTAGATGATCAACAAATTTCACCAAAATAAATTGTAAATGAGCCATAAACTGGTGCACCTTCATTATTATCTTCTAATCAATAATAAAACAACTAAGCTTAAGCATTTCAAAATAATCAAGAATTAACCTTAAAAAATGGTAATCTTTTAGCTAAAAAGATTCGAGTTTAAAAGACTCCAATACTATTTAAAGGATAAGAGGAAAAATAAAATGAAGGTTATCAATTTGATGCTAATTAATTTAATAATTAATCTAAAGAAAACTTTAACATCTAAAGCTTTTAAATAGCTTAAAATGACTCTTCTTTTGCAAATATTTTGCAAATGAACTAAACTAATTTCTAGTAACCTTTAATGAACAAAATTAAAGGTGATAACTTTTCCTTCTAACCAACAAATAACTAAAACAGCTTATAAGAAAGTAATATAAATCTATAAAATTAATTTTAATCAACAAATAACTTCTAAAATAATCTTAACATTATGCTAGTTAAAAATAATTCTTTAATTAGCGATTCTAATCTTCTTTAATAAAATCAATAATATTTTCAATCCATCATTAATTTTTCTGATTTCAAGAAAGAAAGTCTAAGAGGCATTGATGAAATCGAAGAGTTAAAGATTAGCAATAAACAATAAACATATTAATTATAATAAGATAAAATTACTAACTTTGAATAAAATAATTAAAATATATCCAATCATCAATAAAACATATATTCAAATAAATTAAAATAAGATTAAAATTAATATGAATTTAAACACAAGCAATCTTAAAGCAGCATTTAAGAATAACAATCATTTGGAAGAATAAACGAATTTCAGAGTTAAACAAATAGTGACAGCTGTGAAAGTTCTGATGGTGACTTTGCAAATGAAAACATTTTTGCTTTAAAAAATTTAGAGGATGATATTCAATCTGAACAAAATACATTATTATAAAACACAAACGATATGCTTAGCATTGAGGAGTAGTTAATCATAGGAGTAAATAGAATTATCCTAAGCCACTTTTATCAAGATAACTATAATCTCTTACATGGAAAAATTTAGACAGAAGAATAAAAACTAAAACAACTAAATTTAAAAATTCAAAAGAATTCTGAATAGTTTGATATTGACTGCTTTAATTATTTAAATATAAAAAAATTCATTATTTGTGTAACAGACTCACTATAAATAATAAAAAAAACTGAATCATATTAAGAAATGATTAAATTATTATATAAACTAAACACTGAGCTTCTTATTCTTTAATTAAATTAACAATCTCACTTTGAAGAGACAAACTATCCTGAAAGCGATTATTTTAACAATTAATTAGTTTTGCAAATATTTTACTCAGAATAAAAATTATTATAATATTTATACAATAACAGACATAATCAAAATTATTTATATTTACCTTTAACTGTAGAGTATTTTTAAACGAACTTCGTATTTGTATTTATTTTCTGATTTTAGCTGTATTGAAAGGAGTCTTATCTCCTGATCATCAGCTATTTTAAAATATTTTTCTTCTTGCAACATTTATTTAAAAATTTAAGGTGCTTTGCTAATTACTTTTCTATTTAGTCAAATAGAAAGGAATTGTGTTACAAAATTTTTAAAAATTCCATTTTAGAAAATGATTATTTATAGCTATTATCGGATAATTAAAAAAATATTTTTTTATTATAGCAATGAAAAAATGTAAATTTTAAGAAGTTAATTAGAGTAATTTATTGATTTATTAATTATTCAAAATTATGCATAGTATTCCTTGATTTTTAATTGAATAAGTTTAATTATTTTTATTTTTTAATAAAATGAATCAAATTTTAATAAGTTTTTGAATATTTTGAAAAAAATTTTCTGTTCATATCTTCAAAAACTGAATTATTGTACACCAAATTGTAGTAAATAGCTCCATAAGACTGGCAATACACAGACTTTAAAAATACCCAAGTAATTTAGCTAGTTTAAGAAATACATTGCTAACCTCAATTTAGTAATATTATACAATAAAAATATCTTTGAATATAGATTGGTCTTGTTTTATCTATGGAACAATACCCCCACTGAAAGATTAAAATAAAATCTGAATTATTATTTCTTTATTTAAAAATTAGGTAAATGTTTTATTTTTTTATTCATGATTAATTAGTTGATTTTTTGAATAATTTTGAGAAAAAAATATTCAAAAACAAATTTTTGAACAACTTAAATAAATAACTTTAAATTGTTAATTGATAGATTTTTAAAAAGAAAAATTAATTTGAAGATTTTTTTACTCTAAAAAATACTAAAATATTTACGACTTAAATTATATATTATTATTTTATTACAGTAATTGATTGGTTGATTTAATTTTAATTTATTTTTTTTAAATTAAGTGTTTAAGAAAAATAAATAAATATTTTTAAATGAAATGTAAATAGTTTTTTAATCATTTATATTAGTTTTTAAATTTACTAACAATATCAACTTGTTTTGTCTATAATGTTAAAGGCATCTCTTCTTTTTCTATAAAATTAGTACCACTGCTAGGCATGTTTTAAATAGTATTAAGACTTTAAATATCATTTCCTTTATATGCCTGTTATTCATCTGAAAGATCTTTGCACGATGACAGTACGTTTATACTAGGAATTTTTAATTAAATAGGCTAGGGATCTTAGGATTCTAGAATAATTTGCTTTTCTTCTTGTTCATCTTCTTAATTTATTTATTAGTTATTGAATTTTGAAAGTTTCTATTAGCTACTTGATTATGAATACATATTCTGGTTACTATTGACTTAGAAGTTAACTGGAGTGTCAATTGATTAATTAGTAGGAGATTTCAGTAGCTCTCTTTATATTTTAGTTTCACTAAATGGTTTTGAGTCTTAAGTAGAGTACTATTGTTTCTTTTAGTTAGATTCCACCTAAAAAACTTACTTTGTGTAATAGTCTTTGTCGTCAATCACGTATTCATCTTTGTATATTTCTGTATTTGGAAGATAAACATATCTTTCCTTTTCATAAAGATTATTAGGATTTTTTTCATTTTTAACTACTGGTCTGGAGAAAATTGTATGTTCACGTTCTATAATTTTTTTCTTAAAATTTTAACGGAATTAGAGCACATCTTTTTCATCATTTTTCAAGAAGTCAATTTCATCTTCCTCATTCTCAGAATCACTGTCAGTCTCTGACTGTGATGAAATATCCTCATGGTTGAAGTTTAAATCATTAATTTTCTTTTAAGTGCTTTTACTGTATTATATCCAACTTTAGAAGCACATTCCCACAAATAGACGTCTCACCATAGGATTGACACCTTCTTTACGCTTTTTGTTAATCTTCTGCTTTATAAGCTAAGATTGCTATTTTAAAATAAACAATAATTTAGCCTAATTTTTTAAAAATAAAAAATATTTACTTTCTTTTTGATATAATTCATTCTCTTAAAGGTAATACTTTCTTCCTTTCTCATAATTTAAAGAGCTTTTATTTATTTTTCAAGTTCCTTCTAATTTTTTGGTTAAGGGAAATCATTTACTTCGTCCTTCAGAGAAAATTTGAAAAAATAAAAGAACAACTCATTGAAAAAGATATATCCTTCATAGTCACAATAAATATTCATTTACATGATATGTTTATCAGCTTCTTATCTTTGTTTAATTTTGAATTTTTCACACTTAGATTTTATTTCTTCATCACTAATACCGCTGTTGTGCAGTTTTAAATTCTCAATAAAAGTCTTCTTTTTCATGTTGTAATCTATTTATTTATTTTTGATTCAAAAAAAAAAAATTAAAATTGAGAAATTTAATGAATTTTTTTTACCATATCCAAGAGGCTCTTAAAGCTAAAAGTAAAAATCTGTTAAAAATCTTTCATGTATTTTGATACCCTAATCTTTCTCTGTCATAATACCCCAAAGCTACTTGAAATTATCTTCTGACTCAGTAAAGTTTTAGAGTGGGTTATCAGGATCAATGTAGTTTTCTTCAAATTGATTAATAATAATTAGCACAAACAGGTTCATCATCATATAAGTTTGTATAATAATAAACACAACAAAATATATAATAGAATAATTAGAAGTCCCCTTAACAATATCAAACATTACGGTCATCCAATCTTCTCCTGTGCTACAACGGAACAAGAGAATAAAAGCAGAGTGGAAGTCTTTAAAATTATTAAACTGATCAATAACATTTCCTTCTCTAAAAAAAAAAAATTATTGTTTGTTTATATTTGTAAATAAATAAATTACGTGACAGAACTAAACAGATAGCAACCCAAAATTGCAAAAATAAAGTAAAATAGCAGGAATAAAGCAGTTGCATTCAATAAGTGAGGTAGTGCAAAGATAGTAGTTTGAATTAACTTTTGGAGATTTTAAAATGATTTGATCAGTTTTAGGAGTCTTGAAACTCTCATGACTCTGAGAACTCTTGCAATCTATGGTCCTGCTCTTAAGAAACTTATGAATTATCTACCCATAGAAGTTGTTACTATATCAACAATAGAAGCACAAACTACAAAGAAATCAAATTAATTCCAGCCATTAAAAAAATAGCCCTAAAGTCCGAAAGCAATTATTTTAATAATAGCTTCAGTTACAAATACACTTGTAAAGAAGATATTTAAGTCATTTAAAATTTAATCATATTATTATGGTGAGGTATCATAAGCCATAGCCATAGTGACAATATTGCAAAGTATACAAAATATGATAAAAATCTCAACATATGAAGATCTGACAAATGACCATAGCTTTTATTTAAAAAAATTAATAAGCAACTTAAAATTAAATAAATATTTAAATTTACCATGAATCTTATTTTGTTTGTAGGTTTTTTTAAGGCATTAAAATCAGGAGTCGACTTAACAATCATACGCTATAATTCTATCCACTATGACTGTTCATCAGTTAAGTATTTATTTTTAGCTTTTTTCTGAGCTATGTCAAAATTGAAAGACATAATAGCACTGAATAAGTTAATAGAGAAAAATCCACCAACAAATATGAATACAGCAAAGAAAAATGCGAAGTAAGCACTATTATTAAGAATAGGACCATCATCACCACCATCAATAAAACTCCAAACATAATCAGGCCATCCTTCAAATGAAGACAAAATAAATAGGAAAAGCATTGAGCTTCCTATATTATCACAATTTATATCATAGATTTCCCAAGTAGCTCCTGGAATATTTAGGCACTGATTAAAATTATTATTTAATAAATTAATTATATTTCTTTCATAGATTCAAAATATTTATTTATATATTAATTACTTTTTATTTGTTGTAAGCGTATAGGTTCAAGGATAAATCATCAGGGCCATTGCAATAATGCATCTTTCCTTTCATTAGATTTAAAGCTAATATAGCAAACATTAACCTATTTTTATTACAATTAAAATTATTTTCGTTTTAAAATCATTTTTTAGAAAACATACCAAATAAGAATAAGAACCATAATCATATTAGTAATACCACCAACAGATTCCATTAATGCAGTCACAATCAATTTCATTGACTTATTATGATTGAGTAATCTTAAAGGTCTGAGAGTACGGAGAAGACGGAGAATCTTTATCGCACTTAAATTTATAGAAGTAACACTTACATCAATTATACTGCAAATAACTATGAAAAAATCTAATTAAGACCAACTATCTCTGAGATAAGAGTTATCATCTAAAACCAAACCTAGAGATATTATTTTAATTAAAGATTCTAAAGCGAAGAATGCTGTAAAAAACTTGTCTATCGATAACCCAACAATATAAATCTAAGATTCTTAGTCATTCACATAAGTATCCATCGTTAGTTTTATTGAGCTCAGTACAATCACCCTATTTATTTGAATTTAATTTTAAAAATTAACATAAATTATAAAATAAAAATAGGTAAATTAATAAATAAATAACTTAATTACATTAAAACAACTTGTTCAAATAAAGGATGCACCAATGCTCTATAACAAATCTTTCTAATTATATTTTACTGAGAAAAGATGTATAAAGATTGCTAGCACTTAACTCCTGCAAAGTAAATGAATTAGACTTAATTGATATTTTCTCTTTTGACTTCTTCTAAATCTTCATCTTCAATTTGATTTTGGCTACCTGATTTAAGAGTTTGTGAATGCATAGATTGCGAGTCAGTTTATGATTTTCTATGGCTATTTGAAAAACTATTGCTATTTATTTTATTCATCAAGCTGTTAGAATAGCCTGAAGAACTAAATTAAGATGTTTGTGCTAGAATGGTTGTACCTACACTACTGTAATTAAAGTCAATGTCTTCGACTACTTCAAATCTATTTTCTATTTCCCTTCTATCTGCTTATACTTCAGCTGAGTCGAAGGAATCCATTACTATAGCCAACACTAAATTCATAAATATGTAATTTCCAATAAACATCCATGATATCAGGAAAAGGACAGATAGATAGTTGCTAACATTTGAGCGAATACAAATTTATAGTAAAGTATTCCAATTTTCTATGGTTAGGAGCTATAAAATTGCAAATGCTGAATTTAAAAAGCTATCGAAATTCATTCTTGTAGGCTTATCTGGCATATTAAATGAACCACCAAATAGACTCATACCTAGAAGTGTGTATATGAACATAAATAAAAATAGCAACAAGAGAATATAAATGAACTAAGACAAAGATGAACCTATAGCTGTAATCATTAGTTTCATGAATTAAAGAGAACGGACTAATCTTGTCACTCTTAATACTCTAAAAACTCTTAAAATTCTAATCGCTCTAAATGCACTAAATGAACTACCACTTCCCGTTTCTGTGATAAAGAAGAGTTCAAATAATGATAGACAAACAATAATGCAGTCAAATATATTCATTTTATCAGAAACATATTCTGTAAATCCATCACCAATAATCTTTAAAATCATATCAATTGCAAAGATAAAAGTAAATGAAATATTAAATTAACTTATTGTTTATAACCCTAATAATTTAATTAAAAATATTTATAATCAACTCATAAAATAATTTTTTTAAAATAAATAAATTAATTAAAGTTTTACCTTGTGTGTCTGTGACGATTCCATCTAAACTGAGAATGATGGTGTTGATAATAACACAAATCATTATTGAATATTCAAAAATTGGGGAATGTACTATATACTTAATTCTTCTTCTTAATGCTTAGATTATTCCAATAAGTCCTCCTTCATTTTATTCCATATCGTACTTCGAAATATTAAGTTTTGAAATAATTAGATTTAATTATTTTTATTCTTTGATGGCAATAGTAGAAGGGATGACAGCATCACCTGACCAATCTACTTTAATAAGATTTTAGCCTTTTTTCTCTAAGTTAAGGATTTCTTTTTTTCTAGTAGATACGTAGTCATGCTCAATTGGTTCCTTTTCAAATTCCGTGTTGAATACAGAATCTGTTTTATTCTCTTGAGCTTATTTTTTACTGGTCTAATTCTCTGAAAACTCTAAGGTAATTGAATTGCTAGTATTATTAAGGTTACTTTCATCTATCATGTTGGATTTAGAAAGTATGCTTTCTGATCCTTCACTGAATCTGGAGTCTTTGTGTATATAATTTGAATTAGAAAATATACTTTTAGATAAATCAACAGTAGGTGCACCTTCACTTTAGTTTTGATGCTTTTTTTCTTTTTATTTCTATTAATCTTCTTCATCGATATCAAAAAAAATCTTATTAAGTGCATGTTAGTAATCCCATTATTCCCATTTTATTTCAGTTTCTACTTTTTTCTTTTTTCCTGCTCTATCCTAGTTGGAATTTAACCTTATAGGTTTAGTTGAAGAGTATTGGTGCTTTTTCTAAGATATAGAATCAATTGATTCATCTTATTTTTTTATTTCGTCAATTATAGACTTTTTAGATTTTAGTCTATTTAGTGTATTTTCATCATATTTTAGTTATACAGCAGGAGTGCTATCAATTTTCCTATCACTTAAATTTATGTTATAGTTATTCTGGGAAACATCTTCCAAATTATTCTCCTAGTACTTTTCACTAGATTAAGCCTAATTTATGCTAGGTTCTAAACCCTCTTAATGCTATATTCTTTCAATAATATTGTGTGAAGATGGAGCGCCTTTTATCTTATCATCAATATTTTAGTTTTTATGACTGTGGTAGCTTTTGTTATCAAAGTTGTTAAAGTTATTGCCTTTATCTAAATTGATAGATAATTTATTTTAGTAAATTTCTTCAATATTTTGATTGTCAAGTACTGCAAATAATTTTTCTTTATTCAAACCATCTATTCTAGCAGATCTCTTGTATGGGATCAGTTTTCTTAAATCTAAAAAAAATATTTTAATGAATTGTAACATTTCTAAATGCACTAAATAAAATAAATTTTACCTTCTTTTTTTTATTATTTCTTCTTTGATAGTTTTTTTTGAGAAAAATATTTAATGACGAATCTTAAACTTTTTAGCTTTTTATTTTACTCAGCTCTCCTTTTTTCGTGCTACTCTTATTTTTTTTATGGTTGAATATCCTCAGTGTATTCGTTTGGCTGTTCTAAAAGCACTCTTGGTTTCAATATTTTAGAGTTTAGCAAAAGTTTCATTTCTTCCTTTTTCATATCAAGTTTTTCATCAACATTTGCATGATACTTTCTATCTATTTTACGGCTTTCTTATCTCTTTAATTATGTTTCTTAATTTTATTATTGTACCTAAAAATTTTTATTAAAATTTATTAATAAATCGATTAAAAATAAAACTTTTAATTAAAAATTAGAGAATAAATAAATTTTAAAGTTTCTTAAATCTTACTTTTACAGTTGTATGCTTTTTCTTGTTTTATTGGTCAGAATGCATTTTTGTTTCCTTATTATGATCTTACTTTCCAAAAATATTTAGGAATTCTGCATCATTGAATATGATGGTTGGTTTGGTTTATCTAATTTCATCTTGAGGAATTCCAGGAACATATGTAACAGTATTTTTTCTAGATCTGCTAGCTCCTCTATTGTTTTATGACTAAACCATGGACATTTCTGACACTTCTGATAGTTAATCCAAAGCACTATTTGTTTTTGTTTTACCTCTTTGACTACTTTCATTTTAACTTCCTTAAGAAGCTGTTTAATTTATTCTCCTTGATTAAATTGAATTGGATACACTCTCTTTGCTCTTATCTTTTCTATCTCTTCTATATTATTATATCATTTAAATTGATACATCGTTTTACTTTTATTCATGTTTCTCTTTACGAGTGTTATCTAATTTTAGCTTTTCAGGTAATACTTGATAATTCTCAGTTTAGTCTTGATTATCATTTTACTTTAATTTTCTAGATTTTAATTAATTTATGGTCATTTTATTAGAGGAGTAGTTATTTTCAATTTATGCATCATTATTTAACTTCTCGTTTATTTCATTTTCATTATATTTCTAATTATATCTTAGAATTTTTTCTTAAACCTCTATTTCTTTTAAGAAATCATCTTGAGCAAACTAATCAGAATTAACTGAGTCGTATAGCTTAGAAATACTATTTCTTTTAGAGCTTGAATTCATGCTGTCTAAAATCATATTAGATATTTGATTATTTCTTTTAGATTTCCTTCTTAATTCTTTATTAAATTCTTAAGTACCTTAATCAGCTTTTAATAAAGAATTTTCATTACTTTTTTAATTCAAACTGTCTCGTTATAATCTAATATCCCCTCCTATCTAAGACATTCTTTTGCTTTATAACATATTTTAGCTTAATCTCTTTGAATTTAGCATATTTTCATTTTCACTAATAACTGTTTACTTTCTTTTATTTTTTTTAAATTAAGAACTCTATGAGTAAATTGGTGCTAAGTGTATTATTCTATCTCCAGCAACAATTTACTTATAATTTTTGTTTGGTGAATAGCTATTAGATGATTTGTTTTTGGCAGCTGATCTTTACACTGAGCTAGATTTCCTCGAATTAGAATAGTAATTTTGATTTCCATCTTTTTATTAACAAATAAATAAATAAAAATAATTATTTTTGAAATAAAAATCTTCTAAAAAAAAGTTACTATTTTAATCCAAGATTGTTTTAAATGTAATTTAATGAAATTATTTTATTTAAAATTATATAAAATTTTACCTTTGCTGCTAATCTAATCAAGTTATTCTTGTAGAATTTCTGGAGAAATTAATTCATTTTAATTAGAATTCAATTCTTTGTTTTAAGAGTTACTTCTTTTTTTATTAACTTTGTCTTCATTAGTTTAACTTAAATGTTAATCGTCTTACTCTGAGCAATTTTGGCTCAATAAAGAAGAAGCTTTTTTAATTTCTTAGGCTGCAATATTTTACTTTTAAAATCTTGACTATTTATATTAGTTGGGTTCATTTGAAGCAGGATTTAATGGAACTATTCTAGTAGATGATAAAAGACTATCAACTTTAGAAATTTTTTTAGTTAGTATCTTAGACCTGTTATTTCTTAGATTTCTTGCTTAGCCTCCTTAGACCAAAGTTTTTTGTTTTGGCTGCTCAGTAAATTTAATTTAGAAATTATCAATATTTTCTATAGGAATTCTAGGAGCTTAAGAAAGAGTTCTTACGAGGTTATTTTATTAATTTTCTTTATTATCTACTTCTTTTTCAATTAATTATTATTTACTAAAAATATTATCTCCGTTTATTGATGCTTATAATTAAGGTTGTAATTGTGGTATTGAATGATGGGAGTTATTCATTTTAACTTTATATTCCTTAACTTATTCTAAATTATCTAATGATTACTTATTATTTTTTTTGGTATCGTCTTAACTTAGCTTTCCGCTGCTAGATTATTTTAACAATAAGGATTTAAATTTGTCAGCTAGCATTCCAAACGTCTCTGTGAAACCAAATAGCGAGTGCTGCTTCTTATTCTCTTCTTCTAATTCTTTGTAATAAACTTTGTTTGACTTATATATTCCCCACTCGATCATATCTTTTATGTTATAGCCTGTTTCTTATTCTTAGGATGTTTGATTCTTATCTACTTTTGACTGCTAATTTGATATAGACTCAGTATATTTTACACCAATAATAGCCATTGTTAAATTCATTAAAAAGAATGCCCCAATATAAACTACAAAGAAAAAGTAAAAAATCGAGTAGTACTAATTATTTTTAATAATATTGTATTTAATTTAATAAAAAAATATCTTATTCAAATAAAATATAAATTTATAAGAATTTTTTATTGATAAAAAATATTATCAAAAAGAAGTAAAAATTTTTTTATTTTTCAATGTAAAATTTATTTAAATTTTTCCTTTTCTTCACTAATTTTTAAGTCTTTCTTTCTTTATTTTCAAGCCAAAAAAAATAATATTTTATTTGCAATGAAAAAAAAAAAGTTTGATTGAAGGAAAAAAACTTTGATAAATGCAATTATAATTAAAAAACATTTATTGAAATTATAAATTTATAATTAATTACAGAAAAACCAGATTGCATAAGGTTCATAATTTATGTCCAGCCTTCTAAAGAAACAATAACATAAACATTAAGAACTGACCAGCCGAAAGTATCGAATTAAATAGTATCATAGAAAGGACTTTTCATAGTTTTTGAACAAATTAGTGAATATTCTGGAGTGTTTGCGCAATCAGAATCAGAAGCACAAACAATGACATTATCTCCATCATCTCCTTCCATTATTCCTAATTAAGGATCTATACACCTACTTTTAAGTTAACCTGTGAAAAGCTAGAGACCTGCGATACCAAATATAATAAAAAAGAAGGATAAAATAATTATTGAGTCTTTAAGGAGCGGTATAGAACTTAATAGTGCCTAAATTAATTATTTGAGAGCTTTGATTTTGGTGATAGACTTAAGAGGACGAAGGACTCTTAAAGATCTCAAAGCGCTGAGATTAATTTCATTTTAAGGTAAGAAACCAGTAATAATAATAACTATATCAATAATATTCCATGTGTCACGCAAATAAGCTCCTTTATTGAAAATAAAACCTAAAGCAATAATTTTAAGACCCATTTCTATTGTGTAAATGATGAGCAAAGCTTAATCCATCTCTGCGTTATTATCGCTGTTAGTTGTTGGATCATCAAGTGATAAGAGTATAGAATTAAAAATAATAACACCTAGCGAAATCACTTCAAACACAGGATGATTTATAATTTTCAAGGCAATCCAATTAATAAGTCTAAATTTAAAAAATATATTTTAAATATAATCATAAAATGAGAAATGAGTGAGAGGCAGAATTTAGTTTTTGCAATTATAAATAAATAAATAAATTTAATATTTTTTAGTTCAAATCGCAAAGAAACTGTAAAGATTTTAATCTGATAAATTATTGATTTGAAAATATAGTATTTGATATTTTATGTGGTATCGATTATTTAATAAAAGACTAACTAATTAGCGTTTCGTCTATTACATGCAAAAAATCGAATTAATTACATATTCACATATCCAGTTCGCTTTTATTAAAATTAAGATCAAAATTAAAATATTACACTTTAGTGTACCATATTTTTTTATAGATTTTTTAAAATATGGTATGATCTTGGTATTGGTTGATTCTGTCGAAATCGTTCATTTCTACAATATCTAAGAATGCTTTATTCTTTTAATCATTATATGCTTTGTCAAATTCATCTTCGCTATCAAAAAAGCTTTATTGTTCTTCTACTTCCTATTTTAGTTTCTAAATTTATTTGTCTTGTTCTTCATTTTCATCATTATCTATGATAAAAGATTGCTCTTTATAGAATGCCTCAGCTACTTTTTAATACATTATTTTATTCTATTCCTTTTATTTTTATATTTTATTTAAAATTCAAACCAAATTTTTAGTAGATATATAAATTTTAAGCATACCTTTTTGCCTTGCTTATTATCATTTTCAAGAAAGGATATCTCATTTTGAGAATTGGCTGAGCCTGGCATACTCTCTTGTGTTTTTATACCAGAGTTTTAATTTTATATATTACCATCACTTGAATTATTAAACTAAGAGCTTTCCTCTTCTTCTATCTTTTCTTCCTTCAATATTTCTTTAAGCTTTTCAATCCAGTAGCCCTCTATGATTATTATGATTAAAAATGATATATAAGTGAATAGCAATAATCTAAATATGTTTTATGAAGACAAAGTTTTTTTATTTATGATAAGCGCTTTTATTTTGCAAAGTGAAATGAAGATAATTGTCCTTGAAAAAATGAATTAATTACACTTATTTTAACTGCTTGACGAAAGCATTTCCCTTTAAAATAAAAACTAGTGCTATTTTTTTTTTTGATAAATTATTTATAGTTTTTTATTAAAAGAATTAATAACCTGACAATTAAATTATGCTTTCGCTTTCAAAATTTTTAATAAATATGCATTAGAAACATTAATATTTCCAGTAATATGTTTTTAATAATTTTTTGATTCTTTGGTTTTATCTTCTAAAAAGATTCAGTAATAGTTAATATTATTTATTTATAAAAGGATTGATTTGCCTTGAATTTATTTAATATTACTAAGAAGAAAAAATTTTTGCTGTACTAAAATTAGACAGACTGTCATAGTAATTCTTAAATTTTTGACTAATTTGCCTAATAATTTATATTTTTTATAAAAATTCTATGAATATTTTAATAGATAAATAATAAAAGTAATAAACATTACACATTTTGAAAACCGAAAAACTTTATGATTAAAAATATCACTAAAGCAATTATAAACATGTTTACCAACGAACTATCTTAATTAATCAAATCGAAAAACAAAAGAAATCAATAGTACCAAATTAGTAATAAATTTTTCTATCTTTAATTTATTTATCAATATGTAGATTAATAATATTTTTTATTAATCTGCTTTTTTGTATTATTATTAAATAAAAAATAATGTTAAGCAATATTTAACTTGATTTTAATGTTTTCATATTTTCAGAATAAAATATATGTAACAGTGTTTATTCCAAATATTTTTTTAAAATCAAAAATAATTTTATAAAGTATTTTTTGAAATTATGAATTTGAAGACTTATATAATAAGTTTGAGATTCTAATTTGATCAACCTAATTAAATAAGTGTAAGAACAAGTATCTTTAGTCTATTAATAATTATCAATTAAAAAATAAAATCGATCACTCAATCAGATTAAATGAATTAATTACATCAATTTATTACTCATACGATTGATTATCGCCTTCGATTTTTATTTCTTTTTAATACTTTTAAATATTCAAAATAAATAAAAATTTAACTAAAAAATTATTTTAAAAACAACAAAAACTTCAAGCTCTTTTGAAATTAAAATTTAATGATCATAATTGAAGGGAAGTCAATGCATTTATTATATAAGTAAATGTAATTATTAGAAAACATAAAAATTAACATTAAATTTATTAAATTTTATAAATCAATTAACAATATAGACATTATATATTAGTATGAATATAAATTTTGAATTAATTGAATTAAGATAAACATCTTTTTTGCTACTTTAGAAAAATATCTTAGAGTTTTATAAAGTATTTTTATAAATTAAGTATTTGAAGATACTTACATACATATTTGATTGGCATTCTAATTTGAAGTGTAAGAACAGCTATCTATTGATAATAAATAATGAAAACCATATGTTTCGATTAATTCAAGTTTTAATTAAATCAGTCTTTAAATTTAATAAAATCGAGGATAAAAAATCACATGGAAAGAAAATTTTTTGTTAAAATTATTAAAAAATAACAAAAATGGGAAAACCATTTTTAACTGAAAAATTATTTTAAATAATAAAAAAAGAAACAATTCTTTAAAATTAGAAAGTTGATAATTAAAAATGAATGAATGATTAAACACATATATTATAAGAAATATAAGTGATTATTTACATGGTTGATTAGAATTCTTGTATTTAATATTCATATAAGAAAATATAAGAAACCAATTAATAAGATATATATATATATTTATTAATAATAATTCAAATTTTAGATTGGTAGCACTAAGACAAACTTCATTTTTATTACTTTCGCAACAATTTTTAGCAAAAAATAAATTGAAATGTTAAGTAGCAGACACGATGATAAAAAATTTGTAATTCCAGAAGAGTGGAGAACTTCATAATACTTTTTAGGAAATAGATATTTAAAAGAAGACAAGTATGAAAGATTTGTAGAAAAGAAAAATGATATAGAGTACTTGAAGAAATAGTTTAAGAATATATTTGATGCTTATATTGAGAAGCTTGAATATGAAGACAGAGAAATTCCTATTTTATTTTTAGACTTCATTGTTTAAATGTTTTTATTTGCCTTGTCACAGGATTTCAACTTTAAAAAAACTACAACTTTGATTGAAATATGCTATAATGTTTACTCTGAATCATTTAATAAAAGGCTATCGTCAGAAAAGTCATTGAATCTTTTGAAGTAAATATTAGTACGCCATTCATTATTTAGACCTCCCGTTTCGATTCTCGTGTTTGATTTAGACGAAATAAAGAAAATCAACAACTTTATGCTACATAATTTCTACAGACATTATGAGATGTATTTATTTGCAAATACTCCCTTTGTTAACTTAGAAATAAGAACCTTTGATATGTTTAAATCTAAATTCCCTTACACAGATTTTCTTAGCGATGGTTAAGTAATACCAAGAACGGAAATCCCTATGCTTCAAGAATATCTTATTGATAAAGAAACTGGTTTAACCCCTGAATAATTAGAGGAGTAATTAATTTATTAAAATATTTAGTAAAAAATATAACAGACCGAATTTTTATATAAAAATTTAATGTGTTGTTATTATAGTAAAATAATAAAAAATTTATATAACTAGAATTATGAAGGGAGATAGTATTCATATGGTTCCCCCTAAAAAAAGAGAAGAATGGATGAGACTCAAGAGAGAAAGAGAAAGATAGTAAAAAATAGACAAAGCTATATAAAAGGAAACTGAAAGACTTAATAAAGAAATGGAGGAAAAGATGAAAGTATAAGATGATGCTTTTATAGAGGCTGTTCAAAATATAAAAAATCCAAAAAAGAAATGATTTTTCTTAATTTCAAATATGTGAATTAGTAGAGATATTTGTACACTTTGTTATATCATTTCTTCCAAATTAACTTCAGTATAAATTTTAATTGATAAGGCATATCATACATAATATTGAGTTTATTTATTTACAAAAGCAGATTAATCTTTACAAAATTCGTATAGTTTAATTTAGTTTTTAGAATAAATTTAAATTATATCATCTTGATACAGTGTCAAGAAAATATTTCTAACTTTTATTTATTTATTTCTTATTAAAATTATTTCATTTTCTATTTCTTTGTTTATCAACATAAATAAAAAAAATCAAAAAATTTAAAAACTTTTAAGAGATAAATATTTATCTTATTAATAGTTTATAAACATTTACTTGCTATTTATGAAATTTACTTTAGATAATTTAAATTGTATTAGATAAAAGAAACAAATATCCTTTTATAAGAGTCAATTTTTTGTTTTAATCGTAAATAAATTAGCTTTGCTAGATAGTTTTTATCATTTTTCAATAATTCAATATGTTAGAAGTAAAATAATTTTTTTAAAAACATTTTTATTATGTAATTTTTTATTCAAATTTTTTTTGTTTAATTTGTAAATTAGTATGAAGATAACCTATAATTATTTGCAAGAAGATCTCCTTAATAGAGTTTTTAACCAAACAAAGAAATAAGCAAGCAAAAATCAAACAAATAAAGCTAAAGAATTCAAAGGAATAAAAAAGAAAAAACAAAATTTTTAATTTATATCAAGTATCAAAGTTCTAGATATAGCAAGAATAAAAAGGAAAACTTAAATTTAGAAGATTTTAGTTATTTGAAAAATGTGGACTAGATTAGCATATCTTACTTTATCATAGGCATTTAATCCAGTAAAAGTTGGTAAAGAATGGAGAAGACCTATGCTCAGCAATCGTTATAAAGCTTTGTTGAGAAAGCAATTCAGATTAAATAATATTCCATGGATTGTCAATTTGCCAAAAGATGATAGCAATAATCCAAGACATAAACAACCTAAGGGTACTTTGGAATAGAGAAATAGACCTTTCCGTCTTGCAAAAATTAAATAAAATATTGCTGATGCTCCTTAAAAAGAATTAGAATATCGTTAAAAAGCTATAAATGAAAGACCTCTTTCTGGTTTAGATGCATTTATTCAATTAACAGTTCCTTATTGGTTAACTGCTCGTACAAAGGAAGCTATTAGAGAAGAAAAAACTGGTAAATCTAGTCAATCAGTTGTTTCTTTGCAAGATAAAAAGAGAGGTTTTGGTGCTAAAGTTAAAAAATGAGTCAATATTTAAAATTATTTTATTAAAAACACTTTCGATATTCAAAAGAAATGTTTATTAATCACGCATTATTAATTTTATAAGTGTTTATTGTAAATGCTAAATGATATGTGGAAATTTGAGTGCAAATTAAGTTTTCTTGAATAACTTAAAATATTTAAAAACCTTTAAATCTAAATTTTTTTAATGTTTAAAAAATGTTTTTATAAGGTTATTAAATTTATATTAGTTAATTAATTGTGATTTTAACTCAAAAAGTAATAGTAAAATTTTAATAAATTCTATCTAGCCATACCAATATTAATTTTTGTTATATAATTAATATAAATAAATATATTTAAAATGTTTATTTACTTATTAATTTGAGCTAAATTTTTAAAAAATATTTATTAGTAAATTAATTTTAATAAATTTTCTAATGAATAAATATTATTGCACATTAAATAAAAAATTAATTATTTTTTAAATTATAAAAAGGATCTATTTAATATTAATGTCAATAATGAAAATGAATTATTTAGTTAATTTTAGATTGAATAAATGTAATTATCTAAAATTCAATTATTGATGTATTTTTAATAGTATTTTTATAGTTTATTTCTATTTTAAGAATTGTTAATTTCTAATTTAGATTTAAATTTTTATTGTGAAATAACAAATTCACTTAATTATTCCACATTTTTTTTAAATATGTAAAGATTTACTATTTATCTACTAGAAATTGTTGTTATTTCTTTATATTGTTTACAAATATAAATAAAAAAATCAAGTATAAATAAGAAGATAAATTAATCATTTTATAATATCCATCAAATTTTATGATAACCAGATTAAGACGATGCCACACAAAATGACATTATTAATTAGAATAAAAAATAAATTTTCAAAAGTAATAAAGAAAAGATTGACTATTTATCTACTAGAAATTTTATAATTTATTTATTTGTTCTGCTTACAATATAAGGTTAATAAATCAGGTAAAAATTATAAAACAATTTATTATATATTTTCTAAAAATTAATACATCAATTTATCAATGAAATATGAAATAATTAATTCAGTTAATAACACAAAAAATTATGTAAAAAGTTTTCTATAAGAATCATACAAATTATTTTAAATGTAATTTTATTCATTTTACTTTTTTATAATGAAAAGAATAATTTTATTATTTCTTAGATAAATTATTTTCCAAAATTATATTTGAGATAAAATAATTTCATTTATTTTAGTTTAAGATTTAAATTAATCAAATACTTGTTAAAATAATTCATTTTATATAAAATTAAAAATAATTTTTATTTCAAGCTATAAAATCAAAATAATGTTATGTTGTAAGCATATTTATAAATAAAATATATGATATTTTAATAATATTTATAAAAACAAAAAAAATATTAATTCTAGTATCATTAAGATTACCAAAATTTTGATGAATGAAATAAATAATTATATTTTAATATTTCAAACCTGTATTTAATGGATAGGAAAATAATTATGAAATAGTTTATTATCATATTTTTATTTTGTTATTTAAATTTTCTAAAGAGTTTTCTTTGTTCAATTTCTAAATTGAGAAAACAAATTTAATCAGATGTTACTAATTATTAATTATTTGATGCACAAAAGATAGAATTTATTAGGATTTTACTTAGTTCATTTATTTAGAGAAGTAAAAAGTTTGATTTTGCTTAATAAAAGAAATATAAAGGAAACTTATTAAAAGGTGTAACATTAATTATCTATTATAGTTAAAATATAGAAATAAGAAAAAAAAAATTAATAATATGTTACTAAATAATCATTATTGAATTTTCAAAGATTAGAATTTATTAGTATTTCGCTTTGTTTTTTATTAATAAATATTTAATATCTTTTTAAATGCCAAACTTTGTTCTTATTATCATTTAAAATAGAAGTAAGAAAAAATAAATCTAATTATATGTTACTAATGATTAATTATTTGATACAGAAAGGATATAATTTATTGGTATTTTACTATCATTTTTATCAAAGTAAGTAGTTTTATTTGCTTTTATAAATGAAATCAAAGAGAAAATCAATTTATTTTTAAAGGTTAAATAATATTTGTATTTGTAATATGAGTTTAAATAACATTAATGATTTTTACTAAATATGTTTTGGTATTTTACTTAGTAAAATTTAAATCGATGCAAGAAAATTTACCAATTTTAAGCATTAACTTTTTAAGATGTTTGTACTATTGAAATAAAGTAATCAAAACAAAAAGCAAAATAAAAAATTGAAACTAACTAAATCTAGACATTGAATTATTTAGATTACATTTGAATGAATTAATTTATCAAATATAAATTATATGAAATTTCATTTAAAATCAATGAAATCACTAGATGGATTGGATTAATTTAAAAGTTGAAAAGTAAGTAATGTCTGCTTGTAATTTTTTATTTCTGGTAATTACAATACTCAATAAAAGTAAACACTAAATTTATAATATTTCTTAAAATTTTCAGTACATTCATCATAGTATTACTAATTAGCCATAAATTTGAATAAATTAATTTGCTTTTAAATATTAAAAACATTATTAAAGAATTAATAATTAATAAAATATTAAATTAATTTATTAATTAACAAATCAATAACTCTCAATAAATGAACCTACCTCATTAATCTGCAGAAAAGGTAGATTTTAGAAATTATTAGGGTTATATACTAAAATTTATTGTTTAATAAAGGAAGAGACCAATAAAGGTGTACACACAAACAATTTTATTGAGACGCTTCAAACTGATAATGTAATTAATTCACTTGTTCATGAAATTAAAAAAAAGCAAATATATTATTTATCAAAATACCAGATTGAAGAGAAAGGACTCATTAATAACGGTGTTTAAAATATAGTGAAGGAAAATGCTTAAGCAGCTTAAACGCAATTGAGTTCGGATGAAAAATCTAGCTCATCAAAAGAATAAGTTAAAGTAGAAATAAAGGTAGTTTTAAAATTTATTTTTAAATTATTATTATTAAGATGGATTAATATAAATAAAGGAGCAAGATAAAGAATTTAGAATGGATAATAAGACATTTAAATTAGGCGTTCCTTGGATTTTAAGACTCATGTTTGTAGATGTCACAAAATTGATGTATTTGGTTCATAAAAATGTGATTTAAAAGAAAAAAAGAATGGATTTGCATCATTTACCAGATTTAGAGCCAAGTGAAAAAGTAGAAAATAACTATTTCTTGATGGAAGAAGCACTTAATAGGATTAGCAAAGGCTAAAACATTTAAGGAAAACATGTTTCAAGCATGGTGAAATATGTTTTTAGAGTAGAATTTCTTAAGTGTCATATTATCATAGCATTGAGTTTAATTGTAAAAGTATTTAACTCTGTTCTTATTTAAAGAATTATAACTGCTTACAATGATGATGATTTAGGCATGGCTTTATTTTGGGCTTTTATGCTTTTCATACTACTTTTGATTAATATTTCTACAAACAATAATGCTTTCAACTTGGTTCAAAATATTTCAGGTAAAATGTTTATTTTTACTTCAAAAGTATTTTATTTTAAAGATAATTTTTATAGCTTAAATTAGACTGAATTTGGTTACTTATCTCTACACAAAGGCATCCAATCTCTCAAACTTTCAAATATAAAAAGCTAATATAGGAAAATTATTCAATTTGATATCTTACGATTTAGGTACATTGGAAATGATGCTTTATTTTGCATTCATGATTCTCTACATTCCTCTTTTACTAGTTATATCAGCAGTTGTGCTTTACTTTCGTTTTGGAGGGTATGGAATTCTGAGTGTTGTGATCATAACAATGATCATTCCAGTTTAGCTGATATTTGGAGTTAAATAAAAAGTGTATACTGATATGAAAAATAAATTTTCTGATGAGAGAATAGTAAAATATTTTGTTAACTTTATTCTAATTTTAAATTTAAAATAAATGAAATTTTCTAATTCAAAATTTAATCATTTCTTTATTTATTTATTTTACAATTTTCTTTAACTTTACAGAAACTCATTAATGAAACTGTGGAAGGTATTAGATTAATGAAAATGTATGGATGGGAATAAGCTTTTGAAAAATATGTAAAAATAGTCAGAAAGAAAGAGCTTAATAGCATTAGAAATATTTAATTATTTAGAGCATCTGATCGTGGAAATTCTACTTCATTAGTCCTTATTGCTGCTTTCTTCCCTATTTTGATTGTGTATTATAAAGGTACAGCAACTGTCTCTAGTTCAATTATTTATGCTACCCTTGAATAGCTTTATGGATTGAGGAGTATTTTGTTTTTAACAGGTGTTGGAATAGGATTCTTATTTTAAATTGGATTGATTTTAAATCGTTTTGCAGACTTTTTGAGACTCAAAAAATAATCAACTACATTCTTGGAAGAAAACCTTGACCATGATCCTGAGCTTTATGAGAGATAATTACAAATTAAAAAGAAAAGAGAACAACTCAATAAAAAGAAAATGGTCTTCCTCAAAGAAAACCCATAAGGATAAAGAGATAAATAAGCTATGAAGCAATTCGAACTTGAACCTGAAGAATAAAAAACTATTGATATCAAGAATAATAAGTACAACTAAATAGAGTACGCTATTCAAGAACCATCAGATCCTTAAAATGCTGCTGAGTTTACTAATTTCAGTGGCTTTTGGGATGTTGACAATCCTCCTGTACTTAAAAAAATTGACTTAAAAATTAGAAAAGGCTGGTAGTATGGCATTGTTGGTAAAGTAGGCTCTGGTAAGTCTTCTCTATTGCAAGTTATGTTAGATGAGATTCCTCATCTCTAAGGTGACTTAAAAAAAGTTGGCACAGTCAGCTTTGTAGAGCAAGAACCTTACGTGTTTTCTGGTAAATTCAAGGACAATATTTTATTTGGCAAGCCCTATGAAGAAGAATTTTACAACTAAGTGCTTAAGGCATGCTGCTTGGTGTAAGACTTAGAGCAGTTACCAAATGGGGATGAGACAGAAATTGGTGAAAGAGGTAAATTGAGTTAATTATTAATACTGATTTTATTACATGATGATTATTTATTTAATTAGGTGTTAATTTGAGTGGTGGTTAGAAGGCAAGACTTTCTCTAGCCCGTGCAGTTTATAGCAGAAGCGATATTTACTTATTAGATGATCCTCTGAGTGCAGTTGATTCCAAAGTTGCTAGAAAACTTTACCAAAATTGTTTAAATGGATTACTGAAAGACAAAACTGTATTATTGGTTACTCACCAAATTCACTTCACTAAATCTTGTGATGAAATACTCGTTTTAGAATAAGGTAACCTTGCTCATAGAGGTAAATTCCATGAATTAGAAAAGATACTTTTAGAGATGGCTAATTAAGAGACTTTTGGTGAAGATAAAGCTTCTTAATCACATTTGTCAAGCAATAACTTGAATATGCTTGAAAATTAAAAAGATGAAGAAGATAATAAAGCTTAAGAGCATCTAGATAAAGAGCAAGAGGAAAAACTCAAAGAAATTAAAGAAAAAAAAGGCAAATTATTTATATTAGAAAAGGAAGAGAAATTTGACCTATCATTAAGAACATATAAAACTTATTTTGGATACATTAGAAGCAACTTCAGAATTGCTTTTGTATTGAGTCTTTATCTTTTGAGTGAAGGTCTTTACACATCATTTTATTACGTTTTCGGATCTTACGATCAGACTGAGGATAAAACACAATTATTCTATGTGTCAGGAATTCTGATGGTCTGCTTTATCATTGTGTGCGTCTCAAAGTATATCTTAACTGTGTTAACTGCAAATATATCGAATTAAAATCTACATACTCATATGTTTAATTAATTAACTCGAGCTCCTATCTAATATTTTGATTAAACTCCTTCAGGACGTATTCTAAATAAATTTTCAAGTGATATCGGTAATGCAGATTTGATGCTTCCTTTCATGCTTTTTGATAGTTTAGAAGGTCCTCTTCAACTACTTAATATATGCATTACTGTTGGAGTCTTTAACCCATGGTTCTTTATCATCGCATTTTTCATGATATTCACTACAATATTGCTTTTGAAAAATAACATGCCTCTAATTGTTGGATCTAAATAATTAGATTTGATGTTTAAAAGTCCAGTGTATTCTTTCTTTGCTAGAACAATTTAGGGCATAGTGCATATCAGAATTTATAAGTAAGCAAAAACTTTCTTCACTTAAATGTGTAAAAATGCAAATAATTCTATTCGTACAAATTATGCTGTATGGAGATTTAATAGAGCTTTCGCATTCAATTAATAGCTAACAACTACTTGCTTTAGTCTTTCAGGAATCATTCTTAGTATTTACACATCTTCATCTTCAGATAAATTAGGTTAATCTATCGTATATTTAACATAAATTATTGATGTTATAGCAGCACTTTCTCGTTAAATTCCTAATCTTGACAGCAACATGTCATCTGTTGAGCGTGCCCTGTAAATCTGTAGACTTCCTTAAGAAGATCCATTAGTTAATCCTTTGGATCACAAACTTTACTTAACAAACGGCGAAGAAGATAAAAAAAAATAACAAAAAAAATCAGAAAATAATCACTTGAAAAAATCTTGGGTAAAAAATGGTGATATTATTTTCTAAAATGTTCAAATGAGATATAGAAAAGACCTTGACTTAGTATTAAAAGGTTGCAATTTTAGTATAAGAGGAGGCGAAAGAGTAGGTTGTGTAGGTAGAACTGGTGCTGGTAAATCTTCTATTTTACAAGTTCTTTTCAGAATGGTACCATATGAGAGTGGAAGTCTTATCACTATAGATGGTGTAGACATAAAAGAGATGGGTCTACATACACTTAGAAACTCTATGAGTATAATTCCTTAAATACCTTTCGTATTTAGTGGATCAATAAGAAGAAACTTAGATCCTTTAGATGAATATACCGATGAAGAAATCTGGTAAGCATTAAAACAAACAGATTTAGAGGAGACAATTAAAAAACTACCTCATGGTTTGTTGACAGATATGTCAAATGCTCAAAGTGTTTTCTCAACTGGATAGAAATAGTTAATATGTTTAGCTAGAGCCATTTTGAAAAACAGTAAAATATTAGTGCTAGATGAAGCCACAGCAAATGTTGATATGAGGACTGATGAATTCATTTAATAAGCTATTAAATAGCAATTCGTAAATTCTACTATATTTACAATAGCTCATCGTTTGAATACAATAGCAGATTATGATAAGGTAATTGTTATGGATTAAGGTGTTGTATCTGAATGTGATGAACCTTATAAATTATTGGTTAAAACTATTGGAGATAGCGATATAACATCTGACTCTATATTTGCATAGATGGTTAAAAATACTGGAAAAGATAACTCCCTAAATATTTTAAAAATTGCCTAAAAAAGATATAGTGAACTCCATAACATAGATGAATGATTTATATAAAAATTAAAAAATTTAATTTTAATTATTTTAATATTTAATCAAACCCTTTTAATAAATATTATTTGTTTTGTTTTTAATAAACTATTAAAATTTATACTGTTGTTTCTCTAAAATAAAGATTGAATTTAAGTAATATACCAAATTTATATTTTTTTATTTTATTTAGATACTTTTTAGTTCATTCCTGATTTAATGTAGGTATGTATCTTCAAGGATTTAAGGTATTTAATCTTTTGAAATTACACCTGATCAATCATTATCAAACTTTTTAAATAATCTTTTGGCTACGTACAACGTTTATTCCATAGCTTTCGAATACCTTTTAAGAGGATCTCCTTATTACCATAATTGTGTTACTTAAGCTTTTAATTCGATTTTGCTGCATAAATATTTTATACCTAAAGCTTCAAAGTTTTCTTATGTAATGATGATTTTATCTTTATTTGAGTCTAAAATTTTAGCTAACTTCCTCTTATGTAAGAGTATGTATAATCATATCCTAATAATTTTTACCCTTATTTAATCAGCTTACATCAATCTAGCTATCTTTTTGCTGAATATTTTAGGAAAACTTACTTTCCTAATACCTTGCTTATTATTCACTGATTTTTTTCTAAATATAATTTATTGAATTCATAAAAACAGTGAGTTTATTTATTTATAAATTTACTAATACTTTATTTTATAATGAGATTAAAAACTGATAAATAAAAGATAAGTAATATCTGAGTAGTGATAACATTTAAATTTAAAATTTAGAGGTTTATTTAATGGTTGAATAGTACGAAAGTAAAAAATATAGAATTAAGTTTATTAAAAATTATTAAATTAATTTCCTTATTTAACATCTTTTTAAAATTTAATAAAATAAATAAAAACAAAAATCTATAAAATAAATAAATTAGAAGGTTTTAAAAAAATTTAATTTAATATAAAAATTTTAAATAAAACGGTTAAACTTTATTAATAAAATTAATTAGTTATTTTTTCAAATTTATATTATTTCTTTCAATTTATAAATTTTTCTTATAATAAATTATTCTATTTGAATAATATTTTAATAAAATATATACTTGTTAATGATCTCACAGAATATATATTCTAAAATATTCGATTCAAAAATGAATGTAGTAAATAAAGTTTACAATATTTAAAATATTCAAATATATTTTGATATTCTTAATCAATTTAAAAATATTCTGGATCACTAAAATAAACATTAAATATATAACTAAAATTTTATTTCTCATCTTTTTAATCTTTTATTTGTGTCAAAATGAGAGATTTCTTAATTAAGTGGGTGAAACCACATGCATGAATCTTTGCTCTTTATTTTGTAAATTAAATAAAAAATTAAAAAGAAAAAATAAATGTAATTAATTATAAAGGAAGTTTTTGAATATATTGTAATTTAATTAATTAGAGATTTTTTAAGCATTTAATTGAAGAAAATATCATTTAAATTGTATAAATTTATAATAAACTATCAAATTAATTAAATTTTTGTTTTGAATGCAAATTTATTAAAATAATAAATGTATTTTTTTACAATAAATCATAAAATAAAGAATTAATTTTGTTAGTTTTTAAATTTTTTTTTCATCACCCAAATTATTTCTTTCTTCGCTCAAATTATTTCTTCCTAACAGATTGGCACTATTTGCTTCCTTCTCGCATAAACAGTATAAGGAATGTATTAGCCATTTTCAAAGGTATGATAACCAACCACGCATGAGCCGCAAAGATTTTTTGTTATAAGACTGTAAACCGTTGTTAATCCTGAATATATACCATAAGAAAATAGAACAATTACGCATATAACATTTTTTGTTGTAAAATCATTCTGCAGAACATAACCATCATAAAATTTTTTGTCTTGCTCTAAGCTTTCTAGAAACTATTCTGCTGTGACTTCACAGTAAGGGCTAAATATGTATTATGGATTTGGTTTATCATCGAGAGGATTAATTTTACAATTATTTTTATGACTACTTTCCTTAGCATCTTTTTCGATTTATATAACTAATTAACTATGTAAATCATAGAATTTAGACAAATTATGCTAATTTAAGTAAATTTCACGGCACTGTAGCCCAATCCCACCCAAATTTAAGACACAAAACCCTAATGAATATAAACCAACTAGATATAATAGAAAATTTTTATTTTTAAAGCAACTTTCATACAAGCTCGGATTATATTCTTCTTTATGATAGATTGATATAATTATTGCATAAGGATTAGCAAATGATAAGAAGCTAAGATATCTTTCTCTACTGACTTAAGTGCGGCAGCATATTAAAAAAAAGCAGATAATGAAAATAAGTATAGTGAATGAAGGCGTACTAAAATTTGCAATGCTAGCAATAAAGATAAAAGTTAAATAATGTTGATATTATTAAAAGATGTCGATGATTGAGTGACTAGTTCCTGGAGCAGGAACTATTTGTTATATTTTCATCAGAAATCTAAAGCCATTTGTGGAACTATATGACTACCAATATAAATAAATACATATTGGCACATAAATAATTATTCCTAACCAAAATAATTTGTTTACTTATAGCATTTTCATCGTTTAATACTCTTTTTGTCTTTATTTTTTGCAAAATTAATTATCTTTTGTTTATTTTTAATTAAATAACTAAAAAAAATAGATTCTAACAAATTAAAACATCAAAAGGATTTGGAGAATTTATAAAGTACCCCTATTAATAATAATTTATAAATCTTAAGTATTAATATATACCATAAATTTGATATTATTTATGAAATACTCTGATCTCCAAATTGGAGAAGAAGATTTAAAATTTTACCTTTAATATAAATTTGCCCTTAATATATCATGCCCACTTTGATAGGTTATACTGTATTTATAGGAAATAATTTAAAAATATATTGTAATGAAAAAAGTAGATCATTAAGATTTATTATTAATAAAATTGGTTTTTTTATCATTTTGAAGAATCAATCACAATTTAGAAAAAAGACATATATATATATATATGTATATATATGGTTTATTATCACTTTTGTTCATTATCACTTTCTAATATTGCATTTTCTTTCATAATATTTTAATACTTTTAATTTATTGATTTTCTAACATCAGAATTATCTTTTTCTGATACTAATGTATGTAATACACTCTTTCTAGGTTAAAGAGGATTAGCAAAAAGAATTGAAGGTCTCTAAAGGATACTCTTTCTGCCTGTTTCTTCTTAAATGTAATGCTTAGTTTCAACATAAACATCATCTTCGTCTACTTCAAAGTATTTAGCATTTTTTTCATCATAGCAGTCTTATTAGTAAACATCTACATTTGGCAAGCGGTGATATTTTTTGTTTTATTTAATCTACTATTACTTTTCATGCTCATCTCTATATTTTTTAAGGCCACCAGGTCTAAAAGTAATTGTATGTTCTCTTTTAATAATACCTGGTTTCTATTTTTTAAACTAAATTCCATCTTCAAATGATTCATCTAAATAAAAATTATCTATTTATTCATTATTTTCATCCTAGCTATTTTCAGAGTCTGTTTGGCTAGATATATCATCTTTATTGAAGTTAATTTGATTTAAATTATCTTAGGTTCTGATACTATATTAGAGCCAACTCTTAAATGCCATTCCAACAAACAATCTTCTTACCATAGGATTAACACCTTATTGGCGTTATAGAACAATCTTTGCCTTCAATAAACTTGATTGCTTTTATTTAAGAAAAAAAATTATTTTCATTAATTTAAAAAATCTTTAAATAAATGATACCTTCTTCTTAATTATGCCTATTTTTTTCCATGTAACTTTCTCTTCTTTTTTCAATATTTCTAGAGCAGTATTATGCCTCTAAAGAGCCTTAGGATCCTCTTAGCTGTTTACATCTAGCTCATAAACTGAGCTGTACAAAGAAAATTTGAATAGTTAGTAAAAAAGATCATTGAAATATATATATCCTTCATAGTCACAAAAAACATTCATTTTCATAATATTTTTATCAGCTTCTTATCTTTGCCTAATCCTGAATCTATCAAGTCTGCTTTATATTTCTTCATGGGTGATACTATTATCCCTAGATTTGATTTAATCAACAAAGTCTTCAGATTTACGTAGAAAATCTATTTAATTATCAATCAATTTATTAAATTTTTTATATTTATTATGTTAATGCAAAATTTACCAAATCCTAATGGAGCAGGGAGCTCAAAGTAAAATTCAGTTAAATATTTTTCATGTATTTTTATACCGCTGTCCTTTTAAGTCATCTAAACCCATCTCTTTTTAAATTACTCTTCTTATTCATTAAAGTTAGAAAGAGGATTATCAGGATTGATATAGTTTTCTTCAAACTCATTCATGATAATCAAGACAAACAAGTTCATGAGAATATATGATTAAACGGTGTAGAAAGATACAAAAAATATCAATCCAATTACTCCTTTAGCATTAAATGTATCATACATAACAAGATACCAATCCTCTCCAGTACTCATTCTAACTAAAAGAATAATTGCCCTGTGAAAATTTGTAAAATTCCAAAAAGTACTGAGTCTCCATCCCGATCTTTAATATTTAATTTGATAAAAATATTGATAAAAATACTATATATGTAAAGTTGTTAGTTACTGCAAATCTGAAAACAAAAACCAAGCAAGTATAGAAAAAATAAAATAAAAGAGAACAAATAGTAATGTTGCATTCAAGAATTTAGGGAAGGCAAATACTGTTGTTTAAATCAACTTCTACAACCCTTAAAAGGATTTAATCAACTTTAAAAGTCTAGAAACTCTCAGCACTCTTAGCACTCTCGCAATTTAAGGACCAGCTTTCAAAAATGAGAAAAAAGATTTTCCAGAATAACTCATAATAATGTCTACAACAGAAGCGCAAACTACAAAGAAGTCAAATTAATTCCAACCTTTATAAAAATAACCCTAAATGCCATAAGCAATTATTTTTATGATACATTCTGCTATAAAAACACCAGTAAAACCCAGATTAACTGATTGCAATATAAAATCATAATTAGAACTAGATGTATCATAAGCCATAGCCATCACCACAACATTTCCAATAATACAGAATATGATAAATATATCAAGTTTAGGTGATTCAGATATTCTCCATAACTAATCAAAAAGTTAATAATAAATAAAAGCAAAATTATAAAAAATATTATTGAATAAATTAACTATCATAAATTTGTTAACTATTTTTATATTTTCTTGATTTTATATAATAGCATAGTTTTTACTTTTTATTTTAATTTATCAATCTAAAATATTTAGCTTAATGTAAGATATTCAAAATTCTAGCTTATGTTATAAAAAATTGTTTTGAAATTTTATTCTTAAAAAGGACCGAAAACTGAGCAAAAATTATGGGATAGGGCCTTAATTAATGAGAGTTGTCAATAAATCATAATAGAATTAATAATAAAATAAAATTTTACTATCTTTCTAAAATTGTTATCAGGAGGTTTCATGGAAGCATAATCAGGTGTAGATTTGACTATAAGTCTTTAAAGTTCTATCCACTAAGACTAGTCATCTGTCAAAAATGCATTTTTAGCTTTTTTAGTGGCAATATCAAAATTAAAGGATATAATGGCTGTAAATAAGTTGATAGAAAAGAAGCTTCCAACAAATATAAAAACAGTAAAGAATACTCCAAAATATCTACTATTATTCCATACTGGACCAGTATCACTTCCATCTAAATAATACCAAACATAGTTAGGCCATCCTTCAAATGTTGAGAGTACAAAAAGCATAACCATGCTGAATCCTATGTTGTCGCTGTTGTTTGGATATCTATCCCAAAATGCCCCTGGTAGTTGCTCACACTTTATTTAATGTGTTAAAAAAGAAAAACCGTTTTTGATGTATTTTAGTATCTTAATATATTTTTAATTTAAAGGTGATTTAAATTTAATTTTTATTTTATCACCATCATAACCAAATAAATGATCATCCATCCATTAAAATATTTTAAAGAGAAAATTTTTTTTAAAGATTGATTCCTTGGATTTAATTAAATAGAGATTTTAAATAAAGAAATTAATATATTTTACCTATTTCTTTGGGTAATTGTAGACATTGTATGACCCAGATAGAGCGGCTCCAGTAGTATTACAATAAAAGAGCTTTCCCTACATCAAATTTAAACCAAGGATAGCAAACATAAGCCTAATTAATATTTTAAAAATGAGAAATAATTGAGTAAGAAGAAAACATTTACCAAATTAGAAGCACAACTATAATCATATTAGCGATACCGCCGATAGATTCCATGAGCGCAGTTACTATTAGCTTCATTGATTTATTTTGAGATAAAAGTCTTAATGGACGAAGAGTTCTTAAAAGTCTAAGTATTTTAATTGCATTTAAGTTTACTGATGATAAGCTAAGATCTACTAAACTACTAACAACTATAAAGAAATCTAATTAACACCAGTTATCTCTCAAATAAGAACCTTCGTCTAATATGAATCCAAGAGCAATAACTTTAATTAGGCATTCACACAAGAAAAATATTGTAAAAAATAAATCGGCATCATTACTAAATTATGTGGCTGTAACATCTGCTGTACCAATATAAGTATCGAAAGTAAGTTTAAATGATGTTAAAATAATTATTCTGTTTTAAATTTAAATAAAATAAATTTAAAATATTGAAAAAATTAAAAAAAATTTACAATAAAACTATTTTTTCGAACATGGCGTGCTTATAAATGTAATAAATAGATTTTCTAAAATTTCCCTCTTTTGAAAATAAAAACAAGGACTTCTCACACTCAACACCTTCGAACCATATAAATTTATTCTTATTTTTTTTATTATCCTGCTTTAATTTTGATTCTGAATTTATAGAAGTTACTCTATCACTACTACTATGATCATCCCCTCCTATAATAGATTTAGATTTGTCGAGTTGGCCTGAGTCATTGGATTAGCTTAATTTATTGATTACTTGTCTTGAAAGTGTGGCAGATCTCTGTAAACCACCACTCTGTTAAATACCACCTGAAATTCTGCTCATATTGTTAGATGATTAATTCCCCATACTTTGTGATAAATTATTCATGAAAGTTGTACCCATGCTTGTATGTCCAAAAGTTAAATCCTAAACAATCTCAAACCTGTTTTCTATTTCCTGTCTGTCGTTTTAAACTTCAGCAGAATTGAAAGAATCTAGCATAATAGCTAGAACTAAGCCTAAGAGTATGTAATTTCCTATGAAAATCATTGAAATTAAGTAAGCTGTGCATACATAATTACTAACATTTGAAATTAGACAGTTTGTAAGCTAATCATTCCAATTTTCTAATGTGAGCAGATCCAAGACAGCAAAAGCAGCATTAATAAATTAATCGTAGTTTAATCTAGAAGGGATATTTGAATTATAAACTGGCCAATTACCTCCAAACAAGCTCATTCCCAAAAGAGCGTAAATAAACATAATTAAAAATAATAATAACAAAATATATATAAATTATTCTAAAGTAGAAGAAATGGCAGTGACTAAAATCTTCATGAATTACAAGGATCTAAGTAATCTTGTTACTCTCAGTACTCTGAAGACTCTTAAAATTCTAATAGAACGAAGAGCGCTCACAGAGCTTGTACCATTCAAGAAAATCAATTCAAAAATAGACAAGCTTACTATAACTGCATCAAAAATATTCATTTTATCAGAAGCATACATAACTAAACCCATACCAATTATTTTTAGACCCATATCAATCGCGAAAAGAATTGTAAAAATAAGGTTAAAAGTATCTAAAATATAAGCGCCTTTAAATAAATAAATAAAAAAATTTAAATCATTTTAAATATAAAACAAAAATTCGTATTTTAAATTTGGAGTGATTCTTAAATAAATAAAAAATGAATTGATTGTTTTAAATATTAGTTTGAAATAAAAATTTTGATTTTATAGAAAATATAGTTTGCTTAAAAGCAAGAGTTAATCTTTTTTTAATCATAAAAAGGGGTTTAGTTAATTAGCGATGCTTAAAATAAATTAATTATTTGCTTATTACAAATTGTTGAATAAAGGAGTGAAATATAATTAATAAATTAGTTAATTACTTGAAGTTGGTATAATTCCATCCATACAAAGGACAACAGTGTTAAGTAAAACACAAAGCATTATCAAATTTTCAAAAACAGGGTGCATGACGAAACCTTTTACCCTTCTTCTGATAGCTTAAATTATTCCTATAATTCCTCCTTCATTTTATTCTATGATATCTTATCTACAATTAATTGTATCCAAGACCTTGCTGAGAGCATCTTATTATTTATATTTGAGACTTATAGATAATACATCATCTGCAGATGTTTATACTTTCAATTCACATATTCCTTTTTTTTCAAAATTTTAAATATCTTTCTTTCTTTGTTATAAATATTTGTATTCAGCAGATTCTTATTAAAACTATTCAAAGTCAAAAGCTTCGACCTGTTGGTTTTAGAAAATATTTTTTTGTGTTGAGTTAGCATCATTTTCATCATTCATTGAATTCTATGTTGTTAAAACAGTATCTACTGATTTCACACTTTTGTTATCAGCTTGAGGTGCTTGAATTGACGGAGATTTATTTAAGATATCTAATTACCTCTCTGCTTTTTTGATAATTTTTTACTCTAATTAATACATCATAACATCATAAGTATTTTTCTATTGCTATGCCTTGGTTGATTAGACTTAAGTTTTTTAACCTTTCAAATTGGTCTGCTTTTAATCTTAATCATCTTGCTGTTATTGTTGCTCATCCTTTTCTAGTTCTGTTTAATCTGTAAATATTTTTTGGATTGCCTTTTAGATATCCCATTAGTTTTCCACTTCATCACCTTTTTAATTTTTTCCTTTCTTTTGCTAAAAAATAGCTCCACTTGTATTCAATTTCTTATCAGTTGGCTTGGCAATAATTTTTGAGCGTAATGAAGAGTTAAGTTGGTCTTAATTAGATTAGTTGCTATCATTTCTATTTCTCAGACTTTACATTCTTGAAGTAAAATTTTGTTAATCCTATTCATTTGATTAAACTATGGAAACATTTTTACTACTTCTTACTGATTTATCATTCTTGTCTTCTCCTCCATTAATGAAAATTTCTTTTTTGCCATCTTTTCTTGGTGAATCTTTAATTTCAGAATAGTCTTTAACACTTTTTGCTTGGTTTGAAGGACTATTTAAGGCATCTAAATCTTAATTTATAGAATTGTTAAGGTCTTTCTAGTAATTATTATCTTATTTGCTGACTATACTCTAAGCTTTTTTATCATCCACTTATGACTAAATATTAGATTCGAAGTTAAATTACTGTTTTAAAAATATTTATTTAGCATTTATATTAGGACTAAATGGCATAAGTTGTTTTGGTTAACTATACAAAGCGACGCTGTTTTTTTCTTCCTCTTTTGAAGAAAATGCTTTGTTAAGTGTTGTCTTCTGCATAAATCCACTCATTTTAGTTTGTCTAAAGGGATTAGGACTATCGTAGCTTTGTAGATCATTCTTCTAATCTGCTTGCTTTGAATATTTAATTGATTAATTATCTGTTGTAAATTTTCCTGCCAGCATTGCATCTAATATGAGATCCTCCTACAAAACTTCTACTCTTTTAGATTTAGAGAATGGTAGTTTGAATTGCAATTCTTTTCATCACATAAAAAAATTTATTAGTTTAAAAATTTTAAATGAAAAAAATTTTATTTAATTCTACTTTTTTATGCCTTTTCTTTCTTGAAAACCAAGCTTGACTATTATTTTAACCTAAATCTCATTCCTTTCATTTTTTCATCTTGAGATTTTAAAAATAACTCTGTCTGCTTTTATAACTTAGTAGGAAGTATCTCAGGGGTGTAATCGTTTGTTTCTGCATAGATAACTCTAGGTTTCAAATACTTAGTATCTAGTAACAACCTAAAATCTTCTGCTTTCTAGTCTATCTATTTATTAATTTTACTTTAGAGTTACTACTCTATATTATTAGTCTCTTAACTTAATAACGATTCATACTTTTCTGTCACCTATTTTACATTCTGATTATAAAATAATATTTAATTTATGTAAAATTAATTCTAAATTATTCTAATAAGCTTCTTTCTTACCTTGGTAGATTTTCTGTGCCCTTGCCCTTGAACATTTTTTTACTTATTTTCAAAATTTAACTTTTTATTTTTTAACACTTAAATCTCTAACTCATTGAACATATTGTTTAGCATAGTACTCTTTCTGTTTAGCTAAGGTTTTACATTTCTTTCCTACTCTTAATCTTCTTAAACAAGGAATGACATTTCAGAAATATCTGATAAAGATTCTTCGTTACTGTTTGTTTCTGTATTCTAAGACATTTTATTTGTATTGTTTGAATTTGATATTTCCTTTGTACCTCTTTTAAATGTAAAGTCTTTCTTTTTTTGAATATTGAGAGATGAAGACCTATTTTCTGAATTTTTTTTAACTTTAGAATCTTAAGAATGAGAGTACATAGCTATCTCATTATTCTCTCGTTTTTTATTCTCTAAATTAGGATCATGTTATTTCTTTTTTTCCAATTTTTTTTACTTTAAAGATTAAAAAGCTAAAGTGTTGTGAATTTAATTTAAATAATTTTCTTCTATTTACTAATCATCATTTTAATTTATACCATTTTAATTGTTAAATTCTTTACAATTTTCTATTTACATCAAAAAATCTTCATCACTTTCTTCTTCCTCCTCTTTAAAATTTTCTTAAAACTGAAACATATTATTTAGTTTCTTAGAGGCTCTTCTAATTTCATGGCCATTTTTTGATTTTTTCCTAGATATTTGTTATCCCTCGTTAGTTTCTTTATGAGCAGCTTAAATTTTGTTAAGAGATGGTTTTTATTCCTACTGTTGGGGTTTTTGCTTCTGAATAGGAGCAAAATTTAGCTTTTTCTGATCCATCTTTTGGTTCTATAATTCGTAGTACCTTTAGAAGCTACTTTCTACTTTAGGATGCATATCCTTTGAAGCTGAGATCAATTTTTTTGAAGTTTTTTTTTATTAGATTTCTATTTGTTTGTTTTTAAAAAATGTTAAAAATAAATAAAAAAATAAGCTAAAAATTACATTCTGTCTTTATGAATTCAAGTTTGTTGGCTAAAATAGAAGGGTCAACAATCCCATTTAAGGTTTTTTTTTCTGTGGTTTAAACAATTAATTTCGTTTTTTACTTATCACTTTTATATTTACTGTGCTCATATTATTTTTTATTAGAATTTTTAGCATCTTCGTTTAATTAGTTTAAGTTAGAATTTTATCGAATAATCCCTAAGGATAACTGAACTTTAGCAGATAAAGGGGTAGAATTTCCATTTGAACGGTTATCGTTTCCATTCAATACAGCTTACTTTTTATTAACACTGTTTTTTTCATCGCTATTTTTGTTTTGCTCTTCTTGCTAATTTTCATTTATTGGAGTTTTCTCTATCAAATTAATTTTAGGCGTTTATTCATTTTGGTTTATTTTCTAATCGTTTTCAGTTTTAGGATATATCTTTGATTCAGTCTAGGTATTTAAATCTAACGGAAGAATTTTACTGTGCTTCAAATGATGTTATTCCTAACTTCCTATGCCTTATAATTGAGGAGTTTCAAACTTTTAACTTTTTCTTTTGTAAGATGCTAGTAATGAACTCATTGAAAAACTTAAATCAAACCAGTTTTTTTTCTTCTTCTTCTGCTCATCTAGCTCTTTATAAAGAATTTTATTTGATTTGTAAATTCCCCATCTAATAAGATTTTGCATATTGTATCCTTCTTGATTACCCTTAATAGATGACTAGATACTCTAATTAGCTATCGATTCACTATATTTAACAGCTATAATACCCATACATAAATTAACAAGCAACCAAGTACCAAGATATACAATTAGGAAGAAATAAATAAAGGCAAAAAACTTTTTTTATAAAGGAAAATAAAATTTAATTTACTTATCGTTAAAATTATATTTTTTTAAATAGATGAAAAACAAAACGTTTTAAAACAAAAAAAATTATTTATTTCTTTATCAATTAAAGAAAAATAATATGAAGAAATAAATAAAGCACCTTTTTTTATTCTAAAATAAATTAAAAATTAACTTTCTCAATAAAATAAAAATTATTTTTTGATAAGACATATTTTATCAAAAAAAACTAATTTATTTAAAAGTTTATTCCCATACATATATGTTGTAAAATAAAATAAAAAATTACGTTAAAACCAACCATCACAAATTGCATGATCGTAGACCAACCTTCATTACTAACTACTACGTACACATTTAGTAAAGACCACCCAAAAGTATCAAAGTTATATAGGTCACTATTAGGACTTACCATTCCTTTAGCACAAATGTAGCTTATACCTTATTAAATAGGACAATCTCCATCTTAAGCACAAACAAATAAATTATTGTTCTCATCACCTAATTTAATTCCAGTGTAAATATCAATGCAACGAGTTTTTAATTAGCCAGAAAAGAGCTGCAGACCAGCTATACCAAAAACACCAAAGAAGAAGCATAAAATAATAAAAGCATCCTTCAAAAGAGGTATAGCAGTAAATAGGGCTGTCACAAGTTAATTCAGAATTTTCACTTTGCTTATTGATCTTAGAGGACGAAGCACTCTCAGAGACCTCAAGGCTGTCAAATTAAAAGAACTAGAATTAATTACATAAGGGAGCCATCCAGTAACTATGATAACAAAATCCAAAACATTCCATCCTTCACTCAAATATGAATTTTTAGAGAATATGAAACCCATAGCTAAAATTTTTAGGCCCATCTCTACTGTGTAAATGACTAGTAGCGAGAGATCTATTGCTGGGTTGTTATCGCTGTTAGTTGTAGGATCATCTCTTGCCAACATAACTGAATTAAATATAATTACACTCAAGGAAATCACAGTAAATATGTTATGGTTGATTATGCAAAAGCAAATATAGCTAATCTTTCTATTTAAATAAGAATAAAAGTAAAATTAAAATGCTTTATGATTATTTATTCAACAAAAGTTTTGTTTTATTTTATTTTACAAAACACCAGATTAAAACCATTCAGGGTGATTTAATATAAAGAAATATTTAATAGAGAGAAGAGTAAATTAAGAAACTCATTTTCATTCAATTTAAAATAGAACTTTTTGCAAACAAATTTATTTCAATTCAGTTTTTTAATCAAAAATAAATGAAGGTAATTAAAATATTAATTAATTAATTACTCTTTGATGTACCAGACTTGCTTATAAATTTTTTCAAATATTGTAACTGCTTGAAAGAGAGCTATCCTGTCAAAGACGTTCATTTCTACTACATCTAAAACAGGATTATTGTCTATACTGAGCTTATTTATTTAAAATTCCGTTTCGAACTCTTACTCATAATGATTTTCTATCTTTTTTTGAAGCCTCTATTCATTTTCTTTATTTAATTTTTAAATTTCATTATCACTTTTATCTGAATCTTGCTCCAAAAAAGCATTAGCTACCTTCATATATGCATTTCGCTAATTCTCCTATTTTTTTTTTAAATAATTTAAATTTCCTGTCAAGTAAGTGAATTTGATTGTTTCTAATTTACATTTTCTTCTACTAAGTTATTTAAATCAAAAGAAGAAGAGGAGTTAGAAGAATCATCACTTATATCTTAATTTTTATTATTAAAGTTATCTATTTAACTCTTTTTCTCCTTACCTGCTTTTGCCTTTTCTATTCTCTTAAAAGTTTTATCTTCTTCTGTTTCTTCAGGTATCTCCTACTTTAACACTTGCCTAAGCCTTCTAATCCAATTTGCCTCTACATAAATAAAATAAAAATGTTTTTTATTGCTATTGATATGAGTTTTATCTCAAATATTTTGATGAGCTTCTATTTATTATTGAATTAAAAGATGGTAATTCATTTTAACAAAAAATAAACTCATTACCTACAACGTATGAATTCATTTTGCTGTTAGCAAATTTAGTTTCTTTAATTCTTATTCTTAATTCTAAATTTTAAACAAAATAAATAATTAAAAATTGATTGAATACTATAATGTTAGTTTTTAAATGTAAAATAAATGAATGTGAATAAAGCATACTCACTTCTACAACTTGCTTGAAAGAGGAGAAAAAATTATTTAAGTTTTTTTACAAAATTTTTAATTAGCTAGTTTTTTAATTCTTAACTATAAAAATAGCAAAAAATATTGAAAAAAAATACCTAATAGAGTTAAATTGTGTCATACATATGACACATGTCCGTCCTATCTATTTAAATTAAATATAGAAACAATTAAATGAGTTGAACACCAAAAATAAAAAACAACATTTTCCAAAATATTATTTTTTCATCAGAAACTAAATTTAAAGCAAATCATTTTTAAATTAAAATATTCTTTTAATCACTACATTTACAAGTGATCAAAATAAAAATAATATTTTTAATAAATGAATAATCAAATAAATACAACCATTTAAAATAAAATGTATAAATAAATAAATAAATTCAGATGAAAACAATTTGAATTTAGTTTGATTCTCTTATTAAAAAATAATATAATCATTTAATATAAAATTGATTAAGTTTAATAAATACATTCTAACCTCACTTAAATGTTAAAATTAATATTTTTTATTTTTTAATAAATTGAAATAATTCTTTTATGAATGAATTAATAAAACTTGTAATAAGCAATTTTAATCTTTAAAGTTTTTGGTGATAAGTATTTTCTTTTTGTATTTTTATTTAGTTAGTTGACTTTACTCTCTTTAAAGAAATATTATCAATAATCAAATTTTAATCAATTTGAATACATTAAAAATAAATAAATGATTTATTAATATTATTCCAAAAAGAATATTATTTATTAAATTTATTATAAGACCATACATTTAATAGAAATAGGTTCACATAAAAAATATTTTATTAGCCTAACTTTACTTAATTTAGCAATTAAAAGCTTAGAATAATTAAGAATCAATAATCAGATAGATAAATAAAAAAAAAATTTTATCCATATGCAAATAAATTTGTTTATTTTTAATTTAAGATTTGAGCAAGCAACTTTCTTTTCTGATTATTAAAAATTACTGTAGAATACGAGTAAAATCCTAATCTGTTAAGTCGCAAAGTTTGCTAGTTATTTTTTGTGAGTTTTTAACAAAATAAGAAAAACTAGGAATTTTTGTTTGCGACTTAAAGGGTATTCTACGGTAATTCAAAAAAAAGTATAATTAATTATAAAGACTAAATAGTTTTTATTATATACGGAAACTATGTAAGAAAAACTAAAGTTTATATAATTTTAAATAATTTGTTGTAATTTTTCTTATTATTGAACATATATATATAGCAGCTATGAACTATTTTATTTTTATGGTAATTTTATGTAAAGATAAATAAGTAATTATCTATGATTTTCTTTGATTTTAAAGTTTAGATAATTTAAATTTTTATATTTGATCAGTTAGTTTTATAAATCTCTTTGTTTTTCAAATAAATTATGATTTATTTTTCCAATCCAAATATTTAAGGTATAATTGCTTCGAATAAATTTGCTTATTAGTGTTAATTAATATTTAAAAAGCAGCAGTCTAATAATAATCAGTATATTTTTTCCAATCTTTAAATTAATTAAAATTTAATGAAATTGTTATTAATTGACTGATTTTATTTATTTATTTATTTTGTTTGTTTGCTTATTTTATAATGTATTTTACATTGAATAATTTGATAATAGATAATACTTATAAAAAGATAAATTTTATTAGCTTAGAAATTGAGTTTGTCAAACATAAATAAATATACATAAATAGATCATTTTTATTTTTCTTTAGAATGATAGCCTGGAGTCAAATTTTATTAAGAACCATTCTTTTCGTTACTATCATCTTACTATAGACTTGCTATGCTTTATCTAAATTATAGAGGATTTGCCATACGTAACGAAGGTCTGTCAAAAATGCTTTTTCTATATAGCTAATTATTTTCGACCTATAAATCTTACTTTTATTCAACTTAAAATGTATGAGAATTATAATCTTAGTTGTTATATTCATCATAGTTATCTATCTGATATATATTTGTATCTGGTATGTAGAAGTACTTCTTTCCTTGATAGATTTGTTTTCCAGTATTTTATTCTTCCCGATACTTTCTTAAGCCATCTATTCTCAATGCTACTGTATGTTCCCGCTTGATAATCTTAGGTTTTTACTTTTTAAACTATATTCCATCTTCAAAAGATTAATTTAAGAACAAGTTTTCTTCTTCTTCGTTTTCCAAATCTTCATCTTAGCTGTTATCTGTATCTGTTTGACTAGATATGTCCTCTCTGTTGAAATTTATTTGATTCATGTTATCTTACATTTTTATGCTATACTGCAACCAACTTTTGAATGCCATTCCAACAAATAGCCTTCTTACCATAGGATTTACTCCTTACTGACGCTAATGGACTATTTTTGATTTGAGTAAACTAGATTACTATTAATTAAATAATAATGAATTAATAAACTGCTTTTTTTTAAAAAAATGTATACTTTTTTCTTAATAATTTATATCTTTTTCATAGAAACTTTCTCCTCTTTCCTCATAATATCTAAAGCTGTATTATGTTTTTTTACCAACTTAGGATCATTTTAATCTTCTATTGAAAGTTCATATACTTATTCATAAAGTGAAAACTTCATAAATTGGTAGAGTAACTCATTATAATAAACATAACCTTCATAATCACAAAAGATATTCATTCTCATAACATTTTTATCTGCTTCTTATTTTTATCTGATTTTATATTTATCTAATTTCAAATTAATTTCATCTTGGGTAATTTCAGTGTCATGCATTTTGAGTTTTTCTACAAACTCATTTGATTTTCTTTTATAATCTATTGAAAAAATTATTTTAAACGTTACTAAATTACTAAAAAAATTAAAATTTTCTTTCTTTAAAAAATAATTAATTAAATGAAATAATTTTAATTTACTTTCTCTATTCAAAAATTTTTGCTTAATTAAAATTTATTTGAATCTTAATTTTGAAAGAAAAAATTGTTTTTTTATTTTTTAAAGGTTTATTATTTATTATTGTTTTAAAGAAATTTAATAAAATTTTACCAAAACCTAAAGGCTCTTAAAGTTCGAAATAAAAATCAGGAATATTTTTTTCATGAATTTTAATTCCGCTGTCTTTGATAGTCATAATTACCCATCTTTTTTTGAAGTCATCTTCTTACTCATTAAAATTGTTTAATGGATTATCTGGATTAATGTAATTTTCTTCAAATTCATTCATAATAATTAAGACAAACAAATTCATGAGGATATATGACTAAACTGTGTAGAATGTAACGAAGAACAAGATGCCATACACTCCCTTGGCATTAAATGTATCATACATAACTAAATACCAATCTTCTCCTGTGCTCATTCTAAATAGGAGTATGAAAGCTCTGTGGAAATTAGAAAAATTCCAAAAAGTATTAATTCTCCATCCAGAACTATTTATTTGATTAAAATGATTCATAAAATTGAATTTAATACACAAAAGGAAATTAATAAAAATTGTTTGATTACCGTAGGTCTGAGAATAAATACCATGCCAAAATAGAAAATATGAAATAAAATAGAACAAAAAGTAAAGTTGCATTCAGGAATTTAGGGAAGGCAAATATTGTAGTTTGAATTAGCTTCATTAGTCCTTGGAACGATTTCATTAATTTGAAAAGCCTGGAAACTCTTAATACTCTTAAAATTCTTATAATTTATGGTCCAGCTCTTAAGAAACCAATGACAGATTTACCTAAAAATGTCATAACTATATCAACAATAGATGCACATACGACGAAAAAGTCAAATTAATTCCAACCTTTATAGAAGTATCCTTGTGGACCATAAGCTATTATTTTACAAATACTTTCTGCAATAAATACACTTGTGAATGCTAAGTTTATATTAGATAAAATCTAGTCGAATGATTAAGGAGATGTATCATATGTCATAGCCATAACTATAACGTTTCCTATAATACAACTTATAATAAATATTTCTAGCTTTTAAGATTCTACTATTCTCCATAACTACATTTTAAAGTTATTTATTTTCAAATTATCTGCTAAAAAGTTTCAAAATATTTACAAATTTTCTGAAAAAATTAGAAGGTGGCTTCATAGAGGTAAAATCTGGAGTTGATCTAACAATAAGCCTTTAAAGTTCAATCCATTATGATTACTCATCTGTTAAATAAGCATTTTTAGCTTTTTTACTAGCAATATCAAAGTTAAATGATATAATAGCTGTGAATAAGTTAATTGAGAAGAAACTTCCTACAAAAATAAAAGCAGCAAAGAATAAGCTAAAATATTTGCTATTATTCCAAACAGGACCAGTATCACTACCATCCATATAATACCAGAAATAGTTGGGCCAACCTTCAAATGTAGAAAGTTCAAACAACATAACCATACTAAATCCTATATTATCATTATTATTAGGATATCTGTCCCAAAAGGCTCCAGGTAATTTCATACACTTTATTTTTTTTTAAAAAAATTTGAATTAAATGTTAAAAATCAAATTAATTATTTTATTATTAAAATGATACTTATTGATATCAATTGCATACATTCATTTATGAGTAAGTAAATGAATGTATTAAGGAAATAATCAATTTTTAATCATATTTTAATAAACATCTAGATTATTTTAATGGTAGTTACCTTTTCATAAGGATACTAATAAACGTTATATGAGCTTTGTAATACTGCCCCTGTTGTATTGCAGTAAAAGAGCTTTCCACCCATCAAATTCATAGCAAGAATTGCAAACATTAGCCTGTATATTTAATAGGAAATTAAACAAAAACTAAAATTAACTTTTTATTTACCAAATAAGTAGTACTACAAATATCATGTTTGCTATACCTTCCATAGACTATAATAGAGCCGTTACTATCAATTTCATCGATTTATTTTGCGATAAGAGTCTGAGAGGACGTAACGTTCTGAGTAATCTCAAAATTTTTATAGCACCAAGATCAATCTATGATAAACTTAAATCAATAATGCTGCTAATTACTATAAAGAAATCTAACTAAGACCAAGAATCTCTTAAATAAGAACCTTCATCCAAGAAAAAGCCTAAAGAAACAACCTTAACTACACATTCACATATGAAAAATATAGTAAAAAATAAATCTGCATTATTGCTAAATTTGGTTGCACCCACATCAGCAGAACCAATGTAAGTATCAAATGTTAACTTGAAGGATGTCAAGATAATAACGCTATTATATATAAAAAAATTTTTTAATAATAAAATGACTAAATGAATAATTAATTTATTTACAGTAAGACTACTTTATCAAATAAAGGATTCTTATAAACATAGTAAAGTGTTTTTCTTATGATATTATCTTTTGAAAATATATAGAGTGACTATTCACACTCAACTCCTTCATAATATTAAAATTAATTCTTTTTTTTAGGACCTGTGTCTTATAAGTTTTACTCAGAAGCTATTCCTCCTTTCTCACTTACACTATCATCATCACCATTAACCGACTTTTATTTTTCAAACTATCCAGAATCATTTTAAGAGCTAGTTTTTAAAATTGCCTGCTTTGATAAAGTAGCTGATCTTTGTATTCCACCACTATTATGTAAACTACTGTTTTGTAATCCTGTAGAAATTCTATTCATATTATTAGATGATGCATAATTACTTTAAGATAAATTATTCATAAATGTTGAACCCATACTAGTATGTCCAAAAGTAATATCTTGAACTATTTCAAATCTATTTTCAATTTCCTATCTATCTTTTTATACTTCATCAGATTCAAATGAATCAAGCATAATAGCAAGTACTAAATCGATTAATATATAGTTACCAATAAAAATCATTGATACCAGATAAGCTGAACAGACATAGTTGCTAACATTCGAAAGTAAACATGTGGTGAGCTGATCATTCCAATTTTCAAGAGTAACTAGATCAAGTACAGCCATATATGCATTTAAGAATTAATCGTAATTGAATCTTGAAGGGATATTTGAATTGAATGTAGGCCAATTTCCACCAAAAATATTCATACCTAAAAGTGCATATATAAACATGATTAAAAAAAGTAAAAGTAGGATGTATATAAATTATTCCAAAGTAGACGATATCGCAGCAATTAAAACTTTCATAAATTACAAAGATCTTAGCAATCTTGTAACTCTTAAAACTCTAAACACTCTTAAAATTCTTAATGAACGAAAAGCACTAACAGAAGAACTTCCACTTAGAACTGCAAGCTCTAAAATGGATAAAATTACAATTATAGCATCAAAAATATTCATCTTATCTGATACATACTCAGTAAAACCTAATCCAATAAGCTTTAAGCCCATATCAACTGCGAATATAATAGTAAAAATATAATTTAATTGAGTGAGTGTCGCTGAACCTAATTTTATAAATTAATATATAAATATCAAAATTAAGAGTTTTCTATTGCCATAACAAAATGAAAACAATGTTTTTATTTTATTAAATAATATTTTTTAAATCCTAAAAAAAACAGAGTAATAAAATAACATTTATCCTAATCAATAAATTTAATCATATCATATCATAAAGAAAAATATACTTGAACTTGGCACAATACCATCCAAACAAAGGATAATAGTATTTGATAAGACAAAAAGCATGACTAAATTCTCAAATTACTAATGTGTAACCAATTTTCTTATTCTCCTTCTAAATGCCTGAACAAGACCTACAAATCCTCCTTCATTTTATTCTATGATTCTACTTGAGTAATTAAGTGAGTCAATAACTTGATTTAAAGCTTTTTAGTTTTTGTTCCTTAAACTTATCCAAAGGATATCATCCGCAGAAGTTTGAACTTTAATTTAATTGATTCCTTTTTTCTCAAGGTTGTATATCTCCTTCTTTCTTTGTTGCAAAAACTATAAATCAACAGGTTCATTTTAAAATGCAACCATGTCAAAGACTTCGACAGTCTTCTTAACAAGAACGTTTCTAGTTGAAGAACTGAGTTAGCTACTCGATGAACTATTATTTAATTCTGATTAGGCTCCTTAACTAAAAGAATGAATGCCTGTATCTGCTGACTTAACACTTTTAATGTCTGTTTGAGATTAACTTGGTTCATGATTATTCAAGATATCTAATTGCCTTTCTGCCTTTTTAATAAACTTTTGCTCCAACTAATACATAAAAATATCATGTTAGGATTTTTATTGAATATTCTTGGCTGGAACATCAACTTAAGCTGTTTGGATATTAACTATTTTTTACAACTTTTGATCACCATTAGGTTTTTCATCCAATAGAGGATCTTTTTCCAGCACTTATTCCTCCATAAAAATTTTTTATATAGCTTTTTCAAGATTCCAATCATTTTCTATTTCGTCTCCTTTTTAATTTTTACCCTTTTTAGAGACTTAAATATTTCCACTCACATTAATCTTTCTTTCAGTCTATTTATTAGTAAGTTTTGAACGAAACGAAGTATTGGCTTGATTTAGACTTTTGTTGTTAGGGTTTTGTCTTTCGTCTACAGATCCCTAGGCAATTGAACCATTTAAGCTATTTTTTTAAGATTTATTATCCATCTAATCAACTTCATCCTTAAAAGTTCTTTTTAGAACTAAACCTTTTTATTCATATTCTCCATTAACACTTTTAGCTTAATTAGACTAAGCTGCTGCTGAATCATTGTTAAGTCTTGAATTTTCCTATTATCCATTTAAGTTATTTTCTGCATGTTCTCCATTTACATAACTATTTGCATCTTATTGTCTACTTGAATCTTCATTATTAACCTAAGAATTAACATCATTTACTCTTTATTTATTTGTGATTTGTTTTAAAAATAAATTATTTTAGTTTGTTGAAAACTGTCTCTATTATGTTAAAAAATTCATATCATTTTTTTCATCATCATTTTTAACAGAAGTTCCGCCTTTTTAACTTCTTTATGCGATATTTTTTGCTATTTTGAAGGGATTTGTCTCAAAACTGATTCCATCATTTTTTGGGTCTGCTACTTTAGATTATTTAATAGAATGATTTTCAGTTGTAATTTTTCCTTCGAGAATATCCCTAAACATTTTCTCAGCATACATGGTATCGATTCTTTTCGATCTTTATATAGGCATTTTATATTGTACTTCTGTTAAGTGTTAAATATAAAAAATTTATTAATAAATTACAAATAAATCATTAACTATTAAAATTTAAAATTTACAGAGTTTCTTTTTCTTATCTTTTTGTACGATCATGCTTGACTGTTATTTGACTCTAAATTTTAGCCTTTTTATTTTTTCCTCTTATTAATTTTTCAGTTTTTGTATTTATTTGTTTAGTTTTGTGGGCTATACATCTCCCTCATACTCATTTGTCTATCTATAAACAACTCTAGGTTTCAAATACTTTGAGTCTAGCATTAGCTTAAAGTCTTCAGCCTTTAAGTCAATTTATTTATTTATTTTTTTAAGAATTTGCTCTTCTATTTTAGGGGCTTCAAAATTTTCTTATTCTTGAGTGTTATAAGTTTTAAGATGCTTAATTGACTAATATTATATTTTAAAAATTTAATTCATAAGAAATAAATGGTATTTTAATAAATGTTACAGGAGTTATTTATTTTTGAGTAAGTAATTTTGTCGCTTTTTTCTCTTAAAGCTTTTTGCTAGTTTTTCCAATTTTAATATCAAACTCTTAATACAAATTATTGATCACAGTTGTTTTGTTCCTTGGGGTTTTATCAATAAGAGTGTCATCCATTTCCAAAAAGGACATTTTCGAAACATCAGATAAGGAATCAGCACTGCTCTCAGTCTCCTAAAGTTAGTTTCTTGAAGACTTTGATTTGTCTTTTTTTCTCTCTCCATTTAACATATTTTCTCTCTTTTTTTATAAGCTTACAGATGTGTTTCTTTTGCTTTTTTAATGAACTTATTTTGGTTCTTCTGAATGGTTTTAAAAGTTTGTCTAATGTGAATTCTTTTTAGATGAAGCAGATCTCTGCTCAATTTATTTATTTTATCTCAGAGATTTAAAATCATTCTAAAGTTTTTTAAAATGAATATTTTCTATTTCTTCATCTTCTATACCTATAAGGTCATTTTTTGTAAACTTTTCTTTTTATTCCAACTAAAGTAAGAAAATATCATCATCTAACTTTAGCTAATCCTCACTCACTTCATCTTTCTATTTGAATAAATGCTTTATTTTCTTAGACTGTCTCCTAATATCAACAATTTATGATGGGACATTTCTTGATTTTCTCCTATTTTCTTCATCATTATCTTATTCTACTGCAAGGTAATTCTAATCTTCTCTTGGAGTAGGGTCATCATTGATTTTTTCTTCTTTATATTTAGGTTTTTACTTAGAAATTGGAGCAAAATTTATCTTTTTTATTTTTTATTAAGGATTCATATTCGTCTGATTTTGATGAGTTCCATTCCTTAATCCTCTAACATATGTTCCAGTTTTTTTAGTTCTTTTTTTCCCAATGTTATCTTTATTTTATAAATAAATAAATTAATTAAGTAACAATAAAATAAAAGAAGTAGAAAAATTATTTTTACTTTCTTAATTTATCATCTCAAGATCGCTTGCTAAAACAGATGGATCAATAAGTTAAGTACCCTTTTTTTCATTTCTAAAATTCCTAGTTAAATGCTTTTTGCTTTCTAAAGGAGCAGCTTCTTTCAAAATTTTTGTGTTATGGTGATTTTTGTTATTGTTTTCATGTAGATTCTTATAATTTTTATGTATTTGCTACTAGTCTCCATTTTCTATAACTAAATTTACAAATAAATTAATATTTTAATGAAAAAGTTATGATTAAATATAGCTTTACCTAAATTAGTTAATTGCCTCATGTTTTCATTTTTGTCTTATTGTAAGTTTTAATCTTCGCTATTCCCTTAATTTTTACTTTATGAGCTTCCATTTTTTCCATTATTATCTGCGCTATTTATGCGATCCATCTACTATTACTTTATTATTGGGTTTTTAGAGTCTTCGTTGTTTTCAGAATTAATAAACAAATCTTAACTCTGCTAATTCAAAGCTAGAGGAACTACTTTATTTAACTGCTTCTATTCAATAGCTTTTGGTTAATTTAATTTAGTGGGATTCTTTTTTTCTGACCTCCTATAAGACGCTAACAATGAGCTTACTTAAAAGCTCAGTTAAAATAACCTCCTATTTTTCTTTTTTTACTCCTCTAATTCTTTGTAAAGCACTTTATTTGATTTATAAATACCCCATCTTATTAAATTCTACATATTATAGCCTTCTTCTCCATCTTTTTTAATGGCTACCATTGTGTTCTAATTAGCTATAGATTCTGTATACTTGACAGCAATAATACCCATACAAAGGTTAACAAGAAGCCATGTACCAAGATAAACTATCAGGAAGAAGTAGATGAATGCAAAAAACTTATTTATTTATTATTAAAAATAATTCACTTTAAAAATGTTGGCATAATTAAAATACTAAATTTATTTTTGTGATATGAAAATTGAAAAAAAAAAAAATAGTTACATTAAAGCCAACCATAACATAATACATGATTGTTGACCATCCTTCATTACTAACAACTACGTAGACATTAAGAAGTGACCATCCAAAAGTATCAAAGTTATAAAAATCTGAATTTGGACTAACCATACCCTTAGCACATATGAAACTTGCACCTTTTAAAGGAGGACAATCGCTATCTACTGCACAAACAAACAAATTATTATTTTCATCACCATACTTGATACCTGTGTAAATATCGATACAACGAGTTTTCAATTAACCAGTAAAGAGCTAAAGACCAGCAATAGCAAACACAGTAAAAAAAAATAATAAGATAATAAATGCATCTTTCAAAAGAGGAATTGAGCTAAATAGTGCTGTGACAAGCTAATTGAGTACTTTGACTTTGCTAATTGATCTTAATGGACGTAATACTCTAAGAGATCTTAATGCACTCAAATTAAAAGCGTTTTAAGACACTACATATGGTAACCAACCTGTAACAATAATAACTAAATCAATAACATTCCAGCCTTCCTTTATATATGCGTTTTTTGAAAAAATAAAACCATAAGCTACTATTTTTAAACCCATTTCAACAGTATAAATAATTAGTAAGGCCAAATCAATTTCTGGATTATTATCAGAATTTGTTGTAGGGTCATCTTTAGCTAGCATAATGGAGTTGAATATAATAACAGCAAGAGAAATTATAGTAAATATTGGGTGATTTACTATAACGAAACAAGAATAACTAATAAGCCTATTTGTTCATTTATTTAAGTTAATAAAAAAAAGAAATTGAATTGATTAAAAGATAGATTGATATGTGAACTATTAATTAACTAATTTATCTATCTATCTATCTAAGAGTAAATTGAAAGAAACATATTTAAAAGTTACTCTTTTGTTAGCCAAACCCTTTTATAAATTTTCTCAAATATTGTATTATCTTAAAATATAGCTATTCTATCAAAAACATTCATTTCTACAACATCTAAAATAGGATAAGTATCTTCGTTCAGCTTGTTAAGCTAGAAATCTTCTTCAAATTCTCTTTCATGATTCTTGATTACCTTTCTTTAAATTCTTTACTAATCCGTTTCATTAGCTCTAGCTATATCGTTATCGCTATCATCTGAATTTTATTCTACGAATGCATTCGCAACTTTGATATAAGCATTTCTATGCTCTTCCTACAAAAAAAAAAAAAAGTAAATATTTATCTGTAAAAGATTCAATAGTTTGTTTAAGATTTTTAAAACATCTTATTTAGCTCTAATATAATTACTGCTTCTTCCTATAGGTTTTTTAAATCAAAAGAGCTGCTCTCGTTCATATCTTAGCTTGTATAATCTTAATAGCTTTCCGATCTTTATCTCTTGAGCTCTTCATTTTACTAGAATTTGCTGTACCTACTTAGCTGGTCTTCTTCGATGGCTTCTTCTTTTATTTCTGTTTTTAGAATCTTTTTAAGCTTTCTTATCCAATTAGCCTCTAAAATATTATTATTTATTTATAAATATATTTTAACTAAAACCTTTTGGAATAGAATAATTTTTTTAAAATTAAAATAAATGTTCTTTTTTTAAAGAAAAGAACCACTATCAGCTAAAAAGACTACCTAAAACTGAAGGTCGCATAAACTATTTTAATATTTGCTCTTCTATAAATGTTTATTAATCCTATCTAATTTAAGAGATAAATTATTAATAATAATTTAATGTAAAAAATTAATTGATTAGATTCAATCTATTAAAAAGTGTACAAAAGTCTTTATTTTTTTCAATTTACAAAGGAAAAACTTAAAAACAAAAAATTACGGTAATTGAGTGATTTAGGTAAAGTAGGTGTATTAAAAGATAACAATATAATCACTACAGTAATCAGAATTTATCCAAAAATGTATGAATTAATTGATTTATTGATATTTTTTTCCTTAATATAACAAAATATAGCTAATAATTTTATCTTATCTCATAAATATTCATTGAAAATACCATAAAATTGATATTTGATAAAATATTAACCCAAAAGTGTATATTTAAATTGATTGACACTTTTTTCCATCCTAATTGAAAGAAAGAATCAAAACAGTTATGATTTTATTCTTAAAATCTTATAACCTATAAAAATATCACTGAAATGAAATAATTTCGCAATAACTATTCTAAATTCTCCAATTATGAAATGAAAATCTTAAAATTTTTTTTTTTTCTCTTTTGTTACTCAAGTATTTTCTACAATTTAACAATCTATCAATCTATTGTATTTTAATTTTTAGATATTTAATATGATTAATTATTAAACAAAAAATAAACTTTTAATCTTTTTTGAAATATTAAGAGCAAGACTGTCAAATCATTAAATTAATAATTTCTTTAATTAATCACTTTTATTTTTTTCCATCTATATATATTTTTTTTTAGAAGAAAAAAAGATAATTTAACTTTCTCAACATGTAATTAAAATTATATAATTTAATTTGTTTCCTGCTTATTTTTGCAAAAAAATCAATTTATTTTTTAAATAAATATAAAAAAAGATGTCTCATTATTATCTAAAATCTAAAAACTATGAGCCATTTATCTTTATTTAAAATATTACAAAAATTGATTTATTTAAATGATACTATTAAATAAAACACATCAAATTAATTGATTTTATTGTTTATTTGTTTTGTTTAAGTGATGGTAAATATTTATAATTTTTTAATTAAATAAATAATAAATAAAAAGACATACATAATAGGTAATAAAAAGTATTTCAAAATAATTTATTCTTAAAAAATAGGATCCTTAATAATTATAACAGGTTTTTTAATGTTGGTCTGGCATCTTCAAAAATTTTCTCTACTATATTCTTATTTTCTGAGATCGATTTTACTGATGAGTTTTAAATTTTAATCAAAAATAAGTTGGTTATCATGAAAAAATTTATATGGAAAGTCTTCAAAAATATAAAATTTCCATTGATTTTTTAATAAAAAATACACTAGATATTATCAATTTCTTAATCAAAGATTATGGGTTTTTCAAAAATTCAATTTTTTTGCTAAAAAATTAATTGGATAAAAAAATTGGATTTTTTATGAGCATTCATTACCAAAATGTGATATATCATATAGAAAGTTTTTTTGAAAAATTAATTTAAAAAATAAGAAGAATAAAATAGTATTTGTATCTAAATTTATCAAGTTTTTTAAAAATAAATAAATAAATGTAAACAAAAATTTATTAAATTTATTTCTGTATTTATAAAAAAATGCTAGTATTTTTGTAAATATGTTGTTTGCAAATATTTTTATTGATTTTTCCAACTTAGATAGTACAATTTACTTGCTTCTTTAGTTAATATTTTGATAAGATATTATCTCAGCTTTTTATTAGAAATTATTTATAAAAATCTATTACTTAAGTGAATAATTTTCAAGAAAAACTTTACTTGTATGAATAAATTTATCACTTCATTAATCTAAATATTTTAAGGTTATTCAGTTTACTTGTTATGTTTTTTTATATGAATTTTTTACATTTGTTTTAATAAATTTATAATTAAAAATTTTAGCTTGATAGAATAAGTAAAATAAGTTAATTACTATTAATTTCAAAAATGAGGTACTAAAACTTAACTAGAAGTGTTAGATTTTTTTTTTCTATTTATCTTCACATAGATTTTAAATTTTGCGTTTTGCACGAATACTTTTTATTAAAATCATAAATATATTTGCTAGCTATGTACCTTTAATATTTTATAGATTTGCAAACACAAAATAGACAGATTATATCGATAAGATAGAAAACCTTTTTAAAAGTTAAATTAAAAAAATAATCGAAATTCCAGCGATATATTCATTGATTTCAGTAAACATAGACTTTAAAGAGAGGTTTTACTAATATTTTTTTAATTAAAAACAATTAATAAAATAAATTTGCATAGATTTCGAGTTTTATAACAAACATGAAGTAGTAGGGATATGCTTAAATCTTTTAAAGAGACCCAAACTATAATGTAAAACATAAACGCTATAATTTTTATTCTAAGAATAGTTATTTATTTAATTTTATAACTAATGAAAGGGTCCCCATATTGTTCAAACCTACCTGAAAAAAGAAAAAAGTAGTGCTTCATATAAGTTTTTTAGTGATTAAAATACCAGATTTTTTACATTAAATATGCAAAACTTTCAGTTTTATTATACACCAAAAGACTAATATTAATCAAAAGACATTAAGTATATAGATATAGAGGTAAAAATTACATTTTATTATTTAAGTTATATATTATATAAATAATTTAATTTAAAGAACCTTAAATATGTTGTCGATAGAGGATGTTATAAAAATAAGAAAGGCCAAAATAAAGAATGGACATATTAATTTATAATGTATTTTACAAACAAGTATACTGTTATCTACTGTCAAAATGAGATTATGAAATAGCTCTGGCTTAATGCTTTCAAAAACATTATTAGAATCTCAGATAAAAAAAGGCTGTTTTGTAATTAATTTTATTGTTAAGCTTATTTATTCATTTTATTATAATTAATAATTAATCTAGATACTGGAGATACAAATGAAGTAAACTTAAATGTTATAGATAGTATTAAAGACAATAGCGTAGATTCAAAGAGTTAAACATAGGAGATAAATAGAGAAAACAGAATAGACTCAAATTCAATTAACAATACTAATAATATTTAAAGTAGCTTAAACAGCTAAGTAGAGCAAAAAAAAGCTAAAAATAATTTAGATTCATAGGAATAAATCAATAGCTAGCATGACTCAAGACGAAATAGCAATGATAGCTTTAATAGTAATGACTCTCTAGGAAGAAAAAAACGAAAATCTTAATTCTAAGAAGTTAAAAAAAGGGTTTTTAGCTCTAGCTACAAAAGAAAATAAAATGCTGATCAATTTTGGAATAATAAAGTGATTCCTCTTTTGAGATAAAAATTATAATAGGTTAGAAATAAAATCAAGAGAATTAAGGAAAATTAATAATCCTAAATGGAGAATTAATAACAAAACTTAATTTCAAAACAATAAGAAAATGAATTAAAAGAAAAACAAACTTAAAAAAGTGAAGAAAAATTGTAGCCAGCAAAATAAAAAGAAGATTCAGAGTAATAAGAAGCCATTTTAGAAGGAAATAATAAGTTTAATAATATTAATGAGGTAGAGATTTTCAATTTGGAAGCATCAAATATCTAAGGTTCTAATATTAATTCAGAAGTAAAAATATTTAGAAAGAGTGATGAGAAGAATTCATAAAAGAAATCTCACAAAAATAGCTATTAAAAGTCAGAGGGTTCTGGAAGAAAGCACAAAGTAAACATATTCGAAAATGTATATTAAAATGGAGACTAAGAAGATGATGCTCCTACTTTGAACATTCAATTTTAGTAGAAGAAATCTTAAAATGGGTGGGATGGCAATGATGTAGACCTTCTCTAAAACATTTTAAGAGAAAATTCTGATCAACTCAAAGAAAACAATAATGATAACTTTTAAGATAATTAAATTTAAGTGAAAGAGCAGAAGTAATAAGAATAATAATTTAATAGAAGTTAATTAAAAAGTGAGGACATCCAAGAAGTCAGCATTTTTAAGCAAGAAGTTTAATAAAAAAATAAGGAACCTTCAAAAATGAAGCAATTAAATGATTATGATGACTGGGATGTTGATTTAGACAATACGCCTACCCCTGCTATTGCTGGAAATAAAAAAAATAATTTATAATAATTTTAAAATTAAACCTATAACAATACTAATAACTCATTAGTTTATTAAAACAAAAACTAAACTAATAATACTCATAGTTTAAACTAATACTTTACTAGCAATAATAAGAGCTATACTAATTAAGAAACATACTAACAACCATTTTAAAAATCATAAGCATAACAAAACCAGTAATTAAATGTCATAGAAAATGATTATGACAACTGGGATGATGATATGTGATAGATAATCAAACTAAATTTAAATTATTTACTAATTAAAATTTAATAATTTATTTATGAAGTATTTATTATTTCATTTTTTAATTTTAAGCTTTTAATTAAAGCACAACTTACTTATGTAATATATTATAAATACCCAAAATAAATTTATTTAATACTTTATATTTTCAAAGAATATACAAATGAATAAATCATCCATCTTCATACAACATAAAATTTAAAAATTCAATTAAAACATTTTTTGTAAATATTTAACAAATTTCAAAACTAATAGTAAATTTTAATAGGAAAATACTATATAAAATGTCTTAATATTTGAGGATTTAGAGTATTTATCAATTTATAATTATACATTTAAGAATAAATTCATATTTAGTTAAAAATATTTCTAAATAATGTCAACACTTTTATAATTAATTAATTTTTAAATAATTATTTAGTTAAAAGAATGAATGAAATTGCTTAATAAATTTATTTGTTTAAATTATTAATTAAATCGATTTATAATTTATTTTTAAAATGAATTGATTATAGGAATAAAATAAATAACAAAACAGTTTAGTTAAATGATAAAATCCGTGAATAATTATTAATTAAATTAATTAGTTAATATTAATTAAGATCAATTACAGTAATATTTAAGATATTTAATTGTTCATTATCTTTTTATTTTCTTTTTACCGGTCTTTTTATGCTTGCCAGATTAGAAATGACCTAGTTAGTTTTTGATTTGCTATATTTTTTATTTGGTTTTTTTAACCAAGATTTATTCTGAATTCTTTTTTGGTCTAAGCATAGCAAGTGGCTTGAAATTTTTCTTATCTTTATTGGAAAGACCACCTCCTTTTTCCTTAGGTCCCTAATACCATCTTTCTTTGACTTTATTTTTATTAGCTTCTTCTATTTTCTTTCTAGCTTCAGCTCTACTGTCTTTGAAGGCTTCAATCTAGGATTAATTAACATGTCCGTGAATATTACCGTAGCCTTGCATCTCTTCATCATATTCATCTGAGTCGAAGCTGCTGTAACCTTCTAAATCCAATTTACGCTTTTTGTTTTGTTATTTTAATTTTTTAGATTGTTCTTATTTATTATCTTCCTTCTTTTAAGTTTGATCAGATTTTTTATTCTCAGCAACCTTTTTCTTTTCCTTTTTATCTTTTTCTTCAACTTCAGCTTCACCTTCGTTTTCAGATTCATCCATCATAATAATATCTTCTTCTTCTTCATCCTCTTCTTCTCCTTCTTCTCCGTCATCTTCACCTTCTATTTCTTCTTCTTCTTCTTCATCATCTTCACCTTCAAGTTCTTCAAATTCTCCTGAGGCATCTTCTTCATCATAATCCTCAGATATTTCTGAAACATCATCATAGTCTTCTTCTATTTCAATGTCTTCTTCATCTTCTTAGTCTTTTTGTTTAGGCTTGTTTTCTTTTTTAGGTGCTTGGGCTTTTTAAACTTTTTTAGGTTTCTTCTTTTTTTATTCATTTTCTTCATCATCTTCTTCTTCGCTATCTTCATACTCTTCAGCTTCGTCTTCCCATTCTCCTGATAAAATATCATCGTACTCTGAGCCTTCTCCATCATCGTCTTCATCATCTTCATCATCATCTTCTCCATCAGCTAATCTTCCTCTTTTCATTCTCTCGATTTTTTCTTATCTTTCTAATTCTTCCTATTAAGCCTACTTCATTTTTAAGAATTTGATTTTTCTAAAATCTTCATCAGTCAATAGACGATCCATGTAAACTGGTACATCACCGTCTTCTTATAGGAGTTCAGCACCATCAATAGTATCGTAAATATATTCCTCACCATACTTAAGTAGTTCACCATCATCGTCTTTTAATTTACCATCTTGTCTAATCTTGCCTCTATACTTCTTTTCTAAGAGCTTAGGATTGATTTATCTGTATAAATTGACAATAGACTTAGCAGCTCTACTGACATATTTATTTTTATAATCACAGTAACTTGCAAGATAATTAAGATTGGGACTGTCAAGGATATGGTAGTTTTTAACACACATTTCTCTAATTGTGTTTAAACCCCAAGTCATTGCCTACTCAGAGCATCTATCATTAACGAAATTCTCAATAACGTGTTTAACAGTAAGGATAAGCTCATCAGGAGGAACTAAATTATTATTGAATTAACATAAATATTTTATTTCCTTTAAATAAATTTTTTTAATTACCTAGCTTATGGATTGATTCAGCAAGATAAGCAAGTATCTTAGTAACTTCTTTTTAGTGAGGAAGAAGATACTTCTACAAGAAAGAGTAGAAGCTGAGTAGGATCAATTAATGACGACAAATCATTCTAGATAAGACTGACATCATGCACATCTTGACAGGGAATTTTTCGTGAGATTTTCTAAGAAGTGTAAATACCTTTTCAGCGAAATCCTAAGGATTGTATATTTAATCGATAGGGAAAAAGTTATTTTTGATGTTTTGTTTCATTCTTTTACGAAGTCTCTTTTCAGCTTTCTTTTTTTCTCTTTCTCTCTTTGCTATTTTAGCTCTTGTCTTTTTGTTAATACCTTTCTTTTCTCTTAGGTCGATTTCTTCTTCTTCGTCTTCATCTGTTGAGACATATTCTTCCATTTCAGTAGTAGAGACTAAGAAATAGCAAGAAATGAGCTTGATCTTGTAATTATCATTCAAGCAACCTGAAGCTATAATATTTACTGTTTTTTAATCAGTCCAAATACCCTTCTTGTAAAGAGTGATCATAATTTGTAAACTTCTTTTTGCAATACCATCGCTATTGTTTTTCAAAATTTCAAAAATAATATTTTGGAGAGACTTGTTGATCTTTTAATTCTTATGATGCTTATTCATTCTTCTGATATCATTGACTATATGACTGGCAATCATTTTTCTAAGTTCCTATATAGATTGATAATTTTAATGAGACCATAGCCTTTATAAATGTTTAAAATTAATTCTTAAATTAAAATATTACTTTATCTTGACAGTTTAACAACTTTAAAAGGAAGGAAGTTGTTTCGACTGGCTTGAGTAGATTCTTAGAACGCATAATCATAAGAGCAGCGGCAAGACTTCTTCTTAGAGCAGGATTCATTTGATTGGCATAATGTTCCAAGAACTCCATAATATATGTATCGAGTACGTCAAATTTATAAAATTGAGCAATACGAGCTAAAAATACACACAAATCTGAGAATTTTCTATTTTTTTGCATAGGACTTTCCTTCACTTTTTCAAATGATTATTTGAATTCTGAATAATACTCAGTGACTTCTTTCACATACAATTCAGGGCTTTTTCTAATTTTATAGGAAATAATTTCAAGTTGCTTGACGAAGTCTTCTTCTTCTTTTTTCTGTTCTTCCTCAAGCTTTTTCTTATCTTTTTCTTCTTTAGAAAGAGGCTAGTCTTTAAGGACTTTGAGACTCATTTCTTTTTATATAATTAATTAATTAATAATCTTAACTTTTAACAAAGTAATTATTATTTGTCCAATAAAAATACCAAAATCAATATTTATTGTTTTTGATTTGTAAAAGTAAAATAATCTGAAGGCATTGGGAGTTAAAAATTAATTTTAGCTTAGTAGAATCAATTTTACAAAAAGTTGCTAACTCTTCTTATAATTTAAAAACCTAATAACCTACTATAAAAAGCAGCAATTATTTTTCATTTTATTTATTTTAACTCACCATTCAGAAAATATTTTATTATTCATTTTTTTTATTTTTTTAAACTTTAATTTAATTTATTGAGTCTTTAAAATGGCAAATAAGCATTTTTCTATTAAAATTTAATTTCACTTTTAAGGTGTTTTAACATAATATTTTTAAATTAACATTTGAAAAAAAATTCTTTTTTATTTAACTTAAAAAATTAAAAATATTAAACTATTTTTAAAGCTTCCGATTATATAAATTCTTTTTCCCAATTAAAACTGACTGACTGGATGGGATGACTAACTAAATTAATGACTAACTGATTGATTGACTAATTTTGTGAGTAGAATGTCTAAAGTAAAGATTTGATTGTAAAAAGAAGAAATTGAAAAATTAGATAATTGAGTAAATATATTGTAGAGTGAAAGGAATAATTAATTTTAATACAAATTTGCATATAAACAGAAGTACGTTTTACTTGTCCTCTAGTTAGAGGTATTGATAAAGATATATTATTTTTTGCATGGTTATATTTTTATCTATATTAATACTTGAATTAATTGCTAATAGAGATAAAACACGAAAGAATTATTATTGTTATTGTTTGTTTGTTAGTTATTATGCAAAGTTAGTATCAATGCTTTATTATTACTTTCATTCCATAATAATTATAATTTAAGATTTATCTTTCACTATATGATTTTGTTTGCTTGCTATATAACAGATGTATGTTTGTTTATTGAGAGTGAGAAAGAAAACAAGAGATAGCTTTACTATATAATTTTTTATATTAACTAAATCAATCACTATTGCTTGCAGTCCTTCTTATCGTTAGCACCACCAGCAGCAGGACCCTTCTTGCCAGTCTTGGCAGCGTATTCCTTTTGCAATTAGGCGATTTCTTCTTCATCGAGGTCATCCATATCGATTTCTTCATCGTGATCTTCACCACCAGTCTTAATACCAAGGAAGTATTCAAGAGAGTAGGGAATAACTTCATCGATTAAAGATCTAGCAATATCGAAGTCGATGTTGATTCTGTCACCGTCCATGGCTTGTTCGTCCTTTTCTTCGTCTTCTTCTTCGGGGGCATCAGTGGGAGCAGAGTCAGAGAAGAAATTGAAGAAAGATTCGATCTTGGTTTCTCTTTCAACGACTCTCTTGACACCAGTCTTTTTGTTCTTTTGGGTCTTCTTGGTGATCTTGACGGTGGTGTTCTTTCCTTCCTTCCATTCAATGGGAGTACCGGTGGTCTTAACAGGTTCTTCGTTTTCATCTAATTCGACGGTCTTCTTTAATTCAGTGTTGGTGAAGTAGTCGTTGGGACCGAAAGTGAAGACGATGTGGAACTTCTTGGTATCTTCCAAAACGTATTCGATCTTGGTAAGGGTCTTTAAGGCAGTTTCGTCTTGTTCCTTGATTTCCATAGCCAAAACGTCGTTGCTCTTCATAGCCTTCAACCAATATTCGGTGATGGGTTCTTCCTTCTTGGCACCTTCAACTTGAGTCTTTTCTTCTTCCTTTAAGTACTTTTCTAAGTCCTTCAATTCTTCTTCAGTGGGAACTCTACCTTGAACGATTTCTTGAGTCTAATATTTAAAAATTAGATTAATTTATGTTCAAAAAAAGATATTATGCTAGGCATGCTAATGTTCTTAGCTCTCCTTAGGAGATGTAATGTATTGCTGAGACATCTCTACTTAAAATTTTGGAATTTGCATATTTTTTGCTTAGGAGTTAAGCTGAAAATTGAACGAAGCAAAGCTTAAAGTGTTTATAAATAAATATATACCTTAGCGTAGATGGGCATGGATTTTTGTTCGTATTCGAAGGTGAGGGCTTGGATCTTCTTTTAGAGTTCTTCATCGAGGGCCTTCTTTTCAGCGAGGTGGTGGTTGATAGCAACAGCTCTGATCTTTTCACCAAGAGCTAATTCCTTGATGGATTCTTCGATTTATTAATCGATGTCGATTTCTTCGTGATCGTGATCGTGATCTTCACAGTTTTAGTGGTCGTGCTTGGCGGCGGTTTCCTATTTTTAAGATTGAAAAAGGTAAGTAAGCAACTACAAATAATTAATGATTTTTCAGTTTTTGAAAAATGAATTAATGTAATTACAGAAGACATTTTAGAAAGATTTGTTTTTATTGCTTTTAAGATTATTTGCTTTATTAATTTTAATCAGATTTTAATTTTTTTATGAATTTTAATCTGCAATAAAGAAGCTATTTATAAATCAATTAAATTTACCTTCTTTTGTTTGTTAATATTAGCTCAAATATAATTCTTAGCATATATATAAATAGTCTGATACTAATTCTTGTGTGCAAATTATAATTTTATTTGGTGTAAAATTTTTGGTGGTACTTCTATCAAAATTCTTTCAATCTTTCTATCTTTTTAGTTCCTTTCTTCTTTCTGCTTCGTTAACATAAGTAAAAAAATGAGACCCCACTTAAATCATTTTCAAAATCCTTAAAAGATAATTCATTAATGCTCATTATTATATAATCTTTTCTATGAATAAAAGATCCTTCTATTTAAAAATTGTTTATATAACAAACAAAAAATATAAAAAATAAAGCACGTTCAAATTTTATTAATTACTTTATTAACTAAAATTTTTTTCTTATTATTTTAGAAACAATAATAAATTTGATAGCAAAGTATTTTAAATGTCTTGAGTGTTTAGATTTATAAATTTGTTTGATAAAAAGATGAGAAATTAAGTCTTTTAAATAAAATGATCATTTGTTTACATGATAATAATATAAAGTAAATATTTGGTAAAACAAAAAAATAAAATTGTAATTCAACATCTCTCTAATATCTGTTAAATAGAAAATACTATTAGAAATTTAAATTAAATATTGGTGTGTTGAATTAATAGGTGGGCATAAAAAATATAAAAAATAAAAAACAAATTTTAAATTAAAAATTTTATTGGCATCAAGAAAATAATTTAGAGTATTAAAACTAATTTTATCAAATTCTTCTACTTTTAAAAGTAGGCCTTTACTTTTTATCAAATTTTCAATCACAAATTTGGACTTCTTTTATTTTTATCTTATTAGATTCAAAGATATGTATCATTTAGCATGGATTGTAGCTTTAAGAGTTAATTAATTAGTATATCTAAAAGAAAATTTAATTATTTAATGAGATATGCCTTGTAAGTATAAATGAAAGTCATAAATAAATAAACACAACTTTCATAAATTTCTATGTATATTTACTTTGATTAATTAATAAAAAGTTAATTGCTTGTTAAGTATTATATATAATGTATATACATTTTAATTAAAAATAATAAATTATTAATTGATTCTATTGAATGAGCTTATATAGCAAAATAGCTAAAAATCGTGATAGAGAGAATATTAAATTTTTTAAACTATTTTTGTATATTACAAAAGAAAGAAAAATTAATTGATCTATATTAATATTAATAATTAAGATATATATTTATTTCATACATTTATTGAATAGAGTATATTTAACAAAGTCATTTGCCATTTTATTCAACTAGATTGTTAGATAAACAAAAAATTAAAATTCTTTTTTAAAATTTAGACTATTATAAACAAACAAGCAAAATGAAAATCCAAAAGACTTACGAATCTCTTTTAAAAGATTCCTCTAAATCAGATAAATATATTGAGGAGCTTTAGAGAAACAACTTCAAAGCAAGAATTGAAGACTGGGACGCATTTATAAATTTGCTTCATGACAAGAAGCTAAAACCTGAAAGCGAAGTTGTTCTTGTTAATTACTTAAGCTCCAATATTTTAGAAAACGAATACCAAAATACATTAAATAATACTCAAGATTCTAAGATCATACTCAATCTCCTTAACATCATATCATTTAAGATCAAGTCCCAAACTGAGGAGTTAAAGCGCATGCTAAGTATTCCCTATGGTACAATTTACTGCTATTTGAGTCGCAAAATTTACAAAAATTTATAAGATTTCAATGAATCTCACAAGAAAATAAAATAGAGAATAGAAGAAGATGGTAAGCACTTAACTAAATTGCTTGAATTTTGCTTTAAGGATGTTATTGTTAACCAATCCAGCGCCAGCAACGATTTACAATATATTTAGCTTATCAAGCCTTTCTTGTAGCAATTCAATAAGATACTTTCAAGTCAGCCACACATTTTTAAAAATTAAGCCAAGTTTATTGAGCATATCCTATTTTAAGCTTTAGAATACAAAAGCTCTTCTTAGTAAGAGCTTGTTCTACTTCCAGAAAGCTTATAGGATGAGGTCGTTTTGTTATTCTCTAGCTTGCCTAAGAGTATTAATACTGTTGCAGCTTACCCTGAACGTGTTAAGTATTTCCTCAACAGATATATTAATAACTTTTATTATGGTTTTCTTTTTGTTTGCCGTGGTGTTTCTTAGGAAGATATTCTTCGCAACTATTCATATGAAGATGGATTTGCTGCTTAACCTACTTTTATTTTTGATTGGGAATCTCTCAAAGCCACAACTAATAACTCTAACGAAGTAAAGACTGCAGTATAATCCCGTATGAGATTATTGTCTAAGCTCATTCGCTCAACAATGTCTCATATAAAGGAAGATTCTGTTCATAACTGGAACATGTTAAATTATCTTAAGATAATTGAAAATATTCTCTCTTTAGATTCTAAGCACCTCGAAAAGAAGATTTCTACCAAGAAGGCATAAAAAGATGCTCTTTCAAATTTAGAATCATTACTCGATAGCAAATTAGTTATTAGCAAAGACGATTATGAAGAAGTATCTTACAGTATAAAATGCATGGCTTTGAAAATTTTAAATGGATTTATCGAAGTTAGTCAACAAGGTTTTGTGAAATATTCAGAGTGGCTTTACAATGCTCTTTACTTCATAACTATTAACTATGAGTCCAACTATTCTATAACTAAAAATCTCCTTAAGACTTGTGTTGTAATTCTTCAAACTTGTGGAAGTATATTTTTCGAATTTGGTGAATATCTTCTCTATTAATCTCCTCTAAATCCTTTAGAATTATTGTAATAATATTACGGAAATTACTTAAAACAGTACAAGCAAGCAGCCAATACAGATACTTCAGCAGCTATTGATGAAATGAATTTCCGTAAAGATAAAAAAGGTAAAAGAATTGTTAATGAAAATTCTACTTTGCAATAAGATTTAAAGAGTGGCGGTGACAGAATAGTAATCCGTGAAACTGGAATTGTCTTAACTAAACAAGTTCTTGAAAATGAATTAATTCGTACAATGAATGAGAGCTAGTTCAATAGCTTAGCTTAATAAATTCTGCAAACTATTTCTTTATTCTTGTAAAAATGCGGCCGTTTATAAATAAAGCCAGAATTAATTGCAAATCTTGATTAATGCTTCAGTAAAATTATTTCCTATCCCAGAGTTTTTGCTTTCTCACCTAACGATAACAAAGAAGTGTTCCTTCAATGTTTGGAAGCCCTTTTAATGAACAACATCTTGAAATACGAAGAATCATAATTAATTGGTGAATTTGATCTTTTCTACTAATAATACACTCTAGCTGAAAAATAATTAGAATATGTCTCTATTTGCTAGCAAGTTAAAAATCGCATCTATTGCATTCGTTAGAGCAAGCGTCTTAGTTTCATAGATAATTCTATTGATTTGTAAAATTACTTTGAAAAACGTCATTAGCAATTGTAAAATGACAGAAACAATGAAACCCAAGCTGAAGAATCTGCATTAATGAGTGAAGCTGATTTATCTACAAAATATTAAACTACAAATCTCTCAAATAAACTTCCACAATCTTCAAATTTCTCTCAAGAAGCATTTAAAAACTGTGAATTAAAAAAGACACTGACTGAAGAATTATATCCCCAAAGAAACTTAGATGAAAACGAATCATGGGGAGAAGTTATCCAAAATAATGGTAACAATAATCACTCTGAAAGAGAATCATCTCCTCAATAGAATGGTTAAGAAATCAATCTCAAAAGAAACTTTACAAATTTAATAAGCAGTGATAAAGAATAGAATAATATAGTTACAGATGTTGTTTAAAAAAAGTAATAGTTAGACTAGAATAATTATAATGAATTAAGTAAGTAATAGTCCTTACTCAGTAACAAGGCTACTATTAGTTCTGGAAGTGAGTCCGAAGCTAATCGTTTGAATCAAATTCCAAGCTAATCAAATAAAGCTCCTATTTTCTTTGGTTAGGCTACAACCAATACAAACAGTCTATTTTAAAAACCTGCATTTAACTAAGCTTCTTCTTCCTCATTATTTAATAAAGCTTAAGAATAATCAGATAAGTAAATTGAACAAAACACAAACGATAACTAAAATGATATCTAAGAAGAAGATAACGAAGACATGGTTTTATAACCTGTTCTTGATTTAGACTGATCATCCATATATGTATGTATGAGTATATAAATTAATGAATAAATAAATCAATAAATAAACTAAATTAATTATATTTTTTGTTTAGAGTGTTTATAAATTAAATCAATTGCTTAAAATCAATTTAAAATTTTGCTAATCAATCTTTTTCTCATCTATTAATTTTTTTGAAATAAAACTATAAAAGCAATCTTTAAATTTCTTTTATCAAATAAATAAATTTAATTTTTAATAAATTTTTTAATAACTAACTTAGTGGTAAATAAATACAAATTTTATCTAAAAGGTCATCACAAAAGCTTTAAACTATAAAAAAAGTAGAAGAATTCTCATATTGCTGTTTTCCATTTCTATTATATTTACGATACATCATTCTAATATAGTAGCTAATTTTTTCTTGTTTTTAATACCTTTTTAAGAACTTAAATCATTTATTTATGCACAGAGAACTATAGAAATATTTTAACAACAAGAAATAAATAAATAGTTCTACCATTAAAAATATAAAATTTACAAAAATTTATTTTCATAAATAAAAATAACAAACATTTATCATTTTATTTAATATAGACTTCTACAATTTAAAAAGGTAATCAATCATTCGGGAGTGATGGGTGAAAGTAGGTAAAAAAATAGAATAAAACTTGAAAGTTAAAATGCTACAACTGATGAAAAGGATATAAAATAAAAAGGTGCTTTTAATAATAGAGTTTTATCACCCTATTCATATATAAAATATTACAATAAACTAATTGAAACGATGGAACACTCTACAGAGAATTCTTAAAATGAAAAGACTAAGCCTTAATAGACAAAATAAACTTTTAACAAAATTGTATTCCCAGATTATTTGGAAAAAAAGCATAGCAAAAAAGAATAGCAAAGGAATAATTGGAATGATCACAAAGGTCTTACTATTTAGGAAAAGTAAGAACTCTTAGATGAAATGCTCATACAAAAGAGGACCGAAGAGCTACTTAATAAAATAGCTGAAAATAATAAGCAATAAAACTAGTTTATATTCAGGACGCACAGTGTGATTCCCAAGATTATTAAGAATTCTGATATGATAGATTTTATTGATTAAACTTAAAAGAAATATTTTTCTGTTTCTCGCTAAATTATGAATGAAATTAACAAGCATAAGAAATAAAAAAGCCTCTAATCACCTTAAAGCTGTCATAGTCCCTTTTACTAGAGCATTTATGGTAATTTAAGAAAATCTGAAATACTTGAAGATAATTAGGGTTTTTCATAGGTAGTAAGTAAATTAGAGGATTCTCAATAAAGAGATTCCTTAAATTAGAAAAAAAAGATTCCTCAGATATAAAAAATAATGCTAGCAAACTAACTAGTTAGGCAGAATTCCTATGATAATAACTTTAAATAAGTTTCAGGAAATAACAGTTTTATTAAAGTTAGTGAAGGTTACTAGGGCAGATAATCTTTGTAACTAGCGAAGAATTCAAACATATCTAGACAAGATTCGGTTAGCTCAAATTAACAACTAATGGTGAGAACATAATTGAGAATAAATGTTTCATAAGAAGTATCAGAAGAATTAAAAAACTTGAAGTAAATTGATATTTAGTATCAAAAATAGGAAGTTGAAGAAAAATATCAAAAGAAACTCGATCACATTTAGAAAAATAAAAACCCTTAATATTTTATGAGCAAAAGTGTTCTTGATAGAAAAAATATTACTTTAAGAAAGATTCTTTCATCGATCCCTTTCTAAAAACTTAGTCAAATTTATGATAAGAAAATATAAAATTTCAAGGAAACTTTAATAGAATAAAAAATGAAGATGCAAAAACTGAAAACACCTTTAAAAAAATAAATCAAGCCTACATTCTACCATCACATATCTAAAAACCCACTACTTGTCTCCCTTTTAACAGCAAAATACTAACAGAATAATAGTTAAGAAAACAATATTACTGATAATACTTAAGAGAAAAAAACTGAAGACAGTATTATCGAGAACTAATTTTAGTTTATGGATATAGAAGACACAAAAAAAGAAGCTTAAAATTCATGTAAATCTTTGTTGATTAGTAAAAACTAATATGAACATAGCCCTTAGTCTAGATAGAATCTTAGTACACAACCTGCAGAATGTGTTTCAAAAGTGAAATAATCTAGTCTGACTGATTCAAATTAAAATAAATTTCATAAAATAGATGGAAAAACAGTTTTTACAAAATAAAATATTTAGAATACTCAAAGCTCGAGAAGTATCAAATCAAATAGCAAAAAATTAGAACTAATGACTTTTCATTCTCAGAGAGGAACTAAAAGTTAAAACTATTTTATGGGAATATAAAGAAATAGTAGTATAGAAAGTGATAAACTAAATTAAGATAAAGAATTAAACAATTTTGGATAATCCAAAACAACAATTAAGCAAAGCAGAGAAAATCAACAAAAAAATGCCAACACCAAAAAATCGTAAAGCAACTTGCAAGAAAGCTCTCAAAAAGAATTAAGAATTAAAAATAAAAACGAAGTAGACACAACAATTCTAGAAAAAAAATAAAGAAGATATACTGATTTATCTAATTCAGCGGTAGTAAAATCTGGAGGTTTTTCTACATTTTACTCTTCTAAGTTCTTCTTTCAGGATGGTTAGAAATAATTTAATGTCAAGGATAAGCTTTAATATGCTTTTGATGAGTATTTGGATAACGATGAAATTTTGAGTTCTCCTAGATTAAGATAAGCTACTTACTCCTCCAATAACTCCAATCCTCCTTCACTTAAAAGAAAAGTTACTATTTCAGATCAAGGTTCAAACACTTTTCGATAACAAACACATAATCAATCTAAAAAATTATCTATATTTGACAGTAATAATTATTTCAACTAGAGATATTTTCCAACAGCAGGATCTACATTAAAACTAAGTCAATCAGCCCATGATTTAAATATTAAATTTGAAAAAATCCTTGAACAATAAATTTAGGGTATTGGCATTCTAAAAAACCAAAATTAGAGTTCTTAAAATGCCTGATAAAGTGAGTTAATTTATTTCTATAGTGAACCATAGCTAAATGTTATTTAAATTTACTCTTATTTATTAAAAATTTTATCAGCCATTATTTTTTGTTGTGTTGAATCATACATTCTAAAAATAAAACTCAATACATGACAAAAACTAATTCAAAAAAATTTTAATTTTGAAAATAATTATTACATGTCTATCTAAATTCTTTAAAGAATTAATTTATAAAATTAATTATTTATATTAGATTATATTATAAGGAGATAATTAAGGCTTCCTTAATTTTATAATTTTTCAAATTTTTTAAAATAAATATAGCAAAAAATTTTGAAAGAACAAAATTGATTATTTATGTTACTTATAAGTTTTGTTTTACACAAATAAATATACAGGATAAAGAAATAAAATGCTTAAATATTTTGTTTTTTTAAAATTATTGTTTTTAAATAAATTTAAATTAAAAAAAATATAAATGAATTGAAAAAATTATTTTTTTAAAGTTTTTAGCATTGAAGTATCAAACAATAAGTTTTCTAATTATGATTTGTAATTAAAATAAGAATTTAACGATCAAATAATAAACAGGTAACAGAGCGTATGAATTTTCAAATCTAATTAATATATTCGTTTATGAAATTCATTTAAAAATAATGAGTGAGTGATTGATTGATTGAATGAATTTATTAATTATAATTGATCTCTTTTAGGTATTTGCATTTTTGATAATACAGATTTTTAATTGATGCAATAACAAATTAATTAAAATTAAATAAAGTAAAAACAAACAAACTAACATTTAATACTATTTTGTTAAATTTAATAACGATTTCAAAAGTAAATAGAAATAATAAAAAGAATCCTAAATTGAATATAGTAAAATCAATCAATTTATTTATCTATCTATCTAAATATTTAACAAAAATGTTAAGACCCTCGCCTGTTCCTTCGTTTGTTGCAACCTCTGCTAATAGATCTGTTAGCCCTATCAATGCTAACAATAGTCAGAAGTAACTCAGTTTTGCTACTAAAGAAAGAACTAATTCATTTAGCTCTATCTAGCCCACCAGCAATCCCATGAATTCTGTTTAAAGTTTACAAAGACAGATTATTACAACTCCTAAGCCTATCTCTATATAATCAAATGAGGCACCTTTAGTAAAGAATTCCCTTGAATCTAATAAATTTTTTGGCTTGCTGTAGAATCAAGAACAAATATAAAAATAAAAAATAAATTGTTCTGTTCAAGTGAGATTGCCTCCAACTCATCATAATTAAAATTAAATTTCTACAAATAGTGAAAATACTTAGCCTTCACAAGAGAACTGCAGCAAATTTAATATTTAAAATTTCCAGAGCACACCAAAAAATTAGACTGCTTTATGTGAATCTAAGCCATAAACAAAAGTTTTACAAAACAGTTAATCTGTAAATGTGATAGTCCCACTTTAGTCTACACAATCACATAACATTACAAAAATTATAAATACACCTACTTAGTCAAGTACTAAGAATTAATCTATGCATATGAAAAAAGAATCATTGATTTAAACTCCACAGTTAGGTGTAAAAGATGCTTCCTTTTAAGATTAAATCAAGTAATCTTAATGTGATTTACCTCCTAGTCTGAATTCTTAGGGTTCTTTAAACCAATCTATCCCTTCCCTTACGCATTAGGGCAAAGATAATAAAATCTTAGTTAACAAAGCCCGCTCTAATTCTCATTTTGGAGGAAACTCACCATCTATTACAATACCAACATTCTCAGCTGAGCCAAATTTAATTAGTACTCCTTAAAATGTGACTTTTACTTAGTAATAAGGAACTAACTCTTTGATTAAGATTTAGTCTACCTCAAATTTAAGCGAAGGAACTCCATCTAATTAGCAATACCACAGCAACTAATTTTTCTCAAGTGTTCAGGGTTCAAGCGATAAACTAAGCTTTAATCACACTTAACCTCTTCCACCTAATCATATGAAAAACGTAGTTCAATAATAAAACTTGGATAAATAAGCTTTCATGATATAGGACTTGCAGTAGAAGATTTTAATGTTGCTTAATGAAAATGAAAAATAAAGTTATGTAATAAAATAAAAACAATCATAGATAGGGTAAATCGAAAATCAGCTTAAGAATTTTAAGGAGTAGAATGATGACCTCAAGCAGTAGTGTGATGCATAAACTATAGCTGTTCGGGAGCTTTCATAAACTCTTAAGGCTTCTTAAAATGTATTTACTTCTTTTTATAATTGGTGAAATAAAAAAAATTTTTGAGATAGTAGCCGTTAAAATTTAATAACTATTTTGATATAATAAAATACATGTTAATTTTATTAATAAAAAATAAAAGAAGGAAGTTGAATCTTTGAAATTGTGTGAAAAACTCTAGGAAAATATAAAATAGTTGTCAAAAGAACATGAAAAAAGTTTATCAATTATCAAGCATATGGAACAAGAAAAAGAAGAGAGTATTTCTTAGCATCAAGCTGTATTGCAGTAAAAAGAGTAGAGCTACAAATAGCTACTTACAGATATGGAAGATAAGATTAGTATGTTAGTTGAAGAAAATAATTAACTGAATGAAATAGTTTAAACAAAGCTCATGAAAGAATCAAGTATTTCATAATAACCATATTCTGAGGAATAAATTTAATAAATTGCTGTCTTAATTTAAGAAAACCAAAAATTATAAATCATAATTGGAAATTTGGAGTCTAAACTGAAAGTAAATAGATAAATGAATAAATAATATTAATTCATTTTTTTATAAATTATTTTAATTTTAATAGGAATAAAAAACATTAGTTGATGAGAAGGAAGAAAAGTAAAATAAATTAAAAATTTTATCTTTAACATTTTAAATTTATTTTTTTAAAGCTTAAGTAAATTGAATGAAGAATATTAGAGTTTGTTGAGTGCTAATGACTCAATAAAGTAAGAATTTAATGCTTTTGAAGAAAAAATAAAGGATTTGCTTAAAGAAAATGAAGCATTGATACAAAAAACTTAAAATTTTGAAGATGTTATTTAGGAGGCTAAAAGGGTTTAAGAGCTAAAAAGTGAAAATGAAATTTTATTAGAAAACCTGAAATTAGTTACAAAGGATAAGTAAAAAGTACAATTCGAAATGCAATAGAAAGAAGAAGAGTTTTAACAGTAGCAGGCTTTATTATTGGAAAAATGTGCTGAGTAGACCAATTAAATTGAGGAAAAATATTCAGATGAAAGAGCTTAATTTGAATAGAAATAGGAAGAATTCAGCAAAGAAAAAGAAGATTTACTTAACTAATTCGAGAAATTCAAGGAAGAAAATACAATTTTAGCAAAGTAAATTTCAGAAATCGAGGAAAAAATTGAAAATTTGATTTCTGAAAATTAAGAATTGAGCATCTAGAATTAAGATTAACGTTATTTAATTGAGACTTTAGAAAAGAAACAAGAATCCTACACTGATGAGTTAAAGAAGCAATTTGATATTTCATTAAGACAAAAAATCGAAGAGAATTTAATGCAACTGACAAATAGATATAATGAAGAAATAAATAAGTAAATTTTGATTTAGTATTACCAAAATGATAATCTATTATTTCTATTTTAAAAGATTGCACAATGAAATTATTAAGAGGAATGAATCTGTTGTTGAGGAAAAAGAAAAAAATAGATAATTAGAAGAATAAATTCAAAGACTTAAGTTCGAGTTGAACAAATTAATTTAAGAAACTAAAGAGCTAAAAGAGTTTGCCAACATCGAAGAAGAATAAAATTATGAATAGTAAAAGCAGTATTAGCAATAGCTAGAATTTGAAAACAATGAAGTCAAGAACTAGATTGAAATTCTAGAATAAGAGAAACTTAATTTGAATTAAAAAATAAAGGAAATTCTCGATGAGTAAAAAAATAAAGATTAATTAATATAGGAATACCAACAACAAATCCTCAATTCTGATTTCTCTTAGGGGAATGTAAATTAAAATATCTTTTTATATATTAGCAATAATTTGATTAAATAATTTTATAAAAATGTAGAATAACCAATAAATTTAGTAATTGATTCAAACTCAAAACGAATTAATAGAGCAGAGCCTTAAAAAAGATGATGAAAACAAGGAGTTAATCGAGTTAATTCAGAATACTAAACACGAGCTAGACTTGGCTATATAACAATATTAGCAACTTCTGGAAGAAAATGGCTCTCTAAAAGATTAAATCAAGGCATTTATGCAAGAAAAGCAAGAAAAAAATACACCACAAGCGGGTTAGTAACAATTAGAGCTAGATCAAATCAAGAAGGAAAGAGATGAGCTACTGCAAATTAAATAAAAGCAATAAATTGAATTAAGCAAAAAAAACAAAGAGCTTATTGAAAGAAAAGAAGAACTTGACCACCTATAGCTTAAACTAGAGTAATCATTTTCTCAACATTATGCATGTAGTTGTATTTAATTACCATAAGCCAACAACACTACTGTATTAAATAACCAACAATAATTAAATGCTAGTTAGTCTTAGAAACTAAATAGCTCAAACTATTCAAGTTATAATTAAACCAAAAATAATAACAAGAACTGATTAGACATGCAAAAAATAGTAAATAAAAAAAAATGCAAAAAATTCTAAAAATATTCAAACTTAAATTAATTAAAACCTGTAAATATTTTATTTTACTATTTATTTCTAACACTTACTTTTCCTTGATCTCTCAAAAAAATATTTTTTTTAATTTATTTTTTTTGAAAATCTTGATAAGATTTTATTAAAAAATAAAAAAAATTGATTGTGTGAATGAAAAAAATATAAATTTCAAAATAATTAATTAATTTTATTTCTAAAAACTATGAGAATTTACTCTTAAATTAATTATCATATAAAATATGATTATTCTCTCATTTTATCTTTGATTTTAGATCTATCTGTAATGAATAAAAAAAATTAGAATATTTAGAATGATAATTAATTAATTAAATTAAATTGAATATGATTTGAGTTTTATTTACTAAAAAATATGGAATCTATCTTTAAAAATGATAAAATTTTAAAAGTTTGTGTTTATTTTTAAAACAATACCAGGAAGTCTAGGTTACATTTGCAATATTTTTTGTAATCTTTTATTTTGTTGTGGAATTTAGTTTGTAATTTGATAAATAGGAAATCTATCAGATTTCTGATCTTATAAATTAATAAATCTTTTTTTAATAAATTTATTACAAATTAATAAAAGATATTAAGTCATTTTAACTAATTCATTTTGAATAATTAATTATTTTGAAAAATGGAAATTTAAGTACAAGAGCTAAATAATCAGAATCTATTTATTAAAGATAGTGAAGTGGAACAGAGGAATGATTTAATAAAAAATATTTTGCTATATAAAGTAGATTTAACACTTTAAAAAGGAACAGATTATTATGGCACAGTTGAAATTCATCTACATTTATAAGATAATCGCAATACTGATAATCATGTTTAAATTGACTTTGCAGGATAGAAAGTAGACTTCGTAAAAATAAGAAATATAGACTAAAGTGACTCTTAGTTTAGGAATATCAAATTTACCTTTGAAAGAAATAGAGTGATGATTGATTCAGAAGAAATTATGCAAGATTTAAAGCAAAACAATAAAATTTCCATTATGATATAATTCAAAAATCAATACAACAATACTGTTCAAGATAGAGGCCTTTTCTCTACTATAACAGGCGAGAATCAATATTTATATTCTTAAGGGGAAGTGGCATCAATGCATTATATATTTCCATGTGTTGAACAGATCAACTTTAGAGCACCATTTTAGCTTTCTTTAGTTCATCCTGCAGACTGGGTAGTTATCAGCAACTCATCTATTGCATACTAATAAAATATTAATAATCTAACAGTACTAAGCAAATTTGAAACTACTCAGCCATTTCCTTGCTACTTATATGGAATTTTTGCTGGAAATTATGTTGTATACAATCAAAAATATAAAGAAAAGGTTGATTTAAACATCTATTGTAGAAAAGAAAAGGCTAAGGTTATTGAAAATCAAATTGATGAATTATTTCAGATAACAAAGTTCGGATTAAATTTGATGGAAGAATACACTGAAATAGATTTTTATATGAAAAAACTAGATTTAGTATTCTGCGATAATTACAACTTTTATGGTATGGAGAATCCTGGTTGTATTTCTCTGGAAGGTTTGTTGATTATATTTGAAAATATTTTTTTTATTATACAGTTAAATTATAAAAGAAAAAAGATATATCTTTGAGGAAGAAAGGGAACCTCTAAAAATCATGAGAAGAGCTTATATCATGTTCCATGAAATAGCTCATATGTGGTTTGGAGATTTTGTAAGTTTGGAATGGTGGAACAATCTCTTTTTAAAAGAAGGTTTTGCAACATTTTTTGGATACAAAGCAGTCAGTAAGTACTTCAGCTAATTAGAATATGGTATCCATATTGAATTGCAAAAAATTATGATACTCATTGATGAAAATAAAGCCAATAGTATTTACTCAATATTTAAAAATTTATTTAATTATTTATATTTCTAAATATATCAAAGTGATTACTTTAAGCCATGAAAAGCTCCCTTACTATGATTACAGCATGTTTAAAGCACACAATTGCATAAGCTATAATAAAGGAGGAATGTTCTTTTAATTCTTAGAACAAAAAGTTTATGGGGAGTAATAGTTTAAGGAGCTTTTGAGGTAATATTTAAGAGAAAATTCCTTTTCTAAAGTTGATGAAAAAAGCTTTTTAAAATATTTCAAAGATATTTATTCATAAAAGTACCTATTTAAAAACCATCTTAGCTACTTTTGTGAATCTCAATTCACAGATTTGATGAACCTAGGATTAGTAGAAGATAATTATAAAAATTTAGATTTATCATTTATTGTTCTATCTAAAATAAATAAGAGTGTTATAAATTCAAAGTATGACGATCTCGCTAAATATTCAAGCATTGATAATATAATTCTTCTGAATACTTCTGATAATCATTTAATTTTTAATAGAATAAAGATGGAAGATTTAAAATTTTTGGATGAAAACAATATCATTGAGAAATTTAACCTATTTTAGAGAATAACTATCTGGAACACATTATTATTCGAAAATATTCAGTTTTAAAAACAAGAATATTTCAATGATTTCTTTTTGAGAAATCTTTAGTATGAAAACAATATGGTTGTTCTTCATTATATTATGAGGATTTATCCTTAATTCTGTAAGTAGTTTACGGAAAAATAAGAAGATAAAATTATAAATCTTTACTTATAGGAAAACGATATCTAAAAAAAGAGAATTATTTTCAAGAATTTAATTAGATACATAAACTCAGAAAAGAACACTTTCAGCTTAATTCAAATCTATGAAAACCAAGAAAGGAAAGTGAAACCAAAATATTTAAATAAGTTAAAGTAAAAAATTAAAAAGATTTATAATGATTCTATTGAAAAAATTACCAAATTAGGTAATAAATAATGAAGATAGATAGATGGATGGATAAATAAATAAATAAATATACATAATGTTAAAAAGTTTTAAAAAAATCTAAATAATTCTTCAAAAACCTTTTTTTAATTTATTAATTTAATTTTTGTTAAAAATTATCTCAAAATTCTATCTCTAAATTATAAAAAATAATAATTTAATAAAAAATATTTTGTTTGATTAATTTTAATTGATAAATTTAATTTTAAATATTAAATTTATTTGTCAAAAATAAAATTTCTTTATTAATTTAAGTTAATTTATTTATTTATTGTATTTATGAAACTAAAATAATAACAAATTTATTTACTTTAATTACTTAAATTTAAAATGAAATGAAGATATTTATTAAATTTAGTTTTTTTTATAAAAATTCAAAAAAATATTACAAATTTATTTAATTTAATTTTAAAAATTAAAAATAATTTAAAAATTTTTAAAAACAAAACTTCTTGAACATTTTACTAAATAAATCAATTTAATTTTTATATCTAATTAATTAAAAAAAGTAAAACAATTTCTTTTAAATTTATCAAATTAAATATTTCTGAATAATCTTTTTTATTAATGTATTAATTTTACAGATAAAGAATAATAAATAAATATATGAATCAATATATTTACATTTAAAAATATTCAATATTGATAAAATAAATTTTAATGGCTGATAAAAATAGATTTAGTAAAAAATGAATGATCAATAAATAGTTTAAATTTTTTAGTTGTTAAAATTGTAAAAAGAAAGTAAGTAAAAAGATTATTTTAAAAATCAACGATTATTTTTTTAAGTTAAATTTTTAAAATGGATTATTGGAAAAAAAATTATCATTACTTATTGCAAAAATCTTAAATTCAACACTTTTTCCTGATAAAAAATTTAATTAAATAATATCGACTAAATAAATAAATAAATAGTTAGCAATTATTTGAAGCATTTATTTTGATTTATAAATATGATGAATAATTAATATGCTTTTCCATCTATCAAAAAATAAGACGATGATAATTTTATTAATTATTGTAGAATACTAAATGACCTGAGCTTTTCTTAGAAGATGGCTCAGATGCTTTGTATTTAAACACTTGATAATAAAAGTAAATTAGATTAGATTAATTCTTTGAGATTGTATTAAAATAATTCTAAAAAGTCAAATCTAAAGCTAGGCCATCTATAGATATAGAGAATTTTACTTTGATAAAAGAAGAGGATTAAAATTTAATACTGAATGATCTAAAATAAAGAGATATAATCCCAATTAAATGCACAAGTAATGGGAGCAAATCTTACATTATAAAGTGCGTACAAGCTCACAAAAGATTTGTGATGAAGGTTTATCCGCTAAAAGAAATAGCTCATTAAATAAATCAAATAGAAAGAAGAATTAACCTATTACAGTCTATAAATAGCAGCTTTTTGGTGCAAATTTATGATTATTTTCAATCCGATTACTATCTTTATATAAAAATGGAAGAATGTTTAGGTATGTTTATTTATTTATTTTTGTGTCACAAAAATATGTGAAATTCTTTGTTAAATTTATAAAGGGAATTTAGAAGACTTAATGAATATGGAAAATTAGTAAGAATTGAATGTTAATTCTTTTTTGAAGTATTCTTTAGAAATAGCATATGGGATTAGGGATTTGCATAATAATGGGATGTATGCTATTAATTTAAATCCTAAGAATATTTTAATTAGCCACCGCAACATTGCTAAACTTAGTAAAAATAAAACTATTTAAAACAGATCATTTTATTTATTTATTTTTATTTATTTAGGCAAGATAGATCTATTAGATGAAATAGTAAATGATGATCAATATATAGAATAAATCCATGATTTAGTAAACTTATTTAAAAGTAAAAATAGTTCTAAAAGTTTAAATTAATAGAACAGTTATGCTATTTTTCATCCACCTGAAATATTTAAAAGAAGTCTGATGATGTAAGATTCAAATCACAGCCTAAAATCAGCATCAACTAATGAGAATAATAAGAACTAATAAAAAAAATGCGTATTTATTTATCTATATAAATTTATAAATTTAATTTATTGTGAATAAATATTATAGGATATTTGGTATAGAAAACATTTTATAGAGCATAAGCATTAAGAAAATGAGTAAAAGCAATAGAAAGAAAAAGAATAGAATAATGGGAAAAGGCCACACCAGTACTAGCAAAGCTTCTTATAGTTCAGACAATTAGGAGAAACTTATGATGATTTGTCATATATGAGCAAAGGAGAGCAAATCTAACAGAAAATCGAAGATTCTAAAGAATAAAAATTACTTCTTACTAAAAAAAAAAACATAAATGTAATATTTAATTTTATTTATATCAAATATGAGTTAAATTTTATTTTTTTTAGAAAAATTTATATTCTCTAGGTAAAAAAATTTGAAAATATTTTTGTCAGATTAATTTAAATCGTAATTTATCATAGGCACAGTCTTTATGTACATGCTAGGTATTGAAAAATAAAAGTTAATTAGAAAGATAGAAGGAAGTGTAGTGGAGGATTTGGTATACCCTTTATTAGGAAATTCTGATTGTGCAAAGCAATTAATTTATGTGTGCCAAAATCTTTCAAAAATAAATCCTTAATCAAGATTAAGTATTGATGAAGCGATAGATATATTAGAAGAAATTCCATTTTAAATAAGTTAACAATTTTTAAAATAGATTATTATTCCCAAAACTTATTCTAATATAAATTGTATTGAGTTTATAAAAGAAGATGTTATAGAACAGTTAGACGGAAATATTTTTTACTTAGACTCATACTAAAAATCAAAGCAGTATATTAATTAATTGTTGCAAGTAATTTACAATTAAAATAGCCACATTATATTTTTTAAAAAGAGATGATTTCCTGTACCAAACTTTGAAATAGCTTGAAATTGTAAATTTATTATTTATTTTATTTTTTAATTAAATTTAAAAAAAGTATCAAAATTACTTTATTAATTAAAAGATATCAAAATTAAGTAAATAATTAAATCTAAAAATCTACTCAAATTATTCAATAAGCTTAATTTATACTGAAATTATATAAAGATTTAGCTAGCTATTTTATTCAGTTTATTAAAATATTTTCATTTATTTTTAACCTTATTTTAATGTTTAATTAATTTTTATTAAAATAAACAAACATTTTTATATTTAAAAATAAATTATTCAATCAAATCTATTTTGAAATATTAAAAAATATTAAACTTAATTAATTAATTAATTAATTATGAAAGTATAAAATATTTTTAATCTTAAATATAAAAGATTAAGAAAAACATAGACAAAGTGACTGATTCCACCACAAATTCTAGTTAAAGAGTAGTAAACACTTAAAAGGGAAGCATAGATAAGTAAATTTTTATTAATATATTAAATAAGCTTAACATATTTTAAATAAAGAGGTAAGCAGATTGATGTACAAGAGCAGGCCAAAAAAGTAAACTAAAGGCAAAGTTTTTCTAAATAAAATCTATTTTTTAATATAGAAATTAAAAGAAGAATGCTTGTAAAATTGCAATAAAATACTTAAAGAGATATCTTCAAATGTTCAAGCTAGTTAAGATTTACAATATTGGAAGTCATATGTACTTATTTTCTAACTTCCTTACTTACTTACTTACTTACTTACTTACTTACTTACTTACTTACTTACTTACTTACTTAATTAATGCTCAATTTTATAATTATGTAAATTGAATAATGAATAATTATATATAATTTTAACTAAAGGAAGACATAGTAAATTGTTTAATAAATGATCTTATCTATAATTATTTAAATAAAGTAAGTAAATTTTTAGGGAAAAAGATGATTTAAGTTTATCAAACCCTTTTTTAGATAGTAAATTTTTATTACTCAATAACTCACTTTTAAATTATTTTTTTATTAGAAAGTAATCTATAAAATCATCTAGAGTATTTGCTATCATACTTGACGACTTTTATTTAAAATATAGATTGTAAAATTAGTTTATTTTTTACTTTCTAAAGAAAGTTTTTTAAATTTATTTTTAGAAGGTAGACAAGTATTTTAATTGCTCAATAAATCTTTCATAATTACATAAAAATTGTTTTAGGAAGTAACTAATTTTTTATAAAATATTTGATTTTTATTTACATTTTTTATTAGTATGTAAGGCTTTTTTATTTTGACAATTTTCATTACTTTTCTCAAATATCAAAGACGGTGATATCAGACTCAGCTCTTCGGGTATAGAATTAAATTTATATCTTCAAAAGTTTTTAGAAAATATTTAATTTGATAAAATAAATGTTTAACTAATAAACTAAATTGTTTTTGAATAGGAATCTACTTAATCTCAGGCATCCACACAAAATGCAGAAGTAATTCAACTTATGATAAAAATTTTAATTGATTTATTTATTTATTTTTATAATTTTTTTAGTAGAAGGAGATCACTCTGAAAGTAAATTAGTTTGCTGATTGATCAAAATATTTATTTATGCAATAAAAAATTATTTAAAAGGATGATAAGTTGCTCCTTTATTATTTAAAGATGAAAAGTCAGATAGAATCATGAAAATTTTTATTTTAAAAATATAATTTGAAAAAACATCTTAATTGTATTGAATTTGCTTGTTTTATTTTTTTGTTATATTTTTTGTTTTTTGGTTAATTTGTTTGTCAAAAAATATCTTTTAAATCATAAATATTATTTTGCAAAATAATTACTAAATTTTTGTTGTTTTTAAATTAGGAATCGAATGAGTCATTGCTGCTGCAAAGCTAAAAAATAAAGAGACTTTATAAAAAACGAAGAAGTAGATTTTAGAAACTCTATTTTAAAGTCTGTAGATAACTATGAAGTTACCTTAAATTTGTTGAAAGGAACTGATTATAATGGTACTGTAGTGATAGACTTCAAGTTCAAATAGCTATTATAATAGGGTTAACATTTACAATTAGATTACGATGGATAAGAAGTTGATTATGTAGCATTAGTGGATCAACAAAGGTAAGAAATTAAATAACTTGAATATGTCTTTGAGAATCAGAGAATACTCATAGGATCCGAGTAATTCAGTGGTGTTACTATTGATAGTGTTGTTTCTATCAAACTAAAATTCAAGAATTAATATTACAATTTAGATGATGGATTAAACTCTACTATCACAGATTAAAACAACCAATATATTTATGCACAAGGAGAAGTTGCAAACACTTATAAAATATTCCCTTGTATTGAATAAATTAATTTCAGAGCTACCTTCGATTTAACAGTAACTCACCCAGCTTCATGGAAAGTCGTATCTAATGAACCCATTCTTTCGTAGTTAAATATCTCTTTCGACACATAAAAAACGGTTTTCAAAAAATCTTAGATTGCTTTGCCTAACTATCTATTTACTCTCTGTGCAGGTGATTATGAGTAATACAAGAATATTTATAACGATAAAATAGGAATGGATACATATTACAGAAAAGAAAAAGCTCAATTTGTCGCAACTTAGATTTAAGATTTTAATGATATCACTAAATTTGGTATTAACTATATGGAAGAGTATACTAAAATTAATTATTATATGGATAAGTACGATTCTGTTTATTGCATAGATTATACTTATTATGGTATGGAAAATCCTGGTTGCACCACATTAGAAGGTAATTTACATTCAAGCAATCAAAAAAATATTTCATATCAATTTTTAATTATACAATCACAAAAGAAAGGAGATACGTTTTTGAACAGGAGAGAGAACCAATTAAAATAGCTTTAAGATCAGATATATTGTTCCATGAAATTTCTCATATGTGGTTTGGAGATTGCATCAGTCTCGATTGGTGGAATAACCTCTTCTTGAAAGAAGGTTTTGCTAATTTCTTTGGATACAAAATCAACAAAGAGTACTTCAAAGGAAAAGAACTTGAGTGGTACTATGAAATGGGTAAAGTCAAAGCTGTATACGATGAATCTAATCCTGAAACTGGTATTACTTTATTCTTTTACTTATTTTAATAATTTAAAGTATATTTTATCTATAGTTTTTCCTCTTAGCCATGAAAGAGGTTTATATTAGGACTACGAAAGCATGAACTACCATAGCGATATCTCCTATTAAAAAGGAGGATCTGTATTTTAAATGATGGAGCAAAAAATTTATGGAGAGCAAGATTTCTAAAACCGTATCATCAAATACTTTAAGAACAATTAATTTACAGTGGCAGGCATTCAAGAATTTTTAGCAGAGCTTAAGGAAGATGATAGCATTTCAAGAAAATATATTTTTAATAAGGGAATAAGCTATTACGATCAAGGTGTATTCAGAGATACCTATAATCTAGGTTTAACATCAGATGAGTATAGATAACTAAAGTTAAAATTCTTTGTCATATGCAAATAAAGTGGAAAAATAAATGAAATTCCTCATTCTGAATTAAATTAGTACTCTACTGATAAATTTGTTATCATTTTAAATAATTGCGATAACCACTTAGTATTTTAAAGAATTTACATAGAAGATTTAAATGCTATTTCTGAGTTGAATGTCTTCGAATAGTTTAATTTACAACTAAGGATTTCTTTATGGAAAGCCATAATTTTTGAGCTAATTTAATTCGAAAACAGTTAAAATCATATTAATTTCTTCTTAAATAATATTCATTACGAATAAAATCCTGTAGTCTTTCATTTTGCCCTAAGATTTGTCCCTAAATATGTCAATAAGTGGACTGTAGAATAAGAAAAGAAAATTATTTCAGTTTACGAAAACGAACAAGATAAATTAAGAAATAGAATTGTGCTAAAGAATTTAATCAGGTATCTCTTCACCTAAGAAAACCTAAATTACTTAGTCACAGAATACTTAAAGTAAACTTTTAAGATTAAGCAAAAGTATTTGGATTAACTCACAGAAAGGCTTGATCCTAAGTCTGAAGACTACTACAAGCTCATAGAAAAAAATAAATGAAGATATAAATAAAAAATTTAAAACTAAATAATTTAATAATTTATCAATGAATGGTGTGTTTTAGTAAAATAAACAACTTTTTTTTTAAATTAACATTTTTAAATCAATATTTACATTTACAAGCCAATTTTTGATATGATACAAAATAAATGCTCAAATAAAATATATATTTATATTTTGGTAATTAAATTTTTCAAAAACAGAGAACGAAATATGAAAAATATTTGTTAAATTTATAAAATTATAATTTTTTAGTTTTTTTACGAAGAAATTTTAGAAATAGAGTAAAGAGAATTAATAAATAATATTATTTTTTTCTATTAATTTTTTGATTTTTAAATTAAATTAATCAAATTTTCAAATTAACAACTCAAAAAAATTATCAATAAAATAATTAAAATTTTAAATCAAAAGTATTTTGTTTTGAAGTTATTTTTAATAGACAATACAAAGCTATTTTTAGATGCTTTATGTCAAAATTTAAAGAATTGAAAGTGAAAAAAAGTTGATTTTTAAGCAAATTCTTAAAAAAATGAAGAAAATGGATAAATCAAACGCTTAATAAAACTAAGAAGGAATATTTTGACTTGAAAATAAATTTATAAATAAAGAAATAAGTGATAAGTATATTTATTTTTCATATTTAATATAAAAAATATTTACAATAAATTTTCTAGTTAATTGCATATTTATTTTCAATCTGAATTTTTTTATTTAGAAACTTTAGAAAGCCAGTCAGTATAGTTGTATGTGTATATACTTGATTTTTATTGAAATTTATTTTTTTTAGATTGTTTTAAGAAGTGAGTTGCTAAAGAAAATGAAACATAAATAGCAATAAATGAAACTATGAGGACAAGCTCCCAAAATATAAACTTGATCATATCATAAAAGCAATTGTTGAAGTCAATAATCAAAATTTCCAGTAAACTCATAAAGAGAGAGAAAAGAGTCTTTTTAATAAATTTCCTTCTCTTTTTGTAATACTTTTCTACATATCTTCCTTATTAGTTTTCTTTAATAATTTTAATTATTATTTCAATGGTGCTTTTTAAGCCTAAGATAGTCATAACAACAAAAACCAGAAGCATGTTATAAAAAAAAAATTTAATAATAAAGCTACCGAAAAAAATATTTCCTATTGAAGAGAGTAGGAACTGTATAAATTAGCCTATATACATTTGTAAGTTCAGTATTAAAAATATATTTGTTGTAATATTACAATAAATCATATATTTTGCTACTTAATGTCCAATACAATGCTTTCTGTTATGTTTGTTTTCGCCTGGTTTTTTACAGTACCAACAAAACTTAAAGTCACATTTTTTGCACTCCATCGTTGAGCATCCTCCTGTTTTCTAAATATGTACACCGCACTAAGGACAAGGATCTGTTAAAAAGAGTTCATACAATATTGTTTATATGCTTTCTTTTTCTTCGAATAAACAGTTTTATTCACAGTGTGGACATACATAAGGATCGTTGCAAATGTACTCATTTAATTTAAATGAATAGATTTAACAGTTTTAGCATTACACACAATCTTATTTATTAGATAAAAATCTTCTTAAAGAAATGTCACATATTGCTTCTTATTATTTTTTTTGAAGTAGAGGTAAAATATCAGATAACAAAAAAGCTGATTCACATTCTTTATTCATGCACTTAATGTCTTTTTGTACAATTGAAATACTATTTGATAAGCATTCTAAAGTCCATAAATATAAACAATTCTAGCAAGCCTATTATAAGCAAGGGCATTTTGCTGATTTGATACCATCTTCAATCAAAAAGACTTCTTCTAAACACACTTGGCATTTAATTTTCTGCTTTTAATTTAATTCCGTAGAGTGGAGCATATATATAATTACATATAAATATTGGAATAATTTATAAACAAATTGTATTGTAATATAATCATAAGAAATAAATTTTGATGAGATAACTAAACCTTAATCAATCGATTTTATCATTACAAATTTTATTGTGTTAAAATATAAAAATTATGAGTACATGTGTACTAATATTATTAAATGTAAATAATTTTATTCTTTTCCTTAAATTTAGATTATTTATTTATAATTATTTTGTTTTATTCTAAATGAAAATAGTTTGTTTGCTTCAATATTAAATTAAATGAAAAAGATAGAAAAAATAATAATTTATTTGTCGATTTAAAGAAATTCTTATTCATTTATTTGGTCATTAGCAAATTTTTTACAAAACTAAAAGACTATTGCCATATTTAAATATTTCTTAAAAGTTCATTTAAGATTGTTTAAAAATTAAAGAACAAAAGGTCAAAAAATAGTATAAATACTTTAAAAAATGTTTAAAATTTTTTACAAATCTAAAAAGAATACTATATTTAAATATTCCTTAAAAGTTCATTTAAGATTGTTTAAAAATATCAAATAAGGGAGAAAAAATAGAATATATACTTTATAAAATGTTTAAATTTATTGAAACAAAGGAATAAAATGAAGAAAAGGATGACATTGGTAATATCGTTATTTGACCTAAGAATAGTATTAAATTAATAAATAAATAAATACTACTCTAATCAATTTAATTGGAAAAGAATAAATTTTAAATAAGATTGATTACTTTATCGTTTTTATTTTATGTTTGAGATTATAATGCATTGATTATTAACTAACTTATTCAAAATAGATAGAAAAATTATTTATCTTTGGGTTTAAAAGCAAAATAGATTAAATTATTAAAATTTCTATTTATTTTTTGATATAAATTTTATTTTAAGTCATTAAAAATCTTGTTAGATAAATTAGTCTCCTTTTTTATTTTATGTATTTTCTGAGTAGAGAAATTTCTCATCTTAAATTTTATTTTTCATTTTGTTTAAAGTAAGCAAATAATCAAGTAATCAAACACAAACGCTTTTACAAATTTGGAAGAAATATTCTGTTTTATAAAAAAATATTTATTTGAAAAATAGCTAAAAAAATGTAAATTTAACAATTATTTATATGATGAACATTACATATTAAAAATATAAATCTTTAAGAAGTTAATTACACTTTACATGAGTAACAAATCTTTCAAGACAAAGCAGTAGATCCTTTTTGATATTTTAAGCATAATTTAAAGTTATTTAATCAACAATCAATAAATATTAGTACAATTAAAAGAAAAGCAAATTATATTTATAATTATTTAATTAAGGGCTATATATAAATTCACTTAAAGAATATTTAAAGTCAGTCATCTCATCAATTAAAATAAACATAATACTAACAAAAAACATAAAAAAATGCTAAACAGAAAAACAGATAGTCCTTATAACTCCTTCTTTTAATTCAAAAATTCTAAACTAGAGAAGGAGTATACTCGCTAAGATTATGTTGAGGTAATGTTAATTAAAGATATTTATTTATTTGTTTTTTTAGAGCCTTTAATCATTTAAGCTCAATTACAATTATCTCCATTAAATATAGAAAAAGAAGTATTTGATGTTTTTGTCAATAATTTAACTCATAAATTCAATCTCTTACATCATAGAAGAATAGGATTACTCATACTTTCCGATTGCTTACTTTTCCATTATAATACTTACAAATTTAATAATATAATACATCCCTAAATCTATGCCTTACGCTATATTTGTGGATTAAGTGTGTAGCTGCTATTTTGCATCAAGATAAGTTAATCACATAGGAGAGAGCTACTCGAGTTATCAGAATTCAATCTTTATTATTGGACAAGTAAATATTTATTTTTTTTTAATTCTAATTAATATAAAATGTATATGTTGCTTGTTTTGTTTGAGGATTTAAAAATGTGCTTTTTTTGCAATAAGTTTTAAATGATCAAGTTTTATTGACTCATTTAGTAATTAAAATTCTAATAATGTAATATATACATAAATAATGGGAGATTTTTATATTCTAAAATATATTTTTTAAAAAGACTATAGGATAGTATTTATTGCTGGGAGGTTCTAATATTTTATTAGATGCAATGTCTATTGCTAGTTCTTAAATAATAATGTTAGTGTTATTGTCAGAAAAGAAGATCTACGCTAATATTATATTAATTTCTTTGATTTTCACTTTTTCCTTTTACAAATTTTTACATAATTTAAATGAGAGAAACTACTTCTACTAAAAAAACTAAAATTAACAATGGATGCAAGTTATTGATAAAACCATCTAAAACGAGATTTTGATTGTCAATATTGAGAGTGGTCATCTTCAACTTCATGGTACTTTTTTCTTCATCTTCATCTTTATTTTTCATGCTCTCGAATAATAATATGTTTTTTTAGCTCTCTAACTTATTTATGATCAAAATTTTTAAATAAATTTATTGTCTTTGCTTGAATACTTTTTCAATCAAATTTTTATGAGATTCATGAATACAAATTTTTTTACAAATTAAACTAGATTCTTCTTCATAAATTATCAAGTACCTTACATTCTCTTTCATTTAATTAACCAAATTTTTAAATTAAAAGATTTAAATAAGAAAGCAAAGAGTTTTAAAATTCATGATAGCAATGATGAATTTAATCTTTTTTTAGAGAATATGATTGTTGATAAAAGAAAGTCTTAAATCAGCATTGATATTGACAAAATCTAAAACTCTCTGAAAAGCTACATGCTAGTCAGATTGTCAAATTTGTAGGAGTAAGAAGAAGGTCAAAAATATAACTAGACAGGGCATAAATAGTTAACATAGTAAACAAAAAACGTTTAATAATAAATATAATTCAATGAGGTTCAAGTTAATTTTAATAAAAATAATGAGAGCCAAAAATAAGACAATGACATTACTAACATGACTAATTTGTAACCAAAATGTGAATTATAAGATAACAAAAAAACAATTAGTACGATTAAAAGTCTAATTAGAAAGAAAAGTGACTCAAGAAAGCTAAATACCACAAGCATAGTAAATAAATAGAACCTTTCTTCTACTAGACCATCCAAGACTTCAGATTCAAAAGCTATTAGTTAGAATGATGGATAGAACAATAATTTTTAGTCAAAGTAAGAAAACAAAGAATAAAGCATCCCTGATATTATTTACTGCGATTACAAGGTTGAAGAGAAAGTTTAAAAAAAATATAAAATTAGCATAAGTGTTGTGCAAACAGATTAATATCTCTTGGTGCTAAGCTTTGAAGAGAATACTCATGATTCATAAAGGGAATTAAAAAAGTAAAATGAAACACTTAATAAAATATTAATCAGATCGCATCTTGGCTACATGCAAAAGCAATAAAACTAACTTTAATATTTAAACGAAATGAATTATGGGGAATTGAAATTAAATTAATATATGCATATGAACAGCGTATTTTCAATTACGCAATATATTTATTTACAAAAAAGAAATAAAATGCCCATAAAAGTTTAAGAATTTAACATCAATAATTTAATTGATAGTGTAAAGTCTATATTTCCTCAGTTACAAGTTACAAAGGAATATAACGTAAACGAAGTTAGCAAGCTGTTAATTAGAAACGACTATAACAGAATAATATATATACTTATTTCTATTTTAAGCAGCATATTTTACAACTCTAAATCTTCCATAACTGACACACCTTAAAGGAATAGAATAGCTTCTAATTTTTCAAACACTAACTGTAAATATCATTTTATTCGTTATAGATGGTTGAAATTTTCTTATTTTATTTTAAAGAATTTAAAATTTTAGGTACTCCAAAAGGTCAAATCAATTCTCCACCTTAGAGCGGGATCAGGCAAATTGAGCAATTGAATAGCTAAAAAACAGAAAATAGATTAACCAATAAAGAAGATGATTAGTCCTAGTAGAAATGCGAGAAGGGAGGTCTTGTTGTTAAAAAAACTTAATATAAAAATTTAAATTAGTTTTTCATATAAATGGAGTAAGAAGAAACATTGAAAAATAATAGCAAAATTCTAGAGTCCAATAAAACTAAATTCGGAACTCCAAAGCTCCTCCATGCAAATTATGAGTCAAATGAAGAGTTGATAAACAATTATTCCTTAACCAAAGAAAGAAATAGAAGAGCCGTTTTAGATGGATACTCAAGAGTAGAAAGCAATCTAAACAGCTACCAAAATAATAACCCTGAATTAGTTTTAAATTAGCCTTAACCTGCAAACAATATAAAAACTAATTCGAATACCTAAGAAGCTAATTGTACTAATAATTTACAATAGTATAATAAAAGAGACAACCAAAGTTTAAACAAATTACCAGAGAAGTAAATTTTGTAAAAACACACAGATGATAATGAATCTTAGTCAAATTATGAAGAAATGTAGCAAGAGTAATCTGATAGATTTGAGCTAGATGAAGCTAGAAATACATATAATAATAATAATACTAGGTAGATGGTGGAAGACTCTGAGCAGAGTTCTTTCTTGAGCGTTCCTTAGATGACTGTAAAGCTTGTTGAAAAACAAAAGGAATACTAAAAAGACTATTTTTAGGTAATAATTGTATTTTAACCTTATTCTCAATAAAATACCCCAGTAACTCAGAATTGCTAAGAAAAAAAACCTAAACAAAATATGCGAGGAGTTTCTAGCGTGTTGAATTCTATGATTGGAAATCCAAGCGAATTGCAACAGTAATCAAAAACATAATATTCAAACACCAATAATTCTGTTATTGACTAAGACTATTGCAGAAGAATTAATGAAAATGATTAAACTATTAATGATTTCGGTTTGTATGTACCATCTACTCAAAGAAACTCAGAAAATGGTGAATGCCTTAATCATTTCTAAAATTTAAATGGAAACTAAGACGATTTAATTAACTAAATTGAAGAAAAAGTCCTACTAGAATGTGTTAAATAGGTATGCAATAGCAGTCTCGACCGCAAAATTGATAAATCTGGCAATCACATAGTTAGTTTCTGTGTGCTTTCAGACCTCCCATTGAATCAAATCAATTAACTAATACCTAATAAAAAAAGAGCAATCAGTATACACAGCAATAATAGTAACAGTAATAATTTTTACTACTAAGGAAACTAATCAATAAATAGCATGGTATTTGGTTAAAAAGATAGACTGAAATCGTTTAATTCTAACCTAAGTACAAATTTAAATACAATTTAGCAATTTTAACCATCTATCCAGAGTTTATACCACTATCCTACTTCAGTCATAAATAGTGGCGTGACTCAAAATTCTATATAGCAAAATGTATACAAGGTGTTAAGCTAAAAATCATAGTAGAACTTAATAAAAAACGGCTTAAAACAAAATAATAATAATAACAATGGGTAAATTACTGGTTTATTAAACTCTAACCAAAATGCATAATTTTCGCCATAAATTAATTGCAGAAAAAGATAGGCTTCTTTACCTGCAGTAAGTGAAAAATTGGTAGGATATTTTGATATAAAAGAAGACGAGAGTCTTGAAAATAACATCAATAACAGCAACGAATACATCAAAAATAAATATAAATAAGATAACAATTGCAAAAAGAACAGTACTAGCATGACTAGTTTAGAAAAAAGTCCTAGTAAGCAACATATCTTTAATCACAAAATAGTAAAATTTGAAAAGCTTTAGCAAGTAGTAGCTAGCAGTACTTTACTAAGTGAAAACAAATTTGCATCACCAAAGACCATGTAGTAATCCATACTGTCGGGATCTTGCATACAAAAGAACAAATATAAGAAAAATATGGAAAAAACAGCAACATATTTTAAAGATTTTATAGAAGCATCTAAATAAATAGATGTCTCACTGAACGAATAGCCTTATTCTTCTTTGTAAATAGAAAGTGAAAGAAAGTAAGAGAATTTCGTTAATCCTAAAGCTTTCAACTATTCTATGAAAAGGAACTCATTATAATATGACTGAAAGAGTTGAGTAAGTAAGAATAGCTTGTTAAGCTAAAAATATGATCTATATATTAATTTATTACTACTTAGCAACCACTAAAATACTAACTAAAAAAAATTACTATAACCAAATACTTAAAAAATATAAATTTTAAATTATTAAAAGTTACTAAAAAATTATAAATTTGTTTTGCTTCTTTTTTATGTTGATTGTGATGATGATTAATTAATTAATTAATTAATTAATATTGTTTATTATTCAAATAATTTTGGAAATTAAAGTATTGTTTCTAAAGAAAATTAAACAAATAATTTAGTATGAGGTAATTCTAATTATTTGCTTGCTTTCAGGCAAGCTTGTTTTTAATAGAAATTAAGATTGATTTCAAGTTATTTAACAAATCGATTTATTAAATCTGATAAATACTAGTAATAAGTATAGAGTAAATTTACTTTTTTAAATTAATGTCTAATGGATGCTAATAAAAAAATGAAATCTATTATCCAAGCAATAATCTATTTTTTGCTAATCTTAGCTAGAAGGAATCAACATAAGGTTTTAAATTTAAATAACAATGAATAAAATTATTTTGATGCCATTATTTCTTAGTATTATCTGAAAAGTTAATTATCTTTTTATTTAATTAACGAATCTATTATTAATTTTTTTGTATAATTTACTATTTTTTTTTTCAAGCACTTAGTAAAGAATTTTTTTTCTCTTCTGCTGCTATTACTAACAAATAAGTTCATATAAATTCTAAATACCTTCTTTATGTTTTTTTTTTTGATTAGAGTATTTTTATTATAATTTCTGTGCAGATTAGAAAGTTTATAATATATTCACGGATGCTATAAAAATTTTAACTGTTGATGTTACCAATAAATAATTAAATATCAGAGGGATTTTTATTAGTTAATACATCATTTCCATCGAAATTTCATTTAAAATTCGGCAAATAGATTTGTAAATTTAATAATTATATACTTAAAACAATAGCTAATTTATAAAAAAATCATACAAAGAAATCTCATCCATAAAAAATTTAATTAAAAAATTATAAATTATTAAGCAAAAAGGTTAAAGAAACAAATTATCTATCAAACAGCAAGTCTTAATAAAGAAATAAATATTAGCAATTCCTACCAAGTCTTTTAGAAGATACCAATAAAATATAGCAAAATTATTAAAAAAACATACCCAAAAATGATCATTTCAAAGACTGTTGACGATACTGAGTATCCAACAAATGGTAACTTTAAAGTTCCAGGCTATTGTTTTGAGAAGATATTCATGCATATCAGGTTGTTGAATAGCAAAACCTATAAAATGTTTAACTTACTAGTTACAATTGAAGAGCTTTTTATTGTATCCTTAGTTATATTTCATTACTTAAGCAATGATTCCAGTGTTTAGCTTTTAGCATTATTCGCATCGCTTTACTTTGTAGGGGTATTAGTTAGTGTTTTTTGCTGTCAAAATACTATACAAAATATTAAGAGACAGACAGACTATCTTTTGCCTCGTATTTTAACTAATTTACTATCACTCTTATCAACTCTACTATGTGCTCTTCCTAGCTTAATTATCTTGAATTCAAAGTAATTGCTCAAATATCAACATAGATTGATTAACAGCTTTGACTAAGAAATAATTTTATAGAATATAATTTGCCATAAAAAATACATTATGTTTACCTAATTCCAAATAGTTGTAAAGCTCTATGCAGTCTTAATTGGTTTATCTTACGATCTAGATGAAAGTATTCCCTTGTTAAATATGTTTCATTGGATTTACTTTGGAGTGCTATTTTTATCAAATATGATCATTATATAGTAGGTTCTTAAATAGCAATTTCTCTTGAAGTTTGAAAGCAATCAAAAATCTTCTACTTAAGAAAAATAGAAAGATTCCAATTTTAATTAAAAAAAGCAAAAGAGCAACCTTTCAATATGTTTTTGGGAATTTATAACATATTTTGAGACTTTTATTTAAATGAGTTAGACCCTAATATTTTTACTTATTTGTATCCATAACACTTTAATTGCTACTGTCGTTATTGCTGTCTGGTGTCTTTTTTCGTTTTTTTATTGCTACTAAAATGTTTTTGAACTATTTTCAAACAAGTCCGCTGAAGTAAATACTTCACGCTCAATTTTCTTGGGATATAGAATTGATTACCTCTGCTCCCTTTACTGTTAGGAATTCTACTAGCTCAGAATATATTAAAGCATGTCCAACATGATAAAAATATCATTTGTAATCCTTTACAAGATTACAATAATAGTTATTTCTTTGCTATACTTCTATAAAATTGAAGAAACCATAAGCTACTTGAATATAGCAATATTTGTTATAGATTTATTAATATTTTTTGTAAAATCTCCAATCTACTTTTTGATATTCTTCAAGAACAGCAATTTTTGTTTTAGTGTTCAAATGCGTCCAAGTAGCTTAACAAGCCAAGTATTGAGCGACGTAAACAGTTACAATAAATACATAAATGTCATAGTTTATCACCCTATTAAGCAGTATACAAAGAGCGAAACAGCAATGATAGAATCTTTACTTTCTCAATAAGATAAAGTTGTATACTTTGAAATATACGATTAAATTAGAATATACAATAAATTTGGTCATTTAGAAGCACATATCATCAAATTCAGTGAGCCTCTATACGAGTGGGTATCAACAAGACTTAAAGATATCTCTAAATCAATAAGAGTATAAATTTTCTCCATTTATAATAACAAAAATAATATAATAAAATTAACAAAGGATTAATTAATCTAAATTCTGTTTGACCCTAGCTTAAAAAATATTAACAATTTCCTAGAAGTTATCAATTCTCTTCCCTTTAACTATTTTCCAAGAAAGTAACTCTAGAAATTGAGCTTAGAAAACTCAAGAACAAAAATATTTTCTCAAATAATTGCTTTCTAAAGACACATTAGTCCACTCTTATATAATAATCCTTAATAAATTTTATATGACTTAATTGAAATGTGAATATTAAATCTAATTAAATGCCAAAAGCCTAATAAAAAAAACAAGCAAATTCAATTATTATCTTTTAAATATTCTTAATTATAATAAATTATTTACACAAATATATAATATATGTACTCCTTTAATTATTTATTTAAAAATTAGAATATCCATCCATTCTTCATCTTATTTTAAATAAATGTTTTAATTTTCAAGATAAATAATAAAGTAAAACTTAAAAACGCTCAAAAGATTTTCTAAAAACCAAACATAATTATTCACAATTTTTTTTTTAACATTTTATAAAATGAATAAGATCAAAAATATGAATTATTGTAAAAGTTGTTATGATAATTTCAGAATGTAAGTAAGAATGATTTAAAATACCTTTTTATTAAATTTAATAATTGATGTATTAGTGAAAGCAAACAATAATAAACAAAAACACACATCAATATATTTTTAATTTAAATTAATTGATTAAATTAGTAAATTTTGATTCATTTCCAATTAAAAAAATAAATATAAAGAACTCATTTATAAAAAAATTATTCAATTTATACTTTAATTTATCTAACAAACAATCAAAATATTAAATATCAAAAGATTTATTCATAATTTAAATGGATTTCTATTTTAAAAGCTGTGAAAAAAACATTGACTAGTCAAATTTTATTTAGAATAATTATTTGATTAAACAATAAAATGATGAAGATTCATATGATTTAATGAAGAATTCTACTAGCGAATAAGATAACCTTAGTATTCTAAACACATAATTGATAAATTTGAGTGAATTTTAAATGGATGATTAAAACTAATAAATAAATATAAACTAAAAAATATAAGGACAAACTAAAAATTTTAGCATTTTAAAACTTGACTCTAATGATTTATTTGTGGGATAATAGGTTTCTTTTAATTAGAAATAAAATAATTTTGAAAATGAAGAAAGTGATGATAGTTAATATAATATAATTCCACATAATTAGCTAATGAGTAGTAAAAAAAAGAAAGAGTAGGATTAATACAATATTAATTATAAATAAATTGTCTTTCGAAAAAATAAATAAATAAATTCATTTGATTAATTATTATCAAGATAGAAAAATTTTTATTTATATTTGGATTAAGTAATTGATCTAGAATTTTTTAAGAATATCAATAACAAAGATGAATATTTTCGCAACAATTAGCATAATTAATTATATAATGGGCTTAGATTTATTAACAAAATTGAGCATAGGTTAGATAACAAGTTTATTGAGCTTAATATGCAGAATCAAGAATAAAAAGTATATCAAATAGATTATTTTATACAATTTCTGATGAGCATCGGAAACGCAAGTGTTCTAAATTATGTTTCATAGTTATAAGCTTTTAAATCTTCTATTGAAAAGACATAAAAGGAAATACAAGAATAGATTTAAGATCCATTATTTTAATAGCATCAAGAAAGTAGAAAAAAGGCATCCTAAAAAGTTTTTAAAAGATTAACTTCTAAAATGGATGGGAAAAAATTGATATAATACATGAAACTTTCAATAAATTATGATAAACTGCTTATAGAAAGTGATGTTTGTGGTTATTCGCCTTCGTTATATTCTATTATCTCCTAAGATTCTTACACTTTTAAAAATTAAATCTTACAAAATGGATTTTTTGATGTTTTTTAATTAAATAAAAGGATTGAAAATTGTATGGAGGGGGCAATTCGTTATATGAATTCTCCTCCAACATCTAGTATCTAGACAGCTTAAAATCATTATTAAGAGATAGATATAATCACTTGTGATGGTTTTAATTTTAAGACGGAGTTGAAGATTCAAAGATACATATTAGATGATGAATATGATAAACTAAACAATTTACAATTCAAATTTAAAGATATATTAAATGTATACGAGTTTACTTTCAAAGATGAGCTTGTTTTCAATTAATTTTAGCAATTTCGAAAATAATAAACTGAAGGAAAACATAATCCTGATTTGATTGACTAAATTTTTTATTATAATGACTACTCTTATAAAAATACTTAATTTTTTAAAGAATACTACCAAAATCAAGTTGAAGATTTAGCTAAAAAAGGTTCTAAATGGTTTAAAAGGTGTGGGTTCATTGATATCCCTAAAAAAAAATATAAAATAGATGAGGATTCTAATACTAAATTGAGTTTATCATATAAATCTACTGACTCACTCACTCAATGAATGAATGAAAAAATGAATACTTATCCACAGTGAAACATTTCAAAAAAGAATTTTACCTTATTATAATATTTATATAATTGATAATCAATCAATAACTCCCTTAATTAATTCTATAATAATCTTATTTATTTGGAAATTTATAACTTTAAAATTATATTCAAAAATTAACAAAACTTTTTCTCAAAAATTATCAATATACATTTTAATGAATTAATTTTAACATGTTTTTTTTGGTATTTTAATTAATTGAAAGACAGAGAGTTTGGATTTCGTATTAAATGAAATAAAACCTAGATTTAAAATTGATAATAATTAATTTTGTTAAGTGTTTAATAAATATTATGAAATATTTAGATATATAATTTTTGTTAAAAAAGCACTTTATAATATAAAATATACCTATTGCTGTTAAACACCACATACATACATACATACATACATACATACATACATACATACATACATACATACATACATACATACATACATACATACATACATACATACATGGCCATCAGTTTTTCATAGTATATAAAATATTTTTTTATTAATTTTATATGTGTTTATGAATTAAATTAAATTCGAAAAATGAAAGATGCAAAGGAATATTTTAAAATCTAAAAAAGGAGGGCAATTATTTAAAAAATAAAATTATTTGATGATTTTGTAATTTACACATTTAAAAATAAATTTTTTTCAAAAAAGAAAATTAATTTTTTCTCCCTATTTTTTTTTATTTAAGAAATATTATTTTTTAATTTTATTTTCTTAAGTTAAAATTAATTTTCTATAAAAATTAATACCATTTATTTTTAGAATACAAACTATTAAAAATTAATAAAAGACTTTTGAACCAATTTTTAAAAAATAAATAGTGTTTTATCCATTTTTTAATCACAGACTCAGCACATTTAATTTGACTTAACTGAATTATTAAAAAATGGAATCAACTAAATTCTTTAAAAAGTGACAATTTTCATCTATTATTCGAAAATTTATCAAAATAGAGTCAACTAATTTAAGAAATTATCAGAGTCAACTGGATTAAAATGAGTATTTTTTTAAATATTGACTCAACTAATAATTTTATGAGTCATGCAAGTATAATTTGAATAATAAAAACATTTTTTAATTTCTTAAATTTGAATAGTAATATTTCACTTTTCCTTTTATTATGGAATATTTTTTATTTAAAAATTAATGAGTCCCTGCTGTGAAACTCTTTCAAAGAATAACCATATCTATTTAGAATAGTTAATAACTTACAATTTAATCTCACTCTCACTTGTTATATAGCTTATCTGAAAGGGTCAAGCGAATCAGGTTTTAATGTAGTTTAATATTAGTGTAGATTATATAAAAATTAAATTACATTAATTTTAGAAGATTTTAAGTAAAAAATATTATTTTTAATAATAAACTTGTTTTAGAATCACAGATAAGACTTAATTAATATGTAATTTAAAAGTATAATCTTTTGTATTTTATTTAAGAAGTGTTAATTTTTAGTTTGTTTCTTATATAATTAATTATTATTATGTAAAAATATATCATTTTAAATTATATTATAAAGGATATGTATATTTAATTTAAAAAAATCTTAACAAACAAAAAAACTACATTTTTGATAAGATAGATTACAATCATCATTTACTTATATAAAAACAAATTTAATATTACAAAAGTAAATTTTCTTATTTCTGTTAAGATAGTTTATTCGTATTTAAAAAAATCAAATTTGATTAAAAAAATATATTAATGAGTTTACCATATGAAAGCTTAAAAACATCTCCTCCTTAAGAAAATGGAGATATAGAGCTTACTTAGCAAGGAACAGAGACAGATATCCATGATATAGATATACAAGGAGAAAAAGATATTAGAAATTTAAATTAAGAATAAATTAGTGAGACAAAAGAAGAAGATACTCTTTTATAATCTGCAAATAGATCTTCAAAGAGAAAAATAATATGCTGGGTTTTGATTAATCTTTTAGGTCTTTTACTGATAGTATGTAATTAAATGTTCATTTCTTAGAAATGCATGTACAGTTTAGATAGCGAATGTGAAGAATTATTCTTTGAAAAGAGAATATATCTTTGGGTTCTGCAAGCTATTGTTAATTCAATCATAATTACATTGTGGATTCTGAAATTTTTAGAATTCAACTACAAGTCAATTTTTTATGCTATTTTGGTTATATTTTCGTATCTAGTTGTTCACATGTTCGGCAGTTCCATAAGTACAAAAGAATATGCAGGTTTTGTTAATTTTGCTCAATTGTAAATCATCCTTCAACTCATACAAATAGGCTTAGGACCTATTTTAAAGAAAAAGTTAAAAAATAAATGCAAATATGTAATTTTGGCTGTAGTTTGCATTGTTTTAGTTGTCATCCTAATTTTAATTCCTTGGTTAAAAAGCTCTGAATAATGTAAAAGTTGGAATGAGGGCATAAATGGCGAAATACAAGTTTATAATGAAAATGCTGACTTAAAGGACTTCTAAAAATATAAACCCGTTTAAGAGCAATAATATTGTTCAATATTATCTCCTAAATTCTGCTGGTTTTATTCATTAGATTTTATTTTTGATATTTAGAAACAATTTCCTCAATATAATTGTTAAAGTGTTCACCATTCTGAAAAAAATTTAGATTTGTTTAACAAAAACATTGAACATCACAGATACATAGCATATCCATCATCTATAAAAGAATCTGAAATAAGCACCAATTATTAATCCTTAGCTCTGAAGAATTTAAAGGGCTTTGATAATGTTAAAGATGCTCACTTAAGCGGTCACGAAGTTATTTTAGATAGACTTAACTACAGATATCACATCTAAATTAATAAAAATAAGACTCTCTCTGAAGAAAGGCAAGATATTAATGAAAAAAAAAGTACCAAATCCATAGTAGATAATATTCTTTTGATAAATGTGAACGGAATTAGTAGAATATAAATGCATGCAAAATTACCTAAAACTATAGAATGGTTCAAAAAATTTAACAGCAATAACACTGCTAACGAAGATTAATTGGAGATGCTCACTCAAACCAAAAACAATCACAGTTCTGTAGAATACATGAGATACAATTCATTCAGTTTTAAGAAAGATATTTAGTCTTTGTAATTATTTTATGGCTAAGCCAATTTTAATGAAAACGAAGAAAGATTGGATTCAATATTTGATTTCTTCAAGAATGAAGGCTATGTGACAGGTTATTCTAACACTTTTTGCTCTCCATCTTCCTAAAAAGAATAGGAAAACATAAAAAAATATATTAAACCGGTAATCAAAGATCATGATTCATCTTCCACCTTCGCTTGTGATCCTAATTTTGAAGATCCTTAGCAGTCTTTTAAATGGTTGAAAGGATCAGAATCGTTTTTTACTAGGTGTTTGTATGGTGAGCAGGTTCATAGCTATTCATTTAACTACACTTAGAGTTTCTTTGAGAAATATGATTAAAATAAAAAATTCTTTATGTTGGAATTTGCTGAAGGAAGAGAAAAAACAGGCAAAATTGTTAAAAATATAGATTAGGATTTATTTTAATTTTTGGAAAAAAATTAAAGCATTCTTGAAAACTCTATGATAATACTAATGAGTTCCTAAGGACAACCTGATTCCAAAACTATTTATTCCCTCCTATCTCTTGAGGCTGAAAAAATATCTAAAAAATTGCCATTCCTTTTAATGAGAATACCCACAACTATTGATCAGTAGCTAAGAAAAAATTTAATAGAAAATTCTTAAAAACTCATAACTATTAGAAATTTGCACTTTACTCTAAAGCATTTAGCAAATGGTACAGATTTTAATTAAAAATAAGAGTCTTTACTCAACTCATTGAGCACTTATAGTCAATGCACTGAAATTGGAATATCCAAAAAAGATTGTTCATGTGAATACTCTATTTAATATTGAACAATATTTCAAAAAATAAAATAATTTTTATTAGTAAAATGTAAGAAAAAGAAAGAAACAAAAAGGCTATTTTAATTTTGATAATTTAAATAAATGAAAATATTATATGCAATCGATTTGATATTATTTCTTTTATGTGTTTCTTTTAGTTTGTATTTTTAATTAAAATTACAAAATAAACTACATTTATAAGTAATGAATGAGTATTGTTTGCTATGGTCTTAAAACTTAAAATAAAATCAAATTAGCATATTAATTATATATTATTTATATTATGTAAGGTTTATCAATTCAAATCTTCCAAGTTAATTTTTTAAACTAAAGATTATTTATTTAAGAGTTCTTAAAATGGATAGTTTTTCAAGCAAACGAAGTATAAACGCTATGATTTAAACATCTTCTAGCTAGGATTCTAATATATAAACCACGAACACCAGTAAGTCTCTGATAAGTGATGCTTAAGATTAAAATTACTTTTAAATATGCGAATTAGGAACTAATTAATTAGTTCAAAATTAGATAATGGTATTGAGCAATTAAGAAGAGGGAAACCTACTCAATCCAAAAACGCCTGTTGAAAAAAGAATAAAGAGAAAATAGTAAGAAAAAAAAGATGATAAAAAAAAAGTTATTAAAGAGGATGATAAAAATGTTATTGACATTATAAAAAATGAATTGAAAAGCAAAAGCTAATCTTTATAAAATTTTAATAATATAAATAGAAAAACTTCAGTGAATAAGAAATTAAAATATTCAGAGTATTTAATAAATAAATACCTAAATTCGCAATCCCTCTTTGTAGAAGATAAGAAATTCTACATTTTTTCAGAAGTAATTTTAGATATAAATTATTTCAAGAATTTTTCACAGAAAGAGTAGTATGTGCATGAAACTAAATTGTAACAGTATTAAAAAGGGTTTAGATTTGTCAACAAGGTCACTCATAGAATAGATAATAAATTTATTGAAATAGATTCATAATATTTCCCACAGAAATTAAGTGACATAAAAGGAATTTTATATATGCTAAATTCATTAGGAGACCAAAGTATATAACAGTTTATTTAAGATTTATAGCAATTCTGGGATACAGTGATATCATTTTAATTATTGTTAAAAGAAGAATATAAAAATAGTCTATTTTAGAAACATTTTAAGGAGAGAGAAGAGTTTTGTGATAAAAAATGCTAAGAAATTTTATAGTAACTTGATCCATAGTAATTAGTTATGTATGTAAATCACTATCCAGACTATGAAAAATATTAACTTCAAAGTAGATTAGTAGGTTACTCACCAGAGCTTTATGAACTAGTTGCCATAAATTCTTATATATTTTACGATTACCTTTCTAAAAATGGATGTTGTGATCCTCGAGCAATGTTTCATAATTTTGGAAATACTTTATAAGAAGCTATTTAATACCTCTATGCTATATAATTAGGATTGCTACCTGATTAATTGCAGATTGTATAAAATACTGAATTAGTGACGTTTGATGGTTTTGCTTTCCCTGTTAAGCAAACAACCGATGTATATTTGCTAGCAAGAGAATACGATATATAACATGGATTAAATTTTAAGTCTTAATAAATTTTAGTCATTCAAAATTTTGAATTTTTAGATGAAAATGCTAAAAAAACTTTCAAAATGATGAGATAAGAACAATAATAAGAATTTTAAGCAAGCTCATTAGAAAAAGTTGAATAAAAAATATTAAATTTTAATAAAAATCCTTAGTAAATTGAATTGATAAATAAATATTATGCAGATTCCTTATCTGATTTATATTAATTTGGTAATAAGTGGTTAAAAAGATGTGGATTCGTAGATATAAAAAAGAAAAATAAACAAGAGGAAGATTGAATTTTTATTAAAATAGAATTGAAGGGTTGATTAATAAGATTATAATAATTAAAATTAAAAGAATAATTTCTTATTCTCTAAATATCTCATCAGATCAAACAAAATATGCTTTAAACAAACAATCAAACAATAATATCAATTTTTAATTTATTAAACATATTTTATAAATTTTTATGATTAATTAACTCTTTCATTTAGTACTGATTGATAAAGACTCAATAGGCTATTAGGAGGAATGAATTAACTATTTTAGGTTTGAAAAATATGTTGAATCAATTATCTATTTTAGGTTTATTTTATAAAGTATCAGTTGATCTCTCATTATTCACAATTATTGAAATACATTTTTGATATATTGGAGATAAAAAATAATCAAGCCGATTCTATTTTTTTAATATAATTCTTTAAATTTCTTGCTTCAACAATTCTTCCATTCTTCATTAAATATTGATATTGAATTTCTAAATTTTTGAGTCCGTTTGGAGAGAATTTTTTATATAACCTATAGTCTTATAGAGACATATCTACGAAGCCAAGCGCTTCATTAGCATCTGCTCTGTGTAAGTAGTAAACTGGTTCAGTCTCATCCAATTCAATAGCTCTTCCAAAGTATATAAGACTATCTAAGTATTCTTTTTACTTAACCAAGCATGTAGCAATATTAAAAAAGGCTTTTGGTTCTTCCTTTTTAATTTTAAATAACTTTTGGCATAATAAAACAATATTTTTAAATTTTTACATTTGTTTCAACAAATTTTTTGAAAAGTTTTATAGATCTTTCATACTGCCCCTTAGCCATATAAACTTGACCCAATGAGTTGTAAGTATAAGGAGAATGAAATTAAAAGAGCAAAGCTTGTAATAAATAATTCTCTGCCTCGTCTAATAAATCTTTAATTTAAAAATAATTAATATTTAATTAAAATATCATTCATGTATTATTATCTTTTTATTTACTTTGTAGTCTGTAAGTTTCCCCTATTAGGTAGTAAACATCTGCGTGTTCTATTCCCTTATGCAAAGCTTCTAACAGCAACGCTTCACTCTTTTTATAGTATTTTTTTTGTAGAGCATCTTTGCACTCCAAAAGAAGCAAATTCAAATTAACTCCATTATACATGTATTCCTTTTATTTATTTTCTTCTAACTATTTTTTTCTTTAGCAAGCACTGCAGTGTTTGGATAATTTTCCATTATAATTACTGTGATTATGAATTTCCTATTCCTCCAATTTTCTTTCTATAAATGTTTTTTATTTTCTTTCATTGAAGTTAAAATCATCGTTATTCAAATAATTCAAGATGTATTCATTTGATTTTATATTATTTACTAGTTATTCTTCTTAAATATTTTTATTTTAATCAATTTCTAAACTGAAAATATCATTTGCTAATTCATCTTAATTAGCAAAATTTTATTTTATAGATCCATTTTAGGAGTTATTTGACTTAAAATTAGGAGTATGTCTATCTGAGTAGGAGTTAGCATCTTATAAACTGTATTCCTTTTTGCTTGAGGAAGGCAAAGGAGTATTTAAAAATTGGTTTATGCTATAAATTTATTAAGGATTTCTTTTTTATTGCTCTTAAATCATGTGGTAATTATATGCAGAATATTGCAATTCTTATTGTAACTGCTATTCTCTTTTTTTTTGCTCTTCTATCATCCTCTCTTTTTGAAATCTTTGATAGTACTATTATTCAGCCTCCTGTTCTACATTCTTTACCCTATAATCTACTTCATAATTATCTGTCCCTCTACCATACTAAGTTCTCTACCTTAAAATTAAATTGATGTAAAAAATATGATTTTAATTGTTGAACCAGCTTTAAAAACTTTAAAGAGAAAGGAGTAAATATAAATATTAGACTGGTCCCTAAAATATGAATTTTAATTTATTAAGTCTTTACTTCTTATCATAGTATTTGATAGAAAGAGAGTCGTCAATGTATGTGTCCTTGACTTCTACTTATTTCTATTTTTGTATGTTAAAATATAAACTCTTTCAGTATTTTGATAAGTAAAATATTAATATTACCATGAATTAATGAAAGAAAACCAAACAAAATTTATTATAAATCAATTATTTAATTAATTATAAAAGCAATAATATGATAGAAAGATAAGTAAAATAATCTTAATTAATTAATTAATTAATTAAATTTAATAGAATAAGCATTGAATCTAATAGAAAGTTGGCTCTATCATTTTAAGAAGCCTGACCCTTACTTAAGTAATTTTTTTAAAAGCAAATAAATAGTCTTAATTATTTATACATTTATTTTTAAAATAACTAATTCTTAATAAGAATTTATAAAAAAACTATTCATAATTAAATAAATCAAAAATAAATTAATAAGCAAACAAACAAACAAACAAAAAATCAACCAAAAATCAAACAAAACATATAAAATGTAATTTAAAAATTCAAAGATAAAAAGATTGCACAATTAGGCAATACCTGATAATCTCTCACCTGAAAAGCAATCTTCAATGCTTGAAATATACGGAAATATAGAGAGTTATGAACAATACTCAACATATTAAAGTGAAATCGAAAGTATACCATGCAACTAGAGGATTTTTTCGTAATAGTAATTAAGCTTGAATAATTTTAGTGCTTTTTCAGAAACAAATATAGATTATAATAATTAAAACAATCTGCTATCATTTCCTGAGGGATTGGATTATTAACAATTGATTTTTAGTTCGAAAAATAGCTCTTTTGAAAGCTTAGATGAAGAAAAAAGTAGGGACTAGTAGAAGAAAGATTAAAAACCTCTTGCTTAACAAGAAGAGACGAATTTGTTGGTTAAAAAGAGCTATCAGGCTATGCTAATATAAAATGGTAATCCATAAAAAATTCTGCGGTTGAATAAAAAGTTCTATTTGTTTTTAGATTAAATGATCGACTTAGAGTATTTTGAAAATTTAAAATCTCCAGGTAATTACTTAGAAAATAGCGAGTGTGTATAACTAACGAAAGGATTTAGATTAATAAATTAAATCACTCATCGTGTTGATAATAAATTTATAGAAGTGGATATGGAATACGTAACTAGATAACCTCACAGCATAGAATATATTATATAATTTTTATAGTCTCTTGGAAATAAGGATTTGATTAAATATGTAAATTGTTTGTTAGAGTTTTAAAAAAATATAGATAATTGCTAATAGCTCATAAAATAATAGGCTCTTAATATGAATTTTCTCGAGCATAGGCTGGAGAGAAAAAAAGCAGCCGATGATTAATTTAAATAATTAACTTCTTAATTAGACCCTCAAAAACTTTATTTTTATCAAAGGTACTCTGTAAATTATGAGACTTGCCAATACGAGTCAACAGTAGCAGGTTACTCACCAGCATTATATGAAGTTATAGACAACGGATCTTATTCGTTTTTAGAATATCTCTCAAAATACGGTTACTTTGATCCTATGTCATCTTTATTTAGATTAGGCGATTGCTTTTACAGAACTTGCTATTTTGCAAACAATTTACCATAAGAATTCGATGAAGAACTTAATAAATTGGCTAATCTAGAATTAGTAACAGTGGATAACTTCAAATTCCCAGTTACAATGAAGCTTGATCACCATTATTTAGAATAATAGTATGATATATAAAACAATTTATAAATGAATTTTTGCGACTTGCTTGCTATCTATGAATTTAACTTTAAAGATTTATAAGTTTACTAAAATTTGTAAGAAGCAAGAAAAAGTAATATTAATAATTAAAACAAGCTAGAAACAATTTTAGGAGATAATGTTGATTGGGAATAATTCGACTACATACAAACTTAATTCTTCAAAAAGTATTATTAAGATTAAATTTCTAATCTAGTAAAGAAAGGAAATAAATGGTATAAAAGATGTGGGTTTGTAGAAATACCCACAAAAAAGCAAAAGAAAGAATTTTGAATTTATAGCTTTAAAAAAATAAAACCATTATCTTTGCGCATTGAGAAATTACTTCAGCAATATATAAATATAACAAAAAATTTTTATGATATTAAAATATAATAAAATATTAAATCTATACAAAACGTCACTATTTATTCATCTTTCATAATTAATCTTCTAATCAAAATATTTATTTATATCAATCTTATTTTTTTAGTATTTTGGTTTATTTTTATTTGTAGGGAGGGAGTATTCACTCTTTGCTAATATTCTTAATTACATTCAATTCATTTAGATACTTACTTCTTTTTAAAAATTTAGTTTTTAAACTTATTAGCTTGTCTGCGTTCTTTTCATACTCAAATATTAATTATTTTTTACAATTAAAATTCTACGCAAATTAAAAATAAGCTAAAAAATATCAACAACCCCAAGTCGATTATAAAATCTTATTTTAGTTAATTCAAATTAAAAAAAATTATTTATTTTTAAATAAACATTTGGAAATATTTTTTCCTTTTGCTAATAAAAACAATTTAATTTTTATGAAGATATTTGTTTTAGACAATAAAAAATTTTTTTATAATAAATATAACAAAATTTAAATAATAAAATAACTGATCGCATTTTTATTATAAAAATTTTAATTTTTGACTGATTTGATTTGTTTATCTTTTACTCTATCTATCAAAAAGCAAGAAATATTTTTATTTTATAATAAAAATATTAATATTTGTTATCATTTAGATACAATTATTTAAGTATTGAGAAGGTAAAAATTAAATATTTACATTTTTTATAACGTGTAAATAATTAATTAATAGTTTAATTCTCATAATTAACTTGTATAACTTATATCTGTTTTTCTACTACTACAAATATTTCTTTTAATGTTGATTATTCAATTGATTGCATGTGTTAAATAAGAAATATTATTTTAAAAATATTAATAAATTTTAATACTTACTTAAAAAAATAAAAAAATTTTACAAAAAGATCTAGTAAAAATTTTTATTTTTTTTATTCCTCAAATATCTAGTTTAATATGAATTGGTGGGTTGATTACTCATATTCAAAGTGAAATATAATTTTAAAAAGATTAATATTTTAATAAAAAATATATATAAATATAAGGTAAGAAATTTCACATAAAGATCTAGTATAATTTATATTTATTTTTCTATTACTTCAACTATTTGATTATTTAGATAGTGGATGAATTGCTCATCTTTTTAAAGAATATATTATTATCATTATTATTAGATACTTCGAATCTTTTAAAATACAAAGATATAAAAATATAAGGATTAGCAGATATCACTTATTATTGTTAATAAAAATAATTAAATATAGTTAGATAGATAGATATTCACTAAAAGATATATTTAGAAATGAGCAATACATTTGAAGAAAGAGGTACCACTAAAATTATTTTATTGATCGATTGATCAATGCAAAGCATTAATTATTAGAGGATCATTAAAATGTTTGATTGTATTAATAGCATTTGAGATATTTAAGAACCATTGTTCTAACGAAGAAGATAATGACTATGCATCCAATCTTATTAAGGCATTAATAGATATCATTTCAGAATCAAAAGGTATTAATTGATTTTGATATTTAGCAAGGTTAGGAATGAAGTAATGCAAATTATTAATTATAATAGAATAGACTATGCAAGGTTTAACAAGAAATATTAAATAGTCCGCTGAGTATATAGTTGAAAAGTCCCAAACTTCAGGTTTTTTAGGATCTCGCACAAATCTATTTTTAAAGGTAAAATGAATATAAGATTTTTCTTGAATTTAAGAAATCATTTTATATTCTACAAATTATTTACAAGATTGCATTAAAAATTAAAGATCATTAAATATATAAATAGAGCACTGCCAGCATTTTCTAGCATTATATTAACAAGGGTCTCTAATATTATGGAGGTGACAATATGGAAGAGTTAAAGTAGAATTTAAAAAAAGTTGGCAAAGAACTTTTAGATATTGCTTCTTAATCTAAAGATAAGATTCGCATAAATGCACTTGAATTTTTATAAAATGGAATAGTAAGAAGATATTTATTTACTTTATAAAAATTATAATTAAATTCTCCCTTCTTAAAAATTTTATATTTTAAACTTAAAAATGAGCTTTTATTGATTAATATGAATAAATTTGCATTCATTATCAAATATCATTTTATATTTTTAAATACCTTTATTTATTATTTAATCATTTTCATTCTAAAAATAATTTATTCGTACAAAAAACGGCTCTTAATAACATATAAAATAATACTAATTATTAATAAAGACTATCCTTATTTTTGGTCATTCAACAGTTGTTGCTGATTCTCTGATATTTGGGGCAAATAAAGGAATAAAGTTTTCTTGCATCGTATGTGAAACAAGACCTAAATGTGAAGGGTATAATTTTACTCATTTACTAATTTATTTATTTGTTTGTATTTATGAATATTTTATATTATTTTTATCAAAAGTTATTTGATGTACAAAAAATTAACTAACCATAATATCCCTTGTAAATTTATTTGCGATTCTGCTTTGGGAACAGCTGTTGAAGAAGCTGATTTAGTTCTTGTAGGAGCTGAAGCTGTTGTTGAAAATGGTGGCATCATAAATAGAGTAAATAATTTAAAATTAAAAGTAAAAAAAATATAATCTTATAATCTAAATATAGATTGGTACATACACAGCTGCTCTTTGTGCTAAGTCCTTAAAAAAATAGTTCTATGTATTAGCTGAAAGTTTCAAATTTGCCAGAATGTTCCCACTTTCATAAAAGGATCTTCCTGACAGTGTTAAAAACTCTTAAGATTTTGATGTAGTTGGAGACACTTTCGGACTTAAAAAAGAAAATATAAATGTAAGATTTAAATTAATTAAGTTATTTTTAAAAATAATTTATATCTTAATAGGTGTTAAATCCTGTTTGCGATTACACTCCTCCAAATTTGATTACTCTGTTGTTTACAGATGTTGGTATTTTCACTCCTTCAGCTGTTTCTGATGAACTCATTTAAATTTTTAACAACTGAGCTAATTTTATATTATTAATTTTTTTAGTAACTTATTCATATTAATAAAATTCTCTAAATAAAAATTTAACTTTAAATTGATTGTTCATTCGTTCAATCATTTACTTATGTAGTTTTTTTTAAATCAATAAATACAAAAAACACATATTGAATGAGTTAAGTAAGTATTTGTATAAAATAATTTTAATATTCAATTAATTTGTCATTTTTCCTTTTCTTGTTTAGGTTTGTTTTATCTAAATTTCTTAAATACGAAAACCATTAATATTATAAAGCATATAATTCCCATAACTAAATAGCTTATTCCCAAAAACGAGTTTCTTCCTCCAAACGCATTTGCAGTAGATAGGACAAATGATTTAGTTCCATCAAAGGAATCGACAGGATAATCTAATCATAAAAAATAATTTCTATTAATAGCATTATAATAACAAAACAATTTTACTATTTTGGATTTAAATTGTATAAACTCCAGCAGTAACTTTTTAATCGATTCTTCCCCATAACTTACGGAAATCTGGTAAAGCAGCAGTTCTCATCCAAACCATAAATCTTTCTAATTAATTAATAAAAGTATAAATATTATAAGAATATTTTTTAAATTTACCATCTTCGACGCTTGTCCACTAGATACTCATATCCCTATTTTTATACTTAGTGCTTTTATCACTAGGCCAAGCAATATTATTACTTGAAATATCAACCTTATTACCATTAGGGTCATAGAGAGCGTAAGTATCTATTAATTTTATTAAAAAATAAATTAGAGTATGATATAAGTACTGAATTTATATTTTACCATTAAACAAAGAAGCTGCTATAAGACCACAAGGCCATGCATAATCACCATCTTTCAATGATTTATCAACAAATCTGTATTTCCTCAAATCACTATAATAAATTATGGGCTCACAATTAGAAACATCAGAATATGAAACACTATCTCCTTAAAGCTAAACTACACTTTTAGATTTCACATATCTTCTGTGGTTTTAGTAAAAATTAGTTAATTCATAATATACAAAAACAGGGGCTTCCATATCTTCTGTGACAGTAAATGTTGCGGTGCATATAGCTGGATTAAATACTGTATCAGGTTTTGGATAATTTATTGTAGAACATTTTGTATCATATCTTACTTTGTAGTCTATAATTTTATTTGTGAAAACAACTAAAACTATTCCAAACACCAAGAATATTGTAGCTTTTATTTTAAATAATTTCAAGTAAGATTTCTTTGCATGATAAATATTCTTAATTCAATCTTTTTAGGAGTTAAAATTGACACTAATGCTCATCAATAATATCATCTAAATTACTAAATAAATAACTCATATTTACATAAAATTGCAAAAACTATGATGGTTGAGTTTAATGTTGGAACAGGCTACCACGCTTTCATAATTTGTTGCTTGAAAGCGTGTAAAAATGTAGTCTTGTCTTCCTTTTGCTACTAATTATCTGACATTTTACTTCAAATCTAAACGTTAATTATTTTATTAATTATTTATTTATTTTCTATTTAATTTATGATAAACAATTAATTCCAATGATATAAAAATAATAATCAATCAATCAATTATTAAAAATGACACAAAATTTAATTTAATTTTTGTTAATTAACAAGTAAATCAAGCAGTTTTTTAAATTTTCTTATTTTAATACATATACTCTCATCTTAATTAAGTTTAATGAAAAAAAATCAGTCAGTCAGTCATTAATTGATTCATTCATTCATTAAGCTAATATAAAATTTTGACACTTGAAATTTATATTGTAATAGCTCAAGATTTAGTTAGTAAGCATATCGTGTAAATTTTGTTTTTAGCTTTTGAAATAAATATTTTTTTTTCTTGAGACAAGAAATAGATAATTAATTATTCTTTTCTTTCGAGTTGTAAATAATTTACTAATTTTAAAGATTTATTTTTCATTTTTGTTTTCATTCAAAAAATTGCAAAAGTATTTATATTTGATCTAAGAATTTATTACCTGAAAATATGTATATTAATATAGCTTAAAAGCATAAATCAACTTTTAATTAATCCTAATTTAAAAAAAACATGTACACATAAAAAAAAAAATTAATTAAATTATAAAAAGAGTGAAAGTTTATAAAATTCTTGTAAGAAACTAAAAAAAAATATGTTGATATTTAAAATAATATTTTCAAAAAATAAAAATAATATAATAAAAAAATTTTTTTAACTTTTAAAATTTAAATTTTTTCTGAAACCAAAACTTAAGATTTTTAGCACTTTTTATGAGTTAGCATAAATATTTCAGATATTTAAATGAATGATGATAGTTTTTAATTATTTCGACTTTAAAAATTAAAAATTAAAATTAATTTTATAGTTATTATATTGATAAAAGATGAGAATAATTTAAGAAAATAGAAAATTATTTTTGGTAAAATAAATATTTATTAAATGAAGTAATAAATAGATTTTACAAAGAAAGTTAACAAAAAATTAAATAAAATATAGATACATTTTTGATAGTAAATAGATAGATATTACAAGTTTGAGTAACTAAATTTATATAATAGTAAAATTTAATTAAATTAAGGAGTTATACATACATTCTTAGCTTATGTTTGCTTAAAATGATTAACATATTTTAATATATAATTAAATTATAATATTTTTCTTATTTTATCTTTAATAGTGTCAAAGAAAAAGAAGTAATTAGTTTATTTATTTATTTATTTGCTTATTTTTTTTAGAGAATGGTTTAGAAATTAATTATTTTTTTATTTATTTATTTATTTTATTTATTGCTTTTTGTTTGGTATAATATTTAAATGTATAAAGATTTTATTAAAATGATTAAATTAGAAAAAAAATTTGTGTCATATGATTCATATTTGTTAGTTGTTAAAATCTGACTAGTATGCTTGCTCATATCCAAAGCTATTATTAAGTTATTAATATATGAAACTATTGTTACAGGTTAGTGAGATATTGTTATTATTAAAAATTCTATCATCTATTTCATCATCCATAGAGTTTTGATTGTTTGGATTATTTTAATTTAAATAATATTAGTAATAATTGATTTATAATTCTCCTCCATCTTATGGATTTATTTGACTAAAATCTTCAATATTCAATTTTTCATTCATCAAAATAGACTATGGTTCGCTAATTTCTTCATGTTTTATTTTTTCCTCAATAATCATGTCACAATTATTGTTACCTGTCAAATCAGGTAGCTACTATTAATTGAATTATTGTTGCTAATTGTTGAATAATTACATTGATTATTAATTGTTAAATTATTGCAATTGTTATTAATTGTTGAATTGCTACATTTGTTATTAATTATTGAATTGTTACATTTGTTATTAATTATTAAATTACTACAATTACTAATTATTAAATTATGATAATTATTAGTGATTGTTATATTACTGGAACTATAATTATTATTACTGCCATTGCTACTAAGTCTTTTGTTAGTTTTTACCATCATAAATATATTATTGAAGCTTTTGACTTTCTATATTTTAAGCTATGAATGGTTAATTTGTACGAGGATTCATATATTATATTTGCTCGGGGTCTTCTAAAGGTTGGAATGAATTATTATTTATACTATTTAAAATTTATTATTGAGGTGATTTTATTTTATTGAAGCTATTTTACCCTCTTATGAAAGAGTTCTCGATTTCTGCTTCAAATATTTCTTTATCAGAATCATTCTCTCTTAAAATATTGTCTTGGTTTTGCTTTAAACTTTCTTTGTTATCGTAATGAGAATATATTGTATACAAATTATCCTGATTTTAGTCATTCTAGATAATCTACTAATATTAATCTAAATTTATTTTAGCTTTGATGTATTCTTCTGAGTCCTAACAATTAACTTAACTTTTAGCTTTATTAACTAAAGAAGAATTTTAGGCAAAAACACCTTGGTTGTTTAGGAAATTATTTTGATTTTACTGTTAAGCCTTGAAATTAACTAGCTGTTCTTGGGTTTGATTAAGACCTATAAAATTTCCATTTATCACTTAGGCATATTAATTAAATCCATTGTTTACATTATTTACCATAGATGAATTCTAAAAGTTTGATTGATAATTGTTCAACTAGTTATGATGATAATTAGTTTTTTAATTATGAACATGAGTAAAATAGGTTTGTTAATCTTCTAAAGGGCTTGGCCTTCTCTACTGAGTGACATGAGGTTAACTTAGATTATAATTATTTTACTTGTTAATGTAATTAATTGCTTCTTAAGTAGTATTTTCTTTTTTAACCTAAATTTATTATTCATTGGTATCAATGTCTTCAAATTTATTAATAACCTACGAAGCAGATGATATAGTTTGAAAAGCTCTTTAATTACTTTTGTAAGTAGAAGCCGCCAGTGTAGCCTAGCTATCATACATGTTATACTAATTAATTCTAACTTAAGGCGTTAATATTGGAAAAGATTATTTGGAAGTATGAGTGTTTAAGCCTAGCTCATGCTCATCATCGATATTGCTTTTTACTTATCCGCTACGACCCTATTTGACTTGACCGTAAAGAGGATGAGAATTAGATCCAATTATAGATTTATTAGAATTTTAAGTAGACTTAAAAGTGCTTGAGACTGATGGCTACTCTTTTGAGCTGTCAAATTATGCAGCTTATTAGTAAAATAGATCAATATCTGCATTTAAACATTTAATATCTTCTTGAGTTATGTCTTCAGGAGACTTTAACTCTTTACCACTCAATTAAAGACAATATTCCCTGAGTAACTCAATTTAAATTTAAATATCAGTTTTTTTTCTGCCCTTGAAAATTTCCGCTTATTAGTTATACATGATAAAGCTCTACTGCCAGTCTTTAAGTTAGAGTCTTTATGTACAGAATTGCATATCATTTTTATTTACATGATATGATTTGGATTGTCTGTTTGTAATTGCCTTAGCCATCGCTCTCTGTAAAACCCACTATGATGAAAACTTATTTTTAGGCTTCTTAATAAAATCCTTATAATATAATTCCTTTTATTCCCAGTTAAGCTAATACATTTCTAAAATTGTTTTTTTTTGCCACTCAAATCTTCTTTAAAAGAGTCTTTAGTTTTGATTTAAACTATTTGATTTTTTTTTTCTTTTTAGTTGCTATTTCTTTTTTTAATATTTTTTATAAGTTTTTACCAAGTACCCACTTTATTTTTTTTATGGATTGAGCTGATGGATGAGTTTTCTTTATAAACAAATAAAGTGAAAAAAATATTAATTTATAAAAATTTTTTTAAATTCTCAATCTTAGACAATTAGTATAATCAGCATATTCCAATTACTTTTTTTTCTTTGCTTTCATCGGTATTGTAATTGAATAGAGTTTTACTATACAAATATCAAACAATTTTAATTTTCTTTTATTAAATTTACTCATAAATATACTTGAAAAATTAAATGAAATAGATGCATATAATTAATTACTTTGAAATTTTATTTAATTTAGAAATTTATATTGCCTTTTATGCTCTTCATAACATTCAAAAATGAATGTATTTATTTGTTCAAGATTTACAATAAAAATAAAAAAATGGGAATGGCCCTCTTTTTTCTCAGCCCACCCAAATATTGCTTAAGTAAGTAAGTGTCAATTAAGTTAAGAATAATAAATAAGTCTTTTACAATTATCGTGTGTTCATAAATTAATAAAACTATATATAGGATTATTAAATCTAAATATAACCCACAATCAACATTAATTAATTTGCCTCAGAAGGCTTTCTTAAGAAGATTTTTATTTTTTTTCCTATCGAAGTTGTACACCTAAAGCTCATCATCACTTTTTTAATTCAAAGTTTGATTTGCCAGCTTGTCTTCATTATCTGTATTAGTCTTATCCAAGACTTGTGTATATTTGTTTCCACTTCTTAGCCTTCTCACAATTTTTTCACTAGGTAATAAATCTACATCACTCTACTGTTTCTTTTTATTTTTTTCTACTTAATCAGATTTATTCTGTTTTTCGATAATTTTCACCTCTAAATCCTAAGTGTCTTTGTTTTATTTTACGTTTTTTTGATCTAATTTACATGATTGTTGATTAAATTTTGAATAACAATTTTTAAAATTATACTTTTAATTTATTATTTTGTAGTCTTTTTTTTATTTTACTTTTCAGATTCTTCTTTTTGTTCTTCATTGTTCTCCTCTTCTGATCCATCAGTATCATCATCACAACAGTCACTTTTTAATTTAGTCTTTTCTTTCTTTTTACTTCCTTAGCTTTTCCATCCTAAAAATTTGATAAAATAGAATGAATGAATAAATAAATAGTTCGTCTTTTATATTTAAAAAATTAAACAAATCCAAATAATTAGTTTTTATAAAATAAATGATGACGTAAATGAGTGTATCATCTAAATAATTGTAAATTTACTTGAGCTTAATTCTTTTTTTAGTTCACTTTAAGAAACTCCTTTGTAGCTGAATGATTCCCAATTTTTCTTAGCCTCTTTGCTTCTTAAATCTAAAAACGGATAAATCTCATACAAAAAAAATATAGCTTGTTCCTTCATTTTAGCTTCAATTAATATATCTAGCTCCATTCCTAGTTTTTCAGGCACACTTAAAAATTCCTAAGGGAGTTCTGAAATATAATCTGAATGGTGTCCTACTTGACCAGAACCTTACTCTGATACATGACATTTCATACGAATGCCTCTCTTTTTCCATGTTTTGCTTGCTTCTTCTACTAATTATTCCAAAGACTCCTACTTGGCTTCTTTATGATAATAATTATAGCACTGATAATGATGGGAATCTACAACAACTGGTAAAGCAAATCCATACTTTTCTTCAATTTTATAAGATATTTCTAAACAGTCTCTGATAGAATAGCTAAATTTATAATTATAACAAGATTGTAAAATATAACCAAAGATTTTTGCATTTAAATTTTATGTTATTAATTAATTAATTAAAATAGCCAAAGATTTCAATTTTGATTTTTGACCAAAAATACTTGCAAAAAAAAAATCAAACAATTATCTATCTATTTATTTTTGTTAAGAATTTATCAAGAAAAATAATATACCATTTCTCACAATTTTCTAATACCAACTTTTATTAAACAATTTTTGGTAATCTCCCAAAATTGATAACCCATCTTTAAATGGTTTCATCCTTATCTCCATAGAGCCCACCTCCATGAATAACAATCACACTGTCTTTTTCTTCTTCAAACCCTAGATATTTATATATCTCTGCATGCAAAGAAAGCTCTTTTATTGTAGCTTCAAAAGCTTTTTCATTTGGCGTACCAATCACATTAAATTAGCCAGGATGAAAAGTGAGTCTATGTTTATATTTTTTGGCTAAATCACCAGCTTTTTTGAGCTCTTCCTTAGCAAATTCAATAGTATATCCACATTTTTCATCAGTTGCCCTTGGGAACATTTCGCTGCTAACTCTTAGAACTTGAATTCCATTTTTTTAATTCCATTCTATCATTTTGTAGAGGTCTTTTACATTCTCCATAGCTCTAGATTTAGCCTCATCTTCTCCTTTTTGTGAAAATGCTTTTCTTTAAATTGACCTTGAACAATATATTGGTGTTTTTCCATCTTTTAATACAGTGTTTATGCAGCACAGTCCCAATCTAATTGAAGGATTCATTTTAATATTTTTTTTATAACTAGATAAAATAAATATCTTTTGTTAATTAAGTAAATTACATCTTAGATTTAAAGTAGGATTAATTAATCAACTATTCCCTAAATCTTTGTAATAAAGAATTTTCTGGACCAGTAATTCAATTCAAAATTAAATTTTATGCATTTTATTTTGAGATAAGATAATTTTTAAAGTATTTCAAATTATTTGTCTTATTAAAAATATTAATTTTAAAATAAATTTCAAAAATTTATAATTTTTATTATAAAATCAGAGAAATATTTAAATTTAAGTTTCTAATTATTTGATCATATAAGTCAATTAATTTACAAACAAAATTTCAAATTTTTAATAATTAAAGTAAAATTTATCCTTTATCAAAATAAGAAGTAAATTAATTTTTTTTAAAGTTAATTTTGTTAAATTAAGTTAAATAATAACCAAATATTTTATTAAAATTTAATTTAAATTTCTTATTTGAATAAAAGAAAATCAAATTTTTATTGATATTTATTTTAAAATTAAGAAATATTTATGGGTGAAAGCACTTTTAAAAATAATAATTAAATATTTTGTAAAATTAACAAAAAAAATAAAAGTTTTGTTAACAATTAAATAGTAAAAATATTTAATGTTTAGTGTTAGATTTTTAATAAAGTTTGACTTGAATTATTTGGCTGTCAATAAAGTAGGAAAAACCAATAAATTAAGTATATAAAAGCACCTTAGAATTAGTGATTGTTTATTTATAAATTTATAAACTATTTAGCATCTACAGATACAGATTGACAAAAAACCTTTTCGTACCAAAAATACCTAATTTAAACAAGGTTGAATGCAATTTAATTAAATAAAGTATAAATACAGTCAAACAACGAATTTTTAGTAGCTTTCAAAAATTTCACTCTTTTCTACCTCTCTTTAGTAGTCTTCTATTCTGAACTCATAATTTGATCTCCAAGTTTAATAAAATTAAATTAATAAATTTTGAAATAAATTTTACTTAAATTAAACACTGTAAACTCTGTAATTTTTTGTTTCAATTTTTTCCATAATGTCTTCTTTATACAAAGCCTAGAATTTATCATTTTGCCTACAATTAATTTATATGTTTTTAATTAATGTAAAGAAAACTTGGAAATATTACTAATAACTTAGATGTAGTTCTTTTAAATATCTAAGCTGATGTAAGGTTTTATCTAATTTCTTTAGTGTTTCATTAGTAAAATTTTTATTACAACTATTGAAATAAAATAGAATGAATAATGAATGAGTTTATATTAATATCAATTTTACTCAAATAATAATCGAAGATATTCTAGTTTTTACATATTTTCTATTGAATCTAAAAGTTGTATGTAGCCATCATCAGTTACCATCCAAGAACATCTTAATAAAAAATATATTTAATAATTAAATGAATAAATCAATTTTTTTTACTGAAGTTCTAAATTAAAATATGTTAGGCTAAATAGAAATTTCAAGCAGCTTGCAAGATAGCTCATAGAATCATCTTTTAATTTTTTTTGGCATCTTTAAATTAATTTAAAAAATATTTACTTTTATCAATAATAACTATTTATTTTACGAAAAAATTAAACTGAGTTTTTGTAGATTCTAAAGATCCTGAAGTTTAATGCACAATAAATTAAATGCTTAAGGTGTAAATTCGCTATTTCCTCTATGTAAAATATAATTTTTATTTTAAAAATCTATTGATAGAATTTAATATACCTCAAATTAAGTAAAAAGTCTTTCAAATTTATATAATTACCTACACTTTCAAACAAATTAACAACAGCTTAATTTGTAAATTGGTAGTTATAGCTTTTTTTAATTAATCAGATTTAAATAATTAGTTAAATTTACTGAACAAAATAAAATACTTGAAATTTAAATGCAATCTTTAGAGGATTATGTGAGACTTTAGCTATTCAGTCAAACTATTTAAGCTGATATCAGTGAACTTATTGTTAAAACTAAAATAAATTAAATCAAGGCATTTTCAAAATATGATTTATGTAGATTAATTTTTACTTAAAATTTAACTAGATATCAATTAGATTATTCTACTGCTTGAATGATTCACTCAATGTTTGAAGTGCTTTATCACTGATTTCTCTGTTATTACTTTTGAATTATAATTTTTTGATTTACCCTCTTTGGAAAAATATTGATTGATTACCACTCTAAACAAAAGTGACTATAAAAATTCTTTTTTTAGTAAAAGTGCTTTGCGATGTTTATAATGTCAGCATCTTCATTTTTGAAATTGCTTAATATATTTTTTAATTTATTTAATTATAAAAGAAAGCTATATTAAAAAGCTTCATACAGGAATTTAAAAATATGTTTTTGGTCTTCCACAATTTCTTTTTCTTTGATAGAAATTTCCGTTTCGTCAAGGTCCTTGAATTCTTTTTATCAATTAAGGGGTTGGTCAACATTTAATTTCATGTTTTTTGTTTAAAAAATTTCAAAGCTTTATTTTGGAATATTTTGTGTTTTTTAATTTAAAAATTAAATTCATTAATTTTGAAAGGTTAATTTTTGATTTATATTCAAAATATTATTTTTTAGCTTTAATTTTAAATATTTTGTGAACTAATTTTTACATTTCTAAAAGATAAAGTCAAAATCTGGTTTATAAGAATAAATGATTGGTATTGGTTTGAATTGGTCTTTTAAATAAATTAGCAGCTTTTCCATGTAGAACTTTGTATTTTTTCTTAGGGTGAAGTTAGATTAAATCATACTCATAATAAAAGGATAGAAAAAGCTATCTTTATTAATAGCAAAATCTTCAGGTAGTTTATTTTTACTAAAGGCATCGTAATGAATTCTCATAATTAACTTATTTTTTTCTTCTTGTTCCCCTTAATGAATATTGTAATTCATTAAACTTATGTTGTCCATTTTCATCAAAAGGAAACCTAAGCAGTAAATGTCAGTCTATTTTATATTTGAAAGGATCATACTAATATTAGTATACTAGAAGTTTTGTATTTCTTAATTAAAGATTGAAATATGAAGTCAGTAGTAATGATAATTTTTATAATATATGTTTGAAATTCACCTGCTATTTGTATCCTTCATTTTTCATCACTTCTGGTCCTATGAACATAGGAGTACCGTACTATTTTTACATTTTATAGATAAATAATTAATAACTTAATGAATATATATAATCTCCACAAAATATTTGTATATGCAATTAAATTATGAGATTTGTTTACTCTTGATTTAAGGAGAGGGTAACAAAGGTTAGGGAGTGAGTAATCAGCTTTTTTATAATTTAGGTGAATTAATTATGTGATGGACTTAAAACTTAACTAAAAATGAGATTAAAGCAAATTATCTTACAGTATTTGTAGACTCCATCCTTTAGAACTATATTTGAAGCTTTTATATTTCTGTGAACAGATCCAGCTTAGTGGATCGCTGTTAATCCGTCGAGGAGTGTTATTACCAAATGGATCATTTAATTGAATTCAAAACGTTATCCTTTTACTCTCATTTCTTCCATTATTTCATCCAAATTTTCTAGTAGCATTTAAAAAAAACATTTAATTTTTATTTAAACTATGAAGTTAGATTTAGTTGATTCATTTTCATTAAGCAAACTCAAAAATATTTTTGAAACCAATGTTTTTATTTACTTTCATATTATTCCATTACAATAACTAAAAAAGTGTTTCCCTCCTTTTCAATAAATTGTTCGTCATAAATCTAAACTATATTTGGGTGTTTTTGAATATTTTTTATAGGAATTGCTTCTTTCCTGACCACTTAAAGAATTTCAAGTTTCCTAGGCTCAAAATTTACAATCTTGATTGCTTCTCTTCTAAATTTTCTAATATTGTAGGCTGAGAAGATTAAGCTGAAAGGACTTTAGCCTATGAACTTGATTTCTTCGTATTTACTAAAATCGTTTAGAATCTAAGTTATCTGACTAACAATTTTGAAAGTCAGTATTTTCTTATATTCAACTTGACTAAACAAAATTTGAGGATCCATTTAATATTTCTGCGTATGTTTATATTTTCTACTTTCTCTTAAGAAGCAAAAAAAAAAAGAATAAAGCTAAGCTTTCTTTCTACTTCTCTTTTAATATTTTGAATGATAATATGTAGAAATGAGCAAACAAAGAAATTTTAATAAAATCTTTTTTAAGTTACATAAATCTCACCAAAATCAGTGCATTAATAAAAACAATTTAAATAGAAAATATTTTAATTTGTTAAACTAAAAAAAGTTACAAACAAAGTATCATTTTATCAACAATATAAATAATGATTAATCAGCAAAATAATTAAATAAAAAATCAATATTGATAGTGATGATTTCAATGAAGTTTAGATATTTACTCTTAAATGAATGTTTTTTACACAATTATTTATAAAAAGAAAAAAATAATATAAAAACAAACAAATAAAACCAAATAAGAAATTGACTAGTTTTATTATTATTTTAAATATGATAATTATTATAATTATTAACTAATTATTTATTTATTTATTTAGATTTTTAGATAATTAATTAGTAAGTCATTTAGTTGATTTGTGTTTTCATCAGATTGTTAATATTATTTATTGAATGTTAAAATTTTATTTAAATTTGATAATTATTTATATTAGATACTGAGATATTTTATTTGCAATAAATATGCATTTAAATATAAAATCTTCAATTTTTCTAAATCTTCTAAGAAATTCTTTTAATGTTATAGATTTTTTTCAAGATTTTTATTGAAAAAAAATATTTGTTTCTTATTATCTCTTTTCTATTACAAAATTTGTTTGTTATCAATATGTTTACACCAATTAACCTTACTCAAAACAAAAAAAAATTTCATAATTTAAATATAAGCAGCACTTTTAGTAAGTTTTTTGCTGCTATGTACTAAAAAAGAAGAACTTTCAATTAGATATATCTATATATCAATGAATATTTTGAGCAAATTATGTTTATAAGTTTTAAAAGATGTCTATAATATTTTGTTAAAAACTATTTTAAGCATATGAATTTGATGAGAAAAAAAAGAGTTTTATAAAGCTAATATCAAGAATCAAGAAGATTTTTGTTTGACAAAATATAATAAAAAAATAATAATAATGAGTAATGCTTATAAACACAAAAAAATTATTTGAAAAAAATAAAAATTTTGATGAATTCTATTGTATCATTTGAAAATAAAAATTATTATAATTATTTTCCCTTTTGAAAATTTGTAAATTTTGATTATGGAGAGCGGTAAATAAACAAACAAGCAAGCAAGCTCTTAATTCCCATAAATTTATTAATTATATAAGGAGTTTTTATTTATTTTTATAAAAAGATTAAATAATCTTTATAACAATAATAATTATTTACGTAATTATATAAAATTCTAATGACTTATTTCTAGCAATTCGAAGCATATTTCTCGTCATATCATTTTTTTAAACAAAACTAAATAGGGGTGAGGTAAATTTAATCTAATTGTTTAAATCTTTTTTGTACTGTATAATAAAAAAAAACAAATTTTATTTTCATCAAGTGTCTAATAATGAATTATATACCTATAAATATTTTCCTAATAATCTCTTTTTTGCTTATTCCAAAATTTCAAATCCCTAACTCACGTATGAGCTGTGTTAATAAGCGATTTAATTAAATATATTTCAGTCCACTCATTTGCATTTTATAGGTTTTATAAAAAATAAATGAAGAATAAAATAATTATAATCACCTTATTATAAATACTTTTTTAAAAATTTTTATTCAAAATATTTAAGCTGCTTTGCTACAAAATAAATTATTCTGATGAAATATAAAATTATCTTAAATTGCATTATAAAATATCTGTAAATAGTTAAGCTCTTTATCTTCATTTTAATAAATTAAAATTTTATTGTATAGTGCAACTAGTTTACTCAAAGTTAAGCGATATTGAACTAATTTTTTAATCCTTACTAAAATATCTTAAAACCCAAATATTTTCTGACTATTTTACAATTCAAAATTTTATTTGTGATATTTTTTTTTGATATTTAAAACCCTAATTTTAGTACTATTTTTATAATAGATAAGCAATTAATTTGATAGAATACCTCATAACCTAAGTTTAAAATTAGATATAAAAATACTATAAAATACGTGTAATTGATTTAATAGTATTTGGCACTTTATTTGCTCACATTTTATTTTTGCAGCAATATTGTATGACATTTATATTTATTTTTTTCAACTTGAAATTGACAGTGAATTATTATTTTAAATAAGGATTTTTTGAAAAGTATAAAATATACTAATAAGAAAGTAAGCTAATCTTAAGCTGTTTATTCTGCCAAAAGTTAACCATCCTAATTGAATTTGAAGTTTTCTCTCATTTCTTTTTTTAATAATAAGTTGGCAAAAATATATTTTGATAAACTGTATTGAATGGACATAAATTTTCATTAAGAATAATTTAATTAATAACATTCATAAATTTGTGTGGATTTTTGAAGCTTTGAAACAAACAATACTTAAAATCGTATAATTCTGCTACCAATTTTAAACTGTAGATAATCCTTTCTTATAAATAATCCTATTAATAAAATTTATCGATAGTTAGAGTGATAGCAACAATGCTAATAAATATATTAATTCTATGAGAAATTAACTATTTTAACATTATTATATACTATAAATATAACAATAAATATATAAATAGGGTTTTGTGTTTAGTATTAAGAAAGAACAAGGAATAGTTCAAGACAGATTAGATGGTTTTTTGAGATGAATAATTAAAGGAAGTTAATAATGAAGTATATTTTATATAAAGTGACAAATTATATATATGAATAATTTTTATTATATATTTCTTTTATTATAAAGTGATTATTTAGTTATATTTTCCCTCTTTAAATTTTACTAGTATTTATTTATATTTGGATTTTAGTTGCAATTCTATATTAAGCTCATTCTATGCATGTATATGTGTGTGTGTGTATATATGCTTGAGTGAGTGAATGAATGAGTGTCTTGTAACTGCATTATAATTTGTAAAGGGTGAGATGGTTAATTGTGAAATATTAATAATATTAATTGAAGTAATTAATATAAATATATATATTAGTTAAATATTAAATGTGATTATTATTATGATCACGAGATATTTATTTATTTTATTTATAATATTAATTAATTATTGATTTCATTACTTAAATAATCTTAATCTATCTAGTTTTCTAAATAATTTTTATTAGCAGTCCGTCTCTTATCTATTTAAATAAAAATAGATCCAAGATGTATACACAAATAGTAATTAATATTGTGCTTCTGCTAACAAAAACAAGAAAAAAGTAGGTAAATAATTATTTTAGCAACAAAATCTCTCCTCAGCTCTATAGTAAGTATTTGTAATAACTATTGCTTCTGAGAAAGAATTGAAATAAATTGTGAGAGGGATGGATAGAGTTGAAGGCTCTAATAATTAAAAAAATTAATTGGTTACTTATTTATAGTTGATTGTGATTATATAACTAGTAATATTGTTGTGTAAGAGTCGACTTCCCTTTGGATTGCCTACTCATATAAAGTATTTATGTTATTATTTTTTTATTACTATTTAGGATGATAATTGTTATTATTATTATTTGAATAAGACTTATTAGTTTGTTTGGGTTAGGTTTGTTTGTTTTCTTTTTGTTTTTTGTTTTTTTTTTATTAATGATGGTAAATTAAAAAATATTAAAGGAAATTTAAGCAAGTGTTAGATGTTTGCTTGTTTGTTAGTTAGTTAGTTTGTTAATCAGAAAAGGATTAAACAGGTAGTTTACCTGATCAATTAATTCTCATTTTTCTTCAAAGGATTTCAGGAGCGCTATACAAATCTTGTAGTAGTTCCTCTTCAGAAAGACCAGTTGCGTCTTCTTCTTCCTCATCGGCAAGGTAATCGCCACAGTCGTCTTCAAAGACTAACTTTGCGGAGGATTAAATCATATTTAAGGAAGATTGTTTCTTTTAAAAGTGAAGTAAAAGCTCTTCAGGAAAGCTATACTTAAGAGCGCAGTTCATCAAAGCAATTTTATAGTAGTTTTCATCGACCTTCTCAAAGAAGTAAGAGAAGCGCTTTTCGAGAGAAGGGATTTCCATAGATTCGTCTGAAGAGTTTTGCTTAGCCAAAATGCTTTCTCTTTCAGGGTTGAAAAAAGAGGGCTTTAAGCATCTATATTTTTTCAAAGAATAAGTAAAGTAATCTGAATGATTGTTAACTGCTTCAAGTTAAGAAAGTGATTATTAAAGAGCCAAATTGTTTTCGGGCATGCGCTCAAAAATACTCTTAGCTGACTAAATGGAAACAATATTTTAGAATTCTTCTAAATCTTCATCTGAGTTAGAAGAGCAGTCAGTGGATGTACATTCATTATGTTGTTAATTGTAATTTTATTAAATGTTTTTCATCTATTATGCAGCAATAATTAAATCACTATTCTAAGCGATTTCAGGGGCAGAGTAAATATCTCCCAATTCATATTCAAACACATTCACTCCAGAGAAGTAACTGTTGTTACAGCTGGCGTTGCTGCTGTTGTTGTTGTTGGCATAGCTCATTGTCATCATTTCAGTTTGCGAAAATATTCGATTATAAATATATATATAAAGTAGAGATGAGCAAATGCTAATCAACAAATTGTTGTGTTATGTTTTTTTTTTCTTTTTCTTTTATATAAACGAATCAAGGTGGCTGGACCTTTTTTATATAAAATTTGTATGTATTTGATGATTTATTATTTATAAATTTTCACAGATGTCTTTTCTTTTATTTCAAATAAAGCAAATTAATTTTTTTACTTTAGTTAGAAGAGACTAAGTAAGATCAATGAATCATGAATCAATTATTGAATTAATCAATGAATGAATGAATGAAAGTCTGCATCTATCTATATGTGCAGCCTTAGTCTTTTCTTTTATATTATTTATTACTGCAAGTAATTTAATTGACTTTAAATCAAAATTTATAATAAATCTTTGATAAAATCCTTACCCCTTCCAACTTGGTCGAACAATATCAAAATTTTCTTTGATAGATTTATTGATTGATTATTTCTTTCGGGGAAATAAAAAATTTGTGTATTAATTAGCTTGCATTTTTTTTGTTAACGCTAATTCATTACTTTTTTTTTTGAACTAAAGAAGAAGAAAAAAAATGATAATAAATCAGATACCAAAAGAAAGTAATTAATATTGAGAGAAGAATAACTATATTTCGAATTATTATTACATTATTTTATTTAAGATGAGAGCTAAATATAATAATTATAAATTTTATTTTTTATAACAGAATCCATTTTTATCTCTCAATTAAATTTTCCAAACTTCTGAACAAAACATATTACATTTCAATGCTTCCTTGATTGCATGCCATGCAGTACATAAAACTAACGTAAATATGCCAAAATTATAAGTTGGCTTTAAAATAAGGACGACTATCATTGTGCGTCACTTTTGTATCTTAATTATATCCCACTTGATATATTATCGTGTGAAGGAGGAGTTCTTCTTTTAAAATTGATAGAAAGTAACAATAGTATGTACTTCAATCAAATATTTAGCATAAGATGGTATTAAATTATTTATCAGCTATTCTCCAAATAACTGTGCCTTAATCAACTTTAGTTCTAATGCGCATCAACCGGTCAAAAATTTAATTTTTTTCTTTTATCTCACTTTAGATTTAGTGCTAAAACACTATATTTGTGGTTATAGATCAGTAGTATATTTAATTTGTTGTTTTTAGAAATACTCCAAATAGCTCTTACTACCTTACACGTATTTTTAATACAGAGTACAACAGTGGTAGTTATTGATTAATTTCCTTTCAACAATCAAAAATAAAATTATGGAAGATTTTTAATATCAATCAATTCAGCAACTTATAGAAAAAAAATAGATTTTTTGGCTAAATAAGTAAGATAAAAAAGATAAAATTCGATAATTATATGCTTTATTTTTGATAGATCTATTTAAAATTACTTTATTCTTTCACATGAATGAATGAAGATAAACTGAAAAAATAAATATATAAGTCGAACCAGTATCTAAATTTTAAGGTAAAATAACTTAATAATTTTTGAATATTTTAAGAAATGATATATTCGAGGAGAAATTTATTGATTGACTTTTTCACAATATTTTAACGTGTTTATTTGCTAAATAAAGCAAGCAGCAGATAAAGTAAATAATTAAATAAATAAATAAAATAAAAGTAAAAATTATATTTATCTATTATTTTTAATATCCTTATATTTTATAAATTTGGATACATATTAAGTATTTTGCCAAATAATTAGTAATTAATTTATTTTAATGTAATAGAAAGAGAAAATTCTATAAGCATTCTTTCCTTCCTTCCTTCCAACTTAACTATTCCTGTTAAGCATTTTTTTAAGACTCCTTAACAATTCCTTAACATAAATCTTATCTCACTTAAGCTGAATGTAGAAAAATCAACAAATTCATTATTCTACAGTCTGAGCCCGTAAAGTAAATAAATTTACAATTTAATTAGTGATACTTGAACATTTTTTATTTTTCTATTTTAATTTTCTATGTAACAAATAGATTTAAATTAGATTTCTCAACTTGAACTAGAAAATTTTTATGAGTGACTCATCATCATTTTTCTTCCAAACAAAATTTAATAAAATTTTCAACGAATATTTTTTATTTTAAATTTTTGAATTTTTATCATTAAAACTCAAAGTCACTCATTCACTCACTATTCATCTGCCCTTATTTTCTACTTTTTTTAATTTAGAATATATCTATTTTGCTAAGATTCTTCTAAATTGAATTAAATCGCAAATATATAGCTAATTTAATAAGCACACGCAAAAAATAAAATTTATTTTCAAAAGGGTAGGACGGACTGAGCATAGAAATAGACCAAATCAAACACGCCCAAAATATTCTGATTTTCTGCAGAATAAATTATATCCTTAAAAAATATTATTTGAAAAATCTTCTATTTCAAAAAAGTTTTAATTTGGTCCTGATCAAAAACATATTCCTTTATTCATTACTAAAAATATGCCTCCCTGATTGTGGTTAATTATCAAGAGTAGAAAATTTTAATCAGATAAGACCTATTCATAGACATGTTGTTATAGATTGTAATTTTCATTAAAAATTAAGATCTTAAACTTTATAGCATTCTCAAAATTATTAATAACATACTTAGAAAAGAAAGTCTCAGATTTTAAATAAATTTTAATGTTAAAAATTTAAATTAAATAAATTTATCAAATATTTATGTATGTATCTAAAATAATATTCTATTTAACACTCATACTCAAAAAGATAGTAGGTATTATTAAAATTAAAATAAATGCTACTAAAATATGATTATTAATGGACTAAAAATTTATTACTACGATTTTATAAAAACTAAATTCTAATTTTAAACAAATTTGCTTTTTCAATTTTAAAATTCTACTATACTGATTTAATTTTTTTTTCTACTACTGTATTATCAAAAAATATATTATTGTTTATCATAGCTAGATTTATTTTTATTATTTATATATTAATTTGTTTTTTAATAATTTGTATGAAATAAAAAGTAAACTACTTTAATGAATTAATTAATTAATTAATTACTATTTTGATTGTAAATATAAAAAATTACTCTAAACCCTCATCTCATTAATTAAGACCAAAAAATGGTAAAATTATAAATTTTGCCAAATTTTTACATAAATTAGTTGGGGTTGAGATTTTGTAAAAAATATTTTAAAATATATAGATTCTACATTATACACTTATTTTAATATTTTTAAAGCCAATTTTATATCTTTTTATAAATTTATCAACCAACAAAATTTTTATTGATAAGGTGAGAGTTTGTTTGTTTATTTTGATGCAAAATGAAAAAATATTTAAGAGTGTAATTCTAGTGATTTTAAAATGTTAAAAAAATTATAATATACCTTTTAAATCAACTAAAATATAAACTAAATAGTAAATATCATAATTAATAATTTTATATGCTAGGTATGTATGTATGTGTACTCGTTTTTAATTTATAAATAATTTATTTGAATCAAAGCTTTGGAGCAGTATTGTATTTTTCGAAATATTTAATTGCATTTTGAGCTATTCTGTTGCAGGTTTCAACAGTTGGTCTGGGATTCCAGTCATCTTTTTATTCAACTAAACCAACTGGTAAAACATCTTATTAGGGATAGAATGAGACAAAAGCTCCGTTTTCTATTTATGTACGGAAGAAATAGTCAACTCCAGGAGTGGGCTTGAAAGCAACAAGCTAACCTTTAAGAGGATAAACATTAGGGTCATTGAAGAGTTTACCAGCAGAGCAGCCTGTGCAATTGAAAATGAACCTTTCTTCAAGAGAAAGCATATCATTAACAGTATTGAAATGTCTATCGACGAATTAAACTCCTTTTCTGATACATTCCTATTTCAAATCATTAAGGAAGAGATCTCCATCGATAAGAAGAGTTGTAAAGTAATGGGCATCAATCAAATCTACTCCATTGAAGGTAACTTTAACATCTTCGTAATCTTTAATAAGACCATTAGGAACACTTCTTTTAATGTAATCAATTGAATCAACATGAACAGTCTTCTTGTAAGAAACTCCTCTAATGTTCTTATGATGTAGAGCCTTTTCATAGAAGGCAAAACTTAATCTGCAAGCAAGTTCATGGGTTTCTCTAGCTTCAGCTGAGCAATTGAAATCATAACCATAAGGGACCCAGAAACCTCCAGCTATTTGAGAGGTTGTGGGAAGAGATTTATCATCTGAATCAGGATTTGAAAATCCTTATGTCTTAATAGTTTTGTCAGCATATATAGTTACATCATAACCGTTTTCACGAAGAAGAAGAGAGGTAAATAAGCCAATATAACCACTACCAACGATAGCAACCTTCTTAGCATCATGAGCGTCATGATATTTGCTTGCAAATTTGTTGAAAGCCAAAGTACTGTATCCATATCCTACAGAGACACCACCAGCTCCGTGGCCATAATTGTGGAAGAAAACCTTGTTACCAATTTTTTCTTCTTCAAGACGGACACCACCTTTACGGAATGGTCTTAAGCCTGCCTTAAAACCAACTATTCTATCTTGTGTCAAGACTGGAGGAACTAATCTAATAACGCGCTTATTATCAACTTTAGGGAGTTCTTGGTGGCTCATTTTAGCTATTTATTGATTTAATAATTATTTAAAAATTAATTTTTTTGGGTATATTAATAATTATTGCTTTTTCAACTGATTGATTGCGCAGTATTTGTTCATAAATCTTTTGTATATCTATCAAAAACAAACCAAATCATTTACAAATCTGATATGAAAAGAAAATCTTTTAAATAATCGATTTTGACCACAAATATTTTGATCCTCTAATTTTTTCACAGTAAGGATAAAAGTACAAATATCTACAATTATGGGGATAATTATACTTAATTGATAAGTGAGTATAATTCAAAGGCAGCTAAATATTTTATATCTTAAATAAATGAGTATTGCTTTTTATAGTAAATTCAATAATATTTGCTAATTAATAAAGATTATTTTTACTGTAGACTTAACAAATCTGATAGATTTAGAATTACTTTTATTTTTCAAGAAATAAACTTAATTTATCAAAAAGTAACTTTAGATAGATATCTTAATTTGATAAATAAATGCATTTATTAAAAAAATATTAAACAGATTCGATGCTTGTTTTTCAAATTGTTTTTTTAGAATACTAATTTTGCATATAAAAAAGAAATACAAAATAAATAAATAAATAAATATAATATTAAATAAAGAGTATTTATATTTTTAAAAATGTAAATGCATCAAAATAGATTTTTACTCATTTTTTATTTATTATTTGAATCATTTGTTTAAAAAACAAAGGTATCAATAAATAAAAGTGTTTTACATTAAATAATATTATAGTTAAAAAATATAAATAGATGAGAATAAAAAAATTAAATTAAATTAAAAATTGTTTTCAAACATAAAATTTTTAAAATATTAAATAAAATCTTATTATAAATTTAATTTATTATTTTATTCTTAATTTTTTTTAATATTTAAATTAGAAAATAATTAAGAATAAAATATAGGTTCTTTTTTATGAATACTTATTAGTCAGCTTATAAACTCTTCTTTTGAAACATCAAGCTTTTAGATATATCCTACTTATGTAAGATCAAAATATTTATCTTGAGTATTATTATCTATCTGTCTGATAAAATTCAGTAAAGTTATTAAAAAATTACAAAGAATTATATTAAAAAAAAAATAGTTTCAAATTTCTTTAATTTATTTACTACTTAATATAATTTATTTTAGTTTAAAAATTATTATTAAAAATTTATTATAATTTTATGAAAAAAATAATTGGCTTAAAGAATAATGAACTCATTACTAAATTATACCAAAAATTTATTTAAATAAAATGCATTTTTTAAAAATTTAGCCTAAAATTTTTAAATAATATTTTATTATCTAATTAATTTATTTTTTATTTGTATTGAACATTTTATTATAAATGAAATAAATAATTATATTAAATTATGAAAGAAGTGGAAAAAAATGATAACTTTTTATAAAACATCAAAGTGTTTTAATCAAATTATAAAAATAAAAGAGTTTTATATTTTTTATTTAATTATTTCTTTTCTTTGGTAAGGAAAATAAAATTTCTAAGTATTTGCTTAAAAAATTTTAGATATATAATTCATTTAATTTTGATTACAAATTAAATTAGTAAAATCAAAAAATAATTAAATTTATTTATTAATATGATCAATTAAAAACATTATTATCTATTAAAAATTTATTTAATTAAGTGAAGTATTTACTTAATTTAAAATGAAAAGGATCTTTCATATTTCTTTAGAAATAAATAGAGATAATTTTTAAAATTTGCTTATTAAATAAATATAGAAAATTTAAAGAAATGAGTTTGGATGGATTGCTATTTTATTTATAAAGAATACAAGTGAAAAAGTTGGTGAAACATTTAATAACTTAATAAATATATATATATTTTTTTTGCATATGAAAGTCATTTAAAATACTTTTTAAGTCTTAAAATGGATAAGTTAATAATGATATTTGGCTTGGATATTTTTAATAGAGTGGCGTGTTTAATTTTTTATTGTATTATAATTATTATTTTGTTATTTATTTTATTTACATTTTTTATTAGTTTTATATTGAATGATATTCATTCGTATTTTAGAGTATTCAAATTTTTTAGAGACTTCTTATCTGTAAGAAGCATTATCAGTAAGCAAATAGTTTTTTTTGGTGTATGAAATTTATTTGATTTTCCCCGTCTTCACCATCGCTATCTGGGATTGTTTTAAAACTTTTTCTGAGTCTCATTTGAGATTAAAATGAATTAGAGGTTATATCTTTTGAAAAAGTTGAGGATGTTGATGATGATGAAGATTTGCTTTTATGAGAATGTCTTCCTGAGGTATCATCTGCTTGAGATAGCAAATAATTTAAAAGCTAATCCTTTTACTTAGATAGCTGTCTAATATGCTTAGTATTTAATTGAAGAGGGTATTCTTATTAGATAGTCTCAATAAAATCCATGTGACGAGCAAGTGTTTACTAAAATAAAATCATTTACTGCTTAATGCATTAGAAAAAGACCTACTTAACTCTGATTAGTTCTTCACGATACTCAGAATCTTCGATGCTATTGATGATTGAGTTAAACATATTTCTCTCTTTTTCTAGAGTAATATTATTTAGTTTTGTCATTTTGAGTTCACTGTAAATGAAGTTTCGAGATTTTTGAATAAGATCTTCAATATTCTTGTACTCTTTATAAATTTGAGAGCTAGTTTATTCTATTGCTGCCTCGAAAGAATCCATTAAATTATTTGAATAAGCTTGAGTTATTATTAATATCTGTAAGTATTTTTTGTTTTTTTCTAAATTTTGTTTGCCAATAGTATTTATTTATTATAATCTATTACTCCTCCCTTGCCCTTTAAATTAATTTAGCGAAGGAATATCATATCAAAAAAAGTATTTTGTGTATTTAATTAATATTTCATAGTCGAATTAAATGTGTTGTAAACTTCTCAGATATAAAAATGATCTGACCATAAGAATATTACTTAAATAAGCATTATATTATTCCTTCTAACCTTCTTAATATAACCATTATTTATACATATTTTTGAGACAAGTTAATGTATCAACTCTTATCTTTTATAATACTAATAATTTTGTGGTTATTAATTTGAATACTTTTCAGCTAGCTGATAATTATTGAGAGTATTCAAAATTTATAAAACTAGTACTTAATTTACAACCGAAAGCAAGCTTGCCATTTTAAATTTAAGTCTAGTAAATAAAGTCAAATATTTGTTACTTTTATAACATAATGTAAATTAAAGATTTGCTGAAATTTATTCTACATACATTTACACTTTTTATTTTTGTTCATTAAATGAACTAATTATTGTATGAAAAGCACTTAATTAAATAATTATAAATATATTTTGGTATAATTAATTATATATCTCTTAAACGTCAGCGTTACAAATATTCTCATATCCACCGATTTAAATAAATAATTAATACTTCAATTTACAACCAGCTTTATATTTTTTCTTCATCTAAAAATGACCATTTTTACTAATCACAAGCAATATATTATTTGTTACTTAATATGCTTTTGAAAATGATCATCCATAAATTATTAAAAATAAAATCACTTAAGAGAACAAATGATGTTTAAAAAATATTTCTCAAAACAAATATAAAAATTGTTTTTTTATTTCTAATTTGTTCGTTTGTATTAACAAAAAAATTAAAATAAAATTATTTCACATTTAAAATAAAGATAAGATAAGACTATCAATTATGAATATGTTACGAACTGCATAAAAAAATATAAAAAGCACTTAAAATATTAAAAATAGATATTTATATATTATTTTTTAACTATAATTTGTCATATTTGAGGTAAATGAGAGGACTGATGTTAATATTTATAGAATTCTGTAAAGTAGATACTAATTCATAAATCTATCTAATTTTTAAGATTAATTAGACTTCTTAACTTTCTTGTGGATTTCAGATTTATCATTCTTCTAACATCTACTCAAAGAGTACTTGCTGCAACTCTTTTACCAACCTGTTAAAGAATGAGTATTCAAACATTTAAGCCTAATTAATATTTGGTTAATATTTCTTGAGCTTTCGTTAAAAAGTCTACTGAAAAAATTAAATTAAATTGGAATACCTTGACCATTTTAGATTATATTTTTTTCTTATTTATTGAAATTTTATTTTCCTTTTCATATTATTAATTAACAATAAAATAAACCTTTTTAATTTATTTCTAGACATTTTGTTTAAATATAAAAATAAAAATAAAATTCATTTTATTTTATGGATTTAAAATAAAAATTTTTAAATGAAATTTACAAAAAATATCTCTAAGTTCATTCAAATTTCGATTACTCAAAAATCCTAATTTATAAGGTATGCTATGTAAATAAATAAATATATTATTTTTATTAGAACAAAAAATAAAATTACATAAACTTCATGAATTTCATGAATAAATAATACCTAAATATAAATAAAATAATTATTTAGATTGCATTAAAAAAATAAAAGTATTAAACAACATATTAAAAAATAATTAATTATCAATTTTACTAAGCCAAAAAGTAAGAATATTTTTAAATAAATTATAATTTGAGAACCAATACCACAAAAAATATTATTTTAATATTGAAAAAATAATTAATATTTTTATAGAATTAATTTAAATAATCTTAATTATTTCCTATAAAATTTAACAAAAAATTTATAAATTTTATATAAACACTCTGCTTTATACAGATTTATCAAAAAATAGCATTTAATTGCATATTATTAAAGGCTTTAAATCTATTTAATTTGAAAAAAGATAAATAAATCTATTATCATTCTAATTTTTAAATAAATGTTTGGTATAAGAATTAAACAATCTTAAATTTTCTATGTTTTTTATATAGAAATTAATAAAAATAGAATAAAAATTCATACAATCGGAAAAACATAATCATAATTTATTAGGTCTGTTAATTAATGTGATTTAAATACTATCCAAAGTCAATATCAAGTTATCAAATTAACTAATATAAAATAATTAATTACTATGAGTAAAAGAGTAAAATCGTTTGTTAGAATTAGACCTTATATACACTCCCAAGATGGAAAAAATAAATTATTTGAGTTTGATATTAATGATAGAAAAAGTTTGATTAACATTGAGTCAACGGAATTTGCTTTCGATTAAATATTCAGAGAAGATTAAAACAATATCATGATTTATTCCAAAGCATTATAACCATACATTTAAGATGCCTTGAGGGGTATCAATACAACAGTATTTGCATATGGTTAAACGTGCTCAGGAAAAACGCATACAATATTTGGTCATAAGGAAAGCGAAAAAGGAATAATATATTCAGCTCTAGAAGACATATTTTCGTTAAATAATCAAGGAGATATCAAAGTCAAAGCTTTGGTAAGCTTTTATGAGATTTACAACGAATAAATCAATGATCTATTAGGAGAAAGAGATGATATTCCTATTAAAGAAATTAATGGTTCCTTTATTTTGGCTAATTTAGCAGAACACATGGTATAAAGGTTTTTAGATTTAATTCTATTTCCGTATTTGTATATTTAGATTATTTTTAAAATTAAAAAGCTCTGAAGAAGCTATAGATCTACTTAAATTCGGAAATAGCAACAAAGCTATGGGATGCAGTTATTTGCATGAAAAAAGTAGTAGGTCACACTGTGTTTTTAGACTTCATTTAGCTATAAAAGACAAGGGTCTATGTGAGATTAACTTTGTTGACTTAGCTGGAAGCGAGATTCTTACAGATTCATACGGAAGCTAATAACAAAAAGAAACAAAGAACATAAATATGAGTCTTTTTAATTTAAAAAACGTTATTTTTTCTTTAAGTGAAAACGCTGCTTTTATACCTTATAGAAATTCTGCTTTAACTAAACTTTTATAGAATTCTTTAGGAGGTAATTCTTAGACTGCTATATTTTGCATGGTTTCACCTCTAGAATGTCATATTTAGCACTCTAAAAGAACATTGTCCTTTGGCTAGACTGCTAGTAAAATAATAAACAACCTATTAATTGAAAAGCCAATAGTAATATTAATAATTTTATTATTATCAAATCACTTTTAAATAAATAAATAAAAGATTTGCTAATTAATTTATCTATTTACCTACCTTTTTAAAGTATAAAAAAGAATCAGATGTTATCAAAGAGCATGTCAAAATAAACGAGTAAAAAATTTCATTTAACACTCCATTAAAGGATTAAATAAATCAAGATTTATAGAATGAATATAAAATATTTGATAATCAAATATAACTTTATACTTATGGAGACCCAAAAAGTGCAAATTTAGCTATTGTACTGCCTGCTTATGGTTCTTGTGGAAGGAAGTGTATGGCATATTCTTATGATGCTTTGGTTGAAAAAAATTTTTATATTATTTCTTTAGATTATCCTGGATAAAATTCTTCAGGCGGATAAAAGCTGAATGTTAGAGGACACGAATAATCAGTCCCTTTTTTAGATAAAATAATTAAATAAGAATTTGATAAATATAATAACATAATTCTAATGGGTTATGATTATGGAGCTGCTCTAGCAATGAACTATGGTCTGGTTAATAATCCTAAGGTCAAGCAAATATTTAGTTTTCATCCAGCCTGGAGTCAAGATTTAGCTTTTTTAAAAGATCTAAAATAAAAAGTTGTTCTTCTTTGGGTTACTGCTGAGTAGCTACATCCTTTGTAGTAAGGAGAAAAAATGAATAAAATTATTCCAAAATGCAAGCTAATTAAGTTAAATTGTGGAAAATTTAATGCTGAAAAGCCTAAGAAAGCATACAAGTGCATTGGTGACTAAGTAACTCAATAAATTATAGATAACTTGGATCCAATATTTTAAAAGTCTTAAGAATAACTTAATAAACAAATCAGAGAGCAAATAGATGATGAATAAAAGTAAACCGATCAAATAAATTAAATTGAATAAGGTGATGTTAAGTAAGAAGAAAAGAAGGTACATTTTTAGATTTAAATTTGTTTGTTTTAATATATTTAATCTAACACTAGGAAGAGGAAATAGAATATGATTTAGATGAACTTTTAAATAACAAAGAATAATATTTGTACTACAAAAAAAATATAAGAGGAGCATGCTTAAGAAAAGAAATAAATAAACAAAAATAAGAACCAAAGCAGTACCTTTTTTTACAAGAACCAAATCCCAATAGTTCCTAGAAAGATTTATAAAAGTGGGCGATTGGTAGGTTTAAAGAACTTTTACTGTCAGGTGATTTGCAGGAATATTATAAAGGTATTAGATTATTTATTTATTTTAGTTTTTCTATTAATGTATTAAATTAATTTTACAAACATATTACTTTAATCATTCATTCAAACATTATTGATATTTAATTTAATTCAATTCTGTTTATTTAGGATACTTAAATAGCACTCCCTTAAGAACATAAGCAATTAAGTTGTTTGGGAATCTTCCAACTTTAATTCCTTATGAAAGTGATTTAGATAAATTTAAATTGATATGGGGAGAACAAAACTTACCAAAAAATATGGAAAAGATATCTGATTTTCCTGCATTTCTAAGAGGAAGATAAGTTCACGTTAAGACAAAAGTTGGAACATAAGTTTTTGAAAAAGATTATTTAGAATATAAAGAAGATGGTGAAGAGTGCATCACTCATAAATCATATATACAAAATTATAACTAAGACGAAGGTACATTTCAAGTAAAGGTTTTACCTGATAAAATTATAAAAGTAGAAGAATAAGAAATATACAGGTAGGATTAATCTAATCAAATTTTATTATATTGTGTAGTATGTTAAAATATTTTATTTCATAATAGGCTAAACTGCCCAACCAATTTTCATGGAAATCCTTTGTAAGAAGGCCTTGTTTTCGAAGATGGAATAAAATGCAAATACTAAGACTTGATTACTAAAGCAAAATTAATGGAAGCGGCTTTGAGTATTTCAGATTTAGTTGGATAGTTAGATTACAGCTTAAATTTTGAGTAATCTCCAAATAATGAATATTAGGTGAATGACTAAAACATTTAAATTTAATAAAAATGTGTGGAGAGAATATCAAAATGTATTGATTTGATTCATTTAGTTTAAGAAGGAATACATCCATCAAGGTATATTGCTTTTGAGTGTGGGAAATTAGCTTACTTTGGTTAAGGTAATAATAATTTTAAATTTACAATTAAAACTACATTTTTTATTTTTTCAAGGAAATTGCCATACATTGGCTTCTGTGGTTTGTGCTTTTTTACTTCCATTCAGTCATATTTTAGGGATAGAAGTCAAATTTAGGGCAGGTGCTTTACTAAAGTATGGCAGAGAGATTAATGAATAAAACTAAAAACTTGAAAAATGGGAAGGAAAAGTTAACTAGAAAGTGGAGGATCATACATGGGTAGAAATTACATACTAACCAAGTTAGAAGACATTTGTTTTTGATAAGTCAGATTATATTAATAATATGCCAATAGATTAAGCTTACTCTCGTTATATGCATATAAGCAATAGAAGGTAATGCAATAGTAACTAATCCAAGCAACCAAAAACTATTACAAATCCTAAAATAAGTTTAAAAATTAATTAACCAAGTATGTAAAATCCTGAGTAACCTCCTTATGGTGATAAAAAAGTTTTTCCCTCATTTAATTGGCAAGACATTTTACCAAAAAAATGAATTACTGAATGACTCAGTAGCAATAACCATTAAAATAGTTAAGCAAATACATTTTAATTTTTAAAAATTCTATAAAAAATATCTACAAATCATGATTTAATAAATAATTAATTAATCTTAATAATAAATTTAAATATTTCTATTTAATATGTATGAAGATCATTTAGAAATTCTTTATTTTGTGATTTATTGTATTATTATTAATAATCTAGCCAAACTTTACTTTAAACGATAAAATATTTCTAAATAAAAAGCAATTTGGTATAAATTAATCACTTTAAAAGTTAATTTAAGAAATTTATTTAAAAATTAAATTAAAAAATTTTTCAAAAAGTATTCTACCAAAGAAATAATTAAATGAAAACTGAGTCAATAATAAAATTGTTTCAAAATCTACTTTAGCTATGAAAAATTAAATAAAAAATATTTAAAGATCTTTGTATCAATCAATCAATGAATAATTAATCTTTAGTAATAAATTTAAATATTTCTATTTAATATGTATGAAGAGCATTTAGAAAATTCTTCGTTTTGTGATTTATTATATTCTTATTTATAATCTAACCAACTTTACTTTAAACGATAAAATATTTCTAAATACAAAGCAATTTGGTATAAATTAATAACTATTATATTCTACTTTAAAAGTTAAGTAAAGAAATTTATTTAAAAATTAAACTATTAACAAATATTTTTTATTTTTCAAAAAGTATTCTACCAAAGAAATAATTAAATAAATTAATTCAATAGTAAAATTGTTTCAAAAAATCTATTTTAGCTATGAAAAATTAAATAAAAAATATTTAAAGATCTTCGTATCCTTCCGTAATTCAAACAATCAATCAATGAATAATTAATATTGAATAATAAATTTAAATATTTCTATTTATTCTTTATAATTTTTTAAAGTATTTTTAAAATTATTAAAAAAATGAATAAGTAAAATATTTCTAAATATTAATTTTAGTTAATATATTTATATTATATTCTACTTTATAAGATAACCAAAGAAAAACTAATTTATGAGGAAATTAATAAAAAATATTTAAAATAATTCAAATTATAAAATTTAAATTAAGGTTTTAACTAGAAGTACCACAAATTAATGCTATCATATTTGATATTTTACTATAAATAACATTATTTTTTATTATTGTTTGCATTTATTTTCAATTATTAGGTTTACAAATTTCAGAGAGAGTCATTCATAATGTTTATGCTCTGCTAAAATTGAGGCAACTTGCTTATATCATACTTCATTAAGTCCTCTAACTTTACATATTCCAAAGTTTTTATATGTGTTGCTTCTAAATTTATATATGGGGCTTTTCCTGCTTCAAAAGCCTCCTTCCCTAATTATATAAATAATTAAAATATTTAAGAAACTTGCTGCTTTCCTTATAGTATTTAAACAATATTTTCAATGAACAAAATTTTGAATTAATGAAGTTTATTATGAACAAAAATTACATCTAAGTACACAAAGGCACCAACAATCTCCATGCTTCAATCCAGGGAAATTATATTCAGGAATAGGAGTAATTAGATCATTTCCTCTTTGTTTAGAGAATTTCAAGAAATCATTAGTAACCTTAACACAAACTAAATGACGACCTGCATCTAAGGCATTAGTATTGCAGAAACCGTCTCTAAAAAACCCTGTTTTAGGGTTATTGCAGCACAATTAAAGTGGTCTTGAGAAAACGTTTAAAGCCTATTTAACCTACATACTTTATATTAATTAAATTAATTAAAATAGTAAAAAAAGACTTATGATCAATCTCATCTAATATTATAAATAAATTATGTAATTGAATTTATATCAGAAAGATCTATCAATTTTTTATCAGTTTAAAATACCTTTTCATTCTTAAAGAAATAATAAACATACTTCTATTTTACACATATAAAAAATCTTTAATATTAGAAATTAATTAAAATTAAATTTTTTATGATAAATTTAAAATATTTTTAAAGAAAAAAAGTAAAAGAATTAATTATTTGTTTGATGTTAAATTTTCATTTTAGCATTTTATTTACTTTGAAAATAAAATTAAGCAGAACTATTTACAATTATTAAATTAAATATTATTATTTTGACATAAATTAATCTAAATACTCAATAATATAGGTAATTCATCTTCAATAATTTTAAAGAGGAGTTTTAAAAAGTTTGAATTATATTTGATGAAACTATACTAGGTATGAATTAATTAATTAGAATCAACATTATTTCATTCTTTTATTTACTTTAGTAAAAAAAATTATAAAAACTTTTGTCTAATTTGATTTTAAAATAGAAATAAGTGAAAAATTAAAATCTAATTTTTAGCAAAAGCTTATTAAAATAAATTAAACTTTAAAGAGATAATAAATGAAAATTAAAATTAACAAAATATTTATTATACTCAAAAATAAAAAAGCTAACATACAACATAATTAACTAATTGGAAATAATAAGTTGATTAATTTAGTCTTTTTTTATAATTTTTGCAAATATTTTGATAAATTAATACACTTTAATGAGTTTTATGTTTAATATAAATTTATTAATTTACTTGCAAATTGAACAGAAGAATTAATACAAACAAATAAATAAATAAAAGTTTAAATTCTTATGGAGAAATAATAAAATAAATATATTGATTGGTATGTATGTATTAACGTTATTAATTAATTAATCATATTTCTTCTTCTTAAGGAGGACTAGTTTCATTGGTTATTTTTTTAGAGGCTTTTTTGTGTTTGCTAAGAAGTACAAATGATCCAGCGCTGACGGTAATAGCAGTCATGTAAATCATGAACAACACAGTATATTTAAGCCAATGACGAGATTGCTTTGAGAAATATAATTGAGTTCCCAATACGATGCTGGCTAAAAATAGGGCTTTCTTTAAATTTTTTCTTTCTTTTTCAGAGACATGCTTGGATCCTTGTAAGAATTTCAGTAAAAATAGACGAGGATCTTATGAGAAAGAGCTGTTTTTTTCTTTATTAGCTTTAACAAAATGATAGTGGTGAGCCTTGTAATATTTTTCTTGGACATTTCCTTACAAATATTTTAATAATTTTTCTCTTTTAATCTAATTTTATACATCTTAGCTGCATATAACGAGCTCAGTTGTTCCTGGAGCATGCTATTGTTGGGTTTTTTATTATTGGTTTTTTTACAACACATTTTTATTGAGTTCTTCAATAGCATAGTGAACGAAGTTTCTTTCTTTTAAATAAGGTATGTTGCTTTGTTACCCATTACTAGAAGTATCTGAATTATCACGGGTACTCAAATTAGCTGCAGAAACTTGCTATCCATGCTCGTTTCCAGAGTTCTCATCAGAATCATTGACTTAGTCAGAGTTAATATCAAGTAAATTTTCAGGTAGAAGGAAGTTTTTCAAGGCAGCAGGAAGAACGTTGATCATACCCTTAGTGAGTACAAGCTATTTAAATTTAGGATGAAGCTAGTCAAAATTTTTCACAGTGACTTCAGGATCCTTTTTGAAAATGAAAGGCCCAAAAATAGCTTTTAAATATTTAGGAATAATTGGGAAGTACCATAAATCACAAAGGATATCGAAAATAGATCTCTTCAATAAAAGAGTACGAAGCCCAGGAGAAACCTTATTAATTATACCTTCTTTTTTTGCTTTTTTAATCTTAGAAATCACAATAAATCCGATTGATCCCAGTATCATCATCATGCTTAAATTAAAATGAATGCTAAAAACTCCTAGGAAGAAATAAACTACACCTGCTCCTAAAACAACTAAGGCTTTACGCTCATGAGGTTATTCTTAAATATGATTAAATATCTTAATTAAATGTGGTGTCAATCTTTCTTTTATTTTTTGCAAAGCAGAATGATGTTCCTAACCAGTTTTCTGCTGAGGACAGTCACTCACTTGCTTTTCTTAACTATCCTTTATATTATTTTCTGTCAAATCAATTTGTTTTGTTGTCATTTAGCACTAAACCTTGCTTGGATAAATATAATATTACTAACTACTTAAAAATTATCCTTGTTAGTATTTCCTTTAATTATTAATTAATTATGTTTCTAATCGAGCTATTAAAAATTAATTAATTGCTTTTTTTTTAGATCTATTGATTCTATTTGTACCCTTTTAAAGCTATCTTAATACCTAAATGAGACAAATGAGAGTACTTAACTCTATCTATTTTTGACGGTATATATGACGTGATCCTTAGAAGTAGTATTTAAAAAATTATATTTACATAATTAAACAACAAGCTATATCTGATTTACAAATTTACTCATCTAAATTTGTTGCAATAGTAAAATTTTAGTTTCAAAATTCTTTTTATTCATAATTTTTTATTCCAAAATTCAATACCTTGAATTATAAATTCTATTTCAAAATTAAAGCGAAAAAGGAATAATTTAAATAATATTCTAAGTATAATGAAATAAAATATTTTTTTTATATTAAAATAGGTTTTGCATAACTGTAGTAAATAAATTAGCAATAATTCTTAGAGAAATAAAAATTAATAATATAAATGAAAATAAATACAAATTGCTTTGAAAATATTGATGAATTTCTTTAAGAAAATGAAATAAATATCTAATGAAAATGAGTGGAAATATCTAGGGAATTAAGAATTAATAAAAGTTTTAATAAAAAAGTTACTTTCATACTAAAATAAAAAGTGATAATGAAATATTCACCATGCATAATTTTTAATAATATTAATAAAAGAAAATTAATTACAATGTAAAAGAAATAAACAAATTTAATTGCTGACTAGAGTAAATTGTATATGTAGAATTAATTTTTAAACAAATAGATGAAAAAAAAAGAAGATAATTAAAATAAGAAGATATTTATAACCAATAAACAAACAAACAAATGGATAGATAGATATTATGTTGATTATATCAGAACTGATATAATAAAATGCTTGTATGTTAAATAAATAATGTACTTAAAATTAATTAAATACTTATCATTTTAATATAAAGTAAAAATTTTTTTTGATGGGAAGTTGTTTGTAATTATTTAAAGTTAAGATTAAGGTTATTTGAGCAGTAAAATTAGTAGTTGATTTATTTAGCTATAGCTCACAAATAGAAGCATTTGTGTTTTGTCAAAATTGGATAGGTATAGATTGGAATAGCTAGTGTTCTCGTGCGAGAATCACTAGGACTACAAAGGGTTAGACTTGCTCACATAAAAATAAGTTACAATAAAAAGGTTAGGAAGTCATGTTAAAAGTATTGAAGATGTGATGAAAATCAACGAAATAAATATCCTTTTAAAATTAAAACATCCTAACATTATTGACATATTAGATGTTTAAAAAGGACCTGACAACGCATTTTATGTTATTTTAGAACATTGCTCTATAAATCTATTTTCTTATTACTCGCTTCTCAAGAGAAAAAATAGAATTTTATCTGCTGATAAAATAAAGGCAATAATTTTTTAGATTGTTAGAGCATTAGTTTTCCTTGAAAAGAATGGCATTATTCATGGAGATATAAATTCCCTTAATGTAAAATAAATATAGTTATTAATAAAGTCAAAGCATTATGATTTTATTAAAGTTTTATTTTTGTTTGAAATTATAGGTTTTCCTTCAGGATGGTGTAGTAAAAGTGGCAGGATTTGGTCATTCAGTTAACGAATCTGAAAAAGACCAAACAAGAATCCATCGCTAGCTTGGATGTTTTCCTTCTCCTGAAAAATTGTTTGGACCTAAATTCAAACTTAGCTGCAAGACAGATGTTTTTTCCTTAGGATGCTTATTTATAGAGCTTCTTTAGGGAAAAAACATTTTTAGAGAAGAGCACGCACCTAAAATAATGTAAAAATATTTAATTATCATAGGGCGGCCTTTTCAATAAATTTAGATGGAGCAGTTAAAAGCTTTGATGGATTAGGAAAATTGTGTTTTACCAGAAACAGAAGGAATAGGACTGTAGAATTTACTGATAGGGACTGATTAGGAGATGATAGATCTAATAAAATAAATGGTTACCTACGTTCCCTAATACAGACCATAAGCATCTGAAATACTAAATAACCCTATTTTTCAAGAGTTTATTGTCAAATACAAATTACAAAACACCTAACAAATTACAACGATAACAGAAAATCCTTAATTTTATTAAATAAGCTCAATTAGAGAATTTGATAGAAGTAAAAGCAATGGTAGAAACACCAAAAAATCTAAATCTAAAACTAAAATATCCAAAAAAAGAAACAAAACATTAAATACTCATAAAGATATTAATGACTCTTCTACTCTACCTATTATGAATAACATTTATAATCCAGAACTATCGAATCAAAGAATAATAAAAGCTTATTTTGATAGTTCAAAAAAGCTCAATTAGGTAAATTTAGTCCATTTTAATGGGAAGTAAGAGAAAAAGTCACAGTTTTCTCCAAGAGAAGATTCTTGTTAGCAAGGGGCAGTTCAATTTTTTAGAAAAGGCAGAAGTAATTCAATAGCAAGCGAAGGTAACGAAATATCTAAGAAGTTCTTAAATGGAAAATCATAAGGTTCTTCACCTATTGCGTTGAATGAAAATCCTCAAAATTACTATTAAATTGAAGAGATATAATATGGGTCAGTTTAGTACAGCAGCAACAGATCTTCTTCATTTAGTAATGATAATAAAATAAAAAGAAATCACAATAGCTTTTCTAATTTTGATATGCAAAATGAAATAAATTAATCATCAATAGCACTTCAAAAAAGTATACTAAATAACAGACTCAACCACAGTAAATTTTTAGTTCCAACCATACAGCAAGAAATGGGATTTCTTCCTTTAATATAAAATCACACAAATAGTGAAACAAATGCTATAAATTCTGAAGTAAAATAGAGCACTATTATTTAATAATAAGACCCTTTTTTAGATTAAATTAGCAAAATAGAAGATAAAAACTTACTCTAATACAGTGAGCATGGATAAAAAAATATAGATTAAATACAAATTAAAACAAATAATAAAATTTAAATAGAAAAAAAAAGAATTTATTTTTAGCCGCCATATCTTGATTCTGAAAAATAATATTTAAAAAAGATATTTTAGCAGGATTTATCATAAAACAATAAAAACACATAAGCCAGAAATAATTAAAAAATAATTAAGAAGTGAAAGCAAAAGAAACTAATAACTAACTAACTAACTAACTAACTTGTAAATAAATATTTTAATTTTATAAACTTTTATAAATATTTGTACAATAATAATTTATCATTAATATTTTAATTTTTAAGTAACTCAAAAGACTTCTATCCGCATAGTAAATTAATTTTAAAAAACCCATTTCAATTAAAAAAATATGGAAAGTCAAAGCAAGTAATAAATGAATTTCATTAATGTTATATAAAATGAATAAATATGTAAATATAACTTTTTAATAATTTCAAAATTTTATTTTTAATTGAAAATAAAATAGATAAATATATATAGTTATAATATGTTTAATAAAATAAATAAAAAATGAGCAAGTAATTTTCATTTACAATATAAAAACTTAATAAATTAGATTGCTTCATAAATTAGAAATAGGAAATTTTATATTGTAGCGACTAGTAATCAGTTCATATATTGATACATATTACTAAACTCAAGGTTCTTACATAAGATAGTAATCAAATAAAAATTCTATAAATTAACTAGAATAATAAATTTTATACAAATTAGAATTTTCTTTATTATAAAATTTAAAAAAGGTAGGTGTTTAACATAAAAATTTTCTTTATTTAACATTAAGTAGAAATTGTATTGATTTATTTATTTTCATATTCTTAATATAAAAAAAAAGAATTAAAAAATAAGTAAAAAAAATTTAGCTATTTAAATATATTTTTGTTTCAATGAGCACAAAAGGAGATTTATTAGTTTTGGTATACATATTGTAATCGCTAACTAATCTTGAAAAATTTAATGGACCAATATACCATTTACAATATCATTCATAGCCTTTAGCTTTCTTGTAGCTTAAGTTAATCTGATATATTTAAAATCCTACTACCTAATGAGTTAATGTATGTATCAATAGAATTGATTAGATATCTTTTAAAAATGTAAAGCTCTTTGAGATGAACTCTGAAAAAACTAAGCTCATCCTAGTATACTTGCGCTTCTTCTTCTTAAACTGAAATATAACTTCAATCATTTAGTTTATTTAGTTGAGCTCTAATGATTTAAGCTTTTGGAAAAGAAAACTAATAATAATAACAAGAAAACAAGTATATCTTAGATTAATTCCTTTTAAGAGGAAAATTATGCAAGTATGTAAGGCAAATTCCAACTATTTTTTATAATAATATTTTTTTAAAGTTATCAAAGAAAATTATAGAAATTTTAGATAGCAATTAATCATATTTAGAGATAAGAGAGCTTGTGACAAACAAATTAAAAAATAAATAGTTAAATAAAATATTTTTTTTGTTAAAATGGATACTTTAATATCTCATATATAAATAAAGACCAAGTTATAAGATTTTTGAAAAGTGATTTTTGTTAAAAATGAATTGGTATATCATTTTCAATTTTTGAGCTCTGGTCTTAATGCATGAAAAATTAAAGTAATACTTGTATCAATAATTCACTTTGGAAATTTATTTTTCAATTAAAAATATTAGATCTCTTCTAATAAGTATTTATTATTTTTATTTAATTTTTATAAATAATAGATAAGAAAATACTTTTTTGAATAAATCAATTTAAAAAAAAAGAATATTAGATTGCAAAGTAGATTAGTAAAAATGAGTTAGTTGTATCAATAAAAAATAGAAAATTGGTTATAAGAAATTTTAGAAAAGCTAGATTAAAGAGGTATTTCTCTTAAAATAGTTAAGCTCAAAGGCTAAGGATCTTTTAAGAAAGTTTATGAATGCGTCAATGAGAAGACAAAAAAGAATTTAATACTAAAAATTTCTCATGGAGAAGGAAACATTGATTTAAAAAATGAATACCGAAACTCATAGAAGATCAACTTCTCGCCTTTGAGATTAGTGAAAATAGATTAATTGATATCTTTATAAATTAATGAAGAAGAATTTTGTGTAGGGATATCTGAAAAAGTAGCGGAAAAGAACTTATTGATGACTATAGAATCAAGAGAGAGGCCAAATATTGAAAACTCTTTAAAAATGCTGATTGATATTTTGTTTGCAGCTTCTGAGTGCGATATTTCAAATTTTTAGCATTTAGATGTTAAACTAGAAAATATTGTTATAAAAAATGGAGATTTTTATTTAATTGACTTCTCTTCCTCACCCGAAGATTAATTTGCTACAATCACATAAAGTTATAGTCCATTAGATTACATCACAAAAAAAACTATCAAAAGATATGATATACATTGTGTAGGACTTTCCTGTAATAAATATATTCAAGTAAAATAAATGGATAAAAAAGAATAAGTAAAATTTTAAACACTTATAAGCTACATCAAATTCTATATGCTAAATAATCATTACTATTAAAGATAAACACTAATAGGTATGCTCAAAATACTTTGCTAAACTTTTAAAATCGATTTTACTGAGTATTAAAATCATTTAATCTAACAAATTGATGAATCTAGATTTAATTAAATGTAAAGGGCTTACGCATATATAACTTTACATTTAATGCAAAATGATAAGCTAAATTATAAATAGCCTAAATATCTATTAAATGCTGACAGAATTCTCTAAGAAGAAAATTAAATATAATCGTATTATAGTTTATTTACTACATTAGAAATTGCTGAATTTTATTTTGAATAAAATAACTATGAGCTTTGCGATAAATACTTAAAAAAATTAGAATACCTTCAAAATGATGAAAATGATAAAGAATTGAAACTTTTATACCTAAGGATAGATTATTATAAGCTGCTATTTAAGTTAAATTAAAATTAAAATTATTAAACAGACTTACACTTGCAATATCTTAACAAAGCTATTTAATTAACTTGTAATTTAGAAAAAAAACATCCACTTAGATTATTTTTACTCAAAATTAAAGATGAGTGTTACAAATAAATTTTAATGAGAGATGATAATACTCAGTGTTTCTAGGAATACGAGGCTCTAAATGACAGTGCAATTGATAATGAATATCCTGCTCCCACTGATTATAATTATTAAGATTTACTAAAATATAAGGTTGCTAAATGTCAAAAAAATGAAGATTTTTTTTCAGCTGAAAGATATTTGGAAGATATCTTAAAAATTAATTAAAATTTATACGGAAAAGCAAGCTTAAATGCAGCTCAAGTGTTAGAAAAACTATTCTAAAACTAAAGAAACATTTATAAAACTATTTAAGAAGATAGATATGAAAGAAATCAACCTAAAAAAGAGATTGTTGAAAGTAAAAGTATAGAGAATTTCAAAAATGTTTTAGACTTAGAATGTTGCGACTTAGAAAAACTGACAGAATAAATCTAATATTGCGAGAAAGTAATTGAAAGAGCTGAGTTATTAAATGAAAATTATTTAAAAGAATATTTTTATTGTATAAAATAACTGCTTCTCAACTGTATCAAAAAGAATGAGTAAAATATCTAAAGTAAAAAGATTCACCAAAACCACTAAAATTCTAGCTAAATCAATATATATTCTAGAAACCACTAAGAGTTATTAAATGAAAATTATCTAAAAGAATATTTTTATTGTATAAAATACCTGCTTCTCAACTGTATCAAAAAGAATGAGTAAAATATCTAAAGTAAAAAGATTCACCAAAACTACTAAAATTCTAGCTAAATCAATCTCAACTGTATCTAAAAGAATGAGTAAAATATCTAAAGTAAAAAGATTCACCAAAACCACTAAAATTTTAGCTAAATCAATATATATTCTAGAAACCACTAAGAGTTATTAAATGAAAATTATCTAAAAGAATATTTTTATTGTATAAAATACCTGCTTCTCAACTGTATCAAAAAGAATGAGTAAAATATCTAAAGTAAAAAGATTCACCAAAACCACTAAAATTCTAGCTAAATCAATCTCAACTGTATCAAAAAGAATGAGTAAAATATTTAAAGTAAAAAGATTCACCAAAACCACTAAAATTCTAGCTAAATCAATATATATTCTAGAAACCACTAAGAGTTATTAAATGAAAATTATCTAAAAGAATATTTTTATTGTATAAAATACCTGCTTCTCAACTGTATCAAAAAGAATGAGTAAAATATCTAAAGTAAAAAGATTCACTTAAACCACTAAAATTCTAGCTAAATCAATCTCAACTGTATCTAAAAGAATGAATAAAATATCTAAAGTAAAAAGATTCACCAAAATCACTAAAATTCTAGCTAAATCAATATATATTCTAGAAACCACTAAGAGTTATTAAATGAAAATTATCTAAAAGAATATTTTTATTGTATAAAATACCTGCTTCTCAACTGTATCAAAAAGAATGAGTAAAATATTTAAAGTAAAAAGATTCACCATAACCACTAAAATTTTAGCTAAATCAATATATATTCTAGAAACCACTAAGAGTTATTAAATGAAAATTATCTAAAAGAATATTTTTATTGTATAAAATACCTGCTTCTCAACTGTATCAAAAAGAATGAGTTAAATATCTAAAGTAAAAAGATTCACTAAAACTACTAAAATTCTAGCTAAATCAATCTCAACTGTATCTAAAAGAATGAGTAAAATATCTAAAGTAAAAAGATTCACCTAAATCACTAAAATTCTAGCTAAATCAATATATATTCTAGAAACCACTAAGAGTTATTAAATGAAAATTATCTAAAAGAATATTTTTATTGTATAAAATACCTGCTTCTCAACTGTATCAAAAAGAATGAGTAAAATATCTAAAGTAAAAAGATTCACTTAAACCACTAAAATTCTAGCTAAATCTATATATATTCTAGAAACCACTAAAAGTTATTAAATGAATATTATCTAAAAGAATATTTTTATTGTATAAAATACCTGCTTCTCAACTGTATCAAAAAGAATGAGTAAAATATCTAAAGTAAAAAGATTCACCAAAACCACTAAAATTCTAGCTAAATCAATATAAATTCTAGAAACCACTAAGATTTACGAATTAGATAAAAAGAGAGACATTCCTCATCAAATTAATTAAAGTAACATATACCAAAAAAGCAAAAAGTTCATCTGAGATAATAATTTTAAATTTATCCTTGGCTTATTTACCAAGCTTATTTTTTAAAATTATTGTATTATATATTTATTTTAAATCAATAGATTCCTATTAAAATATCCTTTAAAACATTTAAAAATCTAAAGTTAAATAGTAAGCAAAATAAAATAAAAAGTGCATTATACAACTCCCTAAATTAAGGTAAAACCTAAAATGATAAAATTTATTTGGATAGTAAAATTTATGATAATAAATAAAGAGACCATGCAAATATCCATAATGAATTTTAACTATTAATTAATAATGGAAATTTGAATTAATAAAATGGCAAGCTATTTCAAAGTGACTAGAAATAGTTTTTCTCTGATACTAGCTACAGATAAAACATGAATGAAGATAATTAACTTTCATAGATTATTTAACCATACTAAAATAATTTTTAATCTTACTTATAATCTTATCAAATTGATATTTAATAATAATATTATAATACTGATTCGAATTAAAACACATTATAAGTTTATTTTTTTAATTAATAATGTTAGAATATAAATACACAAAATAACGACCATTAAAAAGTGAAAGAAAAAATAACACTAGCTGATTCATCAAATGATAACATAACCAACAATTTTAACTTTGGAAATGACTTAGCATATTCAGAAGATACAAATATTTTTAGTAGCGAAGAAACTGAATGGTAAATTGAAGATTAAAAATATGAATAAGAAAAATAACATGAATTTCATTTTGACTCTGATTATTATTATGTATTTAAATATGAATTTAAAAATGAATATCAATAAAATTATGAATGTAAATAAGAATATAATTAAAATCATAATACTTAGGAAAGACTAAATAGTGACAATTATCTAAACAGGAATATTTGTAGAAATCATTTTGTCTTAAATGACTTAAATTTTAATATTAACAATCCATATTTTAACTTTGAGAAAGAATAACAACAACATGAAAATTTTAATACACTTAATAGCTAAGTTAATTAAGAATAATCATATCTTGAACCAACTCAACATAAAGAGAACTAAAAAATATATACTGCGTACTTAATTAATTTTTATGGTGTCCCAGAGAAACATTAATTTAATGAATTAAACTAGTAATAATATCAATTCACCATATTTCAAAGTGAAAATAATTTTAATTTTTTTGAAAATAGCTAATTTTATTAAAATTCTAATATCATTTAATCAGAATAAAAGTACAGATATGAGAATGTTTGTAGAAATCATTTTGCCTTAAATGACTTAAATTTTAATATTAACAATCCATATTTTAACTTTGAGAAAGAATAACAACGACATGAAAATTTTAATACACTTAATAGCTAAGCTAATTAAGAATAATCATATCTTGAACCAACTCAACATAAAGAGAACTAAAAAATATATACTGCGTACTTAATTAATTTTTATGGTGTCCCAGAGAAACATTAATTTAATGAATTAAACTAATAATAATAACAATTAACCATATTCTAAAGTGAAAATAATTATAATTTTTTTGAATGTAGCTAATAATATTATTTTTTTAATATCATTTAATCAGAAAATGAGTACATATATGACTGTGAAAATGAAAGTGTATATGAAACTAAAGATAGTCTAAATAGAAATAATTATCTAAAAAATATGCAAAGTTCTGATAGTTATAAAATAATATAATAAAATTATAATTTCTCTAACATGTATAATTTTTAAAATTAATAGCTTCATTTTTAAATTGAAGTTGGTGAAGATTAAATTTATGCTTAAGAATATTAAGATGAAACTTAGGAAAGACTTAATAGAGATAAAGAACAGTTAAAATTATAGACGTAAAACAAGAATTTTTGTAATAATTTTCTCTAAAATGATTATTTATTCTCAAATAACAGAAAACAATTATTTTTAAATGATTTAAATATTAATAATAACAACAACCAGTATTTTAACTTTGAGAAAGAGTAGGAGTAATATGAAATTTTAAATACACTCTATATTTAAGCTAATTAAGAATTACCATATCTTGAACAAACTCAAAATGAAGAGAACTAAAAAATATTAATTGCAAACTTAATTAATTGTAATAGTCTCCCAGATAAATGTTAATTTAATGAAATAAACTAATAATTTCACTAATAAGCTACATCTCTAAGCGAATATAATTCTTATTTTTTAGAAAACAACTAACTAATTTAAAATTTAAATTTCTCTTAATCAGTAGAATAAAGGTTCAGCAATCAATATGAAATAAGATGAACAAAAAACTATGGAAAGTCTCATAAAAGGTACTTTTACTTAATTAATTTTTATAAAGACTAATTTTTTATTTAATTTGTATTAAGATTTATAAATTAATTTATTAACAAAAAGGAGTATTTTTACTCAAATAAATTATTTATAAAGAAAAGGTTGAAAAACAATCTGAGTTCTCATTAAATTTAAGCTTTTCTAAATAGATAAATAGATCATACTTAATGGGAAGGGCAAAAATAAATCATTGAAGAGTAGGTAAAATATTTCAAAGTAATTTTATTTCAATTTAATTTTCAATTATTTTACAAAAAATTAAAATTTTTAAATTTAAAAAAGAATTTAAATGAATCTCAAGTGATAAATAAAAGTTAAATTTAAGTTTTTATTAATCATTATTTGTTTCCTTTATATTTTTTATCTTATTTTTTAAAGCATTTTATGATTTTTTTAATTTTTAATAATTTATAATAGAATATATTTTATTATCTCTATTTATTTATTTAGATTTAAAATATTTATATCAAACATTTTTAGACAGACATCAATCACATCATAATAATTAAATTTAAGTTTAATATTAACTTTAACTATTATCTGTATTTTGTTATTAAAAAATAATAAAATTTAAACTTAATTGAATATATTAAATTATTGAATTAGATTTAAGTTTATAAAACTTTAAATCACATATTAAATCTAATAAATCTATTTAATTTATCTGATTTTTGAATTGTTGTTACTCTTTATAGATATTTTAATTATCCTAATTTTAATAATTTAAATATACTTTAAAATTAAGTAGTTAAGTTAAAATTCTAAATAGTAGTTAAGCTTATGCTTATCTTACTTAGCATTAATATATTAATTTAAGTTTAATTTATTTTTTAATTAATTCTATGAAAAGTTTATTTGGCACTTATGTGTAATATTTAATTAATTAGATAATTTAATTTTGTAATTTTAAAGATATTATTAATAATTATTAACTTTAATCAAAATTTTAATGAAATTTTAGCTAAAACCAATATTTTTATTTTAAACCTTTGGGATAATAAATTGATATTTTTATGATTTGGATCAGCGCACGAGTTTAGTATTATATTATGTAAAAAATTTTAATATTATTTATCATTCTTATAATCTAATTCAAATAATATCATTTACTTATTTTAACATTAATTATATATAGTCTTTAACTTCCTAAATTATTTTTATATAAAAATAAATCTTATATTTTAACCTATTATACACCATGATCGGTAGGAAATCCCTTAAACTCATAACTATATTTACTTAATTTTAATATTATTTAATTAAAATTTTTTCTTTAAAAATTTGAAAGAGTTTTTAATTGATTTTATCTCGATATAATTACTAAATTTGTAATTTTTACAAGTATTTATTTTTTTTCAAAATTGACCAGTTTTTTAATAAATAAGACCTATTTTAAATTAAAAAAAAATGTTAACATTTAAAAGAATTTTGAATGAAAAATTTAATTTTTTTCCAAATTGGTATTAATCCTTGAAATTAGAATATTAAGTATTATTATATTTCATGGTGGTGATTATTCTTTTCTATTCGTTTATAAACGCTCTATCTCTCTTATTAGCTTTTATTTAATTATAAATCAATTATGAAATGCTTACTTCAATTTAGATTAATAGATAAGAAATACTTTTGACAAATAAAGTAATAAGATTTTATTAAATAAAAACAAATTGATAATCAATATTAAAATGATATGAGTTTAGATATTTTAAATAATCTAAAATAATAAAAAGGTATTTCTCTTGAAATAGTTACGCTAAAAGGCTAAGGAGGTTTTAAGAATGTTTATGAATGCGTAAATACTTAGAAATAATAGAATCTAATAGTCAAAATTTCTATGGGAGATGGCAATGCTGATTTAAAAAACGAACATGCAAATTCTTTAAAGATCTAATTCAAACCTTTGAAGTTAGCGAAAATAGATGAATTGCACTCTTTAGAATTTAATGGAGAAGAGTATTTGGTAGGGATATCTGAAATAGTAGGAGAAAAAAATTTAGGAATGGTGATAGAATCTAAAGAAAAGCCTACATTAGCAAACGCAATAAAAATGCTTATAGATATTTTGTTTGGAGCTTTTGAATGCTAAATTTCAAATTTTTAGCATAAAGATATAAAGCCATCAAATATTGTCATTAAAAATGGACATTATTATTTAACTGACTTCTCTTCTTAAGATGAAACTAATATAATCACAAATTCTTTTAGCCCATAAGATTATAATACCAAAAATGTTATCTAAAGATTTGACATTTTCTCTTTGGGTTAAACTTGTAATTTATATATCAAAGTTATTATGCAAATGAATAAAAAAGAATAAGTAGTATTTTAAACACTTATAAGCTACATCAATCCTATATGCTAAATAATCACTACTATTAAAGGTAAACACTAACAGGCATGCTCAAAATACTTTGCTAAACTTTTAAATTTGATTTTACTGAGTATTAAAATCATTTAGTTCAACAAATCAATGAAGGTAGATTTAATTAAATATAATAGGCTCTATCATATATAAATTTGCATTTGATGCAAAATGATAAGCTAAATTATAAATAGCCTATATATCTATTTTGTGCTTTATCGAAAAAAATGATCTAATATAATCTTATTATGGTTTATTTATTATATTAGAAATTGCTGAATTTTATTTTGAAAAAAATAATTATAATGATTGCAATGAATACTTAAAAAAATTAGAATGTCTTGAAAATGATGAATTTGATGAAGAAAAATTTATTTTATACATAAGTATTGGTTATTATAAGTTGCTATTTTTTTTAAAATATAGCTAAAATAGTGAGAATTGCTTGGAATATTTGGAAAAGGCCATTTAATTAGCTTAAAAATTAGAACAAACACACCCTCTTAAACTATTTTTACTTAAAATAAAAGATGAGTGTTAAGTAAATCAAGAAAGAGATGATTATAGTGAATTGTGTTTCGAGGACTATGAAGCTTAGAATGATAGTGCAATTGACAATGAACAAATAAAAGATGAGTGTTAAGTAAATTAAAAAAGAGATGATTATAGTAAATTATGTTTCAAGTATGAAGCTTAGAATGATAGTGCAATTGACAATGAACATCCTGCTCCCACTGATTATAACTATAAATATTTACTAAATATGAAGATTCTTTAATGTCAAAAAAATGAGGATTATAAATCAGTGGAGAGATATTTGTTAGATATCATAAAAATTGATTAATAATTATATGGATAAGCAAGCTTAAATTTAGCTCAAGTGAAATAAAGGTTATTTGAAAACTAAGAACTTTACATTTAAAAAATTATTAAATTAGAAGGATATAAAAGAAGTCATGATGAAAAAGAAATTGCTGGAAGTAGAAGTATATAGAATTTCAACAAAATTTTAGATTTAGAATGTTGTAACTGGAAATTAAAAGTATAAATACAATTATGTGAGAAAGAAATTAAAAAAGCTGAGTCCTTAAAAGATAATTGTTATTTATTAGAGTATTTTTAGTGTATAAAAAACCTGCTTCTAACTTGTATCTAAAAAAATGAGTAAAATAGCTAAAACAAAGAGACTAATCAAAACCACTCAAATTTTAGCTAAATGATAAAACATTCTAAAAACAATAAAGATTAAATAATTGTTCAACATTCCTCTTCAAATTAATTAAATTAACATAGCATATAAAAAGGTAAAAACTATTTGGATGAATAGAATGTCATCGATGCTTTATCTAAAAATAATAATTTATTCAAACCTTTTAATCAATGCAATTAATCACACGAAAATAAAATTCTAAAATGTTCTCCCAAAGCAACAATTTACTGTAAGTCTTTATAATAATTATAGTAAAATTAGGATTAATGAATATTTAAATAATCAAGTCAAAATAATTCAAAAATGAAATAATTTAATTCCGAATAGAATCTAAAAACTTTAAGTTTTGATAATATGTAAAAGGACCATACAAATATTAATAATAAATCTTAACTACAAATTGATAATGATAAATTAAATTAAAAAAATAGCAAGCTATTTCAAACAGACTATAAACAGCTATTTTCTTATACTAACTAAGGATAAAGCATGAATTAAGATAATTAACTATTAATGAATGTTTAATTATTTTAAAATAATTCTAATAATAATTTTTAATCATCCTTACAGTCGTCTAAATAAATTGACCATTAATAAGAAAATTAAAATAATGACTTTAATTAACTGGATAAATATGATTATCTAGATAATTTGTGTCACTCTTTATAAAAAAGAGACGGAAATTGTTAAACATCTTTAAAGATTTTTTGTAGTAATACTTAAATTTCTGAAAGTTCTTAAATAAACTAGTAAAAGTAATATAATTCAAATAACAATAATTTTAAAAAGGAATAATCTCAATTGTAAATTGAAGATTAAAATTAAGAATAAGGATATGAAGATAAGCATGAAGCTTAGGATAGACTATATAATGATATTTATCTTAATAATAGGTGTCACTCTCGTTATAAAAATGATGAAACTGTTTTATCATTTTCAAAGATCACTAGTAGTAATAATTTACTTTCTGAAAGATCTTAAATAAACTAATAAAATTAAAATATGTCAAATAACAATAATTTTAAAAAGGAATAATCTCAATTGTAAATTGAAGATTAAAATTGTGAATAAAGATACGAAGATAAGCATGAAACTTAGGTTATACTAAATAATAATATTAATCTTAATAATAGGTGTCACTCTCGTTATAAAAATGATGAAACTGTTTTATCATTTTCAAAGATCACTAGTAGTAATAATTTACTTTCTGAAAGTTCTTAAATAAACTAATAAAATTAAAATATGTCAAATAACAATAATTTTAAAAAGGAATAATCTCAATTGTAAATTGAAGATTAAAATTAAGAATAAGGATATGAAGATAAGCATGAAGATTAGGATAGACTATATAATGATATTTATCTTGATAATAGGTGTCAGTCTCATTATAAAAAAGATGAAACTGTTTTATCATTTTCAAAGATCGCTAGTAGTAATACTTAACTTTCTGAAAGTTCTTAAATAAACTAATAAAATTAAAATATTTCAAATAACAATAATTTTAAAAAGGAATAATCTCAATTGTAAATTGAAGATTAAAGTTGTGAATAAAGATATGAAGATAAGCATGAAACTTAGGATATACTAAATAATAATATTTATCTTAATACTAGTAGTTGCTTCCTTTATAAAAAAGATTAAAATTAATCTTCAAATTCTCTATAATTTGTTTGAAAGTAGCGAAATAGTTTTAATTTAAAGTTTTTAAAAATCAGAATAATAAGGGTACAGTAATGAATATGAAATAAGATGAACAAATGAGCTATTGAAAGTCTCATAAAAGGTATTCTTTCTTACTTAATTTCTATTAAGACTAATTTTTTATATTTATAAATTATTTTTTTAACAATGTAAAATATTATTAAAAAATAAAAGGTTAATAAACAAATATGAGCTTTCACTAAATTTAAGCTATTCTGAATAGTTCATATAAATGAGAAGGCAAGCAAAAATAAATCTTTCGAAGAGTGAGTAGGTAAATTCTTTCTAAGTAATTTTATTTTAGTTTAATTTTCAATTCTTTTACAAAAAATCAATATTTTTAAATTAAAAAGAATTTAAATGAATCTCACTTGATAAATAAGAGTTAACTTTAAGTTTTTATTAATCATTATTTGTGAGTTTTATATTTTTTTATTATATTTTTTAAAGCATTTATATGATTTTTTTTATTTTTATTAATAGAATTTATTAGATTGTCTTTATTTATTTTGATTTAAAATATTTATATCAAACACTTTCAGATATCAAAATAATTAAATTTAAGTTTTATATTGACTTTAACTACTGTCTGTATTTTAATTTTTGTTATTAAAAAATATAAAATTTAAACTTTTTGATTTAATTAATTTAAACTTAATTGAATATATTTAATCAATTAAATTATTGAATTATAAAAAAACAGTGGATATATATTTTATGAATTTTAATTAGGTTATCTATTTTAATAATTTTATTAAAAAGAAAATCAAATTAACTTTTATTTAAATCGTTTTCTGGATGGATCATATTTTTAGTTTTTTTAATTACCCAACTTTAATTATAGTTAGAAATATTATAAACTCTAAATGTTAGTAAAGGATTTTGAAATAAATGGAATAAAATAGTATAAATAATCAATAAAAAAAAATAGATTTATTTTAATAATTATTTAAATTAAATTAAATTTTAATTTTAAGTAGAAAAAATGATTAAATCTTTTAGTATAGTATAGCTAAATGCCTCTCTAAAATCTAGCGAAGTAGCATCACTATTTTTTAGAAAGGCATTTATTTTTTTAATGATTTTATTAAAATAGTTTTTTTTGTTAATTCTTTTAACTTATTTTTAAAAATTAATACTTTTTAATTTGAATTAAAAATAAATTTTTAAAAAGAATGAATTTTTTAAATTTTAATTGCTCATTTTAAGTTTTTGATTTACAAAAAACTAGATTGAGAAATAAGCAAGCTAGCAAGCAGTCAGTTTTTAATAAAATCTAAATTAATTAATTGATTGAATGAAAAGTGAAAATATTAGAATTATCTTTACACATATTTTAAACAAATGAAAAACGTTAATAAGATTTTTCGTGCTGTAAGGTTTTTTAAATAAATTAATTAGTAAATTAAAACAGATGCTATTTTCATTAATTAATTTTTTTAATTCAATGATCCATAACTTTTAAGGCGTCATCTATCATATCAAAGGCGTGATTTAATTCTTATTCAGTAATAATAAGAGGAGGAGCAATGTGAAGAACAGGAGCACGTACCCATTGGAAGATACCATTTTCAAGTAATCTCTTTTTGAATTTAAGAACAGGTTCCGGAGTTGGGTCAGAGAAGTTTCTTTAAATGAGTTAACCATCAGCTCCAACAATATCAAAAGCACCAAAGAGACCTCTAACTCTACCTTATCTCAAGCAATTGTGCTTATTAATAAGTTCATCCATGCGTTTGACCATAACCTTTTCTAATTATTTAACATGATCGCAAATATTCTACTCAAGCATGTATTTAACTACTTCATAACCTGCAATACAACTGACTGGATGGCCTTAGTAAGTAGTTCCCCAACCTAAAGGATTAGTACGGAAGAAATCTTGGATGTCCTTTCTAAAACCTACAGCAGAGAGAGGAAGATAGGAACCAGAGAGACCTTTAGCACAAGTGAACATATCAGGAACAATACCATCATAAGTCTAGAAGGCGAACATTTCACCACATCTACCTAAACCGACCATAACTTCATCCATAATAAGGAGGATATTATACTTGTCACAAAGAGCACGAACTCCTTAGATGACTTCAGGAGGATTGACTAAAGCACCAGCAGATCCGGTGATGGATTCAATCATAATAGCTGCTACTGTTGAAGGATTTTCGTTAATAATCACTTCTTCAAGATAAGCTAAGTAATTTTTAATAGCTTCTTGTTAGGTGATTCCCCACTTGAATTAGAAGGCTTGTAAGTCAAAGAATTTAACGAATCCACTGACACCTTATTCAGCGAAGGAACGACGGAAATCACCTGTTGCATTAAGGGCACCAACAGAGCTACCATGATAAGATTTGTAACGAGTGAGAATTTTATGGCGTCCAGTGAATTTACGAGCAGTACGAATAGCAACTTCATTTGCATCACTACCAGTTAATGGGAAGACGAAACCAGTAATATCAGCAGGTGTGATGTCATTAAGAATCTAGGCGAGCTTAGCACGAGGTTCAGTGATAGTCAATCCACCATAAACGTGGTGAAGATTCTTTAATTAGTGGGTGATGCTATTTAAAACAGGTTCAGGAATACCATAACCAAGGTTATTATTAATGGCCTAAGATGTCATATCAATATATTTATTGCCTTTGTAATCGTAAAGATATATGCCTTCACCACGAGCAATAGAAATTGAAGACTTTCTCATAGGATCGGTGGCTCCCCAAGTGTAAACTACGTGATCTTCATTAGACTTAAGAACTTCAGATTCAGTCCAAGGAGAAGATCTGTGGTTATTCTTCAAACCAGGTCCCTTATTGTTACGAGGAGTGAATTTCAAAGGTTCAGGCTTGTTAGGGATATACTCTTGGTTAATGTGGGAAGTACTAAAGAATTGCTTTCCTAAAGTTCTTTGCTAAATAAGTCTTTTTGCTATGCTTTAAATCATTTTTTAATCAGATTGTCTTTTTTTATACTTTTTCTTTTTTGGAGAGTAAATTGTGATAATGTTTTTAGATTTATTTTTTGTTAATTAATTATTGCGTATGTTTTGCCTAATTTTAAAAGGAGGTCATTCAATTTTGATGTCAGAGCAGATTCTATTAAGATACTTTGTCATTTTTCATACAATCTTAAACAGTAAAGAAGGTATTATCTTCAATTTAATTAATTACGAGCCATCTAAATAGTTCAAATCAAACACGTTTTTTTCATAAATTTAATCAACAAAATTTTCAAATCTATTGAGTATTTGAGGTAATACACACATTCTTTTTTTAAGGTTAAATTTTCTAGGGAAAAAATCGCTTGAAAGAGATATATTTATTTCCTGATATTGATAAATGTAGTACCTTTAAATTTACAATAGAAATCTACCCTAAGAAAAATTTACTGAGCACAAATGTAGTTCTAGGTTGTTACATATTTACTCATGTAAATTAAGCCTAAATAATGAATGTAAAATATAACTTAGCTTATTATTAGGTGATAAAGTTAAGTTGATAAAAATAAAAATTTCATATTCTTCTCATTCATTATTTGATATCATTAATATAAGTATATTTTATTAATAAAAGTTGTAACAAAAAGGTTTTGAAATTTAGATAAGGAAGGTGGGAATTTTCAAATTTATCTATAAAATAGAAAAAGAGTTAAATTTATTGATTTACCCAAAAAATACTTTTCTAAATTAGTTCAAACCAATTATTTATTTTTTTTCTCAATATATTTGGATAAGTAAGCTAAATAATAAAGATTTATCTCTATGAAAGGAAAAAAAACTTAAAAACACATTTATGTCTTTTATATTATCATATTAAATGAAAGCACTCATCTATTTAACAAGTTCTCCAGCAAAAAATCAACAAAAATAGATAAAATCTTTTGATTTATTATTCCTTAATTCATAGCACTTTGAATTATATTATTTAATAAATTAAGCATTTTTAAAATAATTTCAATCGATACTTTGCTGAAATTTATTTTTTTTTCTTCCTGGTATTATTCAGTTAAGTGAAGTTAATAAATATTTGAGGAATATTGATTTGTAAAACAAATGAATAATGTTAGATTCTATTTTTATTTTATTCTAACTAGTAACTTTTTTCAAACAAAAAATATTATAAAAATTTTTAATAAAATAATTTTACTAAATTATTTTAAAATTATTTAAAGTCCAAGTTTTACAATTATAAGAAAAATTTGTTGAAATAAAAATAAATTTGATATTTTTTTAAGCTATTATTGATATTTAAGAACATTAAAAATGAAAATATAATATTATGGTAAATTGAAAAAGAAATTAAAAAATTTGTGGTTGAAAAATAATTAATTAAATTTTAAGTTATTTTTAAAATGATAGATAAAATATATTACAATAGAAATATAAATTTTACAGAATTAGGGATTGAATAATCAATCTTTCATTTTAAATTTTCAATTTTAATTAACTGAAATATGTGCTGAAAGATTTGTTCTTTATATTAAATTATGCTATTTATTAAATTTTGAAGCTTTTATATTCATTTTCTTGTTTTTCACTTGCTGAAAGTAATACCTACTTATTCGTAGTGACCGTGGAGTTTATTTAAGGCATTAATGTAAGCAGCACATCTTAAGCTTACATTGTGCTTCTTAGAAGTTTCGATTGTTTCAATTAATGCATTTTCAAAACTTTCTTCGATACCACTAATAACTAAATCTCTCTATATTATTTATTAAATATTGAATTTAGCAAATTAAAATGTAGCTATTTTAAAATAAAATTCTTACTTCAGAAGCACCCTTAATTTCTTCAACGTGATCAAGAATTGCTTTGCTAACAAGTCTTAAACCTGTAGTACCTTCAATTGTTTCTAAGACCTATTAGTTACTTTTTTTATTTTATAAAATATTTATTATCATCAAGGTATAATAAAAAATATTTTAAATTACCTCTTTTCTTCCCATTTACGAGTCATAGCACCGTGTTAAGTGTGGTTGATATTCTTAATCCATTCAAAATAAGAAGCCAAGAAACCACCAGAAGAAGTGATGATATCAGGAATAATTTCGATTCCCTTTTCTTTAAGAATCTTTTCAGCAGCAGGAGTAGTTGGTAAGTTAGCACCTTCAGCAACAACCTTGCATTAGAACTTATCGGCATTTTCAGCATAAATAGATTGAGCAAAGAAGCAGGGAATAAAGAAATCGCACTTGCTATAAGCAACATTTTCTTATTCAGTTGCTTTAGGGAAACCTTTAACACCCTTGTTCTTCTTCATGTAATTATTCAATTCACTGGCATCAATACCTTTAAATTTAATTTATTTATTTATTTATTTTTAATAATAAGTCATAAATTAAATTGATTTCTACCTTAAGGATTGAAAATTTGTCCATCATGTTCACAAACACCAACTAAAATAGCACCAGCTTCTTGTAAATGATGAGCAGCCCAGTAACCAACACTTCCAAAACCCTTTAATTAATTAATAAATGCAAATTTAACAACTTTGAATAACTAACTATTCATTTATAATATCAAATATTTTTGCAATTTATTACTTCAATAACAAAAGTCTTGCCCTTTAAACCTTGAGTAAGACCAGTCTTTTAGAGGAATTCCTTGTTTTCAAGCATGTACTTTAAAGTGTAGTATACACCATAACCAGGAGATTCAACATAACCCTTCAAACCACCTTAATTCTTATTTAATAAAAAAAGGAAATTAATTAATTGAAATTGAAAAAATATAAATTTTCATTATAGTTTATCATTTGATTAGATATTTCTTTTTTTATTGTCGTCAGAAATATCGATTAATTTAATAGTATTAGTTCGAGTTTCTATCTATCCTTTAATTGCAATTAATTTAATTATTGAGATAGAAGTAAGCAACTCAAAACCTAAAAAATAAAATTTCCAAAAAGAGATTAAAGTCTTACTAAGCCCTTTCCTGTGACACAAGCAATGGCATGAATATCATCTTGACCGTAGAGACTATTCAAATATAAATTTTTTTTTTAGAATAATGACTTCATTCAAAGCCAATTTAGAAAAATTCAAATTGAAAATTGGCTTAATTTTAAAATATTTACGTAGCAAAAGTATCTTTAATCCAGTTCATTTCTCTTTCAGAAGCACCAAGATCGGTTCCCTTTTAGTATAATAAGAATCAAATTATAAAGAGGCTTTATGAGTGATTGTAGGAGTAAAGTTTAATAGAATATATTCTTAGAATTTGCAATAAACTTACCAAAACATCTACTGAAGATCCAATAATGTTCTTCTTAGCAGCTTCGAGGGTGAATCTTCTGATAATTAATTCAAGTTCATTTTCGGTGTATTCTTTGGGGTTAATGCAGATAGCTCCCTTGGCACCACCGTAAGGAAGATCAAGAGTGGTAGATCTGACAGTGTTGAGAACAGCAAAGCTTTGGATATCTTCTCTACTGACTTGATCGTTAATGATAAAACCACCCTTGGTAGGCAAACAGTGAGTCTTGTGTTGGACACGGTAAGCCTTGATAGTCTCGAATTTACCATTTTCTCTTTTGAGTGGGATGTTAATTTAGACAATACCATCACAGTTCTTGTAGAAGTTCATCTTGTCCTTGGGAATGTCGGTATGTTCGGCAGCTTCGTCTAAGTAGTAGTTAACCATGTGAGTGATGGACTCATCGGTCTTGCACTTAGAGATATTGCTGAAAGCAGCTCTGCTAATCATAGATGAGTATAATGAGTTAACAGGGGTCTTGAATAATTTGGATAACATTTTGAATTGCTAGCTTTTGAATGTATTTAGATTTTATAAAAATGAACGATCGATCAATCTGCCTATTTAAATTGAATGAAACGATAAGATGATATTAGTATCTTCTTTTCTTTCTTTCTTTATTTATTTTTTCTTTCTCTTTTTAAGATGTTTATTTAGTTTTATTATTTTTAATTAATTTATTTTTCTTTGATTTGTCTTTTGTAAGGTAGGGTGCAAATGATCCAACAAGGATAGTTAATAATAAATAATTATTGCATCCAAGCTATCTATCTATCATCTATTGATTTATCAATGTATTTACCTTCTTCTGAAATAAATAAATCAATCAGTCAATCAAAAATTGACTTTCTCTGTTTGCTTATTTATTTATTGATTGAATTCTTTTAACTAGATATTTAATATGTGAATGCACTTGATACTATATGTTATTCTTTCTTTCTTTCTTTTTCTAAAATCTTTCTTATATCTTCTCTAATTGATTTCAAATGTATTAATTAATGAATGAATGAAAGGACCTTTTGCTAAAGCTTTTAAAAATATTAAGACTAATGCTATATATATATGATATTATTAATTTAATTTTCTTAATCAATAAATCAAAATTCACTATAAGATTAAAATCTGCATAAGTGCGTAATATTTCCCCCACCTTATTACTATGTTTTGTAATATTTGACACTTTGTATCTTCCATCAAACATACTTTCATAGCCTTAGAGTCTCCAACCCAATTCATTTGTCTTTGGTGAGCTCCTTTTAAATTTCAAAATATGCTCTATTATACATAGACATGCAGCCAAATTCTTATGCCAAGTAAAGGCAGCTTTTAAATGTATTTACCATATCTTATAATCTTCTAGAAATCATAACCCCTAATAAGATAAATAAGTCATCATACAATATTAAAATTTTTTGACATTCAATTAAAATAGTCTGTAAGATAGTAAAAACTATTTATTTAGCTTAATTTAATCATATTTTCAAAAATCTTAAAATTTTCTTTTTCCTGTGATATGCGCCTTCTTTCTTTGCTTATTTTTAACAAACAAAGAAAGCTCTTTGGCTTTTACTTTAAGATTTTACTTTGATTAGTTTGTACTTAGCAGCAGTAAATTCCAGTAATCAAAAAGCTCCATCATCAGTTAACATCCAAAATTCAAAATATATAATTAAATAAATAAAATTGTATATTTGAAATACATTTTATATAATAGAATGAAATTTAAATTAAAAGTATTTGTTTGCACTTACTTACTCTTTTATTATTATTTTAGAGTTTAATTTGTACATATCTTTTTATTTCAATTATAAAAATTAATTTTTGTTTTTCCATACCTTTGATAAAATTAAGCTTAACCTAAATAAAAGAAAGTTAAATTGTATCCAATCACTATTCCTATCATATTATATCACCTTTGCCAATAGTTTGCCAATTACTTACAAACTATCAACTATTTAAAAGCAGATTTTAACTCAACTTGTTCAATAAAAAATCTTATATTTTTATATAAATTAAATTTTAAAATAATTCACAAATCAACCCTCTGCTTCTCAAAATAATTTTTTGAATCTCATTTAAAAAAAGCAAAACTAAAGTTCAAACTTAAAATTGTTTTTAAATTAAATCAATCAAAATGAATTAAAAATATTTTTCATAATTTTGCATTATTTTTTTTTCAGTTAAAAATAAAATTTTTTTAAAAAAAGATTTGCTTTGAAATTTTTAAGTTACCTTTCAAGAAAAACAATTAGGAAATAAAATAAAAATTCTACTTATTTTAAACTAAGGAAGTAATCAAACAAGATTATCAAAGCTAAATGTAATCTGTTTAAATTATATTTACTAATTCAAATTTAAATGATAAAATAATTTAAAATTGAAATATTTAAAAATTTCTATCAAAAATAAAAAAATTATTTAAAACAAATATTTTTATTGAAAATTAAGTAGTAAATTTTTTTTAGATTAAAGAAATAAAATAGAATTTGTTAAATCTAAGAAATAAATAGAATTAAAAATTACTAATTTTTTTATTTTTAAAAAAAAAAAAAAAAAAATAATGAATAAATATTAAATAATAATAGAATAAATAATTCAAAACTAAATTATATTATATTTTTATGATAGCGTCTAATTAAGGTTTAATAAATTTTCAAATGCTTTATTGGATTTTATTGAATTTATTTATAATCTCTCAAGATAAAATAAATATATCTTTCAATATTATTTTTAGAAGGAATTTATTAGATAAAAATAAACAATTTATACATCAAACAATTTGTTATAGAATAACTTAAATGGATTTAGGAAGTGCAAGCATTTTACCAAGATTTAGGAATGAAGGGGATAAAAAATTTTCATCCACTTAATTTATTTAGTCTCATGTTCCCCATTTATTAAGCGAGAATAATTAATAGTTAATGGTTGTTGATAATAATAATGAATCAGCTATGCAAGAAGAAAATAAGCCAGTTACAAAAAAACTATTTACTCCTAATGTTTAATTAACAGGTCACGTTTCAGAAGTATTGTGCGTTAAATTTTCACCTTGCGGTGACTATCTTGCAACTGCAGGCTTCGATAAGCAAATTCTTCTTTGGGATATATATAATAATTGTAAAAATTTCGGAGTACTTAAAAATCACACAAATGCAATTTTAGATTTGCACTTTTCAGCAGATGGATAAAAACTTTATAGTGCTTCTGCAGATAAAAGTGTTAATGTTTGGGACTTTAATTAAATGAAAAGGTATCTTGAATAATTATTTATATTTTAAAGTTATTTGTACAGCATTTATTTAATAATTTTGATCACTCACTCATGCATGCAATTATTTCATGTGTTTAAATTATAAAAAAAAGTATTAAGAAATTAAAAGGACAGGAAAATACTAGCTTTGTAAACACCTGTCATCCTGCAAGAAGAGGACCAGATATGCTTGTCTCTGGTAGTGATGATGGTTGTGTAATGCTTTGGGATTTAAGATAAAAAGCTCCTGCTTAAGTTATTCCTAGCAAAATTCCAGTTACTTCAGTTAGTTTTAATGATACTGCAGATAAGATTTTTATAGCAGGAGTTGATAATGATGTCAAAGTTTTAGATTTAAGAAAAAAGATTATTGATTACGTGTTATTTGGTCACACAGATACCATCACAGGTATTTCTTTGAGTCACGATGGAAGCTATCTTCTAACAAACTCTATGGATCAAACAGTCAGATGTTTTGATGTTAGACCTCATGTCACAAATAATAGATGTGTTAAAATTTTTTAGGGAAATAGACACTCACATGAAAGAAATTTATTAAGAGTTAGTTGGAATCCTGATGGTGATTACTGCACTGCAGGATCTTCCGATAAGTAAATATTGATTATTGCTATACTTGAAATAGAAAATATTTTTTATAAAAAAGATTTTTATATATTTGGGATACAGCAACTAAGTAAATTGTACAAAGACTAGGTGGACATAATGGATCTGTAATATTTATGATTTACTCAGAATTTTATTTACTTTAAATTATTGTATAAAATAGGTAAACGATGTTTAATTTAGTCCTACAGATAATTTAATAGCAAGTGCTTCTAGCGATAAAACTGTTATAATAGGGGAATTACCATAGTTTAAGATATGAAAAATAATACAGATTAATAATAAAGTATGTCTAAATAAATTAATAAATGTTTTATACCAAATGTTTAAGTTAATAAGTTAAAAATAATATAAATTATTTCAAAATGTTAGATTTTTCAATTTTCTGTTTTCATTAAGCAGCTAAATTTGTATTTTAAATTATTTATTTTAAGATATATTTGAGCAAGAAGAAATAAATTAGAAGATAATGATAAATTAGTGTTAAAATAAGACTTAATATTATTAAAAGCCTTAAAATATTATAAAACTATTAAGAATTATTTTTTTAATTTTTTTATTTAAGATATTCTAAAGGTTTCTTATAATATAAAAGCTATTAAAAATAAATCATTTTAAATAGCATAAAAAAAGGCAAACAATTATAAGAAATATTTTAATTTCAAAAAAATTAACTTGAAAAAGTAGAAATTATCTTTAAAATAAAACTTGTATTTTAATAAATAATTGATAATCAAAATTTAGCAAATAATTGATATTTTTAAAGTTATTCTTTTTAAATAATTAAAATAAATTCATTTATCAAATAGAATTTAAAGTTATTTTATTATTTGCTTTTATTGTATAATATTTACATTAACAGACAGACATAAATTTGAATAATTTACTATTATTTTTTTCTTATTTATTTGCTTACTTATTCATTTATTAAATTTCATATTTTTGAGTATTGTTAATAATTTTTAAAAATAATTTATTGAATCTTAAAGGATTTTTTAAAATTAATTTTAGGAAATTACTAAAAATTATTTTAAATTTGAATAGAAAAAGATAATTTTGCAATAATATTATGAAAAAAAATTTAAACTTATGCAATTAAGGATTAGTATTTTTATTGTTTGGTAATCTAATTTATGAAGATTTTTGTTTGGGATTGTTAAAGGATATTTACATAAGTTATTGTTATAACCATCCATATAATATTGTTATTATATTATAAACGGGTATTACCTAAATTCATAAAATTTCTTAAGTAGTTAATGAATATTTTTGATAGTAATTGAACTATAAATATATTTTTGGTGAAAATTAATAGCAATTCATCAACTGAAAAATAACAAGATAATAACAATCATTTATTATTTATTTATAAATTTATAAAGATTTGTTAACTTCAAATTGATATTCAAAAATAAGTTAATTGAAATGTATAATTATCAAAATACTAGGATAGAAACTAGGAAAGGACAGTTCAAAGCACCTAGCACTAGAATTGTCTAAGTTTTAAGAAAAAAAGAAAACCTTGAAAACGATGCTAACGCTCCCGATATTGTAACCTTACATCGTTCTTTATAAAGAATAATAGTAAAAGAAGTAAACAAGAGGCATTTATTTGAAAAGACCAAATTTCTTCCTAATTCTTGCGAAGACCAATATTTTACAGCTATAGATCCAGTTGAGATTGAAGATTATACAAAAATTTACAAAAATGTGCAGTAAATCATTAAAATGGATCCAGCGAAGATTAAAAAAGTGAAGGAAGTAGTTGACCAGCAAAGATAGGAAAAAGAGAGGGAAAAAGCTTTGTTTGAGCAATAGATAAAATAGTATAAATTTTAAAGAAAAAATATAGTTAAGCAGAGAATGTAGTCCATTTTAGACAAACACAACAAACACTAAAACAACAATGTCAACTTAGTTAATAATAATAATGTACCTAAGAAGTAAGAGGCGTTTCTAAAGGTTCACGATAAAACTGTTTTAAATAATTTGAATGAAATGTACACAAACCAACCTTAATCAATAAGCAATCCTACCACAGTGTAAGTTTTTAAATCATTCTAGACAATTTACCATGTTTATTAGATTTTGATAGATAATATAAATTTTTTCATTAAATTCTATTTGCAAAATTGTAAATTAAACTAAGAACTTACTTTATTAAATAGTATTCACTATTAATCTATATCAACTATTAATATAGGTAAAAAGTGGCTAAAAATCTAACTTAATATGAAAAAACTAAGAATAATTTGATTAGCCAGACTAAAGTACCTTACTAGCAAATTATCAAGATGTCTAATAATTCAGTTCTTATGGCTAAATGTAAAAAAAGAAGCTACAGCACTCAGTCGGAAATTTCATAAGGTTTAAAATAATAAAATTACATTCATGAGACTGCTGATGACTAAGAGAATAAAATCAAGTGTGCTGAATAACTTTAATAGGAAATATTACCTTAAAATCAAGAAATAAAAATCCTTTAAAATACATAAGAAAGCTGTTGCATAACAAATATAATAAAAAGACACTCTGCAACTGCTCCTTCGTGCACTCCTAGAACTAATTTTTAAAAATTCAAAAGTAAAAATCTAGAATTATAAGAAAGTGAATAATAAACTTATTATAATCCTGCTCATACAACTCTTTAAAGCACTCTAAATTAAAGCAAAACAAAGCAATAAAATCAAACTATATCTCCTGATTATTACTCAACTTCTCAAAAATGGCTGGTAAATGATTCTTCTTTAGATCAGTTTAAAATGAGAAACACATACTCACTTAATAAGCTTGGTTAAAGATCAATTCACTTAAAGAAAGATAATTCTAAATCATCTAGCATTTCTAAAGAAAAAACATCTATAAACGCAAAGCATGATTCATCTAAGAATCTTAAACAATTTTACTTAACAGAATGTGTATAAAAGACAGAAAATGATGAAAATGACCAAAATTATTTAAATCTACCAAAAAAAGAAAGGAAATCTACTTCTTTCGAACCATCTTAAAAATTGAAGTCTGAATAAACTGATGAACAAGCTTAGAAAAATCAAAAGAATAAAGAAGAGAAATAAAAGCAGAGAAATCCTATGAAACAGTATTACGATGTAGATGCAGATAATGAAAATAAGGAAAATGAAAGAAAATTATACAGACTAGATGTGCCTTTTGACTAATTTCAAAGGAAGTATAATATATCTTTAAATACTGGAAAGCCAAAGAAGCTGCTTATTGAGTTACCTTCTTTAGAAAAAGAACTGAAACTCAAAGGCATAAAAAGATAGTAAGAAGAGCAATAAAAGAGATAAAAAATGAATCTTAATTTAAACCAACTAGAAGAATTTAAAGGATTTAAATTTCCTATTAATGACTCTCAAGTTCTTCCAATAAAGAATCACTTTAATAGTAAATTAAATCAGTTAAACAACTCAAATAGTGCAGTAATTTTTAATGGCAGCCAGTCATTCATAGGATAAATGCCAAATAGTGCTACAAATAATATGAAACAAACATTCAATATCTTTTATAAGGGTTAATAAAGCCAGATCCTTAAGTAAAAAAATAGAAAAAAATCAGATTCTAACTCTTTTTTGAATTTTAGCAAGTTGAATTCAATCGCTCATAGTAAAGAGCAATCCCTTTTATTAAAATAATAGTCAATATCAATGAATAATCCAAATAACTGTCAGAACAACTAACTAAGCTGTTCTCCTTCTCCAAATAAATAAAATTAGTTCAATTTATCTCTTAACACTTAAGAATTTGACAAGAGTGAGCTTTTATTAATCCCACAAGCTTCAAACAAAAAGATTAATAACTCTTAAGAATAAAATAATTCTCTCATATCTATGGTTAAGATGAAGCATACAGACTCTCCATATTAAAGAGATAAATCAAGTGAAGATGTTTTAAGAACCTAAAAATAAAGTATTATTCTGAAGAAAGACAATAATGGAAGACTGTTTTAAAATCAAGTTAGCTTTACATTGTCAGAATCACCTAATATTGTCATACAGCAATAAATAAATGATAGATATAGCCCATTAAAATAACATCAAAATGGTTTAAAAAATATTGGTCTTTAACTTAATGATTTTAGAACTTAAAATAACTCTCAATAAGATTATTTTTTGAACTCAAAAAAAAGTAACAGCCTAAGCATGAATGATAGCAGAATTATTCAAGAATGCCCTGATACTTAACAGTCTTTATCAACAAGATTCTAGAGAAATAAATTTTTTGATAAATTTATTTAACAAGATTTAAAAAATGATGATAAAATAAAATCAGAGGAAATGCTGATAAATAAAAGACAAAAAATAGCAGAATAAACAAAGTCGAATAAATTTAAAAAGCTTGTAAACAAAACTCACTAGTGTGAAGATAGAGTTATAGATGCATGTAGATCGTTTTATGTTAAGAAAAAAGAAAAGAACCAAGAATTGTTTTAACTCTTTTTAACTCATTATAGAGACAGACCAAAGACATAAGAAATAAGGTCAAGAAATTACAGCTGTTCTTCATCAGGAAGATAAAGATTTAATTTATAGGAAGCAAGAGATAAATCTGAGAATGATAGAATGCTTTTAACAAAAATAAATGAATCTCAGTAATAATTTTACAAACAATTGGTAAATAAGCTAATCATGAAAAGTAACAGTGGAGATAATATGAATATTTGTATTTACTTCATGAATGCTTTTAAAACAGTTTTAGAAGATTTAGATTTATTTGAAGATTCCCATTTTTATAAGCTGCTTGATAATATAGAAAACAAAGATACCTTCTTTTATAATCCAACAAGCTACTTTATGATTACGTCTGTATTAGACAATCTATCTTTACCCTTTAGTAAAATAACATAATTTAAAAAATTAAGTAAATTCGTAACCTATTATCAAAATCTTGAAACAGAACAATAAAAAACTATATCTACAGTAAATCCTGAAAATTAGTAAAAATTAACTACAGATGAAGAACAATTTATGTTTTATAACTAAGAATCCTTAGAAGATTTAGAAGATTCTTAAGATTGAATCTTGATAAAATAGATAAAGATAAATATATTTATACCTTAGTCTATTCTATCATCATATATTTTGAAATAAAAAAAACTTTACATTACAAAAAAGAATTATACTATTAATTAAAAATATAAAAATACAAAAAAAAGTAGTATATTTATTTTATACATTAAGTCAGTAAAAAATATCAATTAAATAGTTAATTAAATATTTTACTTTTCGAACTTTTATGAATAATTTTATATTTAATTGAATCCACTTTTTATTCATCAATCAATCCTTCTTGAACTGATTAATTTTTTTCTATTTAATCTTGTGCAAATTTAAGAAGAATTAAATTTTTGAACTAACCATACATAATTGTTCTTGGCTAATTTTAATATGCAAACCATTTTGTAAATTTTGTCTTTATTTTATTTGAGTACAAAATGTTTAAATGCAATAGTTATCAAAATCAATTCAAACAAACAAACAAAAGCTGGACTGACACTTTATTGTAGTAAAATTGTAATTTTTTAAAATAATGCTGATAAGAAGCAGATGAAGACTTTAATTGTAAAATTTTTAGGCTGTTTGCTGATCGAAAATTTTCATTTAAGAATATTAAATAATCTATTCTCATCAACCTTTGATAAATTAAAAAGCTATTTGACAGAATTTTTAATTATCCTATAAATAATTTAAGTAAAAAAATTAACAAAATATAATTAATAGAAAACAAAAAAAGACTCTGCTGATTATATACATTCATTCATTCATTAACTTGAAAGCAAGAATATTTTAATGGATATTTCAGATAAGTTTTTGGACATAAAAAACAAGCTGCTTAGGCACAGCTTTTAACAAGAAAGAGAAGAGCAGCAAATAATAACCTAACTTCAAGCAGAATTGAATTAAAATTAAGAACAAAATGTTTAGCAAATCATAACTCTCGAGGGAGACAAAGAATTCACTATTTAAAATGTGCCAGTTGAAAATCATGCATCTCAACTGATTAAAAAAAATTCCGAAATAATGTAATTTTTAGCACTTTATTGAGCCTTTAATTTATATATAATTAAGTAAAATAATTTCAATATTTTTTATTATATAAAAAGAGCTCAAAATACAGATTAAGATGCAAACAGCTAATTACAAGAATTATCTTCACCAACAAATGAATAAAAACCAGATGTTGAGAATCAATAATAATTTGTAAGCTACGAATAGTTTTTGAATTCTGTATAGGCTTACAATCAGCAACTCTTACTAGAGTAACAATAATTATAAAGCGAATTAGGATAATAATTGGCAACGGATAGCGATCTAACAAATGAGGAGCAAAAAGAAAATTAGGATATTGATGATTAATAACATTTTAGAGCTGAAATGTAAAATTTTAGTACCAATAGTATTAACAAAATGGTACAGCTAGATAAATTTTAAACAGAAATGATTGAGAGTTTAGTAAAACTTAAATAACAAGAATTTGACAACCCGTTAAACGAATTAGATGGCTAGTTCTGCATGAACTTATATTCAAAGTTAACTTATTACTAAAAGCTAATTATAACATAATTCTTTTTTAAATTGGCTTTTATCTTGGGTACAGTCTTTATCGGCTTCCGTCATTTCAATTTAGAATAGGTAGGTGCATCTCTTGTCTTGATGTACTTATTTAAAAATCTAGCTGAGTTGTATTTAACTAATAAAGAAATGAATATTCTAAATGAAAAAATAGAAGATTATAGTGATTTAAAGTAAAAATTAAATTAGCACAAAGATTGTTTCTAAGATCATATAGACAATATCAAAAATAGCTAGGTACTATTATAAAAATAAATAGAAACTTAAAACGAGGAAGCTCTTCAACTATAGTAAACCTATGAGCCAACTAACAATGTTCAGCAACTTCTCTAACTCTTTGATTTATAGGATCTTAAGAAAAATATATTATTAAAATATAAGGAAGAATAAAATAGACAAAAAACGAACTAAATCATAGTTCAAAGTCTTGATGCCATAAAAAGCTTAATGTAGTTCTTGAAAAGAATTAAAGATGACGATGAGTTCAAAAGAAAGCAGGATGAAATCTTTTTCTTAAAGCAAAAGGTGAAATAATTTTAGTCCTTCTTTTTCCCTTAAGAGGATTTTTTGCAGTAGCCGTAGAAGTAGTCTATGTAAAAAATCAAATAAGCGCTTTTAAGATAGTAACCATTATTACTCTTTTTATCCTACATCATGAAAATAGTGATTGCTGCTCTTACTTTACTAAATTGTATGTATCTCTTTACTGCTGAATCTTCCTCAAAGTTATCTTCTAACTTCTATATCACTCTCTGGGCTAATCTAATACTAGACCATATTTAAATTTTTGCCTTAGTATTTTTTGTTAGCGTACTCCTTGTAGTATTTTTAGTAATCCTAATATTTTCTAGAACAAAAATATTGATCTAAAGATTTAAACATCAAAAAAAATTAAAACTCAGATTACAAAGTTTGAAAAAAGATAAATTTGTAAAATCTGACAATCCTGACTAAGTAAAGGAGTGTAGTATTTGTCTGAACGATTACCAAAACGATGAGACTATTGTAATACTTAACTGCGACTCCAAACATATATTCCATTAGTAATGCATAGAGACATGGGTCAAGTAAAAAGACGAATGCCCTCTATGTAGAGCAGTCATCTTCAATTGATAGATTGATTATAATTTTAATAATTAATTAAGAGATAATTAGATAAACATACAAATCTAAAATAAATCAATAAAAGCCATATACTCATTAATAAATAATTAATATTTAATTAAGTCATTTAATTTGAAACTATTAAAGCGATTTAACTAATTTAATACTACTAAATAAATATATATACTTCAGTCACTAAAATTATTCTCTTTTATATTTCATTTTATATCTTATAACCAATTCGCAATTCGATTCCCAAATTAAATAAATATGTTTACTTTTATTAAATTCAAATAATTAAAAATTTTTATTTGTTTATGAAAAAGCAAATTAATTCAAAATAGCAAACAGTTAGTTCATGTTCAGTTTATTTATGATTAAATAAAATTATTTTCATCTTAATTAAATATTGAAAATTAGATATATTTTAATCTTGGTAAAGTAAACAAACTCTTTTAAATTTTATAAATTTAATTTATTTTAAATTTAAAGGTAAATGCTAAAAATAAAAAATATTCTTTTAAATGAGTTATTTGAAAATAAATATTTAATTTATTAATTTTGATTTAATTAGAATTTTTTGTTAAAGTAGGAAACAGCATATGTAATGAAAATATATATATGCATGTATCTAAAATATGAAGAGATAAATAATTTAGTTTTTAAATATATTCAGATTGCAGGATTTCTATGTAGATATGGCAAATTATTAGGATCTATTTCGTTTTTTCTTAATGTATTTTCTTTTACAACTGATATTACTGGCCCATCAACATTGCCTAAATAAAATTAAAAAAAATAAAGGAATATCTTATTTTTTAATTTATTTTATCTTACCTTTATTTATATATTGTTATGCTTCTCTTTCTAAAAGTTTTCTAATAGACTGATTTGAATGAACTGCCCCTAAATGCTAAAAAAAAATTAGGTATTTGCAAAAAAGAAAAGAAATTTACTTTGTAATTTCTTAAGACTTCGTCAGCTACATGTTTTGCTATTCTTTCTTCAAGAGTGGCCTTGTGCTTTGTTTCTGTTTGGCTCTTAAATAAATATAAAAAAATTAACTCACAAAATAAATGTCACAAATATATTTATTTTACGATTCCATCCCATTCATTCTTTCCTTTTTTCTACTCATTTAACTTATCTTTTAAGCTTTAAATGCTCTCTGTATATATTTAATAAAATTTTTATTTATAACTTCATTTTTTAAGTTGAATTTCGTACATTGAGATCTTTCTGATTAATGAGAACGAGCATCAGAAAGGACTGAAGTAGCATTTGATCTAACATCATCATTTTAATCAGCCTTTTATTCATTTTATTTCTTTTTCTTAATTTTAATATCATGTATAGCATTCTCTTTCCAATTTTCTTTATCTTAAAGTTCATGTATTCTATTTTTAATTGCTTTAACCATAGACTGAACTTCTAAATCATTTATATATTAATCATAATCCAAATTATTGACAAAATCCAGCAAATCATCGCATTCCTTGTCTTCATCTTCTTCCAATTGCTTTTATATGCATTCTTATTAAAATAATTCCTAATAAACTTAAATGAATTTTACTTTTTCTGTGTAAGCCCATTTGGGTTTTGTATCTTTTTTACTAGGTTTCTTCACTTCCTTTTTACCAGAATCAGCTGGCTTATACATATCTTCATTTTAATTTTACTCTTCTAATTTCTTTAAATTTTTTTCTGTTAATCTGGCAACTTTATGCTTAGGACTTTATGGGTTTTCATCTCCTAAAATTTTATTTATATTTTAATTAACATGCTCGAAATCAGCTTTCATTTTTTTAGTTCTTTCTCTGTCCTTAGCTGCTATCTCTTTAACTTTAACAAATTTTTCATCATCTCTTTTTTTCATTTCATCTTCGTCTTCTTTTTTAAGATTCATCTTTAACTTGTAAATTTCCAACCAGTCTTTGTGACGTTATAAAGCTTCATTTACTTCTATTTTTTAGAAAAGCCAAAATATTTATTTTGCAAGCTTGATATAAAATTCTATTTTTAATACAAAGTAAATATATTTACTCTTCTTCTTTTTTAATGGCACAGCGAATTCCTTTTTAACTGGGTTAAGACCAAGTTGTTAAGAAGCTTCGACTCTAGAGCAAAAAGGCCTATTTTTAATTTTTAAGTAAAATATTAAAAAAAAATTTGAAAGCAATATAAACTAGTACTTTTCAACTGCTATCTTGACAGGTTCATTAGGACGACTGCAAAGCATAACACCCTTGTAGTTATTCATACCACCTAAAAGTATTTACAAAATGATAATTAACTCAATCTTATTGATATTTTGCTATTATAAAATCTACCTCCTTCCATTTGCTTATATGATGCTATTATTAAATTCCTTATAAAATACCTAAATAATGATTATTAATATTTCTTAAATTATATGACAAGTCAATTAATCAATCAATTATTTATTATTTTTGTTATCGTTTCCTTTTTAGTTAATTTATTATTTTGTTAGTGAATTGTTCTTACATCATTCCATCATTAATTATTGATAAGCAACATTCATTCATTCATTTTTCATGATAAATTAATGATTTATTTTTTCATTATTCATTAAAGTTATAAGATTATGATATTTGATTTCACTATCAACTGTTTTGCTTGTGTAGATAAATCTAACTAACTACTTTTCTTATAATTTTTCAAATGTTTTAATTCCATCAATTTTAACATTCGATTATAATAATAAATATGTGGAGTTATAAACAAATATACATTTGCAAAGATATAAAAATGAATGGTTTTACTTATTTATTCTTAATTATTCAATATTTTCTATCAAAAATAAAAATCCATAATTTATTTTTTTCTTGTTTTTAATTGAATTTTTCATTCAAATTTTACAATAATTTTATTTTTTTTCTTAAATAACTAAAAACCATAATTCCTATTAGAAATTTATATTAGTTATGTTATAATATATCTATCTATTAGTAATTCGATAAGATAGAAGTGTAAATTTATACAACAACTTCAAAGAATACATTAAATTTTCAAATAATTTTATTCAAGAGTTTAATTTATTAAGTTCTAATGTAAAACATTTAGTAAAAAAAAAATCAAAATTAAAATTTTAGAATATATTGTTTACTTACTAAATAAATCAACTTAAATTTTTAATAAATTTGATAAGATTATTTACTATTAAATTAAATTTTGCAATCAATATTAAAAAAAAATAAATTTAAAATTGTTATTTTTAATAAAAATTTGATACTATTTTTTGTTATGAAATATAAAAATATAAAATATAATTTATTATTAATTTAAATAAAAATCATTTTTGTTAAATTAAGAATGGATTTTAATTGCTATCTTCGTAAGAGTTTATCATATTACCATCTGTTGGAGTTTACTTGTTATCTTCATTGTAGTTATATTCGCTTTAAATATCAGGAGGATAATAAGAACTTGTCTTTAAAAACGGATTCTGGTTTCCATTTTAATTTGATAAACCTTATGCAGCACTTTCTTGTAAGGCAGAACTATTTATTTAAGATGTTAAGGACATCTCTACTGTGTTTTAAGAATTAGGAGTCAAATTTAAAAATGGGTTATTCATTATTTGTTAAGTAGGTTAATTTACCATTTTTGTAATGCTATTCAAAATTTAATCTTGTGGTGTGTTAATTTTATTTATCAATATATTAGGTTATATTTTTTATTGATTACTTGATAATTTTTTTGTGTTTGAAGATTTAGTAGGCCATTAATAGTCTTTGTGATATACATACTAAACATAATTGTAGAAGAATAATAAAGATATCATCTCTACTATCATTATCAATACCTTTACCGAGAAAATAAATATTAAGATAGCTTTTATTTAGCCTTAGGCAAAATCATAACTGTAAAATTTCGATAAATTAGCATCTTTATATTTGCTTAGACTGTAGGCGTAAATAGCCAAGACAAATATGAGTAGGGTGATAATACAGTTTATCAACAAATAGATTTTTGAGCGTTATGTTGTTCTGAAATTTAATGCTATCTCAGCTATTCTGTAAATGCCATATATTAATAAAACAAGTAAAATAGCACTTCCTTTATCACCACCAGATGCAAATATTATTGCAAATGCAGCTTTAAATATTAGCATTGTAAGGAGTTAATTTTTACCTGAAAATGTTGTGTCATTTATGCAGTTCATAAAAAGCACTCCATATTTTGTATGCTTATCAAATGTTGCTACATTTATACCGTAATAAACAATAGCTGGGACAAACACTGCATATACCACACCCACAAATGACAGCAACATTCCAATAGCATTTATGCCATTTGAAGTATCTATATGCTAGAACTACAATGCTAAAAATGTTATTACTTCTTAATAACTAAAAATCATTATCAATAAGAAAACGTTCCATTACATGCTCATCCTGAGAGCTTAAAGTATTCTGCCATATAACCAATAGAGCCTATTTTGACTGGTATTACTTGGGTCTTTTGCAAATCTGCTTATCAAATAGAGCAAACAAAAAGGTAAGGCAAATAAAATCAAAGGAAATACATTAAAAAGGAAATTCTATGATTTTTCATTAAGTATGTATCTAAAGTCATTAGGAATTTATTCGTGCATTTCTACATATTTTTAATCATAGCGAGGATCTACATTTCGCAAATAAGAAGATTTCAAAGGATTTGGGAAGAAATAAGCCAAGTTATCAATATTGAATGCCTTGTATATGTAATCCTTGTTATAAACATTCGCAGGTTCTTGGAAATAAGTAAAGTAGCCTGCAAATTAAGAGATAAACAAAACGTTGATCGAAAAAAGTGGATATTTTCCCGATAGAGTGAAACCAAAAAAGGATATTAAGACAATATAGTTGAGAGAAATTAAAGCAGCATCTCCTTAATTTTCAGATGGTTAACATTCTGAACCTATGTCTTCATAGCCTGGTGGACAACTACAAGTTCCTCTGTAAAATATTCTTTCAGGACTAATACATTCTTAGCAAGAGTCGTATTCAAAGTTTGAACATTTTGAGCAACTCCAATGGCAATATTATTTAGGAATTATGACTTCTGAAGTAGAGTTTGTATTTCCCTTTATTTTATCTGCTTTAGACTTATCATAAGTACACTTTTTACTTGATTTATCAACTGAGTAAAGCTCATCAAAGCAATTTATACAACCTGTGTCGAGGGAATTAAAACAAGATTCACAAGATAAATCACAACAAATTTTGCTTTGAATTCTGTCTAGTCTATATTAACCCGGAGTGCATTCTTTAACACATCTTCCATTTTGAAGAATGTAACCATTTTTGCATGTTAAGCAGCTGTTTCCATCAGAACAAGTTTCACATTCAGTCAAGCATTTACTACAATTTTATAAAACGCTATCATATAAAGGAACAATAGCTTTAGATTTATTTGAAATGTACTCACCCTATTTGCAAGATATTTGGCAAGTTTGCGTATCTGGTGATAGAGCATAAGAAGGAGGACACGATAAGCAATTATTTTATTAAAACCCATTACATGTGAGGCATGTAGGATCACAGCATATGTTATTTGTTGTGTCTGGGCGCAATTAATCAGGGCACTTAGTATAACAATACCCCTATTTAATTTATGGAGTAGATTACAAAAGATAGTGTTAATTAGACTTTAGATTCCCAAGCAATCTTTTTGATACTATTTTTTATGGGCTTAAAAAGTAGTTTTAAGTGGGATCATCTGATTTAAAGCATTAATAACATTAGTCTAGGCTGATGCATTTTTTGCATCCAATACTACAGTTTTAGCAGCTTTAAGTGATTTAATCGAAAAATTATCCATCTTGGCATGAAGTAGAAACACATAATTAAAATTGCTTGTTGAAGACAAATCCGCTTGCACACTAACTGCATAAGTTCAAACTAGCACATTATGTGCAATTAGGTAGAGAGCAAGGTATACAAATTCCTTAATCATTTCGAAATTAATTTGTTGGACAGACTTAAGAACACTGCTTAAGAGAAGTTACGAACTCATATCCACTTTAACAAACAATACAACTCTGATCATCATTACAGGATTGACAATTTGGAATACATAGAGTACATTGATTTGATGTTGAATCTCTGAATTTACCTTAAGGGCATTAAAGATCACAGATATCGACTCGCGATTTAATTAAATCATAACCAGGTTCGCATTGCAAGCAAGTGCTATTATCAGAACAATTTTAACAGTTTTTCAAACATTATTCGCAAGTACTACCAGAATAAAAGTATTTATCAGCACATTGATCACAGCTTGATTAATTTTTGCATGAAGCACAATTTGTGATGCAACTTTAGCAATTCGAGCCATCAAAATATTTTCCAATTCCACATTTAGTACATTTTAATTAGTAAGGAATAGAATTATCTAACTGAGTTCCAGTTGGACACTGTTGAACACATCTATTATTAACTGTATCATAAATAGGGTAGTCACGATAGCAATATGTAGAGCATTCACCATTGTAATCAACAACAAAATTAATTTAGGTTTAATTGCATGATTAACACTAATAGTTGTTATTATTGTACTATGCGCAATTTTATGAGCTATCTATTTAAGTATAATTTCTATCTGGGAACTAAATAGTACATAAATTTCCATTTATGGTATATCCATCAGTACATTTTGTACATTGCCCATTGCTTGGTCCGAAGCACTCTTTACATTCTAAGCTGCAAGGGTAGCACCCTTTGTCGAGGCTATAAAATCCCTACGCACAGCCTTTATCATTACTTTTTACCAAGCAGTTAGTAGAATTGGTGCACTTGAAACAAGATGAATCACAAGGCTATATTTAATTTGTTTAATCATCTAGATAATATCTATCTGGTGGGTAATTAAAAAAGCATTAACCTTGAAACATTGTATAATTTTATCTGCAAGTATTAGTTTTATTATCATTATTTGCTTTACCGTTAATAGGAAGAAGATTAGTATTGTTGAATATATTGCTATCATATTAAATACATTATCCACACTGTAGATAAAAACCTTAATTGCATTAAAGACACTTAAATCCTTTTCTAATTAAGCATGGCTCTTGTCCATAATTCATTTTACACTACAGACTCATATAATCTAAATACTTTTATAAATAAATAAATCAATTAAAAAGTAAATAAAATTTTTATTTTATCCCCTCCAAAATACTTTATTTATAGGAAGGGGGAGGAGAATATAAATGAATGAAGGAAGGGGAGGGTAATATAATGGTTTTTATTGTAATTTCATGATTTATTTGATTTAATTTTATGATTTTTAATAAATAAAAAATTACATATGATGGAGAACATTATTTGACACAAATCGCAGGTTAACCCGTAACAGTTGATAATCTTCTTGATGGTATACTAGAAGAAGCTTATTCTATTTTCTGAAGGAAATAACCATCATTACATTTTATGCAGTTAAAATTTGAGTCATAATCATGGCAATTTTCAACTTCTTAAATACATTAGGATAATTCATTCAATTTAAAACCATCTTTACATATAAGGCAGGAATCAGGTTTATTTATATCTTTATATAAGCAATTTGTTGGATTAGAGTAGTTGCAGATTCCAGTTTAGTTATAATATATCATATTACATTAAGTACAAGTTACACCATCTGTTAAATTATACCCAGGAGAACATTACTTTACACATTCATCGTCTTGCTAATAGTACTAATCTGCTTAGTTGCATAAAGGCTGTGTTCCATTTAGATACCCCTAAGGTATATCTATGGCTGTTTAATTATCGCTGAGGATTTAGATATCCATGCTTAAAGCTGTTGTATAGTTTAAACATTGTGACTAATATTAAATAGAATTATTGCATTAAAAGCACTGATTTCCAAATTTAGCTGGGCAGTTCACATCTCCACTGTCACATGGTGGGTTGAAAGAGTTGTTCAAATATTTGCAGTTTGCTTATTATTAAAATAAATATTAAATTTAATTGCCTTAAATACATTTATTAATTAATCTTTAAAGTAATTTGAATTTAATAACAGCTTAAAAATTCTATTAATAAGTTTTTTATTTACGTTTATTTAGAATTTTGTAAAAAGTGTAAAAAAAAACTATTGATAGATCAGTAAAATTTTGAGAGGCAAATCATATATAAAAATTTTTAAAATCAATAATTTAACTTACGTGGGATCAAGCAGGATTAGTTTTATGTACCATATGCACATACTTTAACACAATCTTATCCGAATTTATAGTATCCTTGGTCACATTAAGTAGAGCAAGTACCGTTATGATTTAAGAGGTATCCTTTTTTACACCTAATACATATTTTTTACTGTATTCCAGTTATTATATTACAGTTTGGGAGCATAGCTTCTTAAGAATCTTATTAAAATTCAATACCAAATTTATCTGTGTAAACTCTGGCTTCAAGTATATCTAAAGTTAGATCTTAAGTTTATTCTAAAATCCGAGCAAATATTGCATTTTCTCTATAAATTTAAATGTCTTTGATAGATAAGATTTTGTAATTGTCATAAAAATATTTCATACTATCAGTAATATTTAAATTGAAATAATTACTTTCATAATCATTAAACTACACAACTTCTAACTTATTCAGATTAAAATTGAATCTAAAAAACATACCAACAGTAAAAGTGTCTAATATTCCATTTTCAGGATAAGACATTTAGGTAGAATTAGGCAATAAAAAGTTTAATGCTTAGTTTTGGTAGGTTCCTTCATTAAAATTGATTTTAATCCTATATTTAATCAATAAAATTTTAATAAAAATTAGTTTTAAAAAAATTACTTGAGATTGAAAGGAAAATAAGTCACATTCTATAATTTTAAATTCAAAGTAACACCAAACTCTATAGGCGAAGATTTTAGATCAGAACTATTAAGAGGCAAATGGAATCCAGATTAGTAAATTAACTGGATAGAAGAGAGCTTTTATATCGGAATCTCCAGTTTTGTTAAATTAAATCTTCCAACTTTTTATTTGAGTAAATCATAGAAATAAAATTGTTTGAAGTTATGGTAGTAATCCAATTTGTAAATAGTTGGTGAAGTAATAGGTTACAAACTACCTTTTAAGTATAATTAAAGTGCTTTTAATTTTTAAATGATAAACTATTCATCTATTGTTAAGAGAGGTATGTTGTAATTGTAGATTATTCTTAAATTATATAAACTTCCAAACAACTGAGATTAGCAAACTTGAAGCACAGAGGTACTGCTTAAATAACTTTGTTATGGAATATTAAATATAATTTATTGAAAGTATGGATTAGGGCGTTAATTTTCTGGTACATTAAAATTTAAAAACAATGTTATCAAGCCTAAAGATAAATTTTATTAATATTGATAATCTAGAAAAATTAAGAATTCAAAAGGCTAATTTGGATTAGAATTATAACGTAGTTATTAGAAGAATATACTATTATTATCTTATAGAGTTTAAATGAATATGTTGCCTAATAAGGGTTATACTTTAATCTCAAATCTAAGGTTGGTAAGATTCTTATCATATATTTAGAAAAGAGTAGAGGTGTCACTGTCAGGCAAAGGATTAAAATATCCATAAACAGTTATTCTATTGACTAAGTTAGCTTGCAACTGAATTGAATTAAGGTTAAATTAATTGCACTACTGATTACTAGTGTTATCACATATATTTTAGGGTAAAGGAGTCATTTAGAAACTTCCAAAATCTTATACCTCATATCCTAGAATACTTTGAAATAAGCAGATTGTCAAAAGGGAATAAAAGAAATTCATTTTTGTTTTTTTGATAAAAAAATTGAGAAAATCCAAATTTTATCAATTACAATTATTTATATTAATAATGAGAATCATTATGCAATTTAATTTTGTTTTTTTGATTAGACAGTGTTTTATTTAGTTAATTTATAACTATTAAAGTTAAAAGAAATTTAAAATTTACACTTAGAATAGATAGAAAATAAAAGCTGGGATTTTTTTGTGGTTGTTATAATAAAAAGTTAATAATCATTAGCTAAAATTTAGTCTAATAAACAAGCTTAACATCAAGTTTTAATATATAAGAATTCCCAAAGATAAATAGTAAGCACAACCTAATTAAGTTTTTTCCTACTACTAATTACTATTAGAAATGTGCAATTTACCACTAATTTTATTTTATTAATTTTACCTTATAATTATACAGAGAGTAAGATAAACTTTTAAGTATGAAATTCTTAAAAAATTAAAATAATATAATAAATAATTTGATGTTATTTTTTGTTTAATCTAATTTATTAATTACGTTGTTTATTTATCTCTTTAATTCTAATTTTATGATGAAAGAAAGTCTGTCAGTGATTTATTTAAATTTGTATGTTAAACTAAAATTACATGCTAAAATAAAATTGATAAAATCTTAGCAGCTTTAAAGTAAATAACCTTATGTCAATTAATGACGGAGAATTTTATTTTTATCAATTTTGATCATTTACGTAATTCCCACCTAAGTCTAATTAATTCTTTTAAGATATTTATTAAATCAAATGAGTAAAATAAAATTGAGAAAAAGAGGGTCTTCAAATATAAAATTAAGCAAAAACAGTAGAACACATAATCGAAAACTTTAATTTTTATTAAATTTATAAATATCTAAAATCCCTAATAAGATTATCTCTGATAAATTAATTGAATTTCGTAATATTAGATTACAATTATTCAATTTTATTTAAGTTAATTGGTATTGAGAAACTACAACATATTTTAGCTTTTGCTTAAATTATTTAAATCCTCCCACATTTTTATTATTTATTTTTAAAAGCTTTTCTTCAAAAAGATCAAATAAAATAAATATTTTTTATCTAAATTAAACTTTTTATATTTAAATATTTAGCTTTTGTCTTTCTTGAACTAAGCGGTAGAATTAATTATAAATGTTTGATTGATGTAAAAGATTAAATTTATTACCAATTTTTTAATTGTTAAAAGGAAGTAATTTGATAGATTAATAATTAGTAATGTAAATTAATTTGATAAATTCAAATATCAATTGTAAATTACATGAATGATAAAATTCATCATACAGATTTTTATTACTGCGAATTAAAGTTAATATTTTAATAATTTAGATTCACTAAAAACTCTGTAAACACTTAAAGATTTATTTGCTTATTAATTGATTGAATGGATGTAATCAAATTTTTGAACAAAATATGATTGATTAACTATTTTTAGCAATATTGATAAATTTATTAAATTAAGGAATGTAAACGTTTCTATATATAATTATATAATACACCTTTATCTATTTATGATTGTTTCAATTATACTTTTAGCCAGTTTCAAAAAGAGTTTTATAAACATATGCTTCTGCCAAAATTACTTTTAAATCACTTTCGTTCCACAATGTTGTAGGAAGTTCTTTAAAAAAGTTAATAATATCTTCTTCGTGCTTTAGCTTTTTAATTTTGAGAGACCATTTTAAAATAATAGCGCTGTATAAATAAATGAAATATTAGGATATTTAAGAGTCATCGCTGACATAAGTATCGAATAACCTTAAACCTACCTTAATTGAGAACTGACGAAGAAGTAAGCATATTGAACACTTAAATACTTCCTAATAAAAATTATCAAGTCTAGAGGTGATATGCTCCAACAAATCGTTATCAAGCCTCTTTAAGACGAGCTATACTTTTTCGAATTACTTTTTAACTCCTGGAAAATTATTTGTATAATTATCAAGCATTCCATCCAATATTTTACTTAAACACCAATAAGAATCTGCCTCTATTTCCGAAAACTAATCATCAGTTAATTTATCGAAGTTTGAAGGAATATCTAGTGTTTCTAAATCTAAGACACAATACTCTCCAACAAAAACAATAATGAAGGTAGAAAGAACATCATTCATGCCCTAAACATATCCGCTAGCAGGATGGCGAACATTCCAAATGAATAGAATTCTAATGAGTATTTCTTTGATTTTATTATTACGAAATAACTTTGAATTTGGCACTGTTCTCTCAACATCTTTTATAACTTAATCCAGCCCTTTTTACTCATTTGTATCCCTTTCATTTTCATTAATATTTTCTAAGTAAGTTGCTACCATATCTTTGTAGTCTTTTCTTTTTCTTGCAATTACTGCTTCTTAAGTATCTTTATTAGTGGGAAGATATTTCAGGAGCACTCTCCAAGCCTTTCCCCTAACACCTTTTTATAATACATAAGTATATCTAATAATTCTAGTAAACTCAATTTCATAAAGATATTTTGTTTGTAGAAAGATAAACTCATAAAATTGTAATCTTATAGCGATTAACTATCAAAATATTATGTTAATATCATATTATTTACTTACAATTTGTTTATCTAATTACATTTCTTTTTATCATATTTAACAATTTTATTTTGCATTTTTTAAGATGTTTGTGTCTGTTTTTGAAAACTAAAAATACTCATTTTAAATTTATCTGAGTAAGTGAAAAAGTAAGCGAAAATAAATTTATTACATTAAGGTATTCCATCCCATGATAATGCCTTTAACTTATCATAATCGATAATTCTCTGATTTATAATTTCCTAGAATTTTTTAATTCTTGTTTCATTATTGCTTTCTTCAATATTGCTATCTTCGATGCGAACATAATCTTCGTTTTTGTTATATATCTAGGTAAAATTAACCTTATTAACTATATCGCTGTGGCTTTTCTTTTCTTCCCTGTAGATTATAATATTTTTAATTATTTAAATTCACAAATCTCATTTTTCAATTCAATATCATTTCATATTAAAATAAATTATAATCAAAAGATGATGAATTGAATTAAATCAATTTATCAGTCTCAATAAAACCAAATACTCTTCGCTTTTATCTGAAAAAACTCTCTTAATCTTATTGAAAATGGACATCCTACACCTATCTTATGCTTTTGCTGCCTCAAACTAACTATTTGTAACCTCTGCTCAAGATTTACTTAAAAATTTACAATTTTTTGCTATTGTCTATATTAGTTGCTAATTATTTTATATTTTTCGAGCAAGTTTATTTATTTTGATAGGAATATTGGTAATACAAATAAATATACGCGTGATAATTCAAGTTAATTTATTATGTTTGAATCTGAATTGTTAATAGAATAATTAAGTTTTAATGAACAAAATATAAATAACACTAAAATTTTATAATTCCTTAAATGCTGTTAAAATCTGTAATTTATAAAATTTGAACTTTAATCTATCTATTCAAAACAATAATATCTAAATATTTTTTAAATTCATTTATAGATATTTTTATTAAAATAATAACATTTTTTAGCTTTTCTAAACTTTCTTAAAAAAAATAATTTTTATTTAATTAAATTTATTACTTTCAATTAATTCAAAATAAGTCTTTATTCATCATAAAATAGCTAATAATTTTTTTAAAATTGCAAATTCAAGAGTTATTAAAATATATTCTGAATAGCTAGAGTAAAAAATAGATGAATATGAATATGCCAGAAATAAATTATATTAGATAATAATTTATAATAATAAAATATTCAATGAATTAAATGTTAATTTATCAATATCTTATTTAAAAATTTTTAAATACCTTAAATATACTGTGTGTTTTTTCTAAATAAAATAACACCCTAGGGCATTAGGCTAGGATCCCTAATTTAAGGCCTCCTAATAAAAATATTCCATATACTATCTTCATCTTTTCTCATTCAAGAGGACATACGGTACAAATAAATTCTAATATAATAGATAATTTTCTTAAATTTGTAATTAAAATTCATTTACACATAAACAAAAGGGTTGCTTCAGATAATTATGTTGTTCATACTCTTGTAATACAAAACAGATTTTTTTTAATTAAAATCGCAAATTAACAGTTATAGTTAAGCTTGAATCACCATAAGATTTTATAGCCTAAAAATAAAAATCTGAGTGAAAATTTTTCATTATTTTTCTATTTATCTTTAAATCATTAATTTATTTTCTATTAAATATTTACTGGCACATTTTTGACTTATTAACTGCTAAAATGAAAATGATACCATTTAAGCATAAATGTATAGTGGTTAAAAATTTAGGGAACAAGATATTTTCTTCTAAGTTCATAACAATTAATTTGAGGATAACTTTATCAAGTGGAAATATTTTATATATAAAAATATTCCATGATTAATTTTTATTTTTCTCCTTGTCTCATTTCTAAAGATTAAAGTGTGTCTGTCTATTAAAATATATTTTGCCCTTATTTTATTTTTAATATTTTTATTATTTTTTTAGTTATTTTATTTTTAATAATAAAATGTTTTTTGAAATAATTTCTTTTATCAAATAAAATAATAAAATAAATGAATGAATGAATGAATGAATGAATGAATGAATGAAAACTCTTTAAAAACCCAATCAAAGTTTGAAATATTTTTGTTTTTTATTAAATAAATGTATTTGAAAAGTAAAATTTGTTTTTGACATTAGTTATAGAAACAAGTAAGTAAGTAAATATCTTAACTAATTATCTTTATTTGAACTAATTTGTTTAAAATTATTTTTAATTAGAGTTATTTATAAAAATTAGTATCATGATTTATTTTGAAGTAAATATATAAATTTAACAAAATATTTTACTTATTTAGGATTATCTTTCCAATTAGGTTTCTAGATATCGTTTTTAAAATTTAGTTACTTTTAACTACTGTTTTTCTTATTACTAGGTTAAAATTTAGCAATCGATAAATAAATGTAGAATTAAGATATAAAAGATGGTAATATTAACGTAGAATTAAATTACATAAAAGAAATAGCTAGACTTTTTGATATTCGAGAAAAAATTAAATGCTAATTCTTGTATGTGGTGATATTACATGCATTATTTGTTCTATAAAAATAGGTGGTATAACAAAAAAATTTTAGAACTAATCATAAGACATGTGAGGTTTATACTTTGCTTATATCTCTATAGAATATACAATTGTATTTTTTGACAAGAAAATGTCTATTAAATGGGTGGAAGCTAATTCTTGTGGGGAATAAATAGAAAGATAGATAAAAAGATAAATTTCGTGATTTGTGTTTTACGATTGTAGATAAATTTAATTGAAATTGAGTATAATTATTACGTATGAAATTAGATTAATTTTTAATTGATTTTATAGATGAATTTATCGTTTGATATATATTGGTAGATTTAACAAGTTGGAATAAGAAAACAGGTACTAACAAACTATATAATTTTGTAAAAATTTAGTTATTTGTAAATTTTCTAAAAAGTTTAATAAAAAGAATAAAAATAAGAATTAAAAAAAAGAGCCATTTTAATCAATTATCATTATATTAAGGAAAGCAAGCTATGTAAGATAGTAATTTGCCTCGTATAAACAGTTAACAAAAAAGTACTCATCAAGAAGTAAAAACTGAAAATATCCACAGAGGTAAACATACATTTTTTATGTTAATAATATATGGGTGCATTTAAGTTAAGCTTTAATATTCGGGGGTTTTTAATTTAATTCTAATTTTTAGTTATATTTGCCTATTTGCTTGCTTAACATACTTTCTTTCTTTTTTCTCAGTAGAAGATTTTCATTATATACACTCATATCTCCTATATTAGGCAAATGAATTATATTACATAATTATACTCATATCTAATGAGATGTCAGTTCATTTATAATTGAAGATGATAAAAGTTGAAAAACTCCATAATTTTAATCTAAATTTTAGTTATACCTACGATTTTTTTGCTTTACTTATCTAGAACTATTATTCTTAAACATTTATTTTTTATATATAACAATATCATAAAAAAGAATATAATAGCTTTAATATTATTTAATAATAGTATTTATTTGTTTATTTTATTGAACATAGATTAGGTTTATTAAATTGAGTTAGGAGATCCAAAAAACTAATAGGTAAAATAAACATTTTTTGTAAAGTTCTCAATAGTCTTATTAATAATGTTTTAAAAAATAAGAATGTCCAAGTAAATTAATCACAGGATAGCTACTAAAACAACAAAAAAATAAAAAATCAAAGTGAATTAGCAAGTGTATAGATTACAACAAACTAAAATATTAATGAACTTAAAGGCTTTTACAAGGATGAAAATCATGATCATCACAATGAAATAGCTACAACTAATGGAGAAACAATTAACAAATTAGAAGAATCAAATAAAGCTCCTTATACAACTCAAATTTTGAAAAATAAATTGATGTTCTGGTTTATGGTGAACCACGCAGCATTTACTGATTTTTTGTTAGCATATAATATGGGTTTATTCAACACATTGTCTGACCACATGAATTATATTTATGGCTGGACTGATGATGAAAAAACCTTGTAATATTCTTTGATTAACTCACTCCCTTAAGCTGTTGCTGCTATTGTTTCACTCTTTGCAGGTGGGTGGGCTGCTCGCTTTGGTCGTAGAAAAATGCTTATAATACTCTTTATAGTAGCCTTGGTAGGAAATGCAATCACCCTCATTGCAAATACAGGTGCTCTGCTAATAGGTAAAAGTTTACATATTTATTTCTTTTACTCTTTCTACTAAAATTGAGTTTTCCTCAGAAAGTATTTAATAAACTAGATTATTTAACTCTACAAACCTTACTTAGGCATATATTTAAGTATCAAAAAAAAGTTTTATTTTAAATGAAAAAGTAAATTAATAAAAAAATAATTATTGAAATTTTAAAAAAATGAAATGATTTATTGATCTTTAAAAAAACAGACAGCTAGCTTAATGATCATATATCAATATAAATATATTCTATTTTTAAAAATGATATTTAAAAAATAAAAATAATGCATTTGATCATTAAAAAATTCATTAATCATACTTAAAATTTAAAAAAATTATTTTTCTGAAATTTATTTATGAAAAAAGTTTTTTAACAAATTTTAGTTGATTAAAGATGATTTATAGTAAATAATTTAATTAGAATAATTTACAAATTATTATTTTAACTATATCGGTTTCCATTAAAAAGATAATTAAATAAAAAATTTATAATTGAATAGGACGTATCATAGTTGGTTTAAGCTTTGGAGGATGGTCTTCTATAGGACCTCTTTACTCGATTGAAATAGCATGTAAGCAGTACAAGGGTATTAGTGGTATCATATACTCTTAGTATTTTGGTTTTGGTATACTGACTGCTTTCTTAGTTGGGTATGGCTTACCAAGTGATGCTAAAGAGAGTGCAACAAACAGCTACTGGAGATTAATGTACGGATTGCCAATCATATTTTGCTTAATCTCTATAGCTATATTTTTAATATTTTTCAGAGATGAAACTGCTCCTTATCTTTATCTTCATGACAAGAATGAACCAAAAACAAAAGCTGTTTTAAACAGAGTTTATACTGAAGCAGTAGCTCAAGAAGAATTTAGCGATTTAAATAATTTCTCTAAATAAGCTAGTAGTTAAAATGTAGGATGGAAGCAACTCTTTGGCCCTAAGTATAAAAGCAGAATTTTACTTGTTGTAATGCTCACAATAGGTTTCAGTTATGTGGGGTGTAATGCTATCAACATTTATTCCTATAATATTATATCAGAATCTTAAGGAGCTAGTACTGCTTAGTTGTTTACAGCAATAATGCCTATAGGTGATATTATAGGTCCTTTATTTGCTATGCTTCTTATAGAAAAAATTGGAAGAAAAAACCTTTACCTCCATGGACTCTTAGGATGCATGATTACTCTAGTTGCATTTAGTATCACAGGATGGAGCAGCTATAAGCCTCTTCAAAAATATTTGATTCTACTCTATAAATTCATCTTTGCAACATCTGTGGCACCTGTTCATTGGAGTAATTTATATATTTATCAAATAATTTAACTTAAGCTAATAAAAAATATTTAAATTAATTAATTAGTTTATCCAAGTGAGATTTTACCTCCAGTTGGTGTTGGTTTCTTCGGATTCGCCTATTGGGTAGCAAGTTTATCAACAGTTTAATTCTTGCCTTACTTGCTAAATTCTTCAGGAGCTGAAGTTACAATTATTGTTTTCCCAATAGTATCTTTCTTTGTATTCATCTATATGATGATTTATATGAAAGAAACTACTGGCAAGAATAAAGAATAAATAGAAAAAATGTTTAATTAGTCTTCCATTTAACAATTCCAACTAGTTAATTAAAATTTACATTCATAAAACACATTAGGAGATAATAAATGATAGCATTTACTTATTAGCTTTCAAATTTTTTTATTAATAAGAAAGCAAATTAAATAAAAATACAATAAAAACATGTTTATAAAATAATTTTTAAAACCTAAATAAAATAAAAATCAACAGCTAAATTAAACTTTTTATAATTCCATAAAGTATTATTAATTTTTATCATCTAATTTATATATACATTCATTAATCATTGTTTAATTTTTGTGTTTAAATAATTTGTAAATTTTTGTCTATATTAATCAAATAAACAATTACCATATTCTTACTAATTATTTTTTTTATTTTAAATAAATTCATTAGTTTCAAAGTATTTATAGCAAGCAAAATAAAAGAATTAAATTTAATTTTAATAACTCACATTAATATTTTATTTTGCATTATCATCTAATTTATACATGAGCATTTATATATCACTTTTAATTATCTACTTGCTTAATTTAAATAAAATTAAATGATTATTTTTATTTATAATAAATAAAAAAATAGCAATAAAGGTATTTATTTATCAATTGGTGTCTTAATAAATATAGATTTTTTACTGTATCTAAAGGGATAGTAGGGTATATTAAAAATATATTCATAAAAATTATTTTTAAATCTATAATTTTTTTATAATCTTTGGCTAATAAATTTTTGTTCCCCAAAAAATTCATCCCTTACACTGCTAATTAATTATCTAATAAGTAAAAATTAATTTATTATAATTTGCTATTAAATTAAATACTTTATTATCCTTAAGTTTTTGATTTAATAGTCAATAGTTAATTGTCTGTCTAGTAAGCTAATAATTAAATTTTAAAATTTATAATTAAATGTTAGTGTATTATTATGCTAAAGGTTTTTGATTGAAGTACCAATAATATAATGAAATGTTTATAATTTGTAATTAATCAAAGTATTTAATTACGCTGAAGTATATAATTGAAGGAATTGTTTGAATGATTTATATAAAAAGGACTGTAACTCTTTTCTTCTATACTTTTAATATTTTTTAAGTTAACTATAAATTAATTATTTAACTATTAAAACATTAATCAATAAACAATTCATTAATTATTTCATAATAATAAAATTTCTACATTATTTTCAATTGATAGAAAAAGTATTTTATTAATTAATCAAAAGTATTTTTTTAATTTATGTTTTATGGTTTGACATTACGATCAGAAAAAAAAAGGTTATAAATTTTTTTGCCTCTAAAAATAACTCTGCTATTTAGTATTTTATTATGTTGAAGTATTTTGATTGAAGAAATCATTTTAATAATTATAAAAAAAGAACTGTAACTCACTCTTTCCTTCTATACTTTTATTATATTTTAAGTTAACCAAAAATTAATTCTCAAATTAATCAACAAATAATTAAATCTAATAAGCTAATTATAAAGTGTCTGCATTATTTTTAATGAATAAAAAAAGTCTTTTATTTATTAATCAAAGATATTTAATTAAACTCTTTTTTATTGTTTAATATTATGATCAGAAAAAAAAAAATCTAATGTTTTTTGTCTCTAACAACTGCTCTGATAATTTAAAAATCAAATATCAGTTGCTTGATTTTATAATAATTTAATAAATAAAAAAATTTCAAAAAGTATTAAAAATCCATATTTAACGCATAAAATAAATAAAAAGATTATTGACTGATTTAAGATGGTCGGAAGTAGTTTGACTAACAAAAACTAAGTACACTTGCAACCAAATATAATTTGTAGACTTTAAAATAGAAATAATGCACCTCCTCCTAGACTTTCATCAGATGAATTGAATAGACTTTTGATTCAGTTGTGGAAGACAAATAGACTTAGAGCTTTTGATGATAATCTTAGCACAGAGCTAAGAAGGAGTTTATTATAACAATACTACAAAAGAACCTCTTGGGCTTATAGTTTACTCAGTGATGATGAACGTGCTTATGCTTAAAAGATGGCTTTTAAGGTAATGTCTGCATGGTTATATATAAAAACTGAATATATTTTAGATTACACAGAGAATTATGTAAGATATTAAGTTGGCCAAAGAAAATTGCTGCTAAAAAATGTTTAGAATATTGCTGTTAATATAAAAGCAGCATGATATGAAAAAACTTCTTTGTATATAAACTTTATATTATAAAACACTATTTTATTATATTTTGATAAAATTATATTTATATTTTATTTATATTATATTTGTATTATTTTAAATAATTTATATTAAAAATTTATTGTTTATTTTAGCATTAAATTTTGTGTACTATAAATTTAAAATAGATAAAAAGCAAGACAGATTTTATAATATTTATTTATTTTAAGTTAAAGTTTATTGTTGTAAATTCATTTGAAAGATTTACAAAAATTAAAAGCTTTTTTAAATTTAAGTATGACCAATCATTTTTATAATATTTAAATGTTGAATTATTGAAAGCATATATTTACTTATTTATAAATTCATTTTATCAATAAAAGGTTTTTTTTGTTTATTTTTATAATTCAGTATTCTCTATAATATAAATTCTATTATAAGTCAAGTTATATTTGAATTTAATTTCCCTTTTTTTCAAAAAAATTATTTTGAATAGAACTTAAATTAAAGAGTGAAAAATTATAATAACTATGCTTTTATTTAACAAATAAATTGGGGCATTAAATTAAAAAGTGATAAATTTAAAAAATTAAATCCATTTAATAAATCTTCAATCTAATTTAAATGGTGCAATACATCCATCAATCTATATATTTATTTTCAATCAATCCATCTATCTATCTTTATTGATATTTTTATTTTCAAACAAAACTGGATTGGATTATACCCATTCCTAAATGTAACTCTTTTATTCTATACTTTTATTATTTTTTAAGTTAACCACAAATTAATTATCATACTATTAAAAAAATTAATAAATAAAAAATTAATTAACTATCAAATAATAATAAAGTGTCTACATTATTTTCAATAAATAAAAAAAGTATTTTTTTAATTTATATATAAGAGTTTGATATTGCGATCATAAAAAAATGGCTATTGCTTTTTTTTATCTCTAACAACAACTCTTTGCTATTTAGTATTTTATTATGCTGAAATATATAGATTGAAGAAATTATTTTAATTATTATAAAAAAAGTACTATAACTCTTTTCTTGAATACTTTTAATATTTTTTAAGTTAACCACAAATTAATTATCAAACTATAAAAAATTAATCAACAAATAATTAAATCAAATAAGCTAATAATAAAGTGTCTACATTATTTTTAATTAATAAAAAAGTGTTTTATTAATCTTTTTTTTATAGTTTGTTTTATTTGTCTACCTCTGCTATATTAAAAATCAAATATCATTTGCTTAATTTGATAATAATTTAATAAATAAAAAAATAACAAAAAAAAAAGTAAAAATCCCTAGTAAACACATAAAATAAATAAATAAAGTATTGACCAATTTAAAATGGTAGGAAATAACTTGACTAAGAAGAAGTAAGTACACTTGAAACCAAATATAATCTATAGAGTTTAAGATAGAAATAATACACCTCCTCATAGACTTTCATCAGATGAATTGAATAGACTTTTGATTTAATTGTGGAAGACAAATAGACTTAGAGCTTTTCATGATAATCTTAACATAAAGAAAAGAAATAGTTTATTATAACAATACTACAGAAGAATATCTCATGCTTATAGTTTACTCAGTGATGAGGAACGCGCTTATGCTTATTAGATGACTTTAAAGATAATGTCTGCATGGTTATATATAAAGACTGAATATATTTTAGCTTACACAGTGAGTTATGTAAGACATAAACTTGGCTATAGAAGATAGCTGCTAAAGAATGTTAGGGATCTCGCAGCTAATATAAAAGCAGCATGATATGAAAAAACTTCTTTGTATATAAACTTATATAATAAAACTATAACATAATATAATATATATTAAAAATTATTTATTTTAGTATTAAATTTCATGTACCATAAATCCTTTTATAATTTTAAAATAAATAAAATAAGACAAACATAATAATTATTTTTATTTATTTTAAGATGAAGTTTATTGTTGTAAGTTCATTTTGAAAAATTTACAAAAATTAAAATCTTTTTTAAATTTAAATATGACCAATCATTTTTATAACATTTAAATGCTGAATTATTTAAAGCATATTTACTTATTTATTTATTTATTTATTTTTTAATAAATTCTTTTTCTTTTTCAAAGATTTTTTTTGTTATTTTTATAATATTTACTTTAGATAAAATAAAAAAATTAATTTATTATTTTATTGAAAACCCTTTATTTGTTTAGATTTGTTATATTTTTATGTAGTTTTTAGTATTAAGAATATTAATTATTGTGTTTTAAATTATTGATTTGATAATATATTAGTTATTGTGTATTCTAGGGATAAGTGATTAAGAAAAATAATCAAACAATGGTTGAAATGTGTTAAAAAAGAAAATCTTTTATTTTTGCTAATTAATTTCAAAATAAATAAAAAATAAAAGCTTTTTTTTACTTATTAAAAATAATTATTGGGGATGTTTATAAATTAATTTATTAAAATAATGAATGATTTATTGAGTTTGTTTAAATGTCTTTTATTAAAATTAGAAATAGAATCTTTTAAAATATAAACAATCATTCATTAGAAATATTTATATTATTTTATAATATTGAAGTATTAATCAATTTTAAGTAAATCTATTTTTTTTTGGTTGATTAATTTGTAAATTAATTAATTAAATAAAGAAATTAATTTATTAATTAACCAGAAAATAAATATCTATCTTGAATAATATAAAATCTTGAGATCAATATAAATTTGAAATTAGTTAATTAATTAATTAATTCATTCATTTATTTGATTTTTAGTTATTCAGAGAGACAGTAAATTTATAAAATTAAAGGATGGCTGAACTACGTGATAATAATTTTGTTTTAGAGTTACTTAAAGGATTTAGTATTGATAAAGTTGATAAGGAAATATCACAAGAAATATGCAATTAAGTTGAAATTGAATTAAGATCTTTGATCGAAGTAGAAATTTTAAAATCTAATTTGTTGATAATTAGTTATTCAATCAATATTAATAAATGAATGATATCTTAAATTATTAATTTGAGATAAATCTTTATCAAGCAAATCATTTTAAAGCAGTTTTAAATCTATTTTATATTTAAAATGTGTAGGATTCCATTAAATTTATGAAACATTTTAAAAGAGATAAACTGACTACTTCTGATGTTGAATACGCTTTGAAAGATAGAAACTACTACGATGTAATTATTTCATTTAGCTAAAAAAAGCAACCTAGTTAATAAATATGATATATTTAATCTTGCTGAAAGATAATTTTGATTTTAAATTAATTAGAAAATATTTGGATATGATGTTTCTGAAAAGGTTTCGTTTAAGAAGCATGCTAATTATTGGATAAAATAAGATGAAGTAAATAATAAAATATCTATAAATCTATCTTTTTATATCGAATTGCACATTAAAAAGTGCGCAATTTAGTGTATTTTAAATATCCTTTAATATTAATAAAGGAAAGGGACTTATAGAGTTACCTAGAAGCTCAAGTAAAGAGCTTAAAAAGATAAGTAATGTAGCCAACTGTTACAGCTTGGTGGATGTCTATTGATGGTAAAATACCTCCTATCAACGAAAACAAATTCATTAGTAATTAATTAGCTAAAAAATATGAATGAATATCTCTATTTAAATATTTTAAATTTGTAGAAAATAAGGCTGCTATTTTAAAATATGATGAGCTTAAAAAAGAAGAATATTCTAAAAACTTTAATATCATCAAGGATAAACCAAGATCTCTATTAAGTGAAGAAATCAATAAGTTTTTTGTTGAAATAACAAAAGTCATAGCCGAAACTGAAGAGCAAATCGACAATCCTAAATTAAATCTTCCAGGTGCCCCTTTTAGAGAAACTCCCAAACTTAAAATTAGTAAACCAAATAAAAATTTTTCTTAACAAATTACTATATTGAAAATATTTTAAACATAAAAAAGTTTTGAATAACTTGAAGACAAACAGTGGTTTAACAAGTTTGCTTCCATTTTTGTTAAATTATTTGTATTAGGACTATGACTTAGAGAACAAAAATGGAGTTTCTAAAAAATACATTACATTAAAAATACTACATTCTATCATTTTAAATACTGGCATAAATATAGAATTCCATGTAAATTAATTAACATTCATTTTTTATTTATTTGGAGATTTTAAATAGTTAATTTTATGCTTATTAAAATTAGTTGCACATAATTATTAAAATCTTAATTCATTTCATAACTGCTTCAGTATTGAGTACAAACAAATGTGTGGACGAAATTCAGTTTAGAGAGCAAAGTGCACAAAATCTCTCATATCTAATAAACAGATTCACTTTTAAATACATAACTTTAAAGTAAAACATTTGTGACACACTTCTAGGTATTCTTAAAGAAACTCTCAATTAAAAAATTCTCAATTACTAAGTTTTACTGGGTATAGTTATGACATTCAGTCACTTTGAATCTAATATCATAAGGCAATTAATTTTACCAACAATAATGCAAATTTTCATGAATGAAGATTTCAGAAAAGATTTAAATTGCTTAGCTTCTATTAATTTACGCTCGTAACAAAGAAGCGAGTATATAAATTTATAAAACTAAAATAGTATGGAAATCGAGCAATAATCCAAACCAAATAATACTGAAGAAAATGATAAGGTAAAAAAGTAAAAAATCATTAAGGAAAATATATAAAAAGTTATTAAAAACAACAACGAAGCACACAGCCTCTTGAACGAGTTAAAGGTATTCATTTATTTATTTAAGAATTACTTTTTTTTTAATTAATGTATAATAATTTTATAAAGCTTCTGGTTTTAAAGGTTTTCAATGAATATTCATTTGCTACAAGCAAAACTGAGGCTCTTCTATTTTAAGAATTAGAAGAATAATTTATTACCGAGCTCAATCCTCTAGTAATTAGACTCATCTATAATAATATGCCAATATAATTAAAATACTTAGACGAAAGATAATATAATCCTTCCTATATGAATTTAATGCTTTGATTTTATATTTTTTGTATTATAAATTTAAGTTTAATTTAAATTTATTTATTTTATATAAAACCTTACATTTAAAAATGTCTATCTTTACTTCAATTTTTTTTAACAAATAAAATAAATATTATTTAAGAAAAATTTAATAGATATTGGCTTAAAGCAAACTATTTGATCTAGAACAGAAATTTTTTTATTTATTTTTGCTATCAAATTATTTAGTTAATTAATCTTGAAATTTTAAAAATAATTAGATATTAAAACTTTAATTATAAATCTAATTTAATTATTGTTAAAAATTAATAATTTTTTCAAAAGATAATTCTGTTTAACCTTTAAACAAACTCTATTTGAAAAACATTTATATGATTTAACTATGATTTATTAAATGTTGTATTTCTAGAAAATTATTTCCCCATTTTTACCAAAAATAATTGTTTATTTATTATATTTAGAGCTATTATATGCAAATAGTAATTATTATTTTAAAATCAAATTCATAAATCTATTGTAACTCTATATAATAAATTTAAATATTTACAAAGAAAATACTTTGGAATTCTATTATTACTAAATTACTTTTTACATTTTAAATCATATCAATTAATGATAAAGTAAAATTTTATTATTTATAAATACTATTTACATTTCTTATAATATAAAATGAAAAGATTACTTACATTTTGACAGATTAATAAAGATTTAAGTTAACTTTAAAATACTTTATTCATTATAATTAATTCAAGCTATTGTATATGCATATTTTTATATACTTTTATATTTAATAATTCAGTTGATCTTTAATCTAATTGATGTTAAGAATTTATACGTATAATTGCTTCTTCAAAGATTTAGATGCTTTTTTGCAGCTTATTTTATAGCTTCGTCAAACCTTTGAGATGTAATTTAAGTATTAAGTGTATAGAGAGGATTCATCAATTACTTTAATAGTTAAGAAATATTTTTATCTATTAAAAACAAAATAAAAGTTGATACTTTATTTAAATTCTCATAGGCCTCTAAAAAGAAGTTATTTACATTCTCCTCTTTGGTCTTTTCAGATATTAAGAGTAACAATTTTATGTCTTTTTTATCAAAATATTATTTATTTCAAAAATTTATTAAAAATGATTACTTGTTGCTGTCACAAAAGCATAAATATCTTAGTCATAGCACCTATCTACTTTCTTGAAAAACCTGCATGTTTAATAAGTATTAATTTTATCTTAAAATGAAAAATAAGAAATTCATACATATCTAATTCCTTTTAATTTGTAATTTGCAATTTCTCATCAATAACATCAAGCGATGAATGTATCGAAAAATATTATGTTATTACTAGAGATTGTGCTTCCTATTTTTCTAAAATTAATAAAAAATAATTCTTAGAGTGCTATTAAGTTTAACAATTTATACTATTCAAACTTGCTTCATATAAAGGAACATCACCTTATCCTACAATTACAAACATTCAATAACTCTATTCTTTATTCTAATTAATTATTAAAAATTGATTTTCTTTCTTATTTTTTATAATAAAATCAATTAATATTTATCTATCTATTTTCAAAACTCAATACTTTTAATAAAATCTAATTATTAATACAGCCAATAACAAGCAAACACAAAAGAAATTCTATAAATAAATAAATAAATTAATTAAAAAACAAAAAAATTTATTTAAATAATTCTTATAAAAATTCAAAAAATTATTAGTCTATCATTTTTCTTTTAAAATTTATGATTTATTTTTAATTTTATTGTAATTTTAATTTATGCTTGTTTATTTCATTTCATTTTATTTTTAAATTTATTTGTATTTCATATTTTATTTATTTATCTATTTTTAATTATTTATTTATTTTTTATTTATTATTATTTATTTTTAATTATTTATTTTTTGTTTTTTTTGGAGGCAAGAGCGTGGAATAATTCTTGAGTGCGGTGGAATCATGGTCCTATATTTTAAACAATACTAATTATATATTTTAAAAATGATCTATGTGCTTTATAGGTGCATTTAGCAGCTATTTTTTTAAAGCAATTTTGACAGTCCCACGATTCTTCCTTGAAAATATACAATTTTATTTAATTATCTCATAAATGGAATTAAATGTTTAATTCGAGCGAGATGCTGTAATTGTTTTGTTTTACAATTGGGATATTAAAAACTTGCTAGATCTTATAAAATCTTGAATTGTCTCCACACAAATCAAGAAAGATCTTATGAGATAGTCATTTTATTGTATATATGTTGGTTTAAGAATCTTATTGTTGTTTTACTTTTTGAATTTCTTCTTTCTATTTTTATTTTATTAAAAAATTATATTTTTTTGATTTTTCCCTCTAATAATTTGAATAAATTTGACAAATTAAAAATTTGAATAATTTCTTCTTTGGCTTTTTTAATTTATTAAAAACAAAACCAATTAATTTAAAAACTATGGGCAAGCATATTTCTAGATTTGCAAGAGGTGCAATTATGATTTTAAAATAAATGAATTATAGTCTGGGCGAGTCAAAAGATATCCTTCACGAAATTGGATTTGAATTAGATCGAATATAACTGAAATATGTACGTCTATATACATTAAGATCTTAAAATGCTATTAAGCATAAAATTTATTTAGAACAGAAAAGCAGAGGGGAATAGCTAGAAGAAGAATCTAAAAAGAAAATAATTGAGATGTTTTCATAAAATAATGCTATGTCTGTTAAAAAAGCAGCAGATATGCTCAAAATAGAAGCAAAGTACATAACAGCCTACTTGAAGAGCTAAAACATTTAAATTAAAAATAAAATAGTAAAATCATTTTAATTTTAAATAACAAATAAATCTTCTATTAAAAAAATTTTTTTAATTTAAGAAAGTCGTCAATGATCAATTAGAATAAAAATATCTGCTTGAAAACTTAAAAGATAACATTCTAGAAATTCTTGATTAAGATCCTGAGTGGTAAAATAATTTATTAAATATATTTTTTGTAAAGTAATATTTTTATTAAATAAAGGAAAACTTGTGTGTTAAGAATTTTATTTCCAAAGATAAAATTTGGCTAAATTAGACAATTTGAGAGGTATTTTTTATCTTTAACATCTGAAGTCAGGTATTCAAGTATTAAATTCATTTAATACTATGAAGGTGAAAGGTTTTTTGGGAGAGGCTCATTCATTTATATACATACTATTTATGATCCACTAATTTACATAAATTTAACATATCTTGAAAAGTTTTTGTCAAATGATATTCCAAATAAATTTTTTAGCTCCAATCCAGTTATTGATGTTTGTAAATTAAAAGTATTTGATTCCTAATTTCTCATAAATATGCAGGATTAAGCATTCTAAGACTAAGATTGTATTAATTTAGAACAATAATAAGAAAGTTTTAATACAGATGATTATTTTTAAGCTGATGATAATATTCAAAATTATTATCAATCTATTTGATAAGAAACTAAAAGTTTTTCTTATAATAAAATATTAAATTAATATTATTTAAATTATTTAATTCAAAATAAAATATATATCTATTGTAAGTTAAAAAATTAATTATTGAAATAAACAAAAGTATTGATTTAATTTTAAATTTTGGTCATTTTTAAATTACTATAACGCTGGTAAATTCATGTGTCATATATTTTTTTGTCAATTTTATTGATTTAATGATTCATAATTTATAAAATTGATCAAATAAGAATTTTAAATATTTGTGAATTATTTTGATTATTTTTATAATCAGAACTATTAAGTTTGCTATTGTTTGACTCAAATTTAAATTATAAAATTTGAATTTCAACTTAGTTTTCTTATTTAAATAAAGTTTTTCTGACTTTAAAAATAGTTTAATTAAAATTAAAGATTGATAGAAATTTTTTAATTTTGGAATAAAATAAAAATTATTTTTATAATTCTTAAATTTATATATTGACTTTTCCCTTTTTAATTTCTTTTTAAGAAACTCTAGTTTGATTTTAAAAACTTTCTATTTAATTTTCTTTTATATTAAATCTATCTTAATAATCTTATTGAAAAGGGTGATTTAGTTTACTATGACTGAGCAAAAAATTTAACTAATTGTATAAAGAGAAAAATCAATAAAAAAAAAATATTTTTATTAGTCAAAACTTAATTATAAAAAAAATTAATAATTATAAAGGCTAATTTGGCTGTAAAATTTTGAGAGATTAAAAGTTCTGAACTGTAAATTTTTAATTTAAAACTTTAAAACTTTATTTTAAACTGAAAGTGATTTTAGCAATTAAAAAAATAATGAAAATAAATAAAAACTATGATTTTTTAAAAATCTGTAATCTATTGAATTAATTAAAATTATAACAATCAAATATGAAAAGAACTCAGTAAAAAATTTTGAATTCAGCAATTTTCTAATAAAAATATTATTTAATTAATGTTTTAAATACAATAAAGCAAAACTTTAAAACCCACTCTTTAAATTGATTTTAGTGTAAAAAGAAACAAAACAATTAAAATAGGAATAAATATAGATAGATAGATTATATTAATTGGTATTATCAACAAAATTTTCAAACTTTTAATAGTGAAACGCAATATTTAACATACACTCAGTATATATTTATTTAAATTGGAAAAATGGATCAAGTAACTTTAAATATAATTAAAATGTATATAACATGTCTTCGTTTAATTTAATTTGACGATAACAATTTATAAAATATAAGGTAAAAGAAACATAAACCACTTACTTGTTCGTTTATTCAATCAACCAACCTTGTTTGTTTACTATTTATTAGTCTACAGATGTCATTTTAGAGTTGGCTTAATACTGTTTTAGATCTGTTTATTTATTTCATAATCAACTATTTTTTGGCTGTTTTCATCTCAAACAACAATTGTGTTAGTTTAAGGTGAGACATTCGATGTAATAGATGAAATGCAAGAATTTTTGCTTTCAATCATAGACTAATTGTCCAATTCTTTTAATAAATCATTAATATCGATATTGTTTTCATGGAAATCAATTGTTTCATCTATTTTTTTAATCCTATTTTGCTCGTAATTAATTCTGCACTGTTTATTTAAAGGGTTGTTTTCAAAGGAAGTGTATTTTAGTGCTCTGTCCTTCATCCTTTACCACTCAAGAGCATTTAGAATATCAACTTACTGTCTCTGCAACTTGTAATCACTAGCACTCAAATAAGAATCTCCTTCACTATTATTGATTGATTTATTGTTTGAATTGCTTTATTTATTTATAAAATATAATATAAACTATTTTTGCTGTTTGTTACTCTTAAAAAGGTGGTTAATATTAAAATATTCTATATTAAAATTTAAGTAAGATGAATTTTTGTTAGAAACTAAAAAAATGATGGCTTTTAGGACTATTTTGAAAATGATGAATTTCATTGTTTTTAAGTAAACATTCTTTGAGATATCAAGAAATCTGAATCAAAATAGAAAATTTGTTTAGGCTAAATGAATGGAATACCTCAAGTTATAGCTATTGTAAAATTATTCGTCTTCTTCAATTTGCTTCTTTTTCTTTTCGTAATGAGATTTAGTTTGGAAAGCTTATTGCAAATCAAGATTGCGAAGGAAAGGGAAATCCTACTTATTGTTGGCAAGTGTCATAAAAATTACAAAAAAGACCATTATAGTAGCCAATATGGCTATGTAAATGTCTTTTTAACCTCCAAGATGGATTGTGAGCTTTGAATAGTAATTCATGTATACAGATTTAAGGATACCTACTTGTTTTTGTACAAGAGCGAAGACTCCCATTTTTTCTTACTTATCGACTAATTTTTGTTCTTCTTTTCTTACATTTTTTTACTGAGAGAATATTTCTTATTCCCTTTTTTGATCTTCTATGATACTATTATTGCTTATTTCATTACTATTCAATTCAATTTGGTTGATATCACTATTTGATACCACAGCTTATTCAGCATTTTTTTATGTTTATTTCTATTTAGTTCTTTACTTGGCACTTACGCATAAACCTACTTAGCTAATTACAGCCAATAGTAGGCACAGGATCAATATACGACGTGAAATAGATAGTCCACCACCTCGTATTTTCATATTTTTTAATCTTCTCTTATTTAATAATGAGAGTTCGATTATTTTCAATTATCTTCTTAATTAAATTGATTTTTAAAACGCTATTCAATCCGTAAAAACAAATTTTGTTTTTTAAGTAAATTTTGCTAGTCTCACAGATGAAAAACATACAAATTAATATGATTACTAAGTATATTCTATCCTATTACTAACATACATAATTAATAACCAAAAACGAATTTCAAACCATGCTATTTTACATATATACTTAATCTATATATCTGTTTTTGTATAATTATCACATGTGACAGATAAACTTGAATATTAAGTTTTGTAATCCCTCATTATTCAAATTTATTCGTTGACATACTTAAAATAGTATTTCAAGCTTAAAAATAATTAAGTATTAAATTAACTTATTATTTTTATGGATGCTAATTATTATTTTTCTTTTTGGATGGATCACCAAAAATAAGCTCAAAAGCTTTTGAATTAAAATATTTAAAGCTTAAATAAAAAATTAAATAAATTTCGTTGCCTTTTTAGAATACTTAAAATACAAATCTTGTTTTACAAAATAAACAGAGTAAAAAACAAAAAAATATTTTATTTAAATGTTTTTAATTAACAATACTTATACTTATTCAAGTTTTTCTTATTTAATGCAAAACGTTTTTAGCGTTTCATTTGAAATTGTTATAGATTGAATTTATAAATTCAAGTTTGCACTTAGAATTATTTCTTGAAGCAAAGATTTAGAGTTTTATTTTAAAAAGTAAATTTTGGGTTTTTTTGTTAAAAATAAAAAATTCTTAATTAGAAAATTAATATTTTGCCAGGCTCGCTCACTCATTTGACTATAGAAAATACACTTTGGTATAAATTGCTTATAAATTTTGAAATATTAATTTCCTCTTCTTTGTTACTAAATTCTCTATAATAATACAATAAAAATTTTTAAAAATGAGATATCAATCTATCAGAAAAATATTCTTCTTACATGTTATTAATTGTTATATTTTTGTTATTCAAGATGAGTTTCTCAACTGCTGACTGGATTTATGCGTTTTTCATTAACTTGCCTTATATTTCTTGACTTTAATTAATATAAAATACATTTATGATGAATAATTTAACATAATTTAATTCATTAATTTACTTTAGATTTATTTAAAGTGTATAAAGAGAAATAGTACTTAATGCCCAATTTAAGATTTCAAGCACTCCTTTTGGACTGATGTCATTTTTTCTATTTAAAATTTTAATTATTAAAGCAACTTTTTTTCAATAAGCGAATTTACTTTAAATTTATGACAAAATTGTTAAGTTTATTAAAGTTTTGTAAATATTCTATCATAGTTAAAATACAGTCATCACTAACTAATGACTGTTCTAGTTTAACATTCAACTCTTCTATATAGTCTAATTTTTGAAGTCCTTTCATCAAAATGCTCATGTTTTGTATGCTAAAATCGCACCCGCTATTTTTAAAAGGACATTTTGATTCATTAATCTAACTAACTAACAATTAATTTAATTACCTGAAATCTATTTTCAGCACTTTTAATTTCTTGAAATCAATAATAATCTCAGCAAAGCTATTAATTGCATCTGCTATATCTTAATACTTCTATAGTTTATCATAGAATGAGAGGTCAAGATACTCTAACTATTTATATTTGGAAATACCAGTGAAGTAGCTCTTAAGGCTTTCTGTTGAGTTGAATTAAATTTAAGCCTTTAAGCTTCTTAGTTATTCTGGGTAGCAACTAGAAAGGTAATCTGCTTCTTACATATCAATTGCTTATTATCCAAGCTGGATATCAATAGATTCCAATTTTTCTAACGCAATTATTTAATTTCCAAAAGTATTACAAAACACAATCGGATCATACGTATTATCCCTATTAATTAATATATATTTGTATTTCAGTTAAAAAATAAAAATATTAAATTATTTTTTTACTCAATACTCAATTAAAGAAATTTAAGGTTAGCGTTACATTTTATTTTATCGAAAAATTCATTTAAATTCTCTACATTCAAATTATTGTTAGAAATATTTAAGTTGAGATTCTCCAAATTTTTTTACTATTTTAAATTATTTTTTAGGTCAATCATTAGATTGTTTTTCACCCTAGTTCCCCTAATATTAATAATGAATGAATGAATTTATAAATCAATGAATTTTAATATTGAAAATCTACTTCAAATTCAAATGAATCTTTGTAAAATTCTGATTTTCAAAAACCTACTTAAAAGTCTTTTTAAGCACATTATCCGTTTCGATACAATTTCTTTTATTGAAAAACAAAAAAAGTTTAAAATTAGAAAGAAAAAGTAGAAATTATACTCTAGATTTAATTCAACCTGCTGAACGTTTTAAAGGAGAGTTAAGTAACCAACCAAATACACATTTTAATTGATTTCATGTTGGATGGAATTTCTTATTTTTTTTAAATTAAAATTATTGATGAAGACATATCCTAAAAATAAATAAATTTAAGTTTTTACCCTAAGTTTAAAGCTATAGATTTAATACTTGTTTGAGAGGGTGTGAAAAGACCAACAGGATTTTTCAGTTATTTTGAAACAAATGCTTCTCTTTAAAATTTTAACAAATAATTTTATTAAAAATAAAACTTATTAGAATTAATTTTACTTAAGATTAATGTTTAAAATCTCAGCTACATTCAGATAAGTAAAAATAGATTTAACTATCTCAAGGGCAGAGTTTGTAATTACGTTATCAGATAGGTCTAATTCAAGCTCTTTTAGAAGACTTACTTTTTAAAATACTAATGAGATAATATTTATTCCATCATCATTAATATAGTTTTTGCTAATTTTCAATTGTTTAAAAACTTATTAGATTTTATTATATAAAATGTGATAATTTACCTTAAGTTTAGTCTCAGTACTTACACCTTTCTAATTTTCTCTAAACATGAGCAGAGATTATTCAAAGAACTTTGAGGAAACCAACAATTACTAATTAAAATGTTTCTTAAAAAAGTAAAATTAACTTTACAACAATTTACTTTAACTACAAGTTTAACTCTTTAATATAAACAAAATTCTAAATTGAACTAAATAATTAATTAAAAGCATTTGAATCATTTAATTTATTTCTCCCTAAGTTTAAAGAAAATGTGTGCAGATCTTAGTTTATATTCAGTAGCATTTAAGACAATTCATTCAAAGCTTGGCTCTAAATGCAATTCGACCTAAATAAAAAGTTATCATTTATTTTATAAACAAAAGAATATTAGAAATTACTCAAAATAGAGGTTAAGAATTGAAATATTCTTCAAGTTTGATATACTTTAAAATATTTGTACACATCCTTGAGTTTATATATTATTTTTATTGAGATTAATTTCTAAACTATTTAATTTTTTCTTGTTCTTCAAACAGTCAGCCAAGATTTGTATCTGTTTTGAATCAATAATGTTTTATCTATTTTAAATAACAAATTTATAATTCAAAATTTAAAATAAAAACTTATTCAAAATTTAGAATAAAAACTTATTATCAAAATTTAAAATAAAAATTATTTACTAAAGATCAATCTTCAATTCAAGAAGCTTGTTCTTATTTTAAAGAGCTTAAGCTAAGCAATTCAAACCTTTGCCAGTCATATTATTCATTTTAAGATTAAGGACTAAAACTTTTAATTTTTAAGAATCATTTATAAAACCAGAGCAGTATTCTACACCTTCATCGCAAATTTAATTGTTTCTAAAAAATAAAAAAACATATTTAATGAAAATAAAGACAAATATTTATATTAAAAATAGCATCTTTAAGATGCTGAGTTAATTTTTCTAAAAAAAATATTAAATTTAATTAAAATAGTAAAAATTTGTATACCCTATATCCAACTCCAAGTGAACTAGTTATGTATATTACTTCATATGAGTAAATAAAATATTGCTTCCATCAGCTTAAATACAGTTGTTTTATACCTGCAAATTAAGATGCTGGATTTGTTAGATGTTTTGAAGTTCTTTGCAAAGTATTATAATATGATTCTTTGAAATTTATAAGCCACTTTTATTAGCAATTTATTTTGGTTAATTAATTATGATTAAATTTAATTTTAAAATATCAAATGAAAATTGTACTTTGATAAAACTTAGAGGAAATATGAGTTAGAATATTTTTCTTTGTTTTGTACTAGCTAAGCTAGGTCTATTTTTTCTTCATCGATCTGTATTTAGGAATTAGACAAATCTCTAAAAATGTATCCTTCTTTTTCGCTTATTAGATGCTAATCTTTAAAATAGATGTTGAGGGATTAAAAGTCCAACAAAGATTAAGATATGGTAGAGAAAGATAAGTAGTTAAATTCCTATTGACTAATTAATATAATTTAATTTATTTAAAATATATTTTTTTCAAAATGTGTGTTTGTTACTCAGCTATTATTTTAATTGATGTGCTCTATGGAAGGGACTTAAAATGCTTAATCAATAACTTAATCTAGTCTACGTTTTCCATTTTACCACTAATTTATTTTTTTATAGGTTAAAATCAGAGAATTATAAGAAAATTTACCTCCATGTAAGTGCTACTAGTTTTAGCTTACTTTTTTGTATGAATGACTTTAGAGATAAAAGTTTCAGGGAATGTTTGTCAACTTGGATGGTGTGGTTAGCTAAATCCTCTTCAAAAGTGAATAATTTTTGCTTGTAAGATTGGCCTGCCTAGCCTACTCCCTTGATAAAATCTATTTCTCCGCTTTTAACTTTATTCCAAATATAAACTCTTTGCTTTTACTTTTAGTCTTTGCCTCTAGGAATAATGATAAATCTTAAAAGTTTTTCATTACGATCAATTGCATCTTTGAATTAGATGGTATGCTTATTAATTGGCTTAAGCTTTTCATATTAAAATACATACAAATCACTGTTTAGAGGAAATGGTATTGATTTAGCTATAGCTTCTTTCATATTAGATGTTAATATATTCTTGTTATATATAATCTGCATAAAAAGTGTTTTTCTCTAGTTAACTGGACATTATTATATTGATTGTTTTATGTCTGATGAGATTATATTGACAAAATTAATTTGATCAAACTCAATAGATTCATCGATTTCAATATCATATTTTTATTTTTTCTCCTCTTCATTTTGATGCTGAGTTAGCTTTAATTCCATGTTAATTTTACCCTTTTTTACGAATAAATTCAAGTAGATATCACTTTTGTGAATAATCTCTGAGCATACTAAGAGAGGCTTGAAGTTGCACTTTTGCAGTTTATATTTTATGTACATTCCTGACTTAATATCGATTTCAAAGTCATAGCGTTTATCGTCTTCAAAATCATCATCTTCAAATTAAATTTCCTCTATTCCACTAAGATTTTCTTACATTTTCCAAATCGAATGAGGACTACCATTTTAATTATTAGGACTAGCTCCAACAAATGGACTCTAGGTGTCATTTCTCCTACTGCTTTGAAACCACAAGCTTTCTTCATTTCTTAGGGTGTGATGTATATCTCCATCGCCTTTTACATTTAAGCTGTTTTAAGATGCTTAAATAAACTAAGTAGTCTTCAACAAATCTTATCCATAAACAGATTTTCTTTATGGAATGTTCAAGTTAGGGCCAAGAGATGATGGCATTGAGTTTTTTCTAACCTAAATAAGAGGAGCTACTATGTTGTTAGAAGCTTCCTAAAGGCTAACTACCGCTTAATCTTTTTGATTTTAAATGTATTCTTATTAATTAATAGAAAAAAGCAAATCTACTCCATCTTAAATTTTTGAATGAGAAGCTATCGATCTTTGTTTATTTTTAGAATGAATTAATGAATTAATTTATTTATATTGAATGAATAAAATATTTTTGGAAAGGAAAAAAAAACAAAACAATAAAATCGAAGTAAAATTAAACAATTTTTAAGAAAAAAATAACAATAAAATAATTATTTATTTATTAATTAATTTTACGGAATCCTGATTTCTAATTTTTATTCATCAAATTCTTTTTCTCTATTTAAGTCTTCTCTTTCAATTTTACGACTAAAATTATTTTATTTAAATAATTATTAATTCTATTAATTGAAATACAAATTTATGAATTACCTAATACTGAGTTTTCTCTTTTTTTTCTCTATCTCTCGATAATTTCTTCCATCAATGTACTCAATATCATATTCGAAGTCACATTTAATGTATAGTACTTCTAAATTCTTAAGCTATGGAATTACTTTTTGTAATTATTTAAATGAGTTGATGCATTTTTTATCTAAAATAAATCTAAAATCTAAAGTAAGTCTTCTTAGTTTGTGCATCTATAAGAAGCTCAGTCCTATTTAAATAACATCTTTTGCTAAGGGGTACTCATGCTTTTAAAAATAAATAAACAAATCTTCTACTATATGAAGATTTCTAACCTTTTACAAATTTTTAGATAACTAAAGGGTATCAACTACTAGCTATTTGTTAATAGCAAACTTTTTATCCTTATCGTAATATTATGAAAGATAAGTGATCTACCTAAAAAATCTATCAATTATGACATATATAATTCCTATGGTCCTCACAATTGAAATAGAACTAAGTAATATGCTTATTATATTAAACCAATCCCACTCATCATTCATATTATTATTTATCAGCTAGATTATTAGCTAAGGAGCGCTCTCTAGGAAAGCTTAAACCAAGAAACAAATGTTTTATTCAAAAATTTGATTATCATCATAGAAAAAAGTGTCAACAAATGAAGGCTGCAAATTCATCCAAAGTCTCAGCTTCTATTCTTGCAGTTTAGACTCTTTCAAATAATTATTCTTCATAATTTCTTTGTTAAAAATAATTTGGAATTTAGTATATAAAATATAAGGAAGAATAAATCCTAAGATGTTAAGTTGGTTCAGAGCCATAGACCAAAGGCTACACTTGATACTTTAAAGTAAGTTCATTTTCATAGAAGATTTTCTTTTGGTTAAGAAGGTCAAAGTTAAAAGAGATTAAGCAATAGGCGAAATGATTAAAAATGCTAGCTGCACATTTTTAATAAACTAGCTTTCAAAATGTCTTGTGCGATAATATACTATATCTGTTATAATATCGAGCAACCCCTGCATCATAAAAAAGAAAGCTATAGTGATGTGTAAAAATTCCCTTAAGCTCCTTCCTGCTACCTAAATCTTTAGCCAATTCATAATGAATAAAAAGTATTAACTAACTAACAAGGCTATTATTATATTATCTATTGTTACTGAGTATTTAATCTATTTAAAATTTTAAGCAAAAATTGTTAATATGTTTTACACTAACAAGCTATTTGATTCGAGCTCTTTTTTTCACTTTAAATTATCATAAATAATAATAATATCAAATTAGTTCTAACAAAGATATCAATATTGATATTTTATTCTTTTTCAATAATTAAAATTCAAACTTAGATTTTGAATCGATTTCTTTTGAAATAGTCGAATTGAAATAAAAATTCTACTAATCTACTTGCTTGCTTGAATGAATATATAAACAAATCAATGTATGTGTAACATTTCTCGAATTGCCAAAAATGTATTTTTTAAATTAGTAAATATTTTGACACAAAAATTCAACTTCACGCATTATATTATTTACTACTAATTATAAAATTACTTTTTACAATGTATAAATCTATTTTTTTGAAGTGAATCACCTCTCTACATATAAACAGATTTTGATTAATCAATTTTACGTTTTAAATTTTATAAAAATTTTAAAATTAATTTTTTAAAACATTTTTTATCTGATGAATCTGCTTTAATTTAAGCACAATGATTTGATTATCTATTTTATTTTTAAATATTCTTATGAAATTTAATATAGAAAAAATGTAAAAAGTTAGTAATTCATTTTCTATTTGAACATAACTTCTAATTTTGTTAAAATTACAATAATAAAAGAAATTATAAAAAAAAATAGCATCAGCTATGTAAATTTTATTTTTCATTTAATTTTAATTTGTAGGCACTTTATTTTAAATATTCACATATTTAATCTTTTAAATTATATCAAGCAGTTACTAAATTAAATTTACTCATAAAAACTAAATTAAATATAAAAAATCAATTAGTAATATTTCTTTAAAATTAATAAGGATTGTAGAATTTTATATGTCTAACAACTTTTAATATTATGATTAATTAACTAAAAATTAAAAAGTAATGTTGTTTTTTATTAAATAAATTACATAAATTAAAGTTAATTTTCAATCACTGTTATTATAAATAATAAATTTTAAAATATATATTACTTTATTATTTATTTATTTATAATTTTCTTTTAAATGCATAAGTTAATTAGGCTATTACTTTATAAAATAAATTTTAATAAATTTTATTATTTCCCTTTAATTAATGTATTATAATTACTAAAAATGAAAAATTTAATTTAGAATAAACATCTTAATTGTACATTCTTTTAATCAAAAAAATACACAAATATTGTTTAAAACTTTCTACAAACTCTGCTTTAACTAAATCTTTGTTTTCAGAGATAGAAAAATCAAAAAATGAATCATCAGATTATCAGATTAAATTATTTTTAATTTTTAAAAATTTCTAATGCAAAGTATGGGGTATTAATTGTTTTATAAAAATTAAAACTCAACTTCCTTAATTGGTATTCACAATTTTTATTTCAATAATTTTTGAAAAATTTTTTCTTTTCTTTATTTTATTATTTATTTTAATTACAAGACAATAAAATATATTAATATTTCTATAAATACTTTGAAAATTGTTAAAAAATTATAGAAAAATGTAACTGATAATGCAAATTTAATATTGATTTCTTCTTTTTATATTAAAAAATTTTTTATTAAGAATTAATTAAAATAATTATTAAATTATTTTAGTTGTTGGTCTTTTTGAATAAAAGAAAGTTAAAAATAAAAATTTTATTGAAAACTCAGCAATTTAATATATTGATAGAATGTTAGTTATTATCAGATATGATAATTTGTTGGATTTATTGGCTTATATAGCTGCTAATAATTTTTTAGCTGCAACTAAGGATTTTTTAAAAAGATAAAATATTTGCTTGTTTTTTGACAATTTTACTATTTTTATAAAGATTTCTTTTTTTTCTGAATTGAACAACTAATAACATTTTATCAAATTTCTTAAATGAATTTTAATTTTAGCAAATTTTTAGCCTATAAAAAAGTTTGTGGTATTTTTTATCTACTTAGAATTTAAAAAATTTGTTGGTCATTTGTTAGTATTCATCTCATTTTTCATTTAAATAAATAAAAAAATACAAAATCAATTAATTTATATTTAATAGACAATTTTTATTATCTAAAATATCATAAAACACATGTTAACTGCTCGACCAAATCTGATCCTCCTATTTCCATAGCTTTATTGATGATATCACCAACTCTTTATTTTTATTTAACTATTTCTTATTCAAACTATTATTATTAACTTTTAAGAGTTTAAAGCTACATAGATTTATTTTCTAAATCTAAATCAATTTTGGCCCACTATGCCTAATTTAATTAATTATAAATTTGATATAAAAATATATTAAGGCAAATTAAAAAAAATATTTTCAGATAAAACTTAAAAAATTAATTCATTTTGTTAGGTAATTTAAAGCTGTAAAATTTAAATGTTTGATCTTGAAAAAAATAATTACTTTTTGTATAGAAAAGGTTTGTTCAAGTTGAGAGTACTTTGTTTAAAGATGTTTATAAGCCTTTTCTAATTCAGTTCCAGATTTTTGGTTTTCTTCTTACTTTTTTTATATTTATTGCATCAACTTGTTGTTTTCTTGTTACTTTTCTTCCAAGACAGCTTTAAATTTATCTTTTATTTAATCAGCTGCTTCATTTCTTTTGACAATTTCTTGTTTAGCTTAATCTAATATTTATTGCTTCTCACTCTCCAGTGTTTGCTTTAAAATAGTTAATTCCTTAATTTTTTTCTAAAATCCTTAGCTGTTTGTTTCTTCTTGCTTCAATTTTTATTTTAGTTATTAATTCTCTGTTTAAAGCAATTTAATCTAATCTAAATTTTTATTATTGTTTTATTCTTGCTTTTTTATTTGCTCATTTATTTACTCCATTTTCTGTTTATAGCTTATAATCTCTCCTTTCTACTTTTTCAAATCTTCTTATAAAAGTTAATTAGATTACTACTTTTGCTGCAGTTATTTCTTGAGATCTTCAAATTCTGCTACCATTTCATCATATTAGTTCTCAATAATCTTTATCTTTTAATCATAATTTTTTTTTATTTCTAAAACTTCCTATTGACTTTCCTATAGCTATTATAGAAGCTATTATTAAGTATTTGTTTTTGATGCCTATTCTAGTTATTTTTTTAATAATTCAAGTTGGATTTAACACTGCTTTTAGTTTTCTAATGCCTAAGCAAGTTATTTTTATTGTTTTTCTGACTCCGATTTCATCATGCCTCTTTAATTTAATTGAATAAGCAAAAAATAAATAACCTTATAATATAAATTCTACATTATTTTTGGCTAATCTTAGAGATATAAAATTAAAGCTGCATTTTTATCAGGACATTTTTCCAAAATATAAATATCTGTTGCATAAAATTATTTAATAAATTTAATATAACTTGATTTAAGAATTACCATTTGATGGAATCTATGAGATATCTGGAATTTCTACATTTCCTGCATTTTTGCTAACATTATTCACTATTATATTTACCTTAATGTTCAACTAATTTTTACAATAATTTTTAAATATTTCACATATTTTTGTATATTTAATTTTTAACTTTCGCTGATAAGTTATAGAGTGGAATTTCTTAATCTACTTTAAAAGTATTTGTCTAAATATCTTTTTAAGATTCTACAAAAAAGCTGAATCTATTCTCATCTATTTTATTGATACAATAATTCTGTAATTTTTTTAAAAATGTGCTTTTATGAATCCAAAATACCTATTTCTACTACTATTTTAATTTTGCAATCAAATCCTATCGCTAACCTTAGCTTCTCTATCTACAATATTTTTTTCATAACCATTAATACTCTCAATAAAGTCAAAAATCAACTTTAAATTAGATAGTATTTGCTAATTTACTTACTTACTTGACCTTTATTTTGTAAAGTTAATTCTTTCCAAAAATAATACTTTGAAAAATAGTGCAATCAATTTATTGATGCTTGATTAATGTAAAAAGTAAAGTATTTACAATTTACTTAATATTAAAATAAAAATTTATTTCAAATATTTAAGGAGCAACATACATATAACAAGTATTCGAACAATCATAAAATCATTTATTTCAGTGAGTCCATAATTATAATAATATTTGAGCATGAAAACACAAATCTAATTATATCTTAGGTAAAATAGATATAATATAATATGTATATATATACAGTGCTCCTTACTTTATTGTTTTGTCGAAATATAAATAAAAAAAATCAGGTGAAATGTAGAAGATTTCAATTTGGGTGTTATGGATTTAAGATTATTGATGATTTGCTTTATTTCTAATAAATTCGAAATCAATAATCTATTAAATAGTTTAATAAAAACGATTATATTCATAAATTAGCAGTAAAGTAAACAAATAGTATGGGAATAATCTCAATATTCTATTTATTCTTCATAATTTGGATATTCACTACCAATATAAGTGCGTAGATATGTACACCTAGCAAGGTTTATGTCATTTAGAATTCAATTATTTCAGGGGCTTGCTAAAATCCTGCATAGCCATCTGATTAGATTAATAGAGATGCTACATAAATTCCATTTGCACCTCAACAATTTTCAATATCTGCTTGGGTTCAAATCTCTTCAACAGCAACGGGAAACTTGTATTCTTTATTCCGTTTGACAGAGAGTGCAAGTGATACAACTCCAACTACAAATCAAGGAGTTAGATTAGCTGTCTTTATAGACAGAACTTTAGGCAGTAGAAAAATTTCGGTTTAATATTCTACAACTGGTAAATAAATATCTTTAAACATTAAAACATGCAAACAAAATATAAATAGAATTAAATTAATAGCATCTTCAACTATGATTGATAATATGATTAATTATTTTATTATTTATTTAAAAAAATATTTTGAATTAATTATTAGCTTAAATTTCTCAAACGGACTCTAATTCTTTTGCTTTTTTAGATGATAAGTGGATGTTTATTTTTGTCTCCTATAGCTTGACTTCTGGGTATATTTCATATTTCGGATGGTAACCTAATTTAGTTCCAGCAAATGACATAACCTTTACAAAAAATGTTAGCCCAGGAGTAAATTTCAATTCAGCATTTGATACGAATGCAGTATTAAATATATTATATTGGGGTTCAAATGTTAAGTTTTGTGGAAAAATTAATAGGTTTGTTTATTATTCTAATTATGTATTACCTTCAACTTCAACCCAATGGATGATTTAAGCTCTCACAGATGGTTCTTTACCTTAATAAACACTACTGTATTTGCGTTTAGAATACTCAGATAACAACCAATCAATTATAGATTTTAGTGGGTAAGCTATCAGGAACGATGCAGTTCTTGGGTTTACCTCATAAGCTGAAGCTTCTGATCCTGGAGTACCTAATTCTCAAAATGGTCTTACTTTATAATCTTAAAAGCTAGTAACAGTTTCAGATTTTATATGGAGTGGTTAGCAGGTATCAATTAAAATATAATATATTTTTTAAAAGTGACCTATTCAAGATAAATAATTTCAAATAAATTTAAATAATGATCCAAAGTCTATAAATTTAAATGAATATTTAATTATTAGCAACAAAGAATATAGATTTTAGAACAACAGTGAATGAAGTTTTAAAAAGAATAGCCAAATAAATTATACATTAAACTATATTACTTATTTATTAATAGAATCAATTTTTCATTAAAAAAGATTATTTACTATTAGTAAGCTTCCAAGGGAAGTTTATATTTTTTATTATTTAAAGAAGTTCTAGCTAGAAAAGTAGATATATATATATATTATTTAAAATAAAAAAATAAAATAAATCAAAAATAGATTCACATAAATGGGAATATATATTATAAAATCTACTAAATTTTGAAATATTTTAATTTAATAAATGAATGAGTTTTTAATCCATCAAAACTTCTACATTATCATAACAAAAAGAAATGCTTCTGTCTGCTAGTCTGTCAGTCTTTGCAAATCATTAAACTTTGAATCAATAAATATTTTATTAATTAAGCATAAATTGATTTATATAAAAAGTTTTTTATTTAATTACTTATTAATTTTAAAAGGAATTTTTAAATATTTGAATTAACTGATAATTTAAATTTATAAAAATTAACAAGGGAGTAACGATATCATTTTGGATTAAATTTCCTTCACCATTCACTATAACTACTGATGCAGATTTAACTGATGCCGTAAAAGATGTAATTTTACTATCGAAGAAGACAGCTACCAATATTTTAAATGTTTTAGCAAATTAAACTCCAAATATAAAACTTGTGATTAATAATCAAGTTTATACAGATTCAAAGTCATTAACTCTTAATACTTGGACTCAAGTTATAATCAGCTTGGCTTTTTATACATCTTCTGTTCCTTATTACAATTATTTTATTTTTAAATTTGACTATGGAGATTTAACTACCACTGGATACTAAAAATTATACACAAACACTGTATGGGATGAAACTGTTTTGAACGGATTCACTATAGGAAGCACATTAAATTAGTTTGTAGGAAATATTTAAATGAGCTAGTTAAAGATTTATTCAGGATTAGGAGTCTATTCTAATCCTAGTTGCATTTCTAATTGTTAAATAGCTTTTGCAAAATTTTCATCAATCTTATGTTTAAATTGTGCAGCTAGTTATTATGAACAATATGGAATTTGTTATTCATGTAAAATTAATTATTTTAATTTTTATTTAGTTTTTCTAAAAATATTAAAAAAAGCTTGTGATACCTCGGAGTTTGGTGCAAATAATTAAATTGTTAAAACATGTTCAACATGTACTTCAACTTGCACATATTGCACAGGTACCATAACGACTGGATCTACTTCAATTTCTTGTGTAGCTTGTGCACCAACGTATTTTTTAAGTACTAACAATTGTGTTATAGCTTCAGCATGCAATCCTTAGGCAGCTAATCCTAATAACGGATAATGCTAATCTTGTGGAAATTCTGTTATTGATGCTCTCGAGTAATGTGATGATGGTAATTTCATAGACTATGATGGCTGCACCAATTGCTAAATTGACCCTGGATATAATTGTATTAATGCTCCAATGCCAAGCAAGTGCGTTATTGCTTGTGGAGATGGAATAGTTTAATCTAGTAAAAAATAACTTTTTAAATTTAAATATTTCATTTTTGCTAATTAAAATTTGATAGATGAGTAATGTGATGATGGAAATTAGATAGACGGTGATGGTTGTTCTAATTGCATAGTAGATACAGGTTTCTAATGCACAGCATCTAACCCTAGTGTTTGTGTATCGTTGTGTGGGAATGGAGTTGTAAATCTAAATGAAGTAATAGATTCTTGTTTAAATATCAAAAAAATCTTCTTAAATTTAATAAATAAAAATAAAGGAATGTGATGATGGTAATACAATACCTAACGATGGATGCACTAACTGCTTGGTTGACATTGGATATTGTAATTTTTTTAAAATGATATACCATTTTTAAAATAATAATTAATTATTTTTTGTTTTTTGATTTGAAAAAATAAAAAAATTTTGCCAAAAGTTTTTAAAAATGAACTTAATTAGTTAAGCAAAAAAAGGGAATTTATTACTATTTTTATAGAAATATCTTTTCATATTTATTAAGGATTTTTTATCATTTTTATAATATTTGTGATAGTTACTTTAAATCAAAATATTTTAAATTATTAAAGACTGTAGTGTTTAGCCATGTACAACACTTTTAACACTTTGTGGAAATAATAGAAGAGACACAAACGAATAATGCGATAATGGAAATACTACTGGATGCACTAATTGTAGTGTAGATTCTGGATATTATTGTTAAGGAGGATCTATTACTTCACCAGATACATGTTAGCCATTAGTAATTTATAATTCATTTTTATACTTTTATCTATTTTCAAATAATAATTTATGAATAAATAAAGTGCCCGAATGGAAAACTTGATGGAAACGAAGAGTGTGATGATGGAAACAGCACACCTGCAGATGGTTGTAATGCTTCTTGTTAAGTAGAAACTGGGTGGTTTTGCACTAATTCATCGCCCTCTACACCATCAGTATGCACACAAATATCAAATATTGGAAGTCCGTGCCCTGATAGTATAAGAGAGCCTAATGAAGTTTGTGATGCAGGACCTAAAATCAATAATTAACCAACTGGATGTAATGATAGTTGTACTGCAGTATTGCAAGGATTTATATGTTAAGGAGGTTCAACAACATCAAAAGATATATGTAAAAAACAATTTATCTCTATAAAACAATTTGAAATTAAATTTAAAACTGATTTTTTTAATTTATTAATTTAAAGGTATTCCAATATGTGGAGATGGAATTTAATAATATAATGAGCCATGTGATGATGGTAACATTTTAGCTGGAGATGGATGTGATCAAAACTGTAACATAGAATAAAATTATTCATGTACTAATATACCTCTAGCATAGTCAGTTTGTACTAATCTTTGTGGAAATGGTGTCATTGATCCTAATGAGGATTGTGATGATGAAAACTTAAATGTAAAAAAACTTTATGAAAAATTAATTTTATAACAAAAAAATAATTTTAAATAAAATAATAAATTAAAAATTAATTTTCATAATTCATAAAAAAATTTAAATGGGTATCTTAAATTAAAATTTAGTTAAATTCCCAATAAATTTGGCTTACTTTTTAACTGAAAAATATTGCCAAAAATAAAGAAGCAATAATTCTAACAATATTTAATATTGTTATATTAATATTCTATGATAAAAACCAATTATTATATTAAATAAAATTTTTAAAGCTTTAGTAAAATTTTGAAATAAATTTAATTCTAGATTAAATTAAATTAATTTTATTTATGATTTTTTAATTCAAATTTTCGGTTAAATAAAGAATGGTGATGGATGCAGCTCTGATTGCAAAATAGAAATTGGATTTAGCTGTACTCAGATTATTGCAGGAGGTAGGTCAAGTTGTTTTTAATGTGCTAATAATTGTCTACAGTGTACTAGCAAAGCTATTAAAGATTGTACTCTATGCTTCCCAAATTACTATAGGAATCCAGTGACAGGTTCATGCGATAAAGAGTGCTCGAGTGGTTATTACGCTGATAAGGCAACTTAATCTTGCTTAACGTGCTTAGATATGAATTGTAAAACATGTTTATCAAGTTAGAAATCTGCATGCGTTTCTTGCCAGAATAGCTATTATATAGGTGAGGGTAATTGTTATCAAGAATGTCCTACTGGTTTTTACCCAACCCTTAATCCTGTTTTAGGAAATGAATGCACTCGTTGTCCATTTCCATGTTCAAAATGCACTAAATCAAATGATTGTTAAGATTGTGCTGATCTCTACTTCCTTGATCCCTCTTCATTGACATGTAAGTAATGTGGATTAGATCCAAATTGCTATTCTTGTGATTAGTAGCAATCAAAGTGCTTAAAATGTGCAATAGGTAATCTAATTTTAATAAATAAAATTATAATAGGTTTTATTTATGTTAATCAATTCGAAAAAAACTTACAAAAAAAAATAATTCTAATTTGTAAATATAAAAAATTAAGTTTCAACTCATTTATTTTGTTAAAAATTAAAAATTTTCACTATCTAAAAGCAAATTAAATAAAATAGTTTTTTTTGAAATAAATTGATGAAACAAATTAATTTTTAGAAAATAAAAACTATTTTTTGAAAAATGTATATATTTTAATTTTAGATTAGATTAGATTTCATGAGAAATATTCAACTTACTTGACAAAATGTTTAAAAAATTATAATCCTCAAATACATAAAAATTAATTAACAAATAATTGAGAAAATTGAAATTATTTTTTTTAGATAGTACACATTTATTTAGGATGAATTAAATATTGATATTTAAATATTTTCAAATAATTTCTTTTTGAAAATAATTTAACTAAAATAAACTACTTTTACATAAATTTTATTTTATTTTATATTTTATTTTAGGCTATAAGGTGTCTGGTAAATCGTGTGAGTCTTTACCAAGCGTTTGTGGTGATGGATACTTTTAACCTTCTACTGAGAAATGTGATGATGGCAATACAATAAATGGAGATGGCTGTTCGTCTAGTTGCTAAATAGAAACAAATTATGCTTGCATATTAAAGAATAATGAAGGCCCATCTATTTGCTACGAAATGAGACCTCCTAAAGTTGCAGGATATGAATCTAAAATAGATTATTCTGTGATTTTTATATAATTTGACCGCTAAATATAAAATCCTCCTGTAAACATCACTCAGTAAGATATCATCATAAAGATACCAGGGTTGTCTTCAAAAAGCTACAATTATACTATGCAATTCATTGATTCATAAACAATCAAAGTTTAATTTAATTATACAAAAACTGTTTAAGATTTAGTTGCAAATATTGATTTTTCAATGTCATTTAGGAATAATATTCAGGATATTTACAATTACACTCTAGTCTCATAATTTACTCCTTTTTCTGTTGGCTTACCATATTACATTTATTACTCAAATCAAGAAACACAAGCTGCCTTAGCTGTTTCTTGGGTTTTTATTTCCTTTTCAATTGTTTTGCTTGGACCGTTATTTGCTTATCTTTACCTATTTGGATAAGGAAGAGTGTTCAAATATGTTGAAGTAATTCAAGTAATTGGTTTGATGAGGTAAAATTTTTATATTTTCCATGTTATCAAAATTAATTTTAACTTTGAAAGAATAATTTTATGAACAATCATAAATTTTATTTTTTTACATTTAATAAAAAAGAAAAAAAAACCATTAACTTTTCAAGTTTATTGTTTAAATTTTATTTTACTAAGAACTTATTTTTGTTTAAAAAGGTTTTTCAACATCAGATTAGATGTTTTCAGTTATTAGCTATTTTAGCAGGCAGATTTAGTTTACAATCTGAGAGGGATGTATAGTATTTTTTAAGCTATCCCTGTCTCTCCAAGTGACCTATAAAATTTTGCTGATAAAGATAATTTAGTCATCTAAAGACAATTGCTAAATAGCAGCTTTATCCACTCAATTTTAGGAACGATAATACTGTGTTTCATTATTCTTTCGCTCTTATAGGCAATAAATTTGCTTCTTTACAGGTTTGTAGAAATTGACTAAGTCACTCAAGTAACAGAAAAAATAAAGGAAATTATGTAATGGGATGCTTACATCAGGTTATTTGACTTTATTTTCTACTATTTATGCATTTCAATATTCTTGCAATTGTAATCAACATCATTTTAAACTATTTTGTCCATTTTAAACTGTGTTATTTGCATCTTATCACTTATTGGAGTGCTCTTTCTCGGAGGCGTCTTGGTTAAGAAATATGTTTTTTATCAAAAATTGCACAAAAGAACAGATTGGTTTGAGAAATATTTATATTTGTTTGATGGGCTGAGATTCAATTTAAAAAGAGCAAAATATTACATTATTTACCCATACATAAACAAGTTTGCCTATGCAGCTGTCCTCGTTTTCTTAAGTGGTAACACTTTTTACTAAATTATTTTGTGCACAGCTGTGAGACTGTTAAATGTAATAATTTTGTTGATATCAAGGCCTTTTCATTTTAATTTGATGTAGCGCCGTGATATTGCTTGTGAATTATTTTTAATTCTTATGATTATTCTTTGTTTAAACTGCACAAATGATGAGTCTCTTTCCCAACAGAAAAGGATAATGGCAATAATTTTTATAGTTTTGTCATTTGGTTTTATTTTTGCATATTCTGGTTTATATTTATGGACCGTATTGCAGGAGGACATATACTTTGACCCCATAAATATAGTACCTCTCAAGGCTAATCCAGAAGATTGGATGAGCTAATAAGAAAACAGTAAATAAGAATCAAGTAAAAAAGGAGATGAAGAAGAAGATTTTGAGGGTTCTGATCCTCCTAAGAAAAACTAAATTGTACCAATCTAAGAAAGTCCAAGCCACTCTGAAAATGTTTAAGGTGATGATTACAATTTAGGTAAAAACCAAGCCAAACAAACTGAAAATAAGGTAAATAATGAGGAAGAAGAGGATGAAGAAGATGATGATATTTTTGCCGAACATTAAAACGCAAACACAAAAAAATTAACAAATTTAAGAAGTCAGAACCAGTAAAGTAGTTCTTATGTGTAAAAAAACATAAACATAATCCAACATAATGAAGACTAGGATGATGATTTTAGTTAACAAAATGAAATAAATACCTATTAAAGATGAAAAATAAATTCATATGTATGTATTTATTTATTTAGTTACTTGCAAAACAAATCAAAATATATTTTGTAATAACCCCTTTTTCTTTGAATTGCAATATTTGTTAAAAATTTTCTCAACTTCCAAATTAGATGTAAATCAAGCTCTTTGCTTGTTTTTTTATTAAAAATTACATTCAAATAAGTACTTTTAATTTTAGAAATAAAGTAGTTTTTCAACATCAGCTTTGTTTTTTGTGTCTGTCTGTCTCTTTTTATATATTTAAATAAAATTTTAAAGCAATCATAATTTAATCATAATCATGTATTTAAATGAAATAAAGAGTTATGAAGTAATTCTTTTTCTTAAAAACTTATTTATTTCATTATTTTTCTGAAAAGTTAACAAGCTAATCAACTAATTATATAAATAGTCAAAATAAACAGATATATTGATTAGTGACTAATTATATATTTTTTATGAAAGAAATAGAATTGATTGAAAAAAAATCAAGGAAAAACTAAGCAGTATGTTTATATTTAATATTGATTTTATTATATAAATTGTTATTATATTTCAAGATTATATAATTATTTAATATCATATCAGTAAAATCAAATTGAAATAGATTTTTTAGCTATTATTAGTTAAAATTAATTCCACTATCATAATTTTTAAGCCGTCTTGATTTTATGTTAATTTAAATTAAGGCTATATTTGTAAATTTAAATTTTTGAATGTTCAAAGTATTAAATGAAAGCAAAAAAATTTTAAGTAATGTGAAATAAATATTTTGGTAGATTAAAAATACCGCCTTACTCATAATAATGTTTTTTGAATGATATTTAATTATTTTCTCAATAGATATATTTCTGAAATGAACTCTATAACGGTGAAACTTATTAATGACGACATTTATAAAAGATGAATTAAACATGTGGAAGAGGTACTAATTTATTTGTTTTAATGAACTAAAAGGGATTTTGTGATAATAAGAAAAAGGATGTTAAAGTGATAATTAAGAATTGATGAATCTGGTAAAAAAAGTGATCTTTTTGATATTATAATAATATTACAAGGCTTTATATATTTAATCTGATTTTTTGAAATAGAAGAAATAGATACAATTTTATTAATCTCTAAATTTTTTTTATCGTGTGATTTTAGAGGGAAGCGAAATGAAATAGAAAAAATAATCTTATAATTCCTCATTGACTTTTATTATGATGTAAGAATAGCGGATTTTCATCAAATATAATCATCATCACTGTTTAAAATGAAATAACAATAAATGCTTGCTTGGTTGGTCTTTAAAATAACAATATTTGCTTAAAAATCCATTTTTTTTTAAAGATCATTTTCTAAATTGAGTTTCTCAAAGTTTTTGATGTTTGCTCAAGCAGCTTTGCAATTTTTTAAATATTTGCATGAAAAATTAGATAATAATTTAAATTTTATTGCATCATCCAGGTATGTTTTTCTTGGTTAGTGAAATGATTGAAGACCTTAAGCCAGGCTATGAATTTTGCAAAAATACACACACAAAAAGAAAATATAGCTCTTTTTTGATAAATTTATACTCTTTAAATATCATTTTTATAAACTAAAGACTGGACTTAGACACTTGAATTTTGAAATTTAGGTTCTAATACTACTATGGTGAAGGAAAGGGATGCTCCTTTTTTGTAGCAATTCAATAATAAGATAAGAAATACGATTCTTAAAATCCAAAAATTGCTGTTAAAAGAAATAAACAGATTGCTTTTTGATAGAATTTTATCCTATTTGCATTCAAAATACAATACATTAGCAAATAAATAAAGAAGAATTTCATGTATTAATAGGAGAAAGCAAACCAATAAAAAAATAGCTCTTATTGACTTTGTTTCAAATGTAATATGATATCATCTAAAATATTGAAATAGAAAAAATTAAGGGATTGAACAGAAAAAAGAGCTATTAATATAAAGAAGGTCTCTTAGTATTATAAAAAAAAATTTAGACTTTTTATATATTAAAATATTTACTACTTGATACCATTGTTTATATTCTCAAGAGAAAAAATAATTAGATATTTTAACTATCTCAATTTTATCTCACACTAAAATTTCTTTTTATTCTATCTATAGCGCCTTTATTAATTGTAGCTAAAAAATGAAATTCAATGTTGTAAATTTTGATTTAAAAAAATTCTAAAAAGGGGATTTGAAACAGGAATTGCTTTTTTGTGCATAAGATGAGTAGATAATATGCTAGTTGATGATTTAATTATGTTATTCAATTAATTATTATCAGTGAATTTTTTACCTAAAATAGACTGACTAAATTGTAATTAATATAATCAAGTTTATATTTAATTTGCAATTAGATTATTTTTTTGCTTCTTTAGACTGGCTAAATTATCTTTCGTTTTTCTATTCCTACATTACACTACTATAACAACAAACAACTACAATTTAAAAAAAAAAACCAAAACTAGTCTGTTTTATCTAATTAACAGTTCATTTTAACAAGAAAGTGTACTCAGCGTTCTTTTTTTTGTATAATTAGAATACTCAAATTGCTTGATTACCTAATGAAAGGAAGAAAATTAATAATATTTATTCAAGTCATATATCAAATAACATTAGAGTGATAATTTGCCTAAAAATACCAAATTTAAATTTTATTGTAATTTAATATCTTTGCTAAAATCCCAAATATACTTTTTTATCATAAAGTCTCTAGAGAGATATTTATATTTATTAGAATGCAAATATGCTCAAATAAAAAATAGAGACTTTTAATGTTCACATATACAAATATGATAAATTAAAAGGGCTGAATAGAAAAGAAAAAGATAAGTCTAAGTTGTGATTTAAAAAACACAGGAAAAAAACAATTTAATAACTTTTTTTTAATTTACATCAAAAATTTCAGATTTTTTTTAACTTTTAATTGCTTGCTATATCTTTTTGGTTTGCTTGATAAACAAGAATTAAGTAAAAACTGAATAAATTTTAGCTTTATAAGTTTTTATTGCAATAGTCTATAATTATTCTATATTTCAAATAAATGCGCTTTTAAATTTTTGGAACTAATGAGTGAAGAACGTTTAAGGATAAATCTACATAGACCAATTTACTTTTATTTTTTATTTTATTAATTGTTTCTTAATCTTGTAAGGAGTATTTTATACTTTTTTTGAGCAGTAAACTAAACTAGTACACCATTAAAAATTTGGTAACAAGTACTATCACCAATCCCAAACAAATGGAAAGAAGTCTATTCATTTCTCCATATATATGTTCATTATATAACCTATATTATTTCTTGTAGAACTCGATATGAACTATAACTTGATATTTAAGTAAATTTTAAAAAGAAAAAAACTTTTTCAAAAGTCTTCATACGAATTGGAATACGTTATACATTAAATAAGGATAACTTTTTTGGTATAAGATGTTACATTTCAAGTAAGAATAAATTATATAAGTCCCCATAGTAGATTAATAATTATTGCAATTATTTTTAGAAACTGTTCTAGCATACTTTTTTGTTTCTTTCTTTATTTGTTTGTTTTTTTGAGTAAAAAATAAGTGGTCTAAAATTCTTCATTAAGAGGTTTATTAATATTTTGAAAAAAATAGCCATTTATTAATTTATCAAATTAAGTAGTCTGTTCAAAAATGAAATTAAATGGGATGTCTATAACCCATTTTTCTATTTCATTTGGGGATATCTATCTCTAATAAGTAGCTCTTTGTATGATTTTTACTATTAGTTGGCTTTTGTAAAAAAATAAATTAAAATCAGAAAATATTACCCCAATAACTTTTTTTAACAAAACAAAACTATATTTCCCTTTTTATTTGAGTAATTAAGAACCATATAATTATATTAAATGGTAAAGCATTATATCTGTTATATATCTAATTTTTGTTTTAGTTTTAAAAATGTTTGAATTGTAAGAAATGTGTTTAAAAATTTCTTTGTGAAAAAAAAAAATGATAAATTTTGTACTTTAATTGCTTGAAAATTGATAATATTAAACCTTTTTTAGAAGCTGAAAATTTCTTATCTCCAATATTTATTTCTTATTTTCTGAATAGAATCACTCAGATAGATGTATTGATATATTTAAATGAGTTGAAGTATATTAATTAATACATTCCATCTATAAATAGCTTTAATTTTTACATTTAGTCCTGTCTTTTTAACTTTTATTCAAAATAAATTTTCTCTTAATTTACTAAACCTTTCAATAATACCTTTAGGCGCAAAGTTATATGATACATTATTTAAATATAGTGGTTTTTTAAAACAAAATTTTATTTATTTGAATTTTCATTCAAAAGTAACTCTTAACAGACTTATTTTTAATTTAGAAGTTATCTTTATCATTAACAAAAAATTCATTTTCATTGTAAGACTTTTTATACAATTTCTTGTAGGTGCTGCCTGACAACCATTTACTTTATTTGAGAACAAAGCAATTAAATTTTTTATAAAAGACAATTTTAACTTGAATTTTATTTGAAAAACACTTATTTCGCCATTTTAACTTGTAAATTTTTTCCATTCTAAACATTGACGATTTAATAAAATACCAAATGAAATAAATTTGTTTGTTTGATTGATTGATTGATTCATTTAAAACAAAATTAAATGGAAAGAAAAACCCATATCTTTTTAATCTATCATTAGCATATTCATGTTTTGTTGATTGGTCTCAAATATGTTAATTATAATATAAAAATAAAGCTTACAACAATAAAATTTTGTTATAAAAAACAATAAAATATGAATGTATGAATCAATAAATTGGATTCTAAATAAAATATAACTTAATTAGCAATTTAAAATGAGGAATTAGACTTATTTCACAGTTTTATAAGAATAATTTAATAGTTGAAAGTAACAGTGATAGTTAATAGTCATGGCAAAAATGCCACTTTTGAGAATAGTGAGTGTGAGTGAGTTAGAAGTTAGTTAATAGTAAAAGTAAAAGTAAATTTATTTATTTATTTATTTATTATTTGTTTTTTGGTAATATGAATGAATTTGTTTGTTTGTTTGTTGTGAATTATTATTAATTTTTCTTAATTTTATCATATTATTACATGATTTGATTTGTTATTATGATAATTTATTTGAAATATTTATTTATTTAATCATTTTCTATAAGAGGTAATTTTTTACAAAATTGTTTAATTTTGGAAGCATCTTAATGAAAGAAAGATTCCAATCATGTGAGCTGGTTTATTGTTTACCTTACTCTAGACGAGCCATTGCAAAGCGTAGTGACGGAGGTAGTATTGGAATTGCTTTCCGTATCTTTCGCTCTCGATAAGTCTTACCAAGAAATTATTGTTAATTGCATGGCGATCACAGAATTTTTTAAATTGTTTTTTAATGGTTGCACTATCTTTTTCAAGAATGTCCATGCACTCGAGAATCAAGCAGTCACTCTTCTTATTGACATAAGTGATGAAGCTTTTTATGAGGTTTTTAATAGTATTGTTAGCTTCTTTATAAAAATTAAATTATTCTAAAAGTTAGTTATCGTCTCTTTCTTCAAAGTCTACCCATTCATATTTGAAGGAATAGTAAAGTTAAGTTAAATAAATCTTATAATCTCTTTATTCGCAAGCAGAATTTACTTAGACCTCATCCAATATCATTGCAAATAGCTATTCTTCACTCATACTTTCAAAGGTAGCGTCATCGACAGAGTTTGGAAGGCTACTCATTGAGGGAGAATTCTGATCACATATTTCAAATGAGTTTGAAGAAGACAACATTTTGATTATTTAATTTTTAATTTTAATATTTTTGATTTTTCTTTGTTGAATCAAATTATTAATTAATTTTTATTTTTTATTATTATTTAATTATTATCTGAATTTATTGTTTCCCCTAAGCAATTAAAAAAAGTAGATAGCGCCTACTCTTGCAAAAAGCATAGGTTAATTTTAATATTTTTTAACTAGTCAGTTTTTTTTAATCACATATTAGTAAATTCTTTACTTAGCTTAATTAAAAAGGCTTTTCAAATATAATTAAATAAAGATAAAATATTTCAGAAACAGGACTAACAGCTGCGCAGCTTACCAAAAAAATCGAACCACTTTGATGTATTTTCTATTTGGGCTTGCTCATGGATATAAATCAAATATTTGATTAGAGAAAGAAGATTATACCTTTTTTTAGCTTTTAGATATTAAAAAATTGTCTATTTTAATTGCTTAATAATAATGAAAGAAAGATCGATCACACATTTCCTTTTTTAGGCGATGAGCTTAAATCTAATTAACGCAATTTAGTAAATGCATTTGGAAAGTATTTAAAAGATAAAATTGTCTTTTAAAATTTAGCCCGAAAGTCTTGTCTTTGCTATAATACCAGAGTTTACTAAAAATTAACGGAGTTAATATTTTCAGATTAAATTTAATATTTATAACAAAATTACTTACCAATCATGTAAGTATCTAACTAACTATTAATATATTTATAAATCAATGAATTAATGGGGATATAAAAAATACTAATTAAGAAAAATTTAATATTTTTTCTCTTTGTATAATTTTTCTTTTCAAAATCAAAGGGGTATTTTGTTTTTATCACAATTAAGCCGATTCTTTGTTTGATTATATATCTATTTATCTTTTACTCAACTAAAACTTTAAGAAAGTACCATGCTATATAGTTAGCATTTTATATAGTATCTTATGATAGCTTGATTGAAATTTTGATTAGTATTGTTTTTCTCATTATTTCCACTAAACCTTACAGGCTATTTAAATACATTAAATACAGTTAAAAACCAACTGCATTTAAATAATTAAAATATTTATAGTTGCATTTCTAATTAAAATGAGTTCGTGTGTCAATCTAATTTTTTCTTTACAGCTTTAAATTTTATTAACTATATATCTATCCATCATGGGTGAATCAATCAATCAATTTGTCTATTCGAAAAAATCCAAAAATTATAAAAATTTTGGTAAACTAATTTATCATTCAAAAACGTTGATGTCATTTTTATATTTTTGAGCCTTCTCAAATACCAAAGATATAAAATCTGTAATCTTCAAGCATTTTTCTTATTTTGTACTTTGAATACCTTAAAATATTTTAATTTTACTTTCATTATCATATTTAGTCATTGTAATCGCTAAATCATTTTAAACTAGACAGCCTTCCCTAAAAATAGCTATTACTATTTCATTTTTAATTTAATAGACCTTAAAGCTGAAAATCTTGAAAAATTAAGCATTTAGATAAAATTCACATACACCTAAATAAATGTTTTAGGTCTAGATAAATTTAATCTTATATTTATTTGTAGAACATATATCAAGAAGTATTTTCAATATGTGATAAAA